TTCCTGCTGCTCCGGGTGCCTGATAGCCTCAAACGCTCTGTAGACGTCGTAGGCAGCTTTGTATTTATCAGTCTACCAAGGGGCTGTGTGTCCCCTGTTAGAAGCCGGTTTTCCCACCGCTAGAAGTGCCGACCGTATCACTTCGCTAAGTTTGGCTGTGTAGTCGTCCAGGCTTCATTTGGACCAGATGTCTTTTATGTCTGGTATTGTTGCCATCCTAGTGGCTACGAGCGCTGAGAAGCGCGGTAAATCCTCTTTGCTGACCTTATGATGAAATAGTTCTAAGGCCTCTTTGCCTCTGCCTGGTATTATTATTAGCAAGGGTCTTGTGATCTTACCCTGAAATAAGCTCCTTACACACCTCGGTCTTAACATAGGGTACGTTTGTTAGGGCCATATCCATTACGTGTCCGGCCCTGTATGTAGCCTAGCACAGGATGCCAGTAAAGTACATTCTATTATCAGTAAGCCACGCCACCACATCGACGCCCCAGTTTTTGCCCTTAACCCATGGCTCGAACACTGGGTGGTGTATATTCAGGTCGCCCCCTGCAAATAGGTTAAGTAGTGGTTACAAGTTGGTGAGGTAATTGATCATCTTGTTGGTACGTGGTTCTCTATAGATATTCAGGAATGAATACCCGTTTATGTCAACCCAGATTGCGTCCTTTAAGGCTATGGGCCAGCGCTGCTGGGTCTTGAGCTTGTGCCCCTTTCTCACGTAAGTCATCATCCGCGGGCGATTCTCCTCTGTGTCCCAGGCGTCTACTGGAGCATATGACTCGTATCTTGGGTGGTTTTGTGTCCTGGTGTCCCTCATCGTCAAGGGCTTGCAGAAATTAATCACGTCAATTCCCCGAGCCTAGCACCGCTACAGCAGCGTGAGATGCTGGAGCATGCCTTTTCCCGTGTTGTACCAAGCTACTATGATACCCGGTACCCTTTGTAACATCCCTTGTCCGTCGCGGTGCCTACGGCGCTTTCCCCCACCCGGACGTCAGCGTCCTGACATTAATACTCCGGGAGTTCAGGCTGCTGACGGTTCCAGCTGATTAGAGCTGCTGCTGCAGCTGCCCGCTAGGAGCCTTGTCTTATCCTAGGCCTGTCCGAGACCTATAAAGATGATACTGCTGATATCATTTTAACGTCTCCCTTAGTGTCTATCTGAGCAAGGCCATGCAGGTTAATCCCCCCTGAGGACCCAGACGTATTTGACCCGCTGGATGGTGTGTGAGTTGGTCGAGAGCCTACGTTTAAGGCTCATTTTCCCCCCTTATTCTTTAGTTTTGGGTCTGAAGTATTAACACAGATTGTATCCTGAGAGGTGGTCCCTTGTGTGAGGTCGCCTTGCGGAAGATTGCCCTAAGAGAGGTTGTCTTGTAAAAGACTACCCTTTGATGTAAGGATTGAGTCTTGCCTTTGTTGGCTGAGGTTGTTTGTGCCGGCTGAGTCCATTTCTCCCGAGTCATAGAGTTCCTAGTATCTCTTTGCTCCGGCCCGCCGGATAGAAGCGAGCTGCTTCTTTGTAGGGCGTACAAGCTCCCTATGCCTCTGTACCAGTGCGGCTTCGCAGTTGCTGTGCCCTATGAGAAAGAGACTGTGACAGTTTGTACAGCCTGTTGATCAGTCACACTCCTCGTCAGGGTTATGCTCGTCCAGCCGGTCTCTACAACGCCCGTAACGGGGGGCCCGGTTGCATTTCCTGGTGAAACAGTACCCTTGGCACCCTGGGTTGTGGATGTTAATGGTGGGTTTCTTTTTAACTGGTCTTAAGCAACCATTGTAATTAAAGAGGCTGAATGGCCTCACGAGTAGTAGGAAAGAGATCATCCAACTGTTTCTACCTGTGGCGGGGTCCAGGCCTTGTCTGGACGGCTTGCATTTGACAGGGTGTGCTTTTGTCTAGGCGTATACCTTGTCCTTGATCACGTCTTGTGTCTGGATGTGGTTGCCTAAGTTCATATAGTCAGGGAAGTTCCAAGGGATGTCCGGCACCACGTATATGAACCAGCGCTCTGGAATGTCCACTGTTACGGTGTTTGTAACTCTTTTTAAACACAGCTTCGCTTCCGGCCCCAGCAGCTGTTCCCTGATCTGCCTGGTGGCCACCCTAATAGACCAACTGGTGTTGGTCGGGCTAATGTCTGGCACGTCAGCCGGGGCTAGTCTGAGGTCTTTGAACTCCTTGCAAACCGCAGAGCGTAGAGTGAAGGGCTGCTCCCTTTATGTGCGCCGATCTTTATCTAGGCGTATCAAAATTTATGTCTCATCCCTGGCTAGGGCGGACACTGTGACCCCATGACGGGACGTACGGGCGGAGGGTCCAGCACTAGCATGGGCGGTAGCACTGCCCCCTGCATTCGATGCGTGGCCTGCTTTGGCAACACCCGCCCAGGAGACCTGCTTGGAAGACCTCCCCCTAAGGTCTTGCCCTTGCGTGTTCGTCATGGTAGTATTGGTGGTGGTAGGGTCAATAGGTGCAGAGCTTTGGACACGAATGGGCGCATAGAAAGTACCGCCAGTATTAAAAAAGATAGCAATGTTTAGATGGCTACAAATTATCTCAACTTTTAAGCAGGTCTCTTTCTTATATTCAGACTGTTATGGTCTGTTATAAGTGCCTATAAACTTGTCCAGGTAGCCGGCGAGCTGCCCTAGGACAGTACGTTTGATACGGGCTTGTTGCTCAAGGTCCTCTAAGTGAGGTGCGAATGCGCTGGCAGCAATGTCATTGTGTCAGGTAGCGGGCTTTCCAGTAAGGTCGATTACTAGGGAAGCCTGGACATTGGCAGGCTTCTTTTTCTTGTTCTGTTGGTCGAGATTCGAAGGGGTGATGGGTTCAGGTTCCCGTATAAACTGAGCGGCGTCAGGTGCGGCTTGGGTAGGCCGCTGGGGGGTTGTGAGGGCCGCCATCAACGAGTACTGAGTTCGTTCCCTCGGTAGAACGAGGCAGATCTCGAGATGCTGGCCTTGGTGTTGACGTCTGAGATTACGGCGTAATGCCAAGTATTAAAGATTTTACTGTGCTGTACGCAAATACACTAACAAGTGTAAGCGCACAGATGATTTTTACCAGGAAAGGTGTTTTGAGACACCACAAGGAGCCTCTTCGATAGCATAAACTCCTGAAATGTCCAGCCGCGCTTGAAGTACGGTGAGCATCCAGGCATGTTTTTCAAAATGAGCTCATCTCTTAATATGACTTTCTGGTGTTCGAAGGGAAAGACGAGCTGCTCAAGTTTGCGAGATGGCGATACCCCTTCAAGTCCGCATATGCCCTCCATAGCATCGCCGTCGACAGCAACAATGGTGAACTCTGCTGAGGCGTATATGGCACCCATCAGTTCTAGCTGCTTTGCAGTGTCCAAGTCATCCTGGATGATGCAGAGCGCATCGGCCCACAGGTAGCGCTCTCCAACAGTCTGGACCATATGCATTGCATGCCTGATCATCGGGGCAATGTTGGCTGCAAAGTCGCCATGCAACAAAGCGCTTGGCTTTTGGAGTTCGTGCAACAGGCGTTTTTTCGCTCGAAAACCTGTTGAACCTCCCCCTCCCCCCCGTCGGTAGCTGAGTGCTACGTACCTGGAACTCGCTCCGCCATGAACCAGACAGTTGTCGATGGTATCGATGAGCCAAGCAGGGGAGACATGTCTGACGTTGAGAGGGTTGCGGCACTTTTCACCATGCTGAGCATCACATTCCTTCACCCAGGTTGTTATCAATTCCATTTTAATCCAGTCTTGATCGAGGATGAGTCCGTATGCAGGTACCTGGCTCTGAAAATTGGATTTGGCTAGCAGTATGTCGTGGTGGCGACCCATCACATTTATGGTCCCATATGTCGTCGAATTTCGGCGCAGTCGGACTGCAGCACTTCCATTCAATGGATGTCGGTTGACTTCTTGGATGTGACGCATCAAAGGATCGTGGCTTGGGCAAGGCGTTTCCAGCACCTCGTCCAACGTCCCTAGCTCGATGTCTACTGTGAGATCTGTAAACAGGGTACTGATATGCCGGCAAACAGTACATTCTCCATCTGGTGGTAGGTCCGAGCTGGAGCTAAGACGCACGGATTCCATGGTAAAGCAAGATAACAGAATTGGGCGAAGGTCTCAAGAGCGAGATACTACCTCATGTTGTTGTTTCGTTTTCTTCTTCTGTATATGTCAGCATACCTATAAGCTCCATGGAAAGGAAAGCAGTGAGGGGTAAGAGGACTGCTGCGCCCCCTACGTGTCTCTAGAGGATTGGTTGCAGAGAATGATACGTACACACCATCGCAGTCAATATCGACTTCCTCCGAGCACACAGAACGGATCGGTCTTAAAGGATCCGACTGTGACGATCAGGCCTGCAGTACAACTGGTCAGGACTGATGGATAGATAAAGCTAGATTCAACGATCTATGAAGAAGGAAGAAGGAAGAAGGAAGGCCGCTTCAGGTGGGAGGTGGGCCTCCCATATATATAGGTACATGTGGAGGTACAATGTACTTGTACCGTAACACCGAAGAAGCAGTTGATTGCCGTGACTGCGTAACATCGCCTGATTCAATGGTGAGTTTCGCGTTTCGAAGAGTTCCCCATCGCAGCGGCAATCGCTACCTATTCGGTAGCTAAGTCGTCGCTTTGTGAACAGATGAGAATGCTACACGTGGAGGCACTTGGCTGCTCAGAGTAGGAATGCAAATGTGATGTTCCGAGTCCCTATGCTTAGCGCGAGTGTCTGATGTACAGGAAAATGGCATCAGCCTCAGCTAGCTGTGGCTCATGACAGATAACATGCTTACTAAGTAGCCGATAAGAGGCGTTTTGTCTAATAAAGATCTTGTGGAAGCTGCGACAGAGGCGTACTCGAGTCTCGAGGCGACACAATGCGAACCAAGCTTTCATAACATCACCTGAGAGAACACAGCTCATCCAAGCAAATTTTGTAACCTAGACCTCAGGCTAACATGACATGGTAGCATTCTGCTTCGCCCCTTCAAAGGCACAGCACTAACCCACTCTATCCTTCGCATAGATCTCAGCACCGGGCTTGCACCTCTCCAAGAACTCGCAATCGTCCAGTGTGCCGATGTTCGGCACTCTCATCCCCGGGCGAGCTTCCGGCTCGTTGAAGAGAACTGTCGGACATATGGGGCAGCTGAAGTATGTCACGTTTTTGCCCGAGGTGCCTTTGCGGGTAAAGCGCTTGGGGGTGCCGGAGATGACTTGCAGCTTAGGATCGAGGCTTGAGTCAGCCAATGCGGAAGAGGGTGTACGGTGGTGTGGGAGATACACCTTGTCTGCGGGAACAACAATGCTGACCCCGCCGGTCAGGGAGAAGACTTTGTGACAGTCTTTGCAGTGGCAGATGACCTGTGCATCTGCGTCAGCACTCGGATATCACTTTGAGGACGTGTTTGGAAGGGGGTTTTCTACCGACTCGCGTGGCTCATCAATGTCGAGCTCATAGGCTATGGCGCCACAGATATAACTGCCTCGTACTATCCTGAGAAGGTTTATGCAAGGCGGCGACGATGATTGGTGGTGAAGTCGTCGAGGTGAATCCCTCGTTGATTCGGCTTTTAATTGCGTGGTTTCGAGCAGGAATCTCTACGCTTACGCTGGCTTCATAGGTAAGTTGCTGTGCCGAAAGCGGGCCATTGATGAGTCACCGACAGATCTAGAGCAACGTCTTCCAGAAGTTACATATCTCTACGCTATGATGACTGAGGCAATGGGTAACACTGCCTCCGTGCTGGTTCAACCCCTCGCCATAACGCCAGCATCCCCTTCACTCCAAACAACCTTCAATGTCCAGTCCTTCACCTTCCACAACCCATCTTTCTCATCCTTCGCCACATCAACAAAGTACATTCCACCCGCCAAGAACTTCGCAGCACCCGGCTGAGTCCCGTCTCCCGGCCGGCAATGCTGCGCCAGAGACTGTGCCGTTACTTTCGCAGTCGTCGCACCAGGCTTGACGTCGATGCGAATGTTGCTGAGGAAATGAGTGGTCGTGAGTTTGGTTGAGATAAAGTCGAACATGCCAGCATGGATCGCTTCGCGGCCTTCCATGACGTGGCCGCTGATCTCGATGCGGCCATCGTCGGCTAGGGCCGAGTCGAAGAGGGCTTTGTCTGCGGTGTCGATGCCGACGATGGCGCGGTAGAGGGTGTCGGTGATTGCTTCGCGCTCTGTGAGAGAGGGCAAGGAGGCTGGAAGGGCCATGATGTATGTCGAGTTTGGTCTGAGCTTGATGATGGTGTTGTGGACTTCGAATCTGGTCTGAGCTTGATAATGGTCTTGTGGATGTCGCGAGTGTAGTCTGCCAAGCCGTACCCAGGTAGGGCGAGCGTCACGCCGTATTTATGTGCCCGCCACCTCTCCCCGTCCCTTCTGTCGTAGGGAATTACATCTGGGACACGCTGCTCAAAAGTGGGTGACTGGGTGTAATGTTCTTATGTCCAGGCGGACTTCCTCTGCGTAAGTCCGCTTAAGTCCATCTGATGCTGTTGGATATCATACCAGGCTGAGGCTTTCGGGGCTGAATGCGCTAATGGGTTTAGCTTCAGGGCAGTCAGCCCACCCTCAGGCCACCAGGATCCTGGCGCCATTATCGTATGATTATCTGGTCACCCTGATGGCACACCTGTACATATGGGGGCTTCTCCCCCAGAGATCTTCTTCTCTTTCCTTTCAATATAGAACGGTTTGAAATCTCACAGATGCTGGCTCTTTGAGTTGAAGATGTTGCATCCCCTATAAGACCCAGAATATCTCAATACAGCCAGTACGGGGGCCCATTTTCGTGCGACGTAAGAGGTAGTTGATGGCTCTTTGTTGCGAGCTGTTATTGCCACGAGCGGCACTCTGCTTACCTACGGTGGTCCAAGTACGTTGGAGGGGGTGATGACTGTAAAACCATTGCTTGAAGAACGACTCCAATTTGCTGTGTGCCTACTTCTCCCAAGCGCATTGAAACTCCTCGTTGACAACGCCGTTCTCCAGCGCGCTAGTCTTGGCGTTCAGGAAGATCTTGTTCGCAATGCGCTGGATGCCTGACTGGTTGGCTTTCACCAGACGGCGGTCCAGTATGAACAGTATAGCGGCGGACTTCAGGTCCAGGAGCTCGCAGAGGGTCGAGTCTAGGTGCAGCAAAGGTCGTGTTGATAAATGGACGGTCAGTCGGCCTCTAGACATCCACCATCAGTAGGTAACACGTAGCCTTCGTAACTAGCATCCGTACCTCCACAGGTTTGTGGAAGATCTTGTCGATTGCCTTGCTCGTCAGTTCATATCATCCCCCTTGGCTTTGACGTACTATTCAGCGTGTTCTCATGCTACATCGCTGCGGTTCCCGACGGTCTCCTTTCCCCTGTGCTTTTACTAAGTGCTTCAGCTACTTTGCTTTCTTACACGAACGCCTCTCTATCTTTTCACTCTCCGCCTCTTAAGTTGCTACCATCAATCTTTGACATATTTGCCTATGCCTCCTATCAAGGATGCTTACAGTAAGCTGCGATCCCGATGGCTCTTGCGCGCGCATTAAAGCGCAGCCCTGTAAAGTCCAAGCAAGTATCCAAATCGATTGATTGATTGATTGATTGTATTTAACGTGGGGGGTAGCTCCTCAGTAGTGCAAACCACGCCTCCCAGAGCCTCTGTATCGCAGGGTTATGGAGGTCTCAAGATAATAAGTACAGTCAGTCCCGCTCACGGGCCCATCCCCGTTGTTGCGGCGGTATGACCTTGGGGTCATCCATCTGGTCCTTTAAGGAAGGCTATCTATCAGGGGCAGATTGTTGAAAAGAACTTGCTCTTCTCCACGAATTTTGCCCATTCTGTGCTCCTCTCCCCTAAGTATTATAAATAAGCTGTCCTAGGCGAGTACCTAGGCAGCAGCCAGTTTTTCCCTAACCTCTTACAAAAGAAAATGTATTGTGGTGTTTTCTTCTTACCATAGCTGCAGTGATCATTCGAGTCTGTATGCCCAAAGCGTTCATAGTATCTGGCAAAGTCGCTATGTCCAGATCTGGCCGCTAGAAGTCTGTATAAAGTACTCCTCTTAAAAGATATAAGGTCTCTTTTAGTTACTGTATGTGAGTATATTTCTTGATACCTAGATTCTGATTGGTCTTTCTACCATTAGTTGAACTCTTTCTTGCCTTGTTTTTTGAGATCTCTCTTGACCCAAGAGATTGTAGGAAGATTTGTTGTGTCTGTTTCTAGCATGGCACCCTCTTTTGTTAGTGTGTTGGCAGCTTCGTTGCTATCAATATCTCTGTGTCCAGGAATCCATTTGATGGTCACTCCAGGAGTGTGTGCTGTGGCAAGTTCTTGAAATCGTAGAAAAATGTTTTGTGATGTCTCGGGTGGAGTCCTATTGAGCCCATCTACCACTGACGTGTTGTCCAGGCAGACATATAGCTGTTTTCCGTGTCCAATTGCCCTGGCTGCTGCAAGACCTTGGAGAGCACCATGGACTTCAGCATCTACTACTTCTGCTTGGAGAAGTCTGCCCTTTCCCCGGTATACTTCTTGTGTAGTGCCGCCTTTCCTGATGGTATAACCCTATCCAGTGCGGGTTGCGCCTTGGTCATCCAATTGTGATCCATCTGAGTAGATGACAAGGTCAGTGTTCATATTTCTCTCTTATAGCCATTGCTTGAAGAGCTCTATTTTTTTGTCTTTATCTTTATGGATTGGGCGCTTTTTCTATGATGGCATGGTAAGTGTTGGTCTCTGGAAGTCAGGGACTAGCTGGAAGCTCCTTTGTAGCCTTATTGGATTCTTGCGAGCTTGTATTTGGAGCCTGCCAACAAGAGGGTGTCTCTGGTCTATTCGTCCTAGTCGGAGGCCGTGACGTCGTCTTATTGACTCTACAAGAACTCCTGCTGGGGGAATCTGCGATTCAAAGTGTAGGATATGTCCAGGGTGTGTTTTCCAGACTGGCAAGATATCCCTGATCGCTGTTCGTAGTACGATCCAAATCGATTGTCACTAACGTAGGGCGTTCAATCTCGTCACCGCGCAGGTAGGTACCGCTCGGTCGAGTTCCTGATTAGAACTTAGAAAAGCGAGCGCACCCGGCCGTCCTTTGAACTGTCGAATTTCGAGTCAACCATTTAAAGTAATACCCCGGGCATTTGATAAGAGCAGACACAGGCCTGCAGTTCGCAGGAAATCAGGGCTATCTTGCCAGTCTGGAAAACACACCCTGGACATATCTTACACTTTGAATCGCAGATTCCCCCAGCAGGAGTTCTTGCAGAGTCAATAAGACGACGTCACGGCCTCCGACTAGGACGAATAGATCAGAGACACCCTCTTGTTGGCAGGCTCCAAATACAAGCTCGCAAGAATCCAACAAGGCTACAAAGGAGCTTCCAGCTAGTCCCTGACTTCCAGAGACCAACACTTACCATGCCATCATGGAAGAAGCGCCCAATCCGTAAAGACAAAGACAAAGAAATAGAGCTCTTCAAGCAATGGCTACAAGAGAGAAACATGAACACTGACCTTGTCATCTACTCAGATGGATCACAATTGGATGACCAAGGCGCAACCCGCACTGGATGGGGTTATACCATCAGGAAAGGCGGCACTACACAAGAAGTATACCGGGGAAAGGGCAGACTTCTCCAAGCAGAAGTAGTAGATGCTGAAGTCCATGGTGCTCTCCAAGGTCTTGCAGCAGCCAGGGTAATTGGACACGGAAAACAGCTATATGTCTGCCTGGACAACACGTTAGTGGTAGATGGGCTCAATGGGACTCCACCCGAGACATCACAAAACATTTTTCTACGATTTTAAGAACTTGCCACAGCACACACTCCTGGAGTGACCGTCAAATGGATTCCTGGACACAGAGATATTGATAGCAACGAAGCTGCCAACACACTAACAAAAGAGGGTGCCATGCTAGAAACAGACACAACAAATCTTCCTACAATCTCTTGGGTCAAGAGAGATCTCAAAAGACAGGGCAAGAAAGAGTTCAACCAATGGTAGAAAGACCAATCAGAATCTAGGTATCAAGAAATATACTCACATACAGTAACTAAAAGAGACCTTATATCTTTTAAGAGGAGTACTTTATACAGACTTCTAGCGGCCAGATCTGGACATAGCGACTTTGCCAGATACTATGAACGCTTTGGGCACACAGACTCGAATGATCACTGCAGCTATGGTGAGAAGAAAACACCACAACACATTTTCTTTTGTAAGAGGTTAGGGAAAAACCGGCTGCTGCCTAGGTACTCGCCTAGGACAGCTTATTTATAATACTTAGGGGAGAGGAGCACAGAATGGGCAAAATTCGTGGAGAAGAGCAAGTTCTTTTCAACAATCTGCCCCTGATAGATAGCCTTCCTTAAAGGACCAGATGGATGACCCCAAGGTCATACCGCCGCAACAACGGGGATGGGCCCGTGAGCGGGACTGACTGTACTTATTATCTTGAGACCTCCATAACCCTGCGATGCAGAGGCTCTGGGAGGCGTGGTTTGCACTACTGAGGAGCTACCCCCCACGTTAAATACAAAACAAACAAACAAAACAGTTCGCAGGAAAGAGAGGGTCTGTGAGTGTGCCAGACCATTGCCGTCACATGTGTGTCGACACAGACCAGGGGAATATGGCAGATAATTGAGCACAGAAAACATTACGCATAGCGCTGACAATGGGTACCGCCCTTCCTATGGTTGTGGTCGTGGTATTCCAAAAGGGTGTGTATTATACGGTGCTATTGAAAGACTGCCGGCAGCTATGCAGCCACGGCGTAAAAAAACGAACTACCTAATGAATGAATAGGGATGGCTAGACCCGTCCTACCACCAGCACAGTGTCGCAGGATCCCATCTTGTACAGGAACCACACAATGAAACAAGAAAACCGTAAAGGTAATCCAGGTCGTCATGAATTCTTCCGCATTTCGCCAAAGGCTTTGTTCAGCTCAACGATCTCATGATTCATTTCCGACTCCGTTCCATTCCTAGATAGCTCGAAGTCAATGAGGTATGTTTTTTCGCTCGTCAAAATGAACTGGTCCGGCTTAATGTCTCCATGAACCAGACGCGTCTTCCGGTAAAAATCCTCCAGCTTGTTCACGCATCTGTCTTCGTCCCCGGCTTCGGGTGCGGTCGCTCCACCGATTAGTTTAGTCAGAAAACCGACAACCTCCTCATCCTTCGTGACCAGCGCCAGGAACTCCGGGGCTATGAACTCCCCTTCGACCGCCATGTAGACCTCCAACTCGTTAATGAGGTACTCCTCTTCCGCTAACTTGAACATCACTTCGCCGAAGCCAGGAGCCTTGGCCCGCCACACCTTCCCCCAGGATTCTTCTGGGTTGTTTTGGTCCTTGTTGTCAACTTCGTATGCATGGTTGATGATATGGCAGTCGGTAATCTGACTCATATCAATCCTGGGCTTATTGGGCCAGATCTTGTCACCTCGAGAATACAAGATGGCTCCTTTACCCGCATTAGGACTCCTCTCGGGCAGAGTCCGCGCCTGGAACCGCGAGGTCAGCAAAGTCGCATTCGAACACAAGCCACATCATAGAACTCTACTTGGGTGGGATATATGTAGTCCTTACCGATACAAGGCCCTGCGTGGGGCTGGTACTCGCGCTCAGGAACCCGAGCAGACCAATGAGAAGAGCATTCGAGAAATGCATCGTATAATCTTTATGCTCGTTGTCGTTTCAATAATTCTGTTGTCGTAAGTCTGCAGTGTGACTGATGGGTGATGATGAAGAACTGAGAGTTAAGAAAACGATGTGATTGTGAGTTTTCTCAAGCTCATCGACCGTAGAGCTAAGTGGGAGTAACACTGTGAGATTTCAAACCGTTCTATATTGAAAGGAAAGAGAAGAAGATCTCTGGGGGAGAAGCCCCCATATGTACAGGTGTGCCATCAGGGTGACCAGATAATCATACAATAATGGCGCCAGGATCCTGGTGGCCTGAGGGTGGGCTGACTGCCCTGAAGCTAAACCCATTAGCGCATTCAGCCCCGAAAGCCTCAGCCTGGTATGATATCCAACAAACACACGTTTAAGTAGTCGCCATTGTCTCCGCTCAGCGGAGAAGATACTAGCCGGTGCTCGCGGAAGCCCAATTGGACTTTATCGGTCTAAAATAGTAACAAGCCAAAGGCTCGAGCTTTATAAGGGTATAAATATACGGTAAAGTATTTCTCGGTGATAGTTAAAGGTGGTTCGATGGGTCCTGTGGGGTCCTTGCTCGGTGTCACAAGTTGCTTGTCTGACAAAGGGGCCTGCTCGAGGGTCTATTGATAGTTATGCCAGGAGTGTGTGCTGTGGCGAGTTATTGGAATCGTACAAAAATATTCTGTGATGTTTCGGGTGGAGTCCCGTTAAGGTCAACTGGTGTTGAATTCGGTGATCCTGCTAAATGACCCGGCGACCGACACACTATATATACATATCCAGGATATTAATAGTTAATAGTTCCATCAAACAGGGGGTAATATAACCCACCTAACTACGGGCCACCCGGTTACGCCGATCCTCTTACTCATGTACACAGACAACATCCCTATCGAGGACGACGTATTGCAGAACAATTCGTACATAACAGGGTGGCGGTTTGCGCGTGTATTGTTTGCGTATGTCGACGATATCTACATGGCGGTGTGGTCAGACGACAGGGATACCAACTGCGAGGTGACTGATCTCACTGCTTCATGATGAGCTGCTCATATTTACACGCTGACGGTCTACATACTGACATACTCTATGGGTAGATCCCATGCAAGGTGCGACTTGCCATGAGGCACTGTGTTGTAGCGGACTGGAGGTGTCGAGAATGGCAAGGCGATAGACTTGTACCATCCAAGAATCATGCTGCGCTTCGCCTTTACATGTGCGGCGCGGCTCGTTTGGGCCGGTGATGTGAGGAACCCGTCCGGCGAGGTCCCCCGCGAGGAGCTGCGTATCGGGAATATCATGGTGTTTCTCGAGCGCACAGCTAAGGTCCATCGAGCCAAGGGACTTAAACTGGACAAAGGCCATGCGAAAGTGCTTGAATAGCTCTGGGAACGAAGTGAAGTATTCCTCGGGAAGAATGACTACAACTATCACCCATTCGGCTCTCTGGATCTAAGGATCTGACGATGATGCTCACCCGCCACGCTGCCTCCACGACTGAGTGGGCCATCTCGAACTTTAGCATTAACTCCTTCGACACAGCCAGGCGCAACCGCAGATACGCAGCGGCACTGAATCATCGTTCGGACAAAAGCGCAGCCCCACGCCGCGCTCGCTCCCACGACCACAACCAGCACTGCGGCCTCGGAAAGGGATGCATGCCGGCGCCTCCCCCTCCAGCACCCACCTCACGCTGGCACCTTGCTCCCAAGAGTTGCCAGAGATGCCTTCGCGTAAGCGCTCTTACTAGGTCGCAGACGGAGCAGTGACAGCACCGGTCACGCGAGCAACGTGAGCGTCGAGAGCTACGTCGGTGCAAGTGCAGAGATGCCGGATGTCCGCCTCCATGCCGCTCCCTCGCTCGTGGCACAGGAATCGGGCAGGCAGACGTACGACTGTCATCGAGGTAGTGATAGGGGTGTCTATTCAGCTTGACCAGGTTTACGGGTCCTATGACGACGATGGATCTGGGAATTCGTCGCATACAGGGCTGAAAGGCAGACAGGTAAGGTAGTCGGACTGACCGTCCAAATGTCGATAATAGTATGAAAGCGTAGCGGCTCCATATGCTGGGAGATGTCATATTCAGACATGATGCGAGGTAAGCAGTGTGTGAAATTCCATACCTACATAACGATTGTGTCACGCCAAAAGCAGAGGCCCCTGTACTAGCTGTACAGAGTATCGGGTGTTATAGTGGATGCAACAGATTGTGAACACATGTGCGAAAAGCAGGTCCTGCCAGAGAAGTGGAGATGTTCTTCTATTTTTAGCTGTTTTTGCGGAAGCAAGAATATGGAGTTTGATGCCTCCCTCTTGTGTGCGTGTGGCCAGAATCCCGATGGCAGGATCGGTGCTGGTCATGGGCGTCCGGGGTCGCCGGGTAAGATTACATCGCTCGATAGCACGTCTTCTGAAAGTGCTGTGCCTCTGCCGCGAGGACTTTCAGCGGAGGATTGAGGTCCTTGATTGCTGTGCCGCACAGCTCTTTGTTAGGCGATCCTGCCGGATTCCATCCAAATCCCAGACACCATTCCTGACGACGACTGCCGGGACCCTGGGCTGCCTGGAGAGCTGACGAGGGGCCGATTCTTGAGTCTGACACGCGAGAGGCACAGCAGTCGATACTTAATACCGTATTCGCCGTCGATTCCAGTACTGTCCTGACTCGCACAAACATACACGACACGACCCTCCTCACCCACCGTCAAACCACCAACACCCAGCAAATAACCAATATTTACATTCGCTTGACTCACACTATTATCTCACTAGGGGCGACCAGATGGAACCTCAAGCGTCAGCTCTGGCGGCCACTGCCGTGACCTTGTCTGCAGCCAAGGGATATAGTCACACTGCGACGACAAGGCCGTCGCACACACCACAGACCCGGTCCACGTCACGCGCCAGCCCCAGACGACGCCGGCGACGCGAACGCGTCTTGAGAAACACACTGAAATTCGTCACCGAAGAAGCACTGCCGTTCATCAACTCATGGCACTGGATCGCCCTGTTATGCGTCTCCTTCCTGGGCCTGACGGGCCGCCGGTGGTACTTCGGCACCGTGCTAGGGCGAGGCACGCCGCCGATCGAGCTGCCCCTGCCGCCGTACTTCTACGGCTGGGTCCTGCATATCGCGACGTACCTGCTGTCCATCTCCTCCGACAAGATCGGGACAGTGCACCGACGGTACCGGACGCCAACACGCGTATCGGAACAGACGACGGCGCGGACGACGGCCGTTCTGTTGGTCGGCGTGCAGGTCGCCGAGGCGGTGTCGAGCCTCCTGTTCATCGTGTGTCTGGCGTTCGAGGTGTTGTGCTGGGCGATGGTGCCCGCGTTTCAGGACAGCGACGTCACGCTCGACGGACAGGCCATATTCGACCCGGCGGCCCCGTGGTGGATGGTCGCTCTCTGCGCCTCGTTGTTGGTCGTTGATGCCTGGGGCCTGGTCTACGGCATTATGGTTATGACTGTACTGACGGTATATCTTGGAACTAGCTTCCTGGTGGGCTCCTCCCCGTCTGGCATTCAACCGCCAAGGACGAGTCGAGTAATGGACATGGAGGAAGGGAGATTCAAGAACGATGGTGAGAAGCCAGATGTGGACGATGGCGATGTGGAAGAGGTTGTGGTCTACTTTGACGAGAAGACCCCTCTGATGTATCAGGAGGCATAACTTGTCTGCATTGGATTCGGCGCAACAAATTCGGGGCACTAGGTTCATGGCGTTGGATTCGGCGCATTAGATTCGGCTCATTGGAATAGACTCGACGCCGGTAAGGGAGGTCTACGATAACACCACTGTACGGATAGAATAGGAGAGACAAGACAGGCTTAGAGAGCCATATATCAGTAGAACATACACACACTAAAGTGGCCTCGTGTCGATTCTCGTGCTGGGTATATCGCTACCGCTTTCACCTCTAGGCAGTGGCAAACCTGTGTTCCTAACCCCTGGGCCTGAGGGGATTACGGGCATCCAGTCGTCCGACCGAGCACCCGACTGAGATTGGATGAAGAGATGTTCTGGACTCGGGACACGTCTGCACCTCGGTGACCAACCAACTCCAAACAGGTCTTGAGATGACTTTCCAACAAGTAGCTTCGGTCTTAGCAGTCAAGCCTCTGGCATTGAACACACGGAAGTGAAAGAAGCCGCTCACAAGCCAAGTACGGTCACAAGAATCGAGAGTTTGCACGTCGGCCATTTGCAGACACGGTCAATATCTTTCAACACCCCCGTCCCTAGACGCCCCTGCGCAACGCTCAAGCCCGGGAACGCGGGCGACGCCTTGCGGTATCATATAGACGCGCTTATCAGGCGCCTCGTACAACTCCCTCCGATTCGCACCGCTCCCGTCTCTAGCCCCAACTATCCCCAGAGGCATGACTGTCTCGTGAACGCCTCCACACCCAATAGCAACCTAAGTTCAAGGGCTGTGGCGTTGGTATACAACACAGGGATGGTGTGCGTCCGTCCATCCAACCTTCCAGCCAGAAGGGACCAACATATACATGCCCACTGCACCACCAGATAAGACCAGCAGCACATAGGGCTGAAGCATACCGAAGCAACCGCCGCGGAGTCCAAAAAAAACCTCAACGTCACTCTTTCTGTCTCCTCAACTCCCCCTCGACTGTCGTCACGATGCGAAGAATGCCCTCCTTGCAGTGCTGACGGGTTGACTCACATGGACCGCACAGGCAGGGAGCATGAAAAAAAAGCAGGAAGCGGCAAGCTGCTTGATGGCCCGCGATGAGCGTCCAGAGCTGTGTTTAGATTGTTTCAATGATGGGGAAGTTACACTCTTGATTAACGGCTACTACCCTATGTACATGTACACTTACAGAGCTCGATCCGAACACATGAGGAATGGGTGGCTTGCTCCAGGTGGATAAGGGGTAAGAATTCCAACCCATGTAAAGAAGGAGGCCACCACTTGCGAGGCTTTACACGCCGGCTTGTAGTGTCACTCATCTCGCAGTATATGTATGTCTGGTTACGCTTCTGGTTGTCAAGCCCTGGCTGAGCAGCCGGAAGGGAGAATAAAAACGGGAAATTTCGGACCGTTTACTGCCCATGCCATTGCATCTTCGGGATTATTTGCCCTCAACATGAGCTTCACCACTGAGCGCATGTGCATAATGAGAACTACCAACCGAAGAGAGTGCAGCTGCAGACGTCAGTCTAATCGGGTGTGCAGTACTTTCCTTTCACTGAACACAACATGGCGCGGTATATGGGATTATGTATGAACTCGTTTGTCAGATTACAGGATACGGGTACACATATTACAGCGGATCATGCTCATATCATTCAATTCGATTGAAGGCTGTGTGCTGCCTCAGTAACTCTTTCCTTCAAGAGATACTTGTGGGATCCGGTCTTGCCCAGTCACGCCACCCATGTGCACGACAGGAAAGTGCTCTCGAGGAATGCGCACTGGACCTTGCATTTCTCCATCCCATCCCGTCCTCTTCCAATCTTACGCATCGGCACCGGAAGTTCCTTCTATTCCACGACAACATCATCGGCGACTTCTTTCGTCAAGCAGTCAACAGTACACTCCAGATGACCGCGACCACCAACGATGCAAGTAACCCTCGGGTTGTCGGCGAGGACGCGCTAAGGCCACCGAAACGACTTCGATCAATGTCTCCCGAGATGGATGAACTCGTCGCGAAGGAACATGGTCTCATCGACACCTCGATGGAAGCTGCCTTCGCCTTCACACGAGTGATCTCTGATGCGCAGATGGCTCTTTCCTGGCTCCAAGCTCGCGACAAACCTGTAGAGGTCCGAATCCCGGCTCTGATATCATAGCAGTAAATTGAGATCTAACCGAGAACAGAAATACAGTGCATCGCCCCTCGAAACAGCCGATAAACTACGGTTCATGACGGATTGCCTTCGACAGACCGGCCGCTTCCAGCCAATCGAACCCAAAACCCGCACATCCGACATAAGCGTGGCAATCATCGAAGGCAATCGGGCCGCGTTGTTTGGATGGTGCGATCATGGTACACGGTCCTACTCGAAGTACATTGCTTCGGTCGTCGATCGTGTAGAACAACAGATGCGTCAGTACCACCTGCTGGCATCCGATGCTTCAGGCTGGACTTGGCAGAAATCCCGAGGTGACTGGTTCAAGTGGGACGACGCGAAAGCAGTTTGGGTCAGTCGCAAAGGGGAAGAACTCTCGACTCGCTGAATGTACGGATCAGAAACGTCGGACAGCTATGGTGGGGATCTTGAAGCGGAAACATTATGGACGCAACTAATCCAGAGCTTGGAAGATGGTTTAGCTAGATCATGATCATAGTGGTCCCTGGTATCAGTTGTCTAGACGAACTCCTTGCAATACAATCCGGAAGACTCACCAACAAGCCTGGCGTGTTGAGGCCAGTCTCTTCATGCACTCGTTTTGCGAGTAGGCACCAAATGTAGAGACATGAAATTATATTGTCTACTTCACGAACTGTTTCGATCAGTCATGCCGTCCATGTACCAGTACTGGTTCGCTAGGGGCACCGCCCAAGTGACCAGTGCTACAGAGCTTCACGAGGTCAGATTACCAATGCGACACCGACAATGCGGAGGAAGCCCACAGACTCCTGCATGGGCAAGGGTAGAAAAATATCCGAAAGCGGTAGGAAGTCGCTTGTCAACAGGCCCATGAGTCTCAGCAACTCTCTCGTATGATTGGCTCCCCTTGATTACCAATCGGTGTAACAAGTTCAGGTTAGTTAAGAGGAATGACTACGAAGACAACCCACCAAAGCTTGGGTACTTGTGGCTTGGTGGGTAGAAGGAAACAGCGGATTTAGTTTCTAAGTCCGCAACATTGCCATTCCTGGTGACAAATGAAAGATACAACGGTTCCCTGGAAGAGCGTGGACCCAACCTGAGGTCGACGACGTACTAAGTCTAAGCGGTTATATAACCTATGGCTGTCCGTGTAACGTCAACTTGGTCGTCTATCTCACCTCACAACCTCACCAATCCCCTTATACATAGTCACGGCATAAGTTTTAGTGCATCATGGCATCAGAGCGAAATATCATACTCATCACGGGTAAGACTCGCCTGCCGACCTCGATACTCACGACAACCCCCCATCTAACATCTACAGGGACCACCTCGGGCATTGGCTACGACACCTCCTACGCCCTCGCCAACGCCTCCCCAAGCAACCACGTCATCATGACAGCCCGGTCCACGGAGAAGGGAACCAAGGCCCTCGCCGAGATCCAGAGCCGCAAGCCGGCCGGCACCCTCGGCTTCCTCCAACTGGACGTCACCTCCGACGCCTCCATCTCAGACGCCGCGCAGAAAGTGGAAGCAGACTTCGGCGTGCTCGATGTCCTCGTGAACAATGCCGGCATCGCCAGCAGCGACTACGGCCCAGACAACAACAACAACAACAACACCGCCGCAGGGCGCGCGTACCTGCGCGAGATCTTCGACACCAACGTCTTCGGCGTCCACCTGCTAACCGAGGCGCTGGAGCCGCTCCTTGAAAAATCGAAGGATCCGCGCATCGTCAACCTCACGACCAACACGGGCTCCGTCACGTGGCGCAACGACTGGACGCAGCCCGCGAGCTACAAGGCGCTGGAGGCTTATCGAATGTCCAAGGCTGCGCTGAACATGATGTCGGCGAATCAGCTGTACAAGTACTCCCAGTGGGAGCACCCAGCTAAGGTCTGGGCGTACTGTCCCGGCTGGGTGGTGACGAACCTTACGGGGGTGGACGGCAGGCAGTTCATGCGCGATAGTACGTATACGACCTTCTGCAGTAGTCTTATGTGACTCTTGTCTTGCCTCTGAGGAAAATCTGAACACTAACACCCCATCTCTCTCCCAGCGGGCGCCGAAGACTCAGAAACGAGTGCTCAGGGGATACTGGAGATTGTCAATGGCAAGCGGGATGAGGAGACGAAGGTCATGATCACCAAGCGGGGAGGAACCTATCCATGGTAGAAGCATGTTAGAGTCATCCAACTGACTGTGCGAGGGTCTAGAATTCTTGTGCAATCGGTAGCTGACAGTATGGATGACTCGGTCCCGTAGCCTTAGCGACTTGTACCACCTTAGCTAGATGACATGCAAGAAGAGCTTCTGGTGACTTAATACGGTTTTACTCGTACTTTGGTTTTCGCCTTTATATTGTTTGGATCTTATCTCACGTGTCGTAGCGATGGCTGCGTTTGGCATGCTTTTTGCCCACTAGCAATGTGTTTGTCAAACAAAAAGGGTGTAACAGCGTAATAGGGCATCCATTCCAAGAAGAAGAAAACGTTATATATACTTGAAACCTGGCCTTAAAGCCATTAACGGAGCGAAAACCCTTTATATACACCTAAGCATCATCTCGTATCTTGACTATGGTCCTTTATTACCGTATGACCCGTAAAGAGCGATCCTTTCTAAAGGGGTTTGTTTTTAACTCCCTATACACGCCCGCATATCTCCCATCTCGAGCCCGCGAATATCTTAAACGTATATATTGACCGATACGTCTGACGAAAGATGACGAAGATTTCCTCAGTCTGTTCGCTTTTGGTGTGAACACGTACACATAGCGGCACATGAATATCGACACATGCATCGCCGCATGCATCGACACATGGATATACAGGACACAGCCGGTGGTCTCGCAGGTCTTTTCAGCACGGGCAACTACAAAGTGAACATCGTGGCCTTGTCATCACCACCAGCAGGCACTAGAAAGTAACCAGCCTAGGCGGAAACCTTTGTCTCCCACAACTAGGATTGAAGCTGAAGTACACACCGGGCACCTGCACCATCCTCCGAGGCAGGGCACTTGAGCACCTTGTTCAGGATTATGAAGGCACGCGGTTCTTCATAATCGGCACAGGCCACGAGAGTTGCAAGCGTTACGCGTGGCGGGCACTCGGAAGGCTGCCGCCTCTGCCTCCGCGGACAAGAAAGAGACCTGCGGCTGTCTTGGATGACACAGATAGCCGTGGCGTACTGTATGAACCCACCTACGAAGGTGACGCCGTCGTTCTTAAGGACGATCGTCGATGGATACAATCCCATGGGACCAGCATATCGTCACTTACCCAACCCCTTCCCGTCTCCACTATATAGACGACCTCACCCAGAAACCTGAGCGACCGACGAAGTACAGCCTCGATGCATGCGATGGGCAAGAGGACAACGATGCGGATGGAGACGGTGATGACGACGCCGATTAACGGCAATTGGACACTACACGTCTCAGTCTTCGCAGCAACGATGATGACAACATCCAGTGGACCAATGACGAGCTTCATGGTCCGGCTGTTCTTCAGTACAGTGGGCTCCTCGGGCCGGACCTGGATCGTTTCCTACCCGAACATTGAGCAGGGGGGTCTAGATGGATAGTTTAGAGCTCACCGAATGCCATCAACGTCCTCCGCAGTGTCCCAAAAGCATCTCATTACATAGAATCAAATCAACGCTGCCGAATGCGAAAGTACCCTGAGCCCGAGCCGCCGCCCACTGATATTACACACCCGAAGGCAAACCGACACCATCACATCACCTCAACATAGCAACCCGCTCCACAAGACCAGAGCAGCTGAAACCATACACCGAGATGAGCTGAAAGGTGCACGTATAACACCCCACAACACTCTGCATATCTCCTATACCACCCCCCCAACACACATACACCACTCATCCACGCCCCACCCTCTCTCCGCAGATCTTCGAACCTCTCCTCGCCTAATAAGGTGAAGAACGACACTCACACGGGTCCCACCCGCACTTACTACACTTGGCCATCATATCGACCAAGCCGCCCTGCTCGTCGTCGCCGTCGTCCACCCGGCGGAGCGTCTTGTACGGCGAGTAACGACATTTACAAGGGTCGCGGCTGCATTTGGCCATGGTGAAGGTTAGTTGGTGAAATGGAGGTTTTCTTATGTGCAGGCTTGGCTGTTCGTTGTGTATTGTTCTTTCTTGACGTTCTTGTTGGGTTTGGTTGGTGGCTAGTGGTAACGATAATGGTGATTGAGGTAGATGTATGAAGGCGGTGGAGAGGTAGGGGAAGGTTGTGGGGGAAGAGGAGCTTTGCTGAATTTATAGATCTCTCGAGTTAAGGCACCGTGGGGTCTCACAGGAGTCTGCAGTTATTGATGCATCTGTTCCGTGAGTTGTGCCCGTACGGATCTTGCGTCACTTGTGCTGGTAAACAGCCACTGGGAGTTCCGTCACAGCTACGTCGTGAAGGGCAAGTGGCTTGTCACTCGCCGTCCTCCACGGGCAGGAGTGGCTCGTTCTCAGACATAACTATGTTCGGTCATTACCCCTGAGCGAAGGACTGGCCCGTATTACATCCGCCTGGATATCAGTGAGTTAGCGGTGTTGGTGACAGTTGTTAGAAGATACTGGCGGCGACTAAGCTTATTGTGGCTCATGGCAGTAGGTTTTGGGCTTATCAAGTGACCGAGGATACTGTGCATGTGGCATCGAATCTCACTGTACCCGTGATGTGCTCCAAGTAAGGGAAGGTAGCCTACGTGAAACTTGTATTCGTCATCGCATATTCTTGGAAGTTCCCAATGAAAATACACAGACCAATCCTCCACGTATGCTCTATAGTAATCAGCGTACTCTATTCATCATCAACAGTACTCGTTCAAACCCGAGTAGCAGATAACTCAAGGCCCGCACCAGTCCCGTGGCAAGTGAAAACGTGACTCAATGTAGCCAGGTCCCAAGTGTTTCCAACATGGATTATTTTCCGGTGAGCCATTGCTGTTGCGTCGAAACCCGTACGTCGACAAGAGACTGGCCGTGAGGAAGTATGGTACATGAGAACATGACCCGTTGAAACCTCATGCCTCCTCGCCGCCGCCCTTCCCACCTGACGGCAAGGGTTCGAAAGACACACACAGACGGGTGTTGAACGCGGCAAAAGTGGATTGGGTAGCGCTACGGCTACGCTCCTATTTAACAACGGGTGCTGAATTCAAGCGAATCTTGCTCTCGTTTCCATTCTACGTGACAAGCTAGAGTCCGCCCGTTTGCTCGGACCCGGGAACGAGACGGATCACCGCAAATACCGACTTCGTCCCGGTGCAAGTCAAGCAAGCTGTAAAACATCCATCGCGAAGCCTCGTGAGGGAGGTCGCCGCGTCGGATCATATCATGCATCTCTTTCCAGTATCGCGGCTCGTGAGATGAGCTCCATACGTAACAGACCAGGTCGTCGGAAGGTCCCAGCAAAGACAAATCAGGCAAGCTGCTGCTTGCGCAAATGATGACGAACTCGTCATCAGGAATGGGACCACTCGGCAATACGTAGTCGATTGAGCCGATGAGAACCGCACAGATGAACTCGCTTCGGTCCGGGAAGAACAAGTGTTTTGCAGGATCCCAGCACCACTCCGGCGACTGCTTGATGGACAGCGAATCAACGTTCAACATGTCTATCTTGATCGCGTGGTTGCGCAATGTATGAGCCTCCTCCGAGGTGAGTGTCTTATCGATATAGATGCGAGGGTCATCCAACCGAGGGTCGTGGGGCGTGTGACCATGTGGTAAATCGTTGAACTGGTCACAAGTCGATAGCTAACTGTGCGGATCCGGTGGATTCGTCGTACCAGTCCAACCCCAGAGATATACTGCCATGGTAAGCACGCAGTGTCAGCTGTTCAAGACATAAGCCTCTATTCGGCATCCTGAACTCGCCCTGATAAGACCTGCCTTGGTAGGGAAGGATCGTATGGCAAGATTTGAACTCAGCAGGAGAGGCGCTCAAGATTCCCCGGTATGCTTGAGACGGTGCTAAAGGGTCAATATCATCGAATGGGGCTGTCCAAGCAAACAGAGATAAGTCAGACGACTGCTTGCAAATCTCCTCTTGTAAGCGGATGAAGGCTTTGACCCCCTCGCCATATAGAAGGGCCATGTTGATGTCAAAGATGCCCATGAGACAGTAGGCGGTGTCTTCGAGCCTAGTGGTCTTCCTGTTGGCCGTCCACGACATTTTACGAGCTATCATGACCTGATGTAATGGCGTTGACTTCCTCAGGACGCCCACGGGAATTCGAGTGACGCGGCTTATCTTCTCCTCAAGCGTGGTCTTGGTCCCATACAGGTTCCAATCGGAGTCGTAGCACTTGACAGTATCGGGCGCAAGCAGCTCCTGCAACGTCCAACCTCGCTCGAACCAGCGACACCGGGCGAAGGATGTACTCTGCAGACGTTTAATGTGCGGGCCATCCGCTTCAGGGTGGAGTTTCGCGATGCGCTCACGGTCAGGGAAGTCTGACAGGTAGGCGTAGCAGACTGCTGCATCTGTATACCACCGAAACATGGAGTTGATAGCCTCAGATAGTTCCGCGCTGCTAGATTTATCAATGCAGCAGGTATCAACCCAGACATACTTCAAGTTCATGCAGCCCGCCTTCCACACTGTCTGCTGGGTTTTGGCGAAGCCTGCTTTCTCCTTGGCAATTCGCAGATCTTGAAAGTCCTGGAACGAAATTTCGTCTTCCTCCCAAGTATGGGAAAGAATCGCATAAGATCCCTTGACGTGGTTCATGACATATTCCAGTTTAAATGTGTCGGTATTGATGAGCCACATATCGTGAGCCCGGTAGCCCGGTACGGCTGTCGATGTGCTTGCGTACCGCGCAAGATGTCTTGGAACGTAGGCAGAGGTCTGCTGCTCTCTGAAAGGTAATAAGTCCACGGGAATCGAAAATGACTGTTTCCCTGCTGACACAGGGATTCGTTCAAGATAGGGCGTGGTTGATATGAGGGACCGACGCTTTGAGGTTGAATCATAAATGAGGGGAAGTCACAGGTTGAGGTCCATCCACCATTGGGTGCCATCGTCTACAGTAACCTTCAGGGCATACGATTGGTCGGTATTGAACTGGTATTGGGGGCGTAAGATAGAGCAGGTTCGCGGTAAGCTCCTCGTATGCGTAAGCCGCCCTCCTCATGAGGCTGGCTCGCGATGCCGTACCGGTCGGTGAAACTGCAACTGCCCATGATTCCGAAAAACACAATGCAATAAAAAACGTATCCAAGCTTTGTCTAGTCCAAGGGAAGCGAGCGGGACGAATTCGATGTGATCGTGCGATTAGAATGTGAAGCTGTTGTTGTCGTAGGAGGAAGGTTTGGCGAGTGACCTTGCTGGTCTGTAGAACCATAAGGTACCTAGGTACACAACACACAGTGTGCATAGCTGTACAGTACATACTGCACAGTACAAGGCGGAGTGTAAACACAGGTTCTGCAGCTCAATGCGAGCACCAACCGATACGACGAATATCTCAAGCACTATCTGACGACAATGTTGTCATAATTGTTGTGATATATATCAAATCAGCTAGGAAGCAAGAGTATGCCTACACTTTGACGCCGCCTATGCCGTGAACGCCGATCCTAGATGCAGTCTGCCCAATACAAGGCAATGTCTTACTTAGATCAACGACGAAAGAACTCATTCCTCATCAGATTCGTCTTCGGCAACCTGTCCATTGTTAGCAAGAGTCGAGCATGGGCAGCTGAGATTTCAGCTTACGTTATCATGGAAGTCCTGTCCCTCCTTCGTGGCTACGATGACGCCAGAGCGGATACAAAAGTCTCCAAATTTCTCGCCCTCCTCGCGCTCCAGGGCGTATCGCTTGAGTAGTGGCTTCATGATGGCGAGGATCTCGTCCTCCTTGATGCTGGACCGGTAGAGCTTGTTCAGACGTTGTCCATGGTATCCACCACCAAGGTACATGTTGTAGGCGCCAAAGGCCTTGCCGACGAATGCGACTTCCGCCAGCCAAGGGCGAGCACAGCCGTTGGGGCATCCGGTCATACGCATGACAATTGACTCTTGCTTCAGTCCATTCTCCTCGAGACATTCCTCCAGCTTGGTGATGAGTACTGGCAGGTATCGTTCACTCTCAGCCATGGCCAGACCGCAAGTTGGGAACGCGACACAAGCTGATGAGCTCAGACGCAGGCCAGAGAACTGAACGTTGTCAAGCTTGTACTTCTTCATCAGCTCCTTCATCCGAGGCAGGTCTTCGTCAGTAACATTGGACAGGATCAAGTGCTGGTTTCCTGTCAATCTAAATTCACCCTTGTGGACCTGGGCGATCTCGCGTAGGCCGGTCTTCATCTGGAACTCAGCAGTGTCCTCAATGCGACCGTTCTCGATGAAGAAGGTGAAGTGGTTCAAGCCAGTCTCATCCTTCTGCCAGCCGAAGGTGTCGATGTTGCTCTTGAAGTGGAATGGCCGCTCTGGTTCGAACGACTTGCCCCACATGTCCTCGACCTTTTGGCGAAAGACGTCAACACCCATGTCGTCGATTGTGTACTTTAAGCGGGCGTGCTTTCGGTTCTTTCGGTCGCCATGGTCCCTCTGCACCAGCATGATCTTCTCGCAGGCAATGTGCACTTCGTCAGCTTTGGCGAAACCTATCATGCGGCCCATCTGGGGATAGGTCTTTTTGTTGTTGTGGGTCGCGCCCATGCCACCACCGGCAAGCACGTTGAACCCAACAAGATGGCCATCGTCGCCCTTGATTGCGATCAAGCCAACGTCGTGGGCGTAGACATCTGTGTCGTTGTGGGGTGGGATAGCAATGGTGATCTTGAACTTTCTGGGCAGGTAGGTGGGACCGTACATAGGCTCAAAATCCTGTACGGCATCACCGGCTACCTGCGTCTTCTTGTTGTCGTCGTCTGTCAACCAGATTTCGTGGTAGGCAGAAGTGGCAGGCAGCAAGTGGTCGCTGATCTTCTTCGAGGATGCGTACACTTCGCGGTGGTACTGTGATTGAGTAGGAAGCGAGCTGCACATGACATTTCTGTTGACATCACCACAGGCGGCAATGGTAGTCATGAGCGACCGGTTGATGGCTTGCATGGCTGGCTTGAGCTTTCCCTTGACAACTCCGTGGAATTGGAAGGTCTGCCTTGTCGTGAGCTTCATGGTCTCGTTGCCAAGTTCGGTACTGATGTCGTCCATCTGTACCCACTGCTTGGGGGTGGCGACACCGCCAGGCAGTCTGCAACGGATCATGAAAGAGTATGCAGGCTCTAAGCCTTGGGCCTTTCGCTCATCGCGGATATCTCGGTCGTCTTGCATATACGTGCCGTGGAACTTGGTGAGCTGCTGGTCCGAAGCGGAGATAGCGCCAGTGCTGGGATCATTCAGACCCTCAACAATGGTTCCTCGGAGGTAGTTGGAGGCGAGCTTGATGTCTTCGTTGGTGATTGGCGGCGGCTCCTCCGGCAGGCCTTCGACATTGGCGACGCCCAAAGCTTGCCAGATCTGAGGCTCCCACACCGAGTACCCAGTCTGATAACCATCGGGATCCTGGTCATCACCAAGACCAACCTCTGCTAGTCTCTTGCCACCAAAGTTAGAAATCACTCTGTCAAGGTCCTTGGCCGGCTTGTTGTAGTAGACTCTGTCCTCCTTGCGGGGCCAGTAGTGCCTGTCACCAAGACCAAACACTGAGTAGTTCACGGACGCGAGATCAAGACCGGTGATGTCTTTGATGGCATGCCAGAAAGGCAGACCGTTCTGAGGGAACTCTCCCTGCCCGGCTGTGGATGTGATGAGGACAATGTTCTCCTCAGTGGAAAGGTCTTCAACGGGATAGTCCTCCATGGCCATGACTGTGGTCTTCAGGCCTCGAGCCCGACCCCTAGTGCCGAGTCGCTTCGCCAATGATTGGGCGTTGCCGTTGTCGGAAGCGAAGATAATCGTGAGAGGCGCACCGAAGAGGCCTTCCAGAAGCTGGTTGTAGGCATCCTTGGCTTTGCGCTTCTGCTGAGCACGAACTTCAGTTCCAAAGTCCTGGGAAAGGCTTGCGGCGAACACGGGTTCTCGTCGCATCAGCTGAGTCAGCTGATTATCTCTGGCGAGGAACTCCTTCAGCTCGTTCTTTATGCGCTCCGAGTCCAGCGAAAAGTTGGGTTCACCCTTGTTCTCATTCTCAGGGTTCCATCTGTAGAGGGGCCAGTAGCCGAGGTCCACAGCCTTCTTGGTCTCCTGGAGAACAGTCAAGGGAGAGTCGTGCTCGCCAAAGTAGGGCAGATATGCGAGAACGATCGAGGGACCATTAAACTTGTCAGCTTCGAGCATGGCCTGAAGAACCTGGGTGTACGAGCTGTAGACAGCAGTAGATGCGACATAGGCATTACCGAAGTTCATCGCATACAAACCGATATCCTTCTTTCGTCGCTCAGCGTCCGCAGCAGCTCGCTCAGAGTAGGGTGTCGAATCGATAATGAGCATGTTGACGTTCTCGCCGGAAGCCAAGACATGATGCACACCAGAGTTACCGAGATCATAAGCCCATGCATCAGACCCAATAAGCCACAAGGATTCTTTGCGGAAAAGCCCCTTGTTTGAAAGAAGGTCTCGGGCAGTGGAAGATCCATCGGTCTCGAGGTGTGCGATCACATCGTCGGCAATCTCGCCAGCCTTTTGCGCATCTTCGGCACTGGCCGCCCACTTTGCGAGCCAGTTCACGGGGGATTCGGTGACGAATGAGCCTGTGCTTGCGGCTTGCTTAGTCTCCTTCACGAATCTCTGGCGATGCTCCTTGCGCGCAAGAAGGGACCCGAAACCAAATTCTGGGCTGGCTGCTATCGTGGACGAAATGCCAGCCGTCTTGGAGCTAAGAGCATTCGCCATAAAAACTCGCTTCTCGAAAAGTTGATCCAGAATCTTCGTGTAAGCTGTTTCCAACTTTGGCTGTGCCAGGCCGCTAGTCTCGACGTCCTCGGGTCTGTCCGTCTTTCCTATCTCTAGGTTCTGAAGAGGCTTCTCCGAGGTCAGGTTCTGGAAAATGCCCTTGAGCGCCTGCTGGATGGTGTCAGGGGCGATGTAGCCAAGTTGGTGGCCAACGATGGTCTCAACACCACCACCTGGACTGCTCTTGACCGAAGTCAAGACATCGATCAATAGAGGACCCCATTTCGTAGTCTTCCTCGAAATCTGCTCGAGAACAGCAATCCGCTTCACCGACTTAGGGACGAGCTCGAGGAGCTTGGCGCCTAGCCATGGTCTGTATAGTCTTGCAGTTATCATGCCAGCTTTGGCGTAGATATCGTTAGGCTTAGCTGCGTCGAGCGCCTCAGCAAACAGGCCCGCATCGGATCCAAACACAAAGATGGCCTTCTCGGCGGTCGCTGGTCCTGACCACTCGAATGCATGGTATTCACGACCAGCCGTTTCCTTCATCTGAGCCCATATCGAAGTAACGTATTTGTAGATATCCTCCGAAGTAACAAGGGGTGCCGAGGCTTCGATGGTGGTGGCAGAAGACGCACTCGGTGGGGCGCTAGAGTTGCTCTGCTCGCTGGACTTCTCTGAACCCTCTGAAGAAGTCGCCTTCGATGCCGCCCCAAGAATTGTCGAGGTCGCCTTCGATGCCACCCCAAGGATTGTCGAGTCGGCAAGTCCGTTCGACTTGGTGGTGCCTGCAGGGGCTTCTGATTGTTCCGAAGCCACAACAGCTCTTCCGTCATCAGCATAGATGCCCGACTCCGGTACTGAGCTGGCCTGGTATCGGCGAACATCATCCAGGTTCAATAACTCGCGCACCAGACTTTGATCCTCGGCAGGAATGGGCTTGTCGTGAGAGCTCGAGTTGGGGTCGAAGAAGTGGATGACACCCTTTCCTGAGCGGACAGCAAGAGCATACGCCGTTATGGCCATGTCTTGCGCCTCCTGCAGCGACTCGGACTGAAGGAACGTCCATCCTGAGTTTCTGATGGCGGTTATCGACGAGTAGTCCGGGAACTGCGCTGGGGATAGGGAGACATGGATGACGACTGGGTATGTGGCGAGCTTGTACAGGTGGGCGATGGATGGGAGGAGGATGCTCGAGGTGGTGGTTACGGAGGTTAAGCGGCCAGAGCGAATCGGCGCGAAGACGGAGAGTAGAGGATCGGTATTGTGCCTAACGGATTGTATCTATCCCATAAGTCAGTCAACCGCACAGTACCACATCTTGGCTTGGGCCAATGGTTTCCAGACAGCTGGTAACATACCTCGGGGACCGAACCCTCGGACTTTGCGACTAGTCCTGGATCTTTTCTGCTAACATATCGCTTGAGATGTGACGAGTAGGCCGAGTCTTGTCCTTGCGACGGCTGGACAGAAACCACGACATCGCTGGCAAGGTATGCGATTCGCGCAACTAGAGATAGAACCAAGTTAGCTACCTCTGACCATTCCAACTGCCTCGCAAGTATGGGCTCTCCATTCCAATCGTGAGATTGTCCCATAACACATCGTACGTGCGCATGTACAAGACGGAAGACTTCAAGGTGTAGAGGGTGTGCACTCACCAGCCTCTTCAGGCGTGCGAATCTGGATATTCTGGCTCTCCATGGCGGAGGACGCTGGCGACTTGGAAGTAGCAGCAGCAGAGGAGTCTGCCTTTCCAAAGAGGAACGACATGGTGGCTAATAATAACCCCCCGACCCAGGCGAGTCGTGCGTGCTTAAAAATATCTAATAGCTGGAATAAAAAAAGTCAGAGTGGAAATCTAGATGGTCGATGGCGACACCGGGACTAACACGCCAGACACGCCCAATTGGAGATGCAGCCACCGCCCCGCATCAGTATTTAGTGGTCTTGCAGTTGTCATTCAACGCGATCACGCCATCGCTTTTAGCCTTTGCCATCCTGTGCGCCCACCAATCGCCGCCGTGCCGTTGTCAGAAACGCCATCCGTGTCGTGGGCCAGCGATTGCTGCGACTCCCTGCACCTCCAGGAACCGGCAGTCGGGACTCGGGGCTCGATTGAGTTGCATTACAGCCGTCCAAGGTCAGGGGCCGAGATCCGCTTAGCTTGGATGGATCCGGATGGTGACCATTCGACTCTATTATGGGAGGTTGACCGGACAAGGAGGCGATACTCGACTTAGAACAATAGTTGGTGCAGAGTGCTTGGAAAGACTGTGCAACTCGAGATGTTCAGTACTGCCACCGGTTTGTTGGCCACTGCCTGTGCGAGAGTTCATGCCGACAGCCGTATCATGTCTCATGTTTGTCGCCATACTAACTGCCGGCGGGCTGCATTGAGAGCGACCGGAATCGGTTGAGTGATTGTATGAAAACTCCTACAACTCAAACAACCTACTGGGACTATCGCAGAGTAATGACGGGCTCTATAGGCTCTCTTGACAATGTAATAATACCCACCCCTATTGTCCAGGTAACTATCGACCACCATATCTATACGCTATGATGGTCTTGTAGTCGCTGGTTGAGCCTTTAATATTAGGGGAGAGCTGTCAAATATGATCTTTTATAGTTTGGTAGACAATGAAGAAGGAGACTATTCAGGGCATCATGTAGAGCTCGATGGGGGTATCAAAGACATTCCAAGAGAGAAGGGTACCTGGATGTCAGTCCCCAACCCCGACCTCGGCCATTGAAGAACCACAAGAAAGACCCTTGAACCCCACGTTTTCAAAGGTCCCGTGGCGGTGGCAGCAGCAGAACCCTGCGGGTCTCAGACGGGACTGAGCCTCAAAACTAATAAAAGGGGCGCTGAGTCAGCTGTCAAGCCCCCGTCACGTCACAAGTCACAACATGAACGCCGGAACACGGAGATCGTGGGCAGGTGGTGCTTCACCTGCAAACATTCCGACCTGTCCGGACTGACCAGCCCGTCCCATCGCAGTGGAAACCCTCGGCCAGCGAATTCCGCGAACTCGGCAGCGGCGGTCAGCTTCACACAGGATCGATAGTCGTTCCATATTGCGCGGTGATCCGGCACTTCCGTCCCCAATTGGCCCGTCTCATCCGCAGGGCAGGTTTCATGAAGCCGTTGGCCCCACGATTTGCAACGACCACTGTTATTAGGCTCGATTATCGGCAGCTTGCGGCATTAAGATTCTTCACCACCAGCACCAGCACCAGGAGGCTCAACTCATCACGGAGCAAACACACACATAATCTCACCGATTTACATAAACTACCAGCCAGCGATATACTCCCATTTTCGACCAAGTCCTCACAACCCTCAGTCCCCAGCAGCACAAGGCGAGCCATGGCCTCCGTCGTCTCAGAAGCAGCCGCCCTCATCGAGGCGGCCAAGCGCGCCGCCTGCCGGCAGGCCGTGGCCGAGAACTTCCAGCCCACCTTCAAGTACGTCGGCATCGGCAGCGGCAGCACAGTCGCCTACGTAGTAGAAGCCATCGCCGAGAAGGGCAAGTCCGTGACTTCCACCATGAAGTTCATACCAACAGGCTCGGGCTCCACAAACCTGATCCGTGACGCCGGGCTCACCGTACTCCAAGTGCCGGACCTGCTCGCCGAGGTGGGCTTCACACCGGGCGCCAGCAAACAGCACATCGACATCTACTTCGACGGCGCGGACGAGGTCGACAGCGAGCTGAACTGCATCAAGGGCGGCGGCGCGTGCCTCTTCCAAGAGAAAGTCGTCTCGCGGCTGTCCAAAAAATTCATCTGCGTCGCCGACTCGCGCAAGAAGGCCGACGCCCTGCTGACCAAGTGGGCGTACGTGCCGGTCGAGGTGGCGCCCGCGGCCGCCGAGCTGGTCCGCCAGACCCTCGTCGACCTCGGCAGCCGCGAGCCCGTCGTGCGCATCGCCGGCCCCACGTACACCTACGCCATCACCGACAACCACAACTACATCATCGACGCGCCCTTCCCGCCGCTGCTGCTCAACGCCCAGGCCGACCGGATCGACCCCGCCCTGGGCCGCTGGACCCCCGACGCCCTGGCCGCCAAGATCCGCGCCGTGCTCGGCGTGCTCGAGGTCGGCATCTTCTCCGGCATGACCGGTCCCCAGGCCGCGGCTGAGGGTCCCGCCGCCGAGGGCGTGAAGCCCGTTAAGGTCTACTTTGGCAAAGCGGACGGGGGTTATGAGACGATGGAGTGAAGTACCCGACATATATTGGGGTCGACATGCATTTATGTAGCGGCTGGGGTTTGTAATATCAAAAGCATGCGTGTGGTGCGTGGATTAGAGACTTATAGCCTCGAGAATCATGAGAATTATGAGAATCATGAGAGCGTTCTTCACAAGTCAGCATTATACGTAAAGTCATTAGGCCCAGATACGCCACGCTTCACAAGCCCTTGGATTTATAGCCGAATGAAAACTATTACATATACTAAAAACGTCGTATCGTGTAAGTGCCGCTGTGTGGTCTTCTCTTCTCGCTACTGTTAGTCGTGGGTATGTAGTGGACCGTAATATACAACGCCAAACATCATGGCTGGTCAAACTCAATGCGCTGCCAAGGTTCTCCGCAGCATGTTCAGCCGAATCGGGTTCCCCAAGGTTGATGAATTGTCATTGATATAGCCTGAGGGCATGCCCTTAGCATGCGCATCCGTCTTGCTGGGAGCTTTGAGTGTTGGTCTTGACATCGATCACTGCAGATTGTCAGCTCACAATTCCAAGCGTAGGAAGGTGGATAGAAGGCAACGCACTTTGCGATGAAGCTTGAGCGGCAGCGTCTGACCCCTCCATACCGGGCAACGCTTGTGCTATCCTCCTGAAGAGCGTCTTGACGTTGTGGCCCAGCTTCGCGCTCGTCTCCACAAACATGAGGTTGTTCTTCTTGGCCTCCTCTTCACCTTGTTGCGTGGTGACTTCCCTCTTGTCGTTCAAATCTGTCTTGTTGCCCACCAGGACGATGATCACGTCGTTGCCTCGTTCCGCGCGCACGTCGTCTATCCATTTCCTGGTGTTCTGGAAGGATTTCGCATCTGCCAAACCAGTCAGCCCTCTCACTCTTGATGCACGTTGTAGCTCGAGTCCCGTACTAGAAATATCGTATACCACCACTGCCACACTGGAGTCTCGGATGTACGACGGGATCAGACTTCTGAATCTCTCCTGACCCGCCGTGTCCCATAATTGTAGTCGAACTGTTCTGTCTTCGAGGTACATGGTCTATGTAATGGATGTTAGCCAACTTCGGGTCTCAGTATGACTGCACAACCAGGATCGCGACTTGCCTTGGAGAGAAAGTCGATCCCGATGGTGGCTTGGTACATGTTGTCGAAAGAGTCGTACATGAAGCGCGTTATTAGAGATGTTTTCCCGACTATAGTAGGGGACGTCAGCGGACGTCTCGTCTCTTTTCTGTTCCCACGCGCCGTGGCTGCAGGAAGTAGCCAAATACAAACCGCTTTGTTCTCCCAGGAATACCAGCCTAAGGGTGGTCAGTTAGGAGCGCCCAGCTCAAGGAGTTGTCGAGCGCAACGTACTTGAACTTCTTCAACGGGTTGTTGTACCCGCCTGCGCCTGCTTGTGCCATCTCTGCGTCTGGTCCGTCGTGATTGGTATGGTGGAGTGGTTGAAGCTCGAAGGATGTAGGCTAGATGGGCTTTCGGTCGAGGTGCGTTGACAGCGGTCTGTCTGAGACAATGGACGGGTATCGGAAACCGGAACGATGGGAAAGGGGACAACTCGTGGACGTTGCTGAAAGAAATAACTGTTGATCAATGTCTCGTATCGCAGCCTGTGTGGAACCAGAGAAAGGAATGATAGCAGCTTCAATGTTTGGAAAGAGAGGTGCTTGACTGGAGCTGGTCTACATGTACTGTACAAAAGGAGGTGGACTATTTTCGATATCGGAACAGGATGGATTTGGGCCACGCTGCTTGGGCACCTGCATGCGCGGTTCAATGGGTGAATGGGGCGGAGGGAGGAACTACGGGCGACCGCGACCCCCTATGCCGACTGTCGTTCTTGGTTGTCATTGGCTCCCCGTGTGCAGCTGCCCAAAGTGCAAAGACGCCGCCTCTCTGACCCCGCCAAGCCAGCAAGCACAGCCCGGCTGGGACCAGACAGTGAGGAGGGTACGTACCTGGTAGATAAGATTGTGGCTTTCTTCGGGGTTTTCCAATGCAGCGACTTTGGCTGCACTTTGGAAAATTTCGGATTCAATAGCCCCACTAACACCACTCACTGCTGATTGACGAGCGGTCGAGCAATTCACCAGCAAACAACTTCGAACCTGACTACCAGAGCCACTTAGTATTCGGACTCCGACTGAATCGACACATTCAACATGCCAGTCATACAGCCTCAGAAGGGCTCGACAGTCGCCCCTGCGACATACAAGCAGCCTTCCAGAAAGGGCAAAAAGGCGTGGAGGAAGAATGTCGATGTTACAGAGGTTCAGCAGGGTCTCGAGGAATTGAACGAGGAGATCATCAAGGGGTATGTTATCTTGAGGGAAGACACATCTGATCCGTGGCCTTGACTGACATTGCGAAATTCTAGTGGTGTTATCGCCGAACGACCCTCGGATGAACTGTTCACGGTCGACACAGTCGGTGATGTCTCTCTACCAAGCAAATTCCCCAAACACACAGCAAAGGCCTTGAGGGCAGACGAGATCATTGCGGCACGCTCGCCCGTTCCGGCTGTATCTTTACGCAAACGACCCGCAGACAAGACTAGCGATGGGATTATTCCAGCCAAGCGACCGAGGAGAGAATATGTCACACAAAAGGAGCTGTCCCGGTTGCGCAAAGTGGCAGATGGTCAGCACGAATCCACGATTGAGGTTGCTGATGCTTCGCATGACCCCTGGACTGTAGAGGTGGTCCAGCACGAACCAGACGCCATCAAGGACGACAGGAAAGAGAAGAAGAAGGCTCCTAGCACAACCACGCAGAAGCCTTTGTCGCTCCTGGCAAGTGGCAAGGCCTTCCCAGCAGTACCCAAGCCGACAGGTGGCTATAGTTACAATCCAAACTTCACCGACTACGAAGCTCGGTATACAGAAGAGGCTAACAAGGCAGTTGAGGCCGAGAAGAAGCGCTTGGAAGCAGAGGAAGCAGAGCGGGTCAAGAAGGAGGCTGCAGCTAGATCAGCTGCCGAGGCAGAGGCTGCGGAAGCACGAGCTGAGCTGTCCGAGTGGGATGAGGACTCGGAGTGGGAAGGCTTTCAGAGTGGCGGTGAGGAGCTCAAGCCCTCGGCTAGGCGCGCGAAGCGTAAGACGCCAGCCCAGCGAAACAGGATAGAGAGACGAAAGACAGAGGAACGCCGGCTGATACACGAAGCCAAGACGAAGGTGAGAAAGGCCCAGGCGGAACAAATCAAGCAGATCGCCAAGGAGGCGGCAGAGCGGGAACAGGCTCTTGCGCTCGCAAAGGCAGAAGACAGCGATGGCAGCAGTGTCAACAACGATGACCTGCTACGGCGCAAGCAGCTTGGGAAGATGAAGTTGCCGGAGAAGGACCTGGAGTTGGTGCTGCCAGACGAGCTGCAGGATTCGTTGCGTCTGCTGAAGCCGGAGGGCAACCTGTTGAAAGACCGGTACCGAAGTCTGCTTGTGAGAGGACGGGTGGAGAGCCGAAGGCATATTCCCTTTCACAGACAGGCGAAGACGAAGGTCACTGAGAAGTGGACCTACAAGGACTTTAGTATATAGGTCGGGGTGTTTCGATGACCTCGGTGAATATGATCAGTTCATGAGGCTCTTCAAATACCTGCCGCCTGACAGTTCGATGACCCGGCACAAGCATTCCCGTCGTCCCACAGGGAATTGAGCGGAATAACCACCTAATTGGTACTTCATCCACCGCGGTCTGTAGTGCCATCCCCATTGTATGATGCTTTCCCACACCGAGACAGTGCAGTTGTGTTGGCGGGATGGTCCAAGACGAAGATGGATCCTTCGCGTCGCGAGCTTCCGTTCCTTGGCGGTGCCAAGTTTTGACATTTGACGCAGCCGACGCAGCGCAGTGGGAGTGGTGACTGCAATGGATTGCCAATCAGTCACCGCAGATCCACTTCAGCGGGTACCTGGGTATGACGCAGAGATGCAGTAAGTAGCCCGAGCAGCTTCAGGGCTGGACCTGTAGCTCCGACCCATCCATCAAAGACCGAACCGGCGAACTCAGAGCGCCACCGACATATTTTCTTCAACAGCATCCTGCTACCGTCCTCCCCCAATTGGTCTGCGCGGAAGCGACGACATGACTTTGAGTTACTTATAGTCACTCGCTTGCCATTGACATTTCGATCTGCGACAATGCCACCACGGCCCGGAACAGCTGTGGCCCTCGCGCTTCGAGTCGCCCGCCAAAGCGCTCCCAGCAGCAGTATCAAGTCCACGTCGTCGACATTTGTGCGCCAACCGAGCTTCCCACAATGCCGCCAATTCGGTAACTTGTTCAAGCCGCCGACGCCTGCGCGCAACGCCAGTCCCTCGACGACCCAGAGGACCCATTGGCAGTACTTTTCGCAGACAGCCACTCTCGCACTCTCAGGCAGGCCCCTCCCGCAGCGACGATCCGTATTCCTCAACTTCGCCTACCGCACTGCTGCGGTCTTCGGTACTGGTGTTGGATTCGTCGGAATACTACTTGCCGCCTTCTTCGTTTACGACTCGACCACCTATAAGGAATCAATCACCATTGGCGACTGCCACGTATCGGAAACCGCTTTGTCTCCTCCCCGTGGAGGGCCCAAGAACTTGCCCATAGTTAGGGCACTTCTGGACGATGACGACAGTGAACAGACCCGGATGCGCAAAGACAAGCCAAGACTAGTCATCTTGGGTGGTGGCTGGGGCAGTGTTGCCCTGTTGAAGCAACTCAACCCGGACGATTACCACGTCACCGTCGTCAGTCCCGCGAACTACTTCTTGTTTACTCCCATGCTTCCCTCTGCGACTGTTGGCACTCTGGAACTGCGAAGCCTGGTCGAGCCGATACGCCGAATCTTATCCCGGGTTGGCGGCCATTTCTTGCGAGCCAGTGCCGAAGACGTCGATTTCTCTCAGAAACTAGTCGAGGTCTCGCAGACCGATGCCAGCGGACAGGAGGCCAGGTTTTATATACCGTATGACAAACTGGTCGTTGCCGTTGGTTCTGTGACAAATCCTCATGGCGTCAAAGGTCTCGAACACTGCCATTTCCTGAAAGACATCAATGATGCTCGAAAGATCCGGAATCAGGTCATATGGAACCTTGAACTCGCCAATCTCCCGACTACATCTGATAGCGAGCGCAGACGGTTGTTGTCTTTCGTCGTCAGTGGCGGCGGCCCCACTGGAGTCGAGTTTGCTGCTGAGCTATTCGATCTACTGAACGAGGATTTGACGAGGAGGTTTCCGCGACTTCTACGGAACGAGATTTCGGTTCACATCATTCAGAGTCGCGGACATATCCTGAATACATATGACGAGACGTTGTCTAAATATGCCGAAGAGCGATTCGCTCGCGATCAAGTCGTAATCCTCACGAACTCACGGGTACAAGAAGTCACGGAAGATAAGATCATTTTCTCACAGAAAGCTGAAGATGGCTCGACGGTTACCAAGGAAATCCCAATGGGCTTCTGCCTCTGGTCTACAGGTGTATCTCAAGCCCCAGTCTGCAAACGGATTGCCGACAAGCTTGGTTCGACTCAAAACAACCGCCACGCCCTAGAAACCGATACCCATTTACGTCTCAACGGCACGCCACTGGGTGACGTCTATGCCATTGGTGATTGCTCGACGGTACAAAACAATGTCGCGGACCACATCGTATCGTTCCTTCGCGGCCTCGCGTTCAAACATGGCAAGGACCCTGAGACACTCGAGCTCCATTTCTATGACTGGCGTGACGTCGCGGTCGATGTCAAGAAGCGTTTCCCACAGGCCGTCAGCCATCTGAAGCGCCTCGACAGGCTCTTTCACGATTTCGACAAGGATCAGTCCGGCACACTCAGCTTTGGCGAGCTTAGAGAGCTCCTGAAGCAAATTGACAGCAAATTGACATCCCTCCCCGCCACAGCCCAGCGCGCCAATCAGCAGGGTATTTACCTCGCCAACAAGTTCAACAAGCTGGCGCACTGTGCTCCAGGCCTAAAGGCGAACGATATACGAGACGGCGACCTAGACGAGGCTTGCTACAAGGCCTTCGAGTACCACAACCTCGGCAGTCTGGCCTATATCGGCAACTCCGCCATATTCGATCTAGGAAATGGGTGGGGTTTCACTGGAGGACTATGGGCCGTGTATGCGTGGAGAAGCGTCTACTTTGCTCAGAGTGTAGGTGTAAGGACAAGAGTCCTGATGGCGATGGACTGGTTGAAGAGGGGTCTTTTCGGAAGAGGTATGTATTAGTCCCCTTGCCTGATAAATGCCATACTAACACTGGAACAGATTTGATGAGCTTCTAGTCACCACGCGACGTAATGCCCAAGGGTATGTTAGAAATGTCAGGTTGCTGCTTACTGGGGACACAGATGTGGCTTGATCTGACGGCAGCTAGAGGTGCAGACCGGTCATTCCGGTTAGCCGACCTCACAATAGACGCGGGCTGTACTTAAATAAAGTGACCGTTGATTTCAATCATGCTGCAGTCCCGCCTACTATGTGTGAATGTTTCCCTAGATACTCAAAGCCGCTGATATGATTCCAGCCTTTCCCCAGTAAAAACAAACCCCCCAAAGCCAGTGAAAGTAACTCCAGTCACACAGCATTCCATGCTCCACGATATCTAGAACAGCCATGGCAGCACTACCACCCGATATGATGCGGGCACCACGGCGCATGAAACGGTATGAGGCGACTACATTCATTGCAGTGCCAACCGCGCTGCCGAATTCCCGGGCGACGAGTTCGACCTCCAGGCTTGACGGCGCAGGTCATCTCGGAGGCTTCGCCGTTCTGAAGTGCTTTGGATGCTGGCCTGGGGTGCTTGTGGGGGTGCATTGGGGCTGTGGGAGCGTTAGCTGGTCGTGTTGGTCGGGGCTTGAAGACCGGCGGGGTGACGGGAAAGGGGGTGAAGGAAAAGAGGAAGGAGGGTGGCTCACCTGTTCGTGGGATATTCGTCCCGTCTGATATTGATATGTGGGATGTCATTATGGGAGTCATGGTTTAAGTAGTGGGCTGGGATGGGTTATCTCTGCTTTCCCTCCGGGCTTGCTGTCTTCGGTGATAAGGTGGAAGCGGAAGATAGGAGTCGGCTGAAGGTGCGTTTTTCTTTTCTACTCACGGTGGTATTTTCCCTCTTCATGGACAACGATTGGAGGTGTTCAGATAATGACTTACATGCCATGTTATATATGGTAATATCTCTCGGTGTAGCTGGCGTGACTCCGCCAGGGCAGCGGTGACTGCGAGCGACAAGGGCATTGTTTGCCCGAATCAATACCTAGCGAGAGTGAGCAATAACTTGGTTCTAGTCAAGGCTCAGCTCAGCTCGTAATGGAATCATGGAATCCGACTCCTCGTGGTTTATTCGTCACGGAGTGGGATCAATAATACTCATGCCGGGGCAACACCCTCGGCGGCGCATTCAAGCGTAGCTAAGGTAGACGCAATCCGACGATGCTCGGATCCAATCCATGTGTCAGATTGTGTCAGGAAGGCTGAGCAAGGTAAAGTCACTGCTCACTCCACTCTTCTATGACAATGCTTCTGTTGCATGTCCTGCTTGAACCAGTCAACGGAGTATGCCCAGTTCCCCAGATCTCTGATTTAGGTAGTCCAGAGTCAAGCGTACAAAATGGTCCTCGCTGCCCTCTTGCTTCCATACATACACTACTACACCAACACCAAATGTTACGCTATGTGCGTATACTGTGTCCCGCAAATATATCATGGCGGGAGAGGCAGCAGCATCATGAAGTGTACTGTCTGGCAGCTCCCTCCGTCGAGTCGGCAATTTGCTGGCAAGTTGGCCACATATCGAGCGAGAGCGGCCGATCCCACCTTAGAAGCGCTTTCCTGCCGCGCAATAGTGATCATATCCCATAATAGACTGGGTACGTTGCTGCCGTCACGAGTGGCGAGACTGAGTAACGCGATATAAGGCTAGCCTCGGACCTGCGTGCAACAGGTAGACGGACGCTCGCCATCTTCACCGGCGCGAGATCATGGAAATGCGTAGTAAGCTTCCAAGTAAGACACTTTTGGTGTGTTAGAAGTGTTTTTATGGGGAGAGGAGTTGACTGGTCGTGGCGTCTGGGAAATGTATCTTGTTTCCTGGTTGGACCGCAGTAATGACTATGAGGTTGGCGATACGCCCATAGAGCAGTAAAGGAAATGTCGAGTTGAATTCCAAACGATTTGCTGAGAGTTGATATTTGTCCGATGATCATAGCTGGTGGTATACCATGTAGTTGTACGGATCGCCATGCTATTACCGCCAGGTCGATCTTCAATCTGGAAAGGGGCTCGCGGCCTCAAGGACGAACTCTACCCCGAAAACCCGGAGAGCCTTTAGGGTGATGCTCGACATAATACCAACCCCCTATGTTTGCGAAAGGATCTTCGTACTCGGTAGTCCAGTATGAACACGTCTGATGGATGCAAACGCCTCGTTGACATTCTACATATGTTTATTTGCATTCTTCGATTACCGTCCACAGCCATCATCCGCAAGCAACAACACCAGTCATAGGATGACTATCGCGTAACAGCATCACGCCATGACAACCATCACCCGATCCTGAGCTGCTTCACTGGTTCTATCATCTTCCTTCTCATCGGCCCTGACGAATGTCACCACGAGCGCAACCCCGGCGCCAAATGGCAACAAACATCACTCCAAGCAGTGGTCTGGGAGCCAGGTACTTAGTATGTATGGAACCGTACCATTCAGGTCCCTAGGTACTTAACCCTCACATAATATCGTGTTCGGACCAAGGCCACAGCTCGCGATGTAACAAGGCGCAGCCGCCACGAGGGTCTCCGGGTCTCCGGCTTCCGCCCATCCACAGACCAAACGTGCACGTTGTCAGTCTCGCCACCAAATTCGTACCACTTGACGTCTAAGCTTACGTCTCTGGGCTGTCGTGTATTTGTGCGTTGTGGCGTTTTGTCTCAAGCAAAGAATTCTAAGAGCAACACCCGCTCGCACCATGCCGATTGAAGTGAAGCCCTGCCATCATGGCAACTACAAGCTGATGTGCTAACCGGACGCTTTCTAAAAAGTGCCTCAGTGTCTACGGCTGTGAAGTCGGGCATGGAAATTTGTATATAAAGGCCCATCGAGACCCAGCCTACAGATCGAAGTCCTTCCACCCCAGAACCCCGGACAAAACAACGCACACCTCGCTATTTCCCATCTTAGTAAGTACTTCGCAAACATGAAGCTCGAACTCTCAATCAGCCTGCTCTCAGCAGCATCGGTGCTCAGCAACCACCTCCTGGCGCCGCGAGACTACCCGGCCAAAGTCAAAGGAGGGCTCTGCTTGTAAGGCCTCAACGGCTACTTCGGCTGTTCGCCCAACTGCTACGACATAGCGAGTTCGAGCCCTGAAGATGTCACAACTAGTTATGTCCGGCCATACGCTGCTGAATTGGTACGACAGGTTCATTGCCTTGATGGCGTCTGGGGCGTCTGTTAGCTCTGCGGTACTGCCATTACAGTCGTTTGCAATCGAAATGTCAATGACCCACCTTAAATCGCCGTACACACACTGTTGAATACACGGATGTTGATTGATTCTATTGATTGTGTTCTTGTGTGTTTAGCCTTATATTAACTTTATATATATATATATATATATAATTAAGCTAGCGTTAAATAAATAATTGATGTGACGGCCTGCACAGACCTTCCCACATGACAAGTGGATACTTCCTAATAGGGGAAGGATCTGACCAGAGGATCCCCTTAAAGGGGCAACCTCCCACTGTACCTATCTCTCTCTCTCTCTCTCTCTTCCTTTCCTCTCTAGTCTTGATATTCTCGTCAATAGAGTAATAGCTGCTTGCTGCAGGCCATGTCCCAGCTCCCCAGTATGCTTGCCGTGACACTACTCTCCTATCCGGCCATACCATCCCCCACCCACGTCTCGTACACCCCCACATCTCGTACACTCCCATACAAAACTACTATATATAACGACCACTTTTTCATAACTTTTGATATATAAGGTCTATATATATGAAACTTCGTACGTATATAGTTATCTAAGTTAGTATGTAATATTTTGAGGCTGTTTATTTTCAAGTATTTTATTTCTTGAATTATTTAGGGTCGCGTAAGATCTTGTCCTCCATACAATTTGTATGGGAAACAAGGTCGTCATAAACCTCGGGCTAAATCTATTATAACTTTCCATTGCCTTATGCCACGACTTTAAGGCGTATATCTTTTTGAAGCCGTATCATTCTTCTACTTATAGTAATTTTGCTAAATTTATACAATGTGAATAGCCTCAGTTACGTTTAGGTGCAAAATGGGGTGCTTTGGTGGTGATAGTGGGGTTTGGCTGTACGAGATGTGGGGGTGTACGAGAAGTAGGGGGGGGGGGAATGGTACTGCATAGAAACCCTACATTCGACCCCTGGCTCGGCGCTGGTGTACTTACACATGAAGGTTTAAGGTCAAGCCGATCACATTTTCAGGGGTAGAACACGCCATTGAGTGAAGATTTACATAGCTCATCCCTATCATCTAACAGTTGGGCACAAGCCAAAGCAAAATGTGCATGTGCCTATCGCCCCATCCCCTTCACGCACCGCCACGGCCAACATTCTCCGCAACCCCCCTCAGCACGGCCGCAACCTCCTCAGTAGCACTCGTAAAGACAAAATGGTCGCCCCCGATCTCAACCTGCTCCACGAACCGATGCCCCTCCGGCAGCTCGGCCACGGGATCCGGCACCGGATCATGGCGGGCCTTGACATACGTCGAATCGACGACCTTCCACGCAGCGTACGTCACGGGATCCGTGAACGTCCGCCAGTTATGGCTGCGCGCGACCGCCACGACGGCTGCCAGCTGCTCGGGCGAGCACTGGCTGAGGAAGGCTGCGTTGTCCGGGTCCGCGGGGTTGCGGTAGACGAGCTCGCCGTCGATGATGTATTCCTTGGGCACGGGCGGCTTGTCGTCCGGCCACACCTTGGCGCCGACGTCGAAGACGAGCGCCGCGACGTAGACCATATGAATGATACTGGTTACGCCGTGACCGCGCGAGACGCGGTCGAGGCCCCGCGCCGCTTCGCTGATGACCAGCCCGCCGTAGCTGTGCGCGACGAGGACGACGTCGTGGCCCGCGTCGAGCTGCCTCACGACAGCGGCCCTGACAGCCGAGGCGTCGGTCTGCAGGCCGTGGGAGATCGGGGGCGCGTCTGCGGGGCGCTGATCTGAGTCCACGCTCGGGAGGGCGACGGCCTCGCTGGTGTAGCCGGAGGTCTTAAGGATGTTGATTGTGGGCTGGAAGTAGTCGGGTAGGAGCCAGGCCCCGGGGCAGAAGACGAAGACGGGTTTGGATCCGGACATGGTGGAGTGTGAGTAGGGGTGGTCTTCCGATGTTGTCTTGCTTGATCAGACTGATGATGGATCGGTAGGGAGCGAAGTATTGTAAGGATGTAGGAGGGAGGAGGATGAGAGATAAGCTGCTCAGACTCAGTCTCAGAGGACAGGACTGGCCTGTCTTTATAGCCAGCGATCACCGCTCAGATGACACCAGCAACCCGGCCCATCGAGTTCATGTTCACCTGGTAAGCTGAGAATCGCGAGAAAGGTCAGGCTACTTGACGTGCGGCTGGTGAGGTCCACGAATAGGTAGCCAGTCACTGCAGCTGACCTGCACTAGAATCCGATTGGCGCAGAGGTTACGAGCTGTGGTTCGGGATCACCACAGGGTGCCTCGACCCGGGATTTCGCGAATATCTACAGTAGGTTCGCAATGCTATGCTGCACCATGCGCCATTTTCTATATGCAAATATGTGACAAGTTGTCTCAGGCAAGACGCCGCCCATCAGCAGCGGAAGTATCTCTTCTCAACCCATCGGTCCTGGAAGTCGGGGACCATGTTGCCCACAACGACGGCGATCTCCGGGAACACCTTCGTGAGCCGATGTATGCCGACACGTCCAGCCGAGTACGTCGCAAAGACGATGCGGTCCTGGGGAACACCGTGGTCGACAAGTACTTGCACGGCCATTAAGGCAGAGCCGCCACTCGACATCTGCGCATCTAGGAGCAGAACGCTCTCGTGCTTACTGATGTCGTTGGGTAGCTTGAGGTAATGCAGTTCCGGCTCGCCAGTTCGCGTGTTCGACTGGATCAGTAGACGTCCGGTTCGGCAATCCGGGATCACTCTCCTCAATCCTCCCTCGAACGTAGCACCGCCCCGAAGGACAATGACTGCGCAGACTTCGCCCTTAGCGGCCAGACCACGGTATTGCCTTCCAGCGGGTGTCTCAACCGTATGCTCCTTGAAATGAACGTTGTTTAGTGCCCTAGGTGTCGCAAGCATCAGTAACCCGTGAAGTACGAACAGTGATGGTGTACGCACTGTTCGATTATAAGACACGAAAGTCGGTCGAAGTAGAAGATGAAATCCTCGCTGCAGGTGTCAATATCCTGAATGAGGGTGTTCATGCCCCTGAGCTGTGGGGTCTCCTTGAGAATGGTGACTCGATCCGAAAGGGTTTCGCTCTCGAAACCGATCTCCAAACTCTTAAGTGCCGCCCGGTGATGTGTTGACTTCTCTAGCAACTTCCGTTCGATGTACTGAGTGACCATTGCTGCAATTTTTAGCAAAGCCCGATGCGAAAGGAACATACCGACTCACTCATAGCAACCCGGTTCTCAACTCCTCTGGGGACAATAATGTCTAACATCTAGCTGTCAGTAAGGAGGCCGAAGGTCCTTCATCCTGCATGTCACGTACCCGCATGGTTTCTTTGAGGAACGACATACTGTGCATCATGTTTAGCGGTCGTCTTTCTTGCGAGTTTGTGGGTAGCCTACCTTCTCATAGTTTGGTTTAACGAAGCCGAACCATTGCTTGATGCAGCCATCTACTGTTCGGCCGCGGTCTTTTACGTCTCGAAGAACTGCACATATCAACATGAGCCCGGTTTGAGGTGACTCGAGTGCGGCAGCTTACTTCTCCGTGAAAGACACGTATCGGCATCCGCCTCGCAGTAGATCTGCCTGCTAGTTAGTTATCGCGCAGAAGAGATCGCACCAGGTGCAGGTTATTACCCTCATGTCCATCAGCTCCATGACCCTTGGATCATACAAGGCGAAGATCCCCTCCAAGACAAGAACATGAGGAGAGTATATTGTCGTTGTTTCCTTGAGGCGCTGGTGTTTCTCAAAAGAATACACAGGTATCTCGGTACGTTTGCTACTCTATGAATGAGTGTCACGTTCGGTCGGTTTTCTGAACATCAAATGAACAGAGATGCAATGGAGGACTTTCACTTACCCAGCTTTCAGATCCCGCAGGGTTTCTAACAGTGCGTCAAAGTCTATAGCCTGTGGCGGACGCAGTCAACATCCAAACGTCACCGTAAACGATCGAAGTGTATCATACATCAGGAGAATCAAAGTCATATTCATTCAAGAACGCCTTCTTCGAGGCCTCGGCGTCTAGAGGCTTGTAGTAGGAGTCCTGGGGCAGGTCAGCTACCTTGGATACAGTGTCACATTCGTTTGCCGTATGACCTACCATGGACATGATCACCACCCATGGTAAATTCAGCTTGCTGACAATAGCATGAGAGAGTGTCGATTTCCCAGAGCCAGAGCTACCAGCAACACCAATAATACTCAGGTCGGCCCATGGCGGGCTATAGTGGACGCGTTTGGCGATCGTATCCGTCGCATGGGCATCAGCCACGAGGGCAGGTGAACAGTAGCCGTTGTTCATGGTGTCGACCTGTCAAAGCTCCAGGGTTATATAGACCTGGATCAACAGGCATGAGATATCCAGCTGTGACACATAGGGAATGTGATATATAAACGCGAAGCTCCTGGACGAACGACGATGAACTGAAAGTTCTTGCTGTCTCGTGCTTGTTGCAGCTTGCCAAGGCCCGTCCGAACTGGCAGGGTTCCTGGATATGTACGGAGAGGGCCGACGGGTAGAACCGCTTAGTCAAATGGTGAGGTGATGAAAGGAGCGTGGGGACGACTTCTGTGAATGAGGTCGGTATATCGGGAAAACTTTCAATCTCAAAATTGAGTGGCGGAAAGTAGTAGACCAAGTAACTGAAGAAACAGAACGCGGAAAGCAACGATTGACTTGGCTTTCGAATTTGGCAGCTTGAGGTCGTCTCGGGTCTGGCCGTGAGCTTCATCATATCAAATTCTGGGTGGACCCCCACCGTTACTAGCTAGGTGCACCGCCACATCTGCAGCCACAGGTTACCACGCTCAACGGCTCCACAGGCTCCACACATGCATGCGAGAGCATTGAAGCTTGGACCAGCACAGCTTGGTTGCATTTTCTTTCCGCAGACCGAAATCCTCCCTGCAGGTGCCTGCCGTCTTCCTCTTTCCTTCCTCAGCCTCGAGGGGAGACTCTGCAGACTTCGCACCATCAGTCCAGATACCCTCTCTGCTCATCAACACCGCTAACCCTTCTCTTCTGCGCACCATTCTCGTATTAAAGCAGCTCATGTCATCATCAAATGTGCGCGAGTTTGAGGATCAGCTACGACACGCTTGGTACATCGCGGAGGTTCTCGATCGCAAGATGACTTCCTCAGCTTCTACCGCCACCCCAATGAAACATGCCTTCACTCGCCACGTCGAGGAGGTCAAGACACCAAAGAGGTACGTTCTACACATTTCCACCTTCTTATGCCTTGCTACCCTCCGGCCCTTTCATGATGTTACAAATAATCAATGGGAATCTCTCTGAGCAATCCGTGCGGAGAAACGATTTATACTTCTTTTTTCTGAACATGCCACCCACCCACTGGTCTATCCACTGCCCTCGTTCGCATTGGCTGGTATGACTGACAATATGCCTGTTAATAGTGATGTCAACACATTAATACTCGACTACCTCACCGTCGCAGGTTATCCCAACGCGGCTGCCAAATTCTCTACCGAAGCCAATCTACAACCTCAACAGCCCACCTCTGCCATTCAGAGCAGACAGAGGATCCGAACAGCCATACATAAGGGCGAGATTGCGGGTGCTATAGAGGATCTCAATGAGCTCGATCCGTCGGTAGGTCTTCCCCTCTGGCCCCTCCGACCTCTTCCTGCCCCTTGCTATGATTAGAAACAGAGTTTTACATGCACCACTCATATCGATCTTCGGATCGTTGATGAGAAACAACCACTTTACTATGAGCTCCATCTACACTCCTTGTGATGCAATGGCCACCCTTCGAAAGGGACCTCGAGCTAACCAGGCTTCCTAGATACTGGACAAAGACGAGCCTCTACATTTCGCTCTTCTACGGCTACAACTCATGGAATTAATTCGTGCATGCAACAATAGTCCAGGTCGTGATATCACCCCGGCCCTCCAGTTTGCGCGGGATCAGCTCGGCCCTCGCGCAGCCACTAATCCAGAATTTCTCGAGGATCTGGAGAAAACCATGTCACTTCTTGTCTTTGAGCAGAATGATGCCCTAGACCCTTCGCTAGCAGCACTTCTCAAGCCAGGCCTGCGAAGAGAAGTTGCTGACAACGTGAACAAGGCCATTCTCGAACGCCAGCAACAGCGCAAAGAAGCGGCTATTTGTCAGCTTGTGCGAATGAGGGCCTGGGCTGAGAACACTACACGCAAAGACACAAAGAAAGATCTGCCAGCAAGAATCGAGCTGGGACTGGACGGCGACGATACCGACAAGCAAGATGGTCAAGATGGCCACGAGCCAATGAACACGACATAGGGAGTCGCGGTTCCCGGACGTTTCCACATACCAGTCGTTGCGCAGGCCGGGCCCATGAACACGACATAGGATGATCCCGGTTTATCTGGCATACATGCTGGAGGGTTCGAGTCTGATGCCTCCACTGTAGACTGGCGTGAACACGCTGGAGGGCTTGAGCCTGAAGATTGGATCAGGGACATGATGCAATGACTTAGATGTTATGAAGGTGGCGTATGCGGTAAAGGTGGGTTGTCATTCAGTGCAAGCGATGATTTCACATATTGGGTGGGGCTACTCACCAGGGTGGATTGGGTTCAACCACTTCTTCACAGGATTGGTAGGCGTTATGGTCTTTGAGGATTGGACTGATTGATTGTTTGACATCTTCAAGCGGAATTCGGCGTGTCGAGTCGTGGTAGGCATGGACAGGCTTACGGAAGGGTGTCCACTCGCAGAAAAATCTGCATGAGGGTATGCATAGAGCATGGAGACCTCAGCGTGGTAATTCCACTGGCGTTTTGGGGCCGGGCTCGGTCAATCGTAGGCGTCAACTCCATTTGTACCGATACTACAGCTGTCGACTGTTCCGAGATATCATTGTCTAGTGTATGAATATGTACATTGTTGTGTTCTACTCTTGCAGTTCCCGTCTCCAATTACTTGGTTCGAACATGCTTCAGTTTCTTGGGTGAGTACAAGAAGTTGTTGGCATAAGCCTTGGGTGTGAAAGCCCGCACTTTCGGCTCCTGGACAAAGTATTCGTAGCCCTGCTTCTCAGCAAATGCAATGGCATCTTCTTTGGTCGCAAAGTTGATCTTGGTGCCCTGCATGAAATCGCCAGACGACTGCCATCCCATCAAGGGGTTCTCCCATCGATGTCCCTTGGCCAGAACATCCCAGTCCATGCGCCAGTGGTGGCTTCCCCAGTTGCCGGACTGGGTGGCGGGCTTGGAGGGCTGGTAGATTCTGCACCATTTGTCAGAGAACCGCATGATTACACGTAGGTGGTACCTTGGTCCTTTTGACCGGGGGGAATGTAGTAGTCGTACCGGACAGTTCTGGCTTGAAGCTCCATCGGGGCGCCTGACAGCACGGCTGCGGGGAGCACGTCAACGTCTTCGCTGCCGTCCATTATTCGCTTCGGCACGGGGGTAAACGTCCTAGACACCTGTCAACTATGGATCCTGATGCAGTTGCTGCTACACGAGGGAAGCGTACGATGTGGCCTTGTCGATGTGGACGCCGTAGTCGGGCGAATTGGCAGGTCTGACCTCCGGGGGAGCGGGCTTGGTTTGGGTGAGCGAGGTCGTGCTGTTCGTGTCGTCGGTTTTGAAGCGTCGCTGCGTGGTTGCGGTCGCCAGGGCTGGTCGGCTCGTCACGGTGGTTGAGGTCCGCAGCATTCGGGCTGCCGTCTGGGCTCTGAGGGACGCCATCTTTGCGGATTGGCTTCTCAGTTTGCTGAGCAATTGGCGTTGTGCACGGGTTATAGGTGGTAGGTAGCTTGGTAGCTTTGAGGTTTCTATGAGGTGAATTGACACTGGCAACGGTCGGCTGTGGCGGGGGCGCTTTGTGGGCGCTGATTGGCTGTGGCGGCAATTGGCGCGCTAGGCGAGCTGCAGCGAGGTCTTTTCGTTGCGCTTCGCAACTGCATCTGACATCTACGAACCTCCCAAGCTATCGACACCCCATCGTCAACTCCAACCCGTTGAACGCCTACCAACTCACATCGCGGACCATCAATTGCCTGCGTAGGTCGCCAGTCAATTGATCTCTCTGGTCCTGTCTACTCCTTTCTTCCCTTTCGTACCGCCACATCCACCTCCATAATGAGCTTTGTCGCTCGTCGGGGTCTTTCGACCCTCATCCCTCCCAAGGTGCGTTCGGTCTTGTGAACAGGTGTCTGCGCCTCTTGCTAATCATGGTTGATTTTAGGTCGCTTCACCGAGCGTACGTTATCACTGTCCCAGTTGCCCTGCCCGAGTGTTCCCCTGGTTGCGGTGCGGTCCCGAGACCTGCTTGGAGTTGTGGAATAGCCTGGAATCGCTGCCATATTTGGGTGCTAGATGATGGAACGAGGCTACCACAATTGCGAATGGGAGTCACAGGAATGCTGACGGAAAGATGTTACAGGCTATCGGTGCTGCCCCTGATGCCGTCCGCATGAAGCGCGTCGTCAACTTCTACGAGAAACTCCCCCGAGGCCCGGCTCCCGAGATCAAGGCCACCGGTCTCCTCGGTCGATACCAGGCCAAGCACTTTGGAAAGAACGCCACCAACAAGCGTATGTCATGAAGTCACATCTCTGGAGTGTTGTCCGTGGTGTATAACTGGATGTACTGACTTGGGGTTGCTGTAGCTATCATCCATGCCATTGGCCTTCTGCTCGTCGTTGGATACCCCCTGACCTACTACTTCCACCTCCGTAAGTTCTGATTATCTTGCATCATCAACCTCAGTAGATCATAGACTAATTACATACAGGACACCACAAGAACAATGCGCACTAGATTGTTGGCTAGTGATGAATGAAGGGGAGGAACCGGTGCCGGGTGACCATGGGGAGGACTTGTACATAAGATAGATGGCGAAGCATTGCAGTGAGCCAGCCTTGTACTAGAAAAGAATCGGTATTTGCCTTAGGATCAAACAATTCTCATTTGTCCCCCTATCATCGTTAAACGTTCTGCCGCAGCCCCGCTGCACTCCTGTGTTTTCTGCATTGTGCCCTTCTCCCATTCATGCGGCGTTCACTACCCAGGCAACCCTCCATCACCCTCGCCGCACACATTCTTTTCTCACACCACACTTTTCCCTCCCTTTCTCATCCTTCCTTTCTTGATTCATCCTCGCCGCGCACTTGATTGCGCATTCAATCCTCGTCTTGTCGTTCTTACACACACACAATCCCGGGCATTTGGTCCCAACCTCGACGCCGTCTGGACGGCTCATTCACTTTACCTGCATTGTGTTCTACCTCTCTGTCGGCGATCGACCACGCTGTCGGCGATCAATGCACTTTGGTTGTACTGCCCTCTGACGCATCCTGCCGCCTCTACACCGGCTGCACCTCTTTGGCTCATCGTCGATCCTCCTGGTTCGGTACCTAGGTACAGTATGTCTGTCGCCGAGTATTCCCCCAAGATGGAGGTCAAGCATGCATCTGTATCCGATTGCTGGTAAGTCCACAGTTCCTCTAATCTTCCTATTCACGCCCTTCCATTATCTCTCTATTCTGCACTCTCCCTTTGGCACGTTGGCCCTGCTGCACACATATGTACCTGAGGTACCTTGGCACTGCCATTAGGTACAGGGTACTTGAGAGTTGACAGCTGGCGCCTTGCCCCACAGCTGGCAGCCGGGGCTTGGCCGAGCTGCATCCCCGGGTCACCAGCTCCACTCTGGGACTTTCGATCTTTTGCAACCAAAGAAGGACCCTTCACTGCTCAGCTCTCCTCAACCGCCTTCTCCTCCCACATCTCTGTACACCACCTGTTCTCTTCTGCATTGCGAAGGGAGCTTCTTCTTCAATTTTCTCGAGTCGCATCATTTGCGCGCGCGGTTAACCTGATCTCCTCCCCGCAGCAGCAGTTCGCCCGGCTCGTCTGACGAGGTGACGCCCAGTACAAACCTTGAAATCGGAGCAGACAACACCCTCGATACCTCGTCTACTTCGGGTGATTCATCGCCGTCCGACACATCGCACGCGCTCGACGATACTGCCTACTTCCAATCGCTGCAGACCAACATCAACGGCTGGATGATGGCTACTGAGGCCGCGAAACAGCCCGTAGACGTATCTGCTCCCGAACCATCGCTCGTAAGTACCTCTCTGCCTGATCCCCCCTAGCATCCTGATCTTACCTTGCTTTTACCTCATGATGGTCTGCACTTTACGGTCTGGCGCATGCTCACCTCAGGCGCCTTGCATTGCGCGTAATTGCCTCGGTCCCTCTGAATATTGCCTCGTCGTAAAGCTTCCGCTGCTGACATAATGTTTACTCTAGAACCAGCCTACCGTCGCAAACTCCGAATCTCACGATGTCGACCCGTCGAGTACTTCACTGAACGGATCCGCGGAGGAGATTGAGAACAAGCAGATTACCGATCTCGTCGATGAGCTCGTCGTTTCTGCCGAAGCGAGTGTGAGTGGTGGTTCGGATACAGAAACGTCAAAGGCGGGTCGCTCCAAGGCCTTGGACGACAATGGCCATGTACGCACGTCCTCGATGGTCAAGCCGCCGCAGAAGAGCTTCAAGTCTGTCTCGGTGAACCGCAATTTCTTGGGTAGCAAGACTGCAGCGAGCGCAACATCCCGACCTGAATCCGCCGCCGGATCACCATCTACAACCCCTCAACCCACGGTTGCATCTTCGGCATCGCGTCTGAAGCTGGTTGCAAAGTCTGGCAGCAACCTTAGTGGCTCCACCAAGACTCTGACCAGTAATGGCAAACCGAATCCGACACCTAACGCGAGCTCAGTATGGAATCGCAATCAAGGTAAGTGAGGCTGAGCTATGCGCGCAAGCATTTCCTCGCACTCGGTATGGTCCTTTGGCTGACTTGGTACTGTAGCACCGGTTGTTCCCGAGCCCAAGAAGTTGTCCGACGAAGACCTGAAAGCCGGCGGTATCCATATGGCAGCCCGCCTTGGTCCGGAAGATCTCAAGGGACAGTCGAACTGGGCTGATATCGAGGATGATGACGATGATTGGGCGCCCGCTACCTTGACATGGAACGACGGAACTAGCATTACGTTGCCGCAGGCCGAGGAACCCTCTACCTCACCCGTACCTGTACCCGCCGCACACGTAACCGCACCTGTCTCTACCAACAAGGAACCCGCGCCTCCCTCTGTCAACAGAGAGCCGATCGCGAGTCAGAAACCCGTGTCTCCCGCTCCGACCTTCACCGCGACTAGATCACCCTCTGTCAAACCTAGTGTGCTAGGTTCTGGAAAGGGTTTGGTGCTCAAGGGTGCACAGGAGAAACCCACGTTGATCGCGAAGCCACCGGCCCCGCCCACGCCCGTCAAGTCACCCTGGGCTTCTCTGCCGCCCGTCGAGAGGGCTCCTCCCGTTGTCATGGAGTTGCCTAATCAGATGCAGCCCCCACGATATCCGTTGCGCGATGCGTCGAACACTAAGAATGCGACACTGCCGCCCGCGGCCAAGGAACTCGCAGCGGATGATTTCAGTCGGTCAGCCCGAGATGGTTCCTACAGACCTAGACAGGAGAGACCGGAGCTCTTTAACTCTCAGTCCGGACGCTATGAGCCTGTAGCTGAACGTAGAGGCTCCCGTGTCGAGCAGTATAATCGACACCCTGCTGTTCTACAACGTCCTCCTTTCCACGATCAGGATGGTCCTGCGGAACCCTCAGCGGCTTTCCAGACGAGCAGAAGTGGCGGAGTAGACGGACCGTATGGCCGCCGCCGTGGATCTTCCAATGTCAGCGGAGGTAGTGGTAGCTTTGCTCATAGAATGGGAGCAAAGCCTCACGACATGCTTCCTCCGCCTGACGTGCCTATGGAGCAAGGCCGTTCTGGCTCAATTGCTGGCGGCCCTGAAAGTCCCATGACTGCGAAAGTGCTCGCTTCGGCGAATACGCAGCCCACCCCTCCAGCCCAAGTGGCCCAGCCCTTACAACCCCTCCCCTCCCCTGGTCAGGTACAGGCAGCGCTGCAGCCGCAGCAAGTCGCACCTGAAGTGGCAGCAGAGAGCGCGGAGGATATCGTGAATCGACAGAAGGAAATCATGAAGACACGCCGAGAGGCAGCTATCAGACGCAGAATTGAGGAAGAGAAACGTGCAGACGCAGCGAAGCAGGAGCGGATCCGCAAGAAGCTGGAAGAGATGGGTCCGGCTCCCGAGCGCAAGAGCGCAAAGACTACGAAGAAAGAAGAAGTCTCAGCGTCGAGTCATATTGTGCAGAGAAGCGACATACCCGCGGCTCTGGCTGCCCAGTCTGGTGCCCGTCCTGTTGATGCAACCGCTGAGCTTCGTCCCGTCGAGTTTCACGCTTCCAAGTCCGACTCAACTTCTGAACTGACTCCAACTACATCTGCCACTACAGCGAAGGATGTTAGCGACACAGCATCAACCGTCATCGAACCCGCTCCTCGAGTCAATGGTGGTGGCAAGGAATCTTTCAAGCAGACGGACAGGACTCCTCGTGCTCCTTCTCAGCCTGCGGCACACACACATGCTCATACCCCGTCAGCAGCTCTATGGTCCGATACACGTCAGCAGCCGGAGCATGCGCCCTCTTGGGCTACCGGCTCCCAGGCTTCTAAGAACGTTTGGGGTGCTCCTGGCGATCGCTCGCTCGGCAACGGAACGTTCAACTCGGATATAGGAGCTCTGCCTGGCTCACACCCAGCGCCAGCTGCTAACAAGTCGCACCGCCCAACACCCATCGCACCACCTCGTTCTGTCTCTCAAGGGCAAGTCAAGAAGCCCGAGCCGCAACCGAGTCGTCTGGCTCCTATTGGTCCACCTGCCTCTTCGAACCCCGCGAATGCTTGGAGAACCTTTGACATCAAGGCAGATGATGCTCGGAAAAGACAGGAACGACAGGAGGCAAGGGGTAATGTCAATGAGATAGCTCCTGTGAGCATCACCGACACTTGGCGCTCTGTCGACCTGAACAACGACGGAAAACGAACCGAAGTCGGAACGTTTACGACTCGCGCAGATGGTTCTTCGATAAACCCTCGCAAGTCCCAGGGCAGCGAACCCACTGCCGGTCTTGCGGAGCCCAGACAGTTTGGAGAACAAACGGCTGGTCACCCAAAAGGACCAGGGACGCCTGGCCCCCCAGCTCAGGCACGAAGCGGATCGCGATTCTTCCCTGCTCCTAATAATACACCTGCACAGGTACCTTTGCAGGAAGACTCCCGCACAAGGTCCCCAACCCCGCCCCCTCCGACCGCAGACGGCCACCCAGTTTATGACGGCGATGTCACACGACCTCACGTAACGCTTCCTCCCCAGAGACCGAGAGTTAGGCTCCCTCCGTCTGCGCAGCCTGCTGGACCGGGTCCTGTTGCACCACCTAAGCCACCCAAGCCGGTCCGACAGGAGAATTGGCAGGAAACTATTGACACATTCGAAGCGCGTACTGTAAGCCGTGGCAGAAACTATGGCGGGATCCCACAGAGGCCTCACGAGATAGCATCTCAGGAGAACTGGCAGGAAAAGATTAACAATCTCATGGTGGCCCATATCGCCGCCGTCCCAGCCAGAGCTATGCCTGTAGACTCTTCGTCGATTCCCTCCTTGGAGCATGGTTCACAGTCACATGATTCTGCGACCGTCTCCCTTCCCGGACCTTCACCGGACACGACCATAACTACCAGCAGGGAGATGGCGGAGACGTTCTTGAGCGAGCAGGAGATGGGGTCCTTACCCATTATACATCTGCCCGCCAACGCTCCAAGAAGCCTGTGGCAGCCAGCTCGGCCCAACTGGAATCCCACGCCCGCGAGAATGCGAGTCAACCCTGTCGCCTTCGAAGCTATCAGATTTCCTGGGGAATGGGTGAATGGGAGACAAACCTATCGAGTCTTGGCTCCCGGCATGACGGAAGCGAAGACAGTTACCGCACCCTCCGCCAAAAGCACCCAATCGAGCAAACCCCCTACGACCAATTCCGCGGCGAATGATCGATCCGGTAACACTCCGCGACGCCCGGCAAACACGGGAGGAAACGCGCACCGCCACGGTCCTAATCGTCATCATAGCCATGGCCACAACCAGGCGAGAGAGTCGAACAGGCACACAAGCGGCAATGTCCCAGATCCCTCTGGTCAAACTCGTTGGGTACCTCGACACCTGCAAGGTCTCACCAGACCTACTGCGACTGCCTCTGCGGCACAGTCCTAGAAGTGACCAAGGCAATCGATTGATATGAACACGTTTCTTGAATCGATTGAATCTGGGCGTCATTGATGCGCCTCTCGACCATTTCCAAATCCTCTTTCCGGCCGGCATGCTCTATACACCTACTCGACCTGCAACGCAAGATGCTTCCCTCATTCACCATTTACTGCCGTACGGACGACTGGCGGCTTCGAATGGCAGTGTGTACAAACAAAAACCCATAGCGGTTGTCAGTATACGCGCGACTTTCAGCGCAATCCTTTCATGACGACTGGTCATGACTCTTCCTCGTTCTCGTTCCGGTCCCCGTCCTTATGATGCGATATGTCCGCTATTTGATGCCGGTCACCCTGGATGCCTTTGCGAAATTCCTCCGGTTACAACTAGAGGATGCTGCATAAGGTATTATGGCTGGGGTAATGGATACGAACATGCGTGGCGTTTTGACTGGAGGCTTTGGGAAAAGCTTCCGTATATGAGTCGGCACATGGGTTTGATATCCGAGACGGAACAGATGGACTTTACACGAGAACGATCCGATGGACTTTACTTGAGAACGATCCCGATTGAGCTTCCCGTAGCGACGCGAGCTTGTCCTACACACGAGAACGAGGCTTTTCGACCTTGACGTCGTATGATAGAGTCTCCACGGCAGCAGATCTCGGTATCGTGAGAGCTTCGCCTCTCGGTCCCACAGGGATGCTTACTGCTGTTCGCTCCCCGTGCGCCGGTCAGGCATTTAGCGTAGCTACTTTGCTAGGCTCTCTGAACAGAGAAAACAGAAAATTCTTCATAACGTGTTATGTTTTGTGCGATGTGCTGTGAATGATGAATGTACCGTAGTCCCGGCAGTGGTTATTACTAAGAGAATTGTTATTTCCCTAGTATCCGATCTACTTAGTACCCTACTTCTTAACTCCTTACATAAGGGGTATGTAATCGACATTACGTTTGTTAAGAGATTGCATATTAATTAAGTGAATAAGATATACTATATATATCAAGTACCAGCAACACGCCGTATACGAAATGTTGTCACTACGGAAGATGCCGCCGCGAGGGAGATATTGCTGCCGCGAGAGAGATGTTGCTGCCGCGAGAGATTTTGCCTTGCCGTCGCGAAAGATGATGCCGTCGTGAAAGATTTTGCCTTGCCATCGCGAGAAATGATGCCATCGTGAAAGATTTTTCCTTGTCGTCCCGAGAAATGATGCCGTCATGAAAGTATTGCCGTGCCGTCGCAAGAGATAATGCCGTCGCGAGGGTAAATTGTAGTAACGGCGTGGCGGTAGGTAATATGGCAGCTGGCGGTGCTGGAAGATAGTAATAGCTGCTCCCGTCAGAATATCTGCCAGCTGCAAAGTGCAGTACTAGCCAAATCGGATACTAGGGAAATAACATTTCTCATTATCAAATGATCTTGTCGATCCTTATGCTGGGCAACTGTGATAGAATTAACCACAGTTCTTGGACATGACTTCCAAACGGATTCCGAGTGACTGGAGTGCTCATGAGCTGTAGTGAAACAGCACTCTCTCACATGAGTAGCCTTAGTGACGGCACGTCCAAACTTGATAGCATTCGCAATGCAGCTCGCTCAGCATGTCTGTACCATTTACATTACATTTGCTCTCGCCTTGTCTACTTATCTAGTAACCCAAGTATGACTCATCTCGTTTCATCTCATCACATCACATCTTTCTTCATCTCGTATAATGAATACAATCCCAACCAGACCAGACCTGCTTCCAAGCTGACCAAGCTGACCAAGCACATAAGCAACCCATTTACTAACCCGGCAGACATGTTTCGACTCCTTCGACTCCATACGCCCGCTATCCTCCTGCCTGAAATCTGTTCAGCTGGAATGCCGCAGACATCAATATATACTGACTGGTTCGTGTATCCATCCACCGTCTTCTTCCCTTCATTTTATCCTTAATATAGTGCATATCTATCAAAGTGGGATAGATGGAGCTAGCTCAATACTCCTCCACGGCGCAGTTGGGATGCAGCACATATACGACCTTATGCGAGGGCTCCGGGCCACCGTCTGCCGCCTCGGCCTCATCGCCGCCCTCGGCTAGGCCTTCGCCGCGGACTGCCATGAGGATGTTGTCCTGTTTTCACCTTCTGTTAGCAATCCAATCACATTTCTTGCAAAAAAAAAAAAGCAAGCAAGCTACGTGGGATAGGATAGGATGGGATGGGAGATGTACCTTGACCATCTTCTTCAGAACCATCTTGGCGATGCCCAACTCGCGGTGGTAGGCCTCCTCGCCATCGAGCTCGTCCTCCTTCTGCTCGAGGTACCACTGCACTAAATCCTCGCCGTCGACGCCCTCGCCCGCGCCGGCTGCCTCGTCGTCGTTGACGCGCTCGACCATCATGTTCACCATGGCGATGTACCGCTCGTACGTGATGGCCGTCTTCGGCCGCGCGGGCGCAGCAGCAGCATCGGCATCAGCGTCGGGCTCGCCGTCTTCTTCGTCGTCGTCACCCATGGGCGAGTCCCCCTCCACGTCCTCGTCCTCAGCCGCGCCTGCGCCTGCACCGGAAGCCTGGTTCGCGGCCGCCACGAGCGTCGCCGAGTCCTCGGGTCTGTCGTCGTTGTCGTCATCGTCCATCTCGACGTCGTCATGCTCGACCGAGATGATACTCTGGCGCAGGAGGTTGAATGCCTCGTCTACAAAATCGGGCGCTATCTCATCGACACAATTGGCCTTGGCGATGGCCTCCGACAGCCGGATCAGACTCTCTAGTTGACGGACCGTGATGCGGTAGCTGTTCTTGCCCACCCCGCCCTGCGCATCGTCCGCGCGTAGCTCCTTGTACTTGACGACAAGGCGCTCCTTGGCCTCGGGGGTGAACTCTGGTCGGAATGTCCGCGCGAAGCGAATGTATCGCTGTAGACATTCGGTGCTGAACTCGGGCTCGATTGCACTGTCCCGTAGCGCGTGTATGCCGACGATGTGCTCGGCAAGATGACGATCGACCGCTTCGTTGCATTCATCGAGAATGACGAAGAACAGATCGAAACGTGACATGATTGGCGCCGACATGTTGATATTTGCCCTCAAAGAAGTCTTGCGGTTGTATCGTCCACTGACCGGGTTTGCGGCAGCGAGAATTGATGTTCTGGCGTTCAGGGTGGCCTGGATACCAGCCTTTGCAATGGAAATCGTCTGCTGTTCCATGGCTTCGTGGATGGCGACCTGATCTACGAGATCCATCTTGTCAAACTCATCGATGGCGCAGATTCCATTGTCTGCAAGCATGAGAGCACCAGCTTCGATGGTGAACTCGCCAGTCTCTTCATCCTTGACTACAGCAGCCGTAAGACCGGCGGCCGAAGACGCTTTTCCAGACGTATAGACTGCTCGTGGTGCGAATGAGCATACATACTTCAGGAACTGGGATTTGGAGGTGGACGGGTCGCCGACTACGCAAATGTTGATGTCACCTCGCAAGGCCATGCCTTCGGCCGTGGTCTTGTGGACACCGGACATCAGTTGAAGAAGAATACCCTTCTTGACGATTTCGTGACCGTAGACCGTCGGCGCCAGCGATTTAACGAGACGTGCGTAAATGTGATCACTGTGGACCATCTCACGAAGCTCGTCGATTTCGCTGGGTGTCATAGAGTTGAGGACCGCGGTTTGTGCCTCTTCCACAGTATCGGCCGTTTCAGCGGATGACTGTGTCATCGAGTTGAGAATATCGTTCACTTGACGGGTGGCTGATTGGCCGGGCGTGGAAGTATCTGGCGTCACCATGTTGGCGAGAAAAGCCAGCCGGTATGTCAGATCTCGAACACCCAGAGACTTCAGACCCGACACTCCGCTGCCGCCAACGTCGTTATTGCGGGGGGCATTGCGGTCGTCCCGGATCGCTGTAGGTCGCACACCAGGAAGTCCCAGTTGGCTGACATCTGGAACCACGATCAGCGCACCGGTGAAGATGCACCTCTCTCCAGCCTTGGCACGGTCAACGATCTCACCACGCATGATGACATCCATCGTTCGGGGCATGCTACCAGTGGGGATCTCGGAGCTGTTCTCCTGGATCCGTACCTTTTGCCAGTCGACGAAGGTACTTTGTCTGATGTCGAGCGTCCAGGCCAGACGGTTTCCACATTCCGTGTTTGGACATTGTGTGGGCTCGGTATATCGGAAGGTCTGCTCGACGTTGGGAATGATGGCTCGACAGGCTTGGCAGCTAAAGGTCGCAAGTGAAAGCTCTGGCCTGACTTCAGACGTTCGCGTGACAGTTCCAGAGATGGATAGTAGCTGGCCAATGTTCTTGGCTCGCAGACTACGCACTCTTGAAACGAGCGGCAAATTGTAGAAGGCAATGGCGAACAGCTTGTCGGTCTGCTGGTTTGCCGTCTTGCTGCCCTGGGTTTCCGACTGACTAGCCGATCCGACATTGCTTGCGCCCGATGTCGTCTGATTACTGGACGTGGTCGCCTGTCGATGTTCTCGAAAATATTGTGGCTCGTACTTGGCGATCATGTTGTGTAAGGCGTGGGTGAGGAAGGGTAGAAATCGGTAGTACTGTGTGTTGATGGCATTGGCCAGGCCGCCGTTTTGGTAGGAAGCGACATGGCTGTAGTTGACGTAGAAGGTAGAGAGTTGGTAGACTCGCATGTTATGGATCTGGGCGACGTAGAACTTGTCGGTGGTGACAGCGCTCGGGGTTGGTGCGCCTGAGGAGAGGGGGTCTTCCATAAACCTAAGATGCCGTGTGTCAGCCTTCGTCCGCTATACAGCCAGGATGTGGACGACGCACTCTTCGATGAAGTTTTCGAAGTGTTCTTGCACCGTGATACCGATCCTGTCCTCGACGCGAGGGATAGTGGAGGCATCACCACGTCTTGTGCGACCGGGTATTTGGTCGTCTGCGAAGCCGTCGCCCTCGTCGTCGCTAGGCGCAGCCAGGCTCTCTGAAGGTGGTGCTCGGGGTCGCGCCGAGGAACCTCGCTGGTATTGTCTCTGTTTAGGGGTAGTCGCGGCAGGCCTTGAGGGGCCGTCCGACATCATGAAGCCGGCGTCGCTTGACGGAGTCGCCATTGCGTAAGATCTTGTGACGACAGCGCAGGGTTGCGGGATTGTGTTTTAGTGAGTGCTCAGGCGAGATCAGTTTCTTACTGTCGGCGGTTTACAGTGCCAGTGTTGGGTGCTGGGTGTTGAGATGGGAAGACGGGAAGATTAAGGAGAGTGGGGGAAACGCGTCAAAACGCGCTAAACGATACGCGTAAAGTGGTTGACTCTGCACAATTTGCATAACCGCCTGCTGTCAGCTTTTGTTCCAAGGGCACTTCAAAAACACCAACCAAATACCTACACCCCCCATTTCGACCCCGAGTTACTGCCTTCGTACTCAATTGTCCCAGGAGAGTGTGTATTCTTCTTGCCAGCCAAGCGCTCTAGATTCCAGAGGACTTTGCGACTTGTTGGGACCCACAGAAACTTGGCTTGAAGAATCCTGTATCACGGAAATATTTTCACTCGGTGAAGCTGTCTGTATCTATTTGGGCAACCGGAACGAAGTCCGCAACAACACAATACAACCACAATACTCATATCTGCGGTCTGTGAGAAGGGACTCATACGTGTCACATCCTGCCATGAGTCCAAGCACACGATAGCCGCACAACAAGAATGGCGCAAGAGCTCTCCTCTAACTGGAAGAAGCTCCAAGCAAAGATCAAAGCCGAATCCACAACCTCCACCACATCGGCCGGAGCATCTTCCACCACAACCACAACGACAGCCACCAAGAGGAAGAAAGCCAACGGTTCCAATACCGCCCAGCCGCAGCCTCCTAAAAAGCAGAAGCTGGGAAGCCATCAGGTCTCATCACAGTCCACCAGCAGGCATCCCAAATCAGTTGTTAGAAATACGACAAGCAAGAAACCAGGACCACCCATGGGCAACACGCAGTCCTCAGCCCCCGTCAAAGGCACCGCAGCGACCATCACGCCCTCCCTGGCGCTCTGGGCCGAAGACAACGACATCTCGCCCGAGGACCTGGCCGAAGCGTACAACCTGGGCGGCAGCAAGCCCGGACGGCGCACCGGCGGCACCCCTGCCATCCTCACCACAGAGCGGCACCGCATCAACGAAGGCCTAGCCCCCGGCGTCGACGTGGGCAAGTACATAGCGCTCGACTGCGAAATGGTCGGCGTCGGCCCCGACGGCCAAGACCACGCCCTAGCCCGCGCGTCGCTAGTCGACTTCCACGGCCGCCAGGTATACGACTCGTTCGTGCGGCCGCGGTCGCGCGTGACCGACTTCCGGACGCACATCACGGGCATCACGGCCTCGACCCTGCATCCAAACTCAGGCCCGCGCGAGTTCGCCGAGGTACAGCGCACCATCGCGGACCTCCTGCGCGGCCGCATCGTCGTGGGCCACGACATCCGGCACGACCTCGCCGTGCTGGAACTGAACCACCCGACGCCCATGGTGCGCGACACGGCGCGGTTCAGCGGGTATAGGCGGTATGGGCACGGCCCGAAGCCGGCGTTACGGGTTCTGGCGCGCGAGGTGCTGGGGCTGGAGGACTTCCAGACGGGTGCGCATAGCAGTATTGAGGATGCGCGCGTCGCGATGCTGTTGTTTCGCCGCCGCAAGTCTGAGTTCGATGTCGAGCATGCGAATAAGTACGGGGTGCCGTCGGCGGACGAGGCGCCAAGGCGGGGTGCGGGAGCTGGAGTTGGAGATGGAGCTAAGGGTAAGGGGGAGTTGAAGAAGGGGAAGGGGCCGAATGGGGGGAAGAAGAAGAAAAAGAAGCGTTGAACGCACCCGAGGACAGGACAGGGGTTTGGGTCTACAATGAGCGACGCCTTTGTCTACGAATCGGGCGGCTGGCGGCGAGAACCGCGAGAACAGCGGGAACAGGATACCATCATTGATCTGGCCGGAAGTCTGACGGGAGCGTCGTCCAACTTGCGGTCAAGGACTATTGGAGTCTCCGAATCTATCACAGAATCACACCAGGAGACGAGACGAGTGGTGGTTACCTATTGGGGATCGCATCCAGCGAGAGTATGAAGTCTCCGAATGTAGGTCTGGGCAGAGCACATTGTGATTGAGCGACGTTGAGAGGAAGAGCACTTGTAAAGATGGGTTTAACCATGCAGTCTATACACAACCAACCCATCTAGATACCTTAATCATTCCATCCGCTATGCAATCGCAGTTATGAGCAAGTACAAATGCAAGCCATCCCCACCGATGCTCCCTAAACAAATATGCCACGAGATACCGAAACCGAAGAGGAGTTATGTCCAGTTTCCGGCAATCATCCACCCAGGCAGCCCACGGAATAAAATCATGCCACCTCAGGACGACCGAGGGAGGATCAAACAGGGATATCTTCCATCAGCTCCATGGCCCCCTCCCTACCCACCGTGATGATGACATCGCCGAGCGTCTTGGTCAGGAACCCAGCCTCGCAGTATGTGAAGTAATACTGTGGCATCATCGTCAGCATCCACTCCACTCCACCTACTCGGTCAAAGGCTCTAAGAAGGCAAAGGAAGAGGACTAGAGGAAGGGGCTGAGGAATGACACATACCTCCCATTTCCGTCCGAACACCTCGATCTCTTCCTCCGTCATCTGGGGATGTTCCGATTGGAGGGCCGGGCGGATTTTCGACTCGAAGTTCAGCAGGAAGTTGTCCTTCCACAGCCGAAGTGTCTTGGCGTAGTGCCCTCCGATGTTCTCGACCTTCTCCACGATCAACGTGCCCTTGGACTCCGTCGAGATGTGGTTGAGTAGCTGTATGGTTGAGGGCAGGTAGCCGCCAGGGAAGATGTGCTTATTAATGAAGCTGTGCCACCGTCAGCTTCGATCATGCATGGATGCGGTTTTACGAGGGCTTACTCTTTACCCTTAGAGTAAGCCTCGTGCCTTCCCTCAGGCATGGTGATACACTGGAACACGGCGATCCCACCCTTTTTCTTCAGTAGCCGATCGACGCACGCAAAATACGTCGCCAGGAATTCCTGTCCCACAGCCTCTAGCATCTCGATGGAGACGATCTTATCGTACGGCGCGTTCGTTGCCGGAAGGTTGCGGTAGTCCATCAGCAGAACGTCTATTCTGTGCGAGAGACTGGCTTCTCGTATGCGCTCCTCGGCCAGGACCTTCTGTTCTTTCGACAAGGTGAGACTCGTGACTCGACACCCTGTCCTCTTGACGGCTTCGATGGCGAAGGATCCCCAGCCCGTCCCGATTTCCAAAACGTGATCCGTAGATTTTATCCTGGCGCCGTCAATGAATCGATTCAACTTCCTTATCTGTGCTTCTTCGAGCGTTTCCTCCCGTTCATTATAACTAGTTGGGGTTTTCCAGATTGGACAAGAATAGGTCATGTCGTCTGACAAGAATGCCGCGAACATGTCATTACTGATATCGTAATGCGCCGAAATGTTGAGAAGGGAATTTGATAGTGTATTTGTCGTCCGCGCAACACTTGTAATTGCGCCCGACAGTGAGGAGAACAGTGTCGTCCCATTGCTCATCTGATCTCTATTCGCTATAAAAATCTGTCACGCAGTCAGCCAAAGCACCGTTGAGTCCTGATGGAGTGCTGACATGGAAGAAGGCGGTCAGATCGGCGCACTCGAATTCGCCCAGCATGTAAGATTCTGCGAAACCCATGTCGGCGAACAAAAAGAGTCGCATCCAGAAGGCCTCATTCTTGACCACCACCTCGACCCGCGGGATCGTATCGGCCCTTCTCATTGGGTAGTCACCATTCGTTTGTTCGATGACTTTCGAGTTAAGCCTCTGTCCATATACCAGTCTCGTTCCGGCGGGCTCGTCAACCAACAACAACGTTCCGACTTCGATCTTGGAGAAGATGGAGAGTATCATCGGCTTGGCTACAGCCAAGGCTGGCTCCCAAGTCAAGCTGCCCAGAGCTCCGCGGACTACATCTGCCCCGCGCGTAAGCGGCCGGGCCACGATGGATGGTATCGAGGGCACCATTGTGCCAACGATAACGGCAGATCAGTTAGTTTCAGATGGTTTCCCTGGCCTGTGGTGAAGGAGTTGTATGATCAGAACACGTCGGGGATCAGGAGGAGGTTAAGAAGGACCAAACAAGACAGCACATATACAAGAGAGGTGTTGGGTGGTAAAGGGGAGGAACGACCGTAACAGTGGATCAAGTCGCTTAGAGACCTGACGAGTATTGTGTGTGTTCCAGGTGTGCTCTCGCAGACAGTGTGCTAGCGCAAGGGGTATATATAATTATGGAGTGAGGGCAGTATGTACTTGGGAGTGATTCAAGGTTGTAAATAGGAACAATAGCAATGAAATCACACAGACAAGAAAAACATTCAGAAGAGGTGGTAAATAATGACTGAGGAAGAGGAAGCCTAGGCTTTAAGCCTTTTGCGCTTCCTGCGAGCCCCCACCGTGCGTAATGTGTTCTGAAGCGCCAGATCACCCTTGCGCAGTGGCGCCTACATTACCGCGACTGTTCTGTTTTTGAAGGGGAAAGGGGATCCTTCAGTCAGAAATTAGAAATGGGAGAGGGAAACATTGGAGCTCGCTCACTCGTGATGCCGGGTCTGAACAGGTGAAACAGGGATAAGGCCGATGGGTCAAGAGAGGGGCCGGTCGAGCGTGTCTCGGGACATGTACCTCAACGGTCAAGTCTCGAATGGCCTGTCGCTCTCTTGACGGCGCCATGGAGTACTTCCACTGGAAGTATTGGAATCGCCGGGCACGGACATGATAAGCTGATGGTGGTAGTGGAGGATAACTGGTATCCCACATCCCGTCGTCTATGACGGGAGTAAGACCGACCATATCTGGTCTAGTGCACGCGTACGGATGTTGTCGCACAGCGTTTTGAGCCTCATTCGATAGTAGCATCCGATAGCAGATGTGGTAACGGCTGGGCGAGCCGGGCTTCACAAACGGCCGAGTCGAGGTGAGCTGAGAAGAGCGGCGATGGTGTGGGCGTCTCCAAGACTCACCTTTCTCATATCTGTCGGTTTAGGTGAAGCCACTGGACTTTGGGCGACGACGAAGGAACCCCTCCTCGCAACAAGTGGCCTATGTAGCTCTGCAGGGACTTGCCAGGGCTGGGTTAGACAGATGCAGATATGTTGGTGTACAGTATGTCCGCGCGATCCTACCCTCTTCTACCTGGAAACCAAGGTGGCAACACCCCATGGTCGCATTGAGTGAAACATCAGACAACTAACTGCATAGCGCACAGTGGAGGAGACGTTTTTGATGCCGTTGGATACATACATCCGATCTGTACTGAACTTTGGCCTGATGGTCATCGAACCCTCGTGAGAATGGTCGCGGGTGTGTCCGAGTCCCGAGTTCCGAGTCCCCTGGACCCTGGCATGACAGCCTGGACCCTGACAGTAATGGCCGGGCTGAGGGCTAATAATACTACTTTGGAAGCTGGTAATGACATCAACACACAGGCAGGAAACCATGTATGTGGACGATGCGGACAATGCGGACGTCGGTGTTGAATTGGAAAGACTCATCCGAGAAGAGCCAGTTGGCCGGGCCTCGTCGTACCTCGCCGTCGGTCAGTCTGAAGGGCAGGCAGGCAGGCTGGTCCGCGCACGTGGAAACTTTTGACATGAGCTTGGATTCCACACGAGCCACGCCTGCCACGTTTCGCTGGGAAGTTGGAACCACCTAGCGCGAGGCACGGATGAACATTGAACCCCCCGACCCACTTCTGCGTTGGCTTGCCTGCATAAGATATATGGGTACATTTATGTAAGCGCAATAAATGGGACCAATCTATTTGACGCGATCCGATGCCGTTACCTCTTAACGCGTCCTCCTGTCCGATAGACTCCTTACATGTAAACCGTCTATCAATACTACTTGGGTACTCGTCACCTCAATATCCTGCAAGACATCAGCCAGGATGACACAGCCAGTATATACTGTGGCCCCAGAGGCATCCGTACAGAAAAAGGCCACAGTAAACCTGCTGCCTTGTCGCATACACCACGATGGCGATGCGAATCCGTCAAACATGTTCTGGAGTCCCGACCAAGCTGAAGGTGAGTTGGAACCTGCAACCTGCAATGCGCATCGGAGAGCAGCCCCTGACAAGGATCGACGAGGAAGATGGAACCAACACCGCATACCTCAGGGGCAGAAAGCTGCACGGCAAGCTCGTAAAGCTACCCCAAGGCTACTACGGCTCGGTGGTCGAGAAGTCGGAAGCGAAACCCGAGCCCAGCAGACACGAGGTGGCCGAAGACGCCACGCCACAAGAAGAGCCCGAAGACCAACTCCAAGTCGGCGCCATGCAGGGGAAAGCCGCGTTCGACGAGATGATGATCTGGGACCACGAGTCGTCCGCCGACTCCAGCGCAGACCCTTACGTGAGGAGTATGGAGGAATGGGTTACATTCACCGAGCAGGTCAGTAGAAGCCGACCTGCGTGTTGGTCGATGCAGAACTCACGATTGGCTGACCGTCTTGTCACAGATGCACGCGTATCCGACTGAACCGGAATCACCTTCAGAATGAGTAGTTCTCATGATCTAATGATATGGTAACCGCTGCAATGGAGTACGGCAGGGGAATGGTATGATCAATGCGGCCACCATTGGCCACACGGCGTTGAGAGACGCAGGAATCAGGAGTCAGGAGTCGGGAGTCGGCGGCCAGGGCATGATCAACTGCATTTGGTGGGTTGAAAGCAATGTTTGTTTGTTTGTATTTAACGTGGGGGATTGCTCCTCCGTAGTGCAAACCACGCCTCCCAGAGCCTCTGCATCGCAGGGTTGTGGAGGTATCAAGATAATAAGTACAGTCAGTCCCGCTCACGAGCCCATCCCCGTTGTTGCGGCGGTATGACCTTGGGTCATCCATCTGGTCCTTCAAGAACAGCTATCTATCAGGGACAGATTGATGAAAAGAACTTGCTCTTCTCAACAAATCTTGCCCATTCCGTGCTCCTCTCCCCTAAGTATTGTAAACAGGCTGTCCTAGGCGAGTACCTGGGCAGCAGTCAGTTTTTCCCAAGCCTCTTATAAAAGAAAATGTGTTGTGGCATTTTCTTCTCACCGCAGTTGCAGTGGTCATTCGAGTCTGTATGCCCAAAATGTTCGTGATATCTAGCAAAGTCGCCATGTCCAGATCTGGCCGCTAAGAGTCTGTGTAGAGTGCTCCTTTTAAAAGATATAAGGCCCTTTTTAGTTATCGTATGTGAGTATACTTCTTGATACTTAGGTTTCTGATTGGTCTTTCTACCATTGATCGAATTCTCTCTTACCTTTCTTTTTGAGATCTTTCTTAACCCAAGAGATTATAGGAAGGTTTATTACGTCTGTTTCTAGCATAGTATCCTCTTTTGTTAGTGTGTCAGCAACTTTGTTGCCATCAATATCTCTGTGTCCAGGAATCCACTTGATGGTCACTCTAGGAGTGTGTGCTGTGGCAAGTTCTTGGAATCGTAGAAAAATGTTCTGTGATGTCTCGGGTGGGGTCCCATTGAGCCCATCTACCACTGACGTGTTTTCCAGGCAGACATATAGCCGTTTTTCGCGCCCAATCACCCTGGCTGCTGTGAGACCTTGGAGAGTGCCATGGATTTCAGCATTTATTACTTCTGCTTGAAGAAGTCTGTCTTTTCCCCGATATACTTCTTGTATGGTGCCGCCTTTTCTGATAGTATAACCCCATCCAGTGTGGGTTGTGCCTTGGTCGTCCAATTGTGATCCATCCGAATAGATAACAAGGTCAGTGTTCATATTTTTTTTCTTGTAGCCATTGCTTAAAGAGCTCTGTTTTTTTGTCTTTGTCCTTATGGATTGAGGGCTTCTTCTATAATCATTTGGTGAGTGTTGGTCTCTGGAAGTCAGGGACTAGCTGGAAGCTCCTTTATAGCCTTGTTGGTTCCTTACGAGCTTGTATTTGGAGTCTGTCAATAAGAGGGTATCTCTGGTCTATTCGTCCTAGTCGGAGGCCGTGACGTCGTTTTGTTGACTCTGCAAAAACTCCTGTTGGAGGAATCTGCAATTCAAAGTGTAGGATATGTCCAAGGTGTGTTTTCCAGACCGGCAAGATAGCCTCAATTGCCGTTCGTAGTACAGCATCTATTATTCTAAGAAGCCCCTTAATGCGATATGCTGATGTCTCAACTAAGCTCCCAATTTTTTTTATTCCCAGGTACCAGGCCTCCAGGCCGTGTGTAAGAATAGGAATAATACAAGCTTTCACAGCCCTCCTAGTCGACTTTATTGTAAGTCCTTTAACTATGTTGCATAGTCTTTGAAAGTGATTTGCTACCTTACTAGCTTTCTTGGCCTAATGAGAAACATGATCTTTGAAGTTTAGTTTTCTATCCAGAAGGACACCTAGCCATCGCATGGAAACCTTGGCTATTTTGTTCATTGTCTGGTTGGCGGACTGGAGGGTTGTCTGAGTTTTTTTTTCTTAAGAAGTGCATGATCTCAGTTTTATTGAGGTCAAATTCAATAACGTTGTTATGTCCCTATTAATTGAGCAAATAAAGATTTTCAGAAGCCTTTATAGCTATTTCCTAAAGGTTTTTTCCAATATAGAGACTTGTTAGGTTGTCTGTATATATAAAACGTCTTCTTTTCATGCTAAGTTGGGCACAGATTTGCTTGGTATACAGCATGTAAAGGATAGGAGAGGCTGGTGAGCCTTGTGGTAGCCCGCAAGTAAGAGCTTTTATATCAGTTATAATACCTTTAAACCGAACCCTTGCGGACCGCTCGGACATGAATGACTGGACCCATCTTATAAGAAAGCCTGGCCAGCCCTGTTCTCTCATGCGAACCACCAGCCGTCCCATTAGGGCAGCGTCAAAGGCCCCTTTCATATCTGACGTGACTACGTTGCAACGAAGCCTTAGTCGAGGACCTGCTCAATATTGTGTATGAGTGCAGCTACCAGGTCAGTGGCAGAGCGCTTTAGTAGAGCTCCAAAATATTGTGGAGCTAGAATTCCAAGTTTAACAACAAACCAGGTAATTCTTTTTGTGATGAGTCGTTCTAAGCCTTTGCGAAGACATGACAATAGCGATATTGGTCTGTAGGCCCTGGAATTGGAGTAGTCTTTCTTGCCTGGTTTTGGGATCATCACCACCTCAGCCACTTTGAATGGTTTTGGGTGATATCCAATCTGTAGGCAGGTCTGGAAAAGGGCTCTGATATGTTCCCCAATGACTGGCCAGCAAGCTTTCAGAATCCGTACTGTGAGGGTGTCTATTCCTAGGGAGTTGCTCTTGGTCCCTATAGTGCATCTTTCAGCCTCTTCCAGTCCGACATGGTATTCAAAGGGGATGTGTGGCTTGAGTTGTATGATCTGAGCGGACTAGGGGTCGATAATATTGTTGTCTGAGGTACTTCATTCAAGCGTGGCTGAATGTAGTGCATTTGCTTTGCTTTTTTGTGACTCAAATATTTGGTCTCCCATGATGATTGGAGGGGAACGCAATCCTGCTGATAGCTTGTGCCAAGAGAGACAATTCTGTATAGGTCCTTTGGCTCAGTTGCTGAATTAATTAGAGTCTGCCAGTATTCTCTCCTAGCTTTCCGAACCATACAGCGAAATTCCTGTCGGGCTGAATTCCGCCCTTTTTGGCTTGTAGTCTGTTTGAAAAGGGCCCTGTATGTCTGAATAGCTTCTTTACAGTCATTATTCCACCAAGCAGCGGGCCTAGATTGTCGGGGCTTTTTGCCCACTGTCTTGATACAGCCTTAGATCATATTGATCAAGCTCTGTGTGAAGGCATCCACCTGGCCAGGGGATACACCCAGCTGAAAGAGCTCATGAATCCTGGTTTGGACATTATCTGTCAGCTCTTGTAGTTTATTGTCCGGTACTATTCAATGATTGGCTTTGGGGATTTGGTCCAGATCTCCCTAAATTGGAATGACTATTCGTAATGTCTCATGATCTGAGGTGCACTGAAGTGCATCATTGACTGAGGCTTCAGCCATGGGGACATCTGAGAACACCAGATCTAGTACATTTCCGTCATCATGTGTTGGGACATCTGGTTCAGAAATCAGATCCAGTCTGTGGTCTGCCATAGTCTGTGCAAATATAACACCACCATGATATCCTGGATTGCTCGAGTCCCAGGATGTGTCGCTAGTATTGAAATCTCCAGTTATAACGCAGCCAAAAGGTGGAGTCCATACTTCTAGAATGTCATCAATTTTCTGTGGGTTGTCACATAGCCGGTAGACACTGGCAAATGTAATGCCTTGTACGTTGACCCAGGTGATGTCTTGTATAGCATAGGGCTGAAATTGATCCGCTTAAAGGTATTTTCTCACATAGATGAGAGATCTGGGCCGTGTATTGTCGCTGTTCAAGGAATCTACTGGGGAGTATATATCGTAATTGGGATGTGTCTTTACTCCTATTCACCTGCCTGGTGGTATGCCAACCCAGGGCTCTTGCATCAGAATGATGTCTAGCATTGACTGCCGACAATAGTGTTGGCATCCTTGGGATGAGCTGTATCTGTTGTGTCGATTTGCATTGTTGTGTCTTCGTTATTATTATCAGGTGTTGACCCAGCTTGGTTTCTGCCTGTTTCATTGAAGGCCCTGTATCTGGCTCTTTCTCTGGCCAGCCTTATTTCCTGGATTTGCTCCCATGTGTGCTTGTGGATGATGCCTTTCACAACCTTGGGGCGTGCAGGGCATTTGTCGAAGTTGGCAGCATGAGGTCCTTTGCAGTTGACACACTTTGGGATTGGTTTTTCGCACTCCCCCTGATGTACTGCATTGGCGCAACGTGCATATACTTGCTTTTCATATCAGTAGTTCCTACCATGGTATCTGAAGCAGCTCGCACACTGGTGAACCTTGGGGGAATATTGAATGTGCCTTGAGGTCATTAAGTGAGCAAAAAGCGTGAATGGTTTCTTTGCTGCACGGGACAGAGAGATCACCCATGTAGTCTCTGGATCAGAATCAACTGTGTTCCTTGAGAGTATGCACCTTAAAGGTCTGTCACCTGTTTGGGCTTCAATTTCTTCAGTAACAGCAATGTCAGTAATATCGATTGTTAACCCTTCCGTACTGATGACCTTTCTTGGGCATCTATCGACCTTGTAGTGGTGCCAGACTGTATGGGTCTTGATCTTTTCTGCTTTAAGGATGTCAGTGATTTCTTCTTGAAAGGCCAGGAGCTTAGCCTGAGTTGGCTTGTCTCTTGGGTGTAAGGTAAATCCAGAGGGGCACTAGGTCACTTTTTTAAGCTCTTGAGGGTGGAGCTTAAGTCTTCTGTTCAGTGTAGACTTTATTCTGTAAGGCTCTAGGTAGCTATTATCCATGCGAACAAAGATCCAGAGATCATCCTGCTTCTTCTTCAGTTGGTTGGCAGTGATGAGGGCGCCAGGCTGTGTTTTCCTCATGGTAGTATTGACTATCTGTGGATGCTGTCACTGGCTAGAGGAGACAGCTTGGGCGAAGGTCATAGTGGGCTTTATTATTCCTATTCCCCCAGGAATGGTCTTCCTTTTGGGCGGATCTCGGGTTTCCAGCCACTCGTTCAGATATTTAGAGAAGAAAGTGCTGAACTCCTTGACATGAGAGTATAGTTTGGTTCCAGCTTTCTTAAGTGTCTTATCAACTGTTGCAGCACACTCTGAAACATTGTCATCCTGGCTTCATAAAGGTGCTTATCTTTAGCCAGTATCTTGGCAACTTGGTCCTGGCACTCTGAAGAAGAGGCTTTGCTCCCTATATCACATCTAATGGCTTGGTCTGTAGAGATTTTGTTTAATTGAGGTTGTTTTATTCTAGTGATGCTGCCGTCATTGACATTTCGGGATTTTCCTTTCAGAGAGGAAACAACGGTGAAGTCAGCCTCAGAGACCTGTGACGGGCTGCTGCTGATGTCGTCAAGCAGCGCTTGGCGGAGCCTGCTCAGAGTTGCCGGGCCGTATGTCTTTATAGGGGCCAGGGATTTAAGCACATCACCGATGGTCTTCTTTGGGACGGCGTGTTTGGGGGCCCGTCGTGGAAGGGTGCCATCCGACTTGTGAGAAAATTTCTCTTATGTCTTAGCAAAGATAGTCAGTTACTGAAAGAAGTGCCTGTTTTAGCGCAGGAATCGAGGTTGCGCCCTAACAGCGGGGCGCCAAGAAAAATAGTTGTTTTTGGCAAGTTTGTGTGGGTTGAAAGCAATAGTTGGTGGTTATGCCTTCAGTGGTCTCGGGAATAATTGCTTAGTTCAGGTTGTTATGCAGGTTGTTATTTCGAGCGCAGCCCCTTTAGATTGAAAATTAATATTGTCTCGTCTTACATGTGATGCTGCTGTCCTGAATGGCGCCATCAAATGCGATGTACCTAATATATACAGGCGGGTCTATGGCTGAATACACCCCCGGGTCCTGTGGCTTGCCCAGGTTAGCTGCTGTCTCATTGGCTCAACCAAAACACCGAATGCCGACCACTTGAATGCCCCTCCATCTGGAACCTTAGCTACGCCACAATCGACACGTTTTGGACAATCGCATTCTCATCATTCCCCATCAACCGAAAGTCTTCGCGCCCATCGACTTCCATCAGGACAACCGCGTCAACATCGATTTCCATCATGAGTCCTGGTATCCTCAACGGAGAGCCTGCCGTTGGGCCTGACGGACCTCGGCAAAAGAGCATGGCTACCGCGGATACCCTCAGAGTTGGTTGCATCGCTTTGGTCGAGAAGGACGGCCAAGCTCGTCGCGCCGAAATCCTAAGCATCAAGGACACCAAGAGCGGTCGCCAATTCTACTGCAACTTTGACAACTTCAACAAGCGACTCGACGAATGGGTCCCCTCAAGACGAATCAAGTTCGACCACGATGTCGAATGGCCCAGCCCCGATAAAGACAAGCCCAAAGATGGAAAGGGGAAAAACTCGACCGCACCCAAGAAGAAGGTGACAGGAAACAAGGCCCAGAAGCGACCTGGGAAGAGGGAACAATCAGTCACATCCGAAGCTGTAACGCCGCGTCCATGGCCCGAGTTGAGCGAGAGCCAGACCCAGAGCAGACCGTCGACACCGCGTGACCTCGAGCTGAAGACAGGACAGACACCAGCTGCTATTGGCGATGAGATGGATCTTGACGATGACAACAACACACCAGAAGTGAAGAAAGAGTACGAGCCCTTCAGCAGAGAACGTGAGATCGAGAAGCTACGAACGGGTGGCTCTATGACGCAAAATCCTACCGAGCTAGCTCGAATCCGAAATATCTCCAAGGTACAATTTGGGCCATGGGACCTGTTCCCGTGGTATTTTTCTCCATACCCAGAGTCCTTCACCCAGGAAGATGTCATATTCATCTGCGAATTCTGCCTGAGCTACTATGGCGAGAAGAAGCCCTTTTGTAGACACCGGCAAAAGTGTTCTTTGCAGCATCCTCCCGGAAACGAAATCTATCGAGACGACTACGTTTCATTCTTCGAAATCGATGGTCGCCGGCAACGGACATGGTGTCGGAATCTGTGCCTGCTGTCTAAGATGTTCCTTGACCATAAGACGCTATACTACGACGTGGACCCTTTCCTGTTCTACGTGATGACACAAAAGACTGAAAAGGGCCATCATCTGGTTGGCTATTTCTCCAAGGAAAAGGAGAGTGCAGACGGATACAACGTGGCTTGTATTCTGACCCTGCCACAATATCAACGCAAGGGATTTGGTCGGCTACTGATTCAGTTCTCCTACGAACTGTCCAAGATCGAGGGCAAGCTGGGGTCCCCTGAAAAGCCACTCTCGGATCTGGGTCTTCTCAGTTACCGACAATACTGGTCAGAGATGATCCTCGACCTACTCCTGGAGTACAACGAGCGAGACGAGAAGTCAAGTATTGAAGCTATCTCGACTGCGCTCGCCATGACCACCCAGGACGTCGAGCATACCCTCCAGGCACTCAAGATGCAAGCTTACCATAAGGGGGAACACAAGCTAGTCATTCCAGAGTCGATGATCAAACAGAGGGGCATGGCCAAGTTGAAGCAGAAGCGATATATCGCCCCGGAGCGTATCCAGTGGAAGGCCCCTGTCTTTACCGCTTCGACACGGACGTGGGGCTGGTAGGGTGAGCCTCCTGTCTTCACCGCTTCGGCCCGGACGTGGAACTGGTAGGGTGGTCGATAATGGTTCTTTCGTTGGTCAGTTGGTTGGCTTGTAACATTGCAAGCAAGTTTGGGTCGTTCAATAGTAGATACCCAGAATGCATTTAGAAGGCGTTGGCTGTGAAAGCCCGCTCATCAATAGTTCATCGCTTTCAATAATGCCTTCACTGCGTGATGCGTACATGTATACACTGTTGACACCACTTCAATATTTTCCCTTCAGGCCCCTCAAAATTATCATTTGATCTGCGCGACATCACCCTGCCCCTTTCCCTTTTCCGTACCCTCCCAACCCCCCGGCCCCTCCTCCAACATCCTCCCAATGACCCTCCCGAGCCTCTCCACGCCCTCGACCAAGTGCGCCTCGTCCTCATACGCAAAGCAGAGCCGAACATCGCGCTCGAACCGGACCGCCGCCTCGTCGCCGTGCACCTCGAACAGCCCGCCCCAGCCGATCATCAGGTCCTCGTCGCTGCTACACCTGTCCGCGACCGCCTTTGCCGACGGCCAGTGCGTTCTCTCCTTTCCGTTTTCTGTCTTCCTGTCCATATCCATGGTTTCGGAGGAGGAGGTGGAGGAGTCTTCAGACGGGAAACTCATCCACACGAAAAACCCCCCAAACACATCCCCCCGCCCACACAGACTCCCCTCTCTTACCCTCACGCCCAGCGGCGTCAACACCCTTTCACTAGCATCCATCAAAACCTTATGCCGCCTCTGGTACGCGGGCCGCAGCACCTCGACCACATGGCGCTCGACGGCGCCCCCACATAAAATCTCGCACAGGATCGTCGCGGTCAGCTGCGAGGGCGCGCCGCCGGAGCGCGTCGAGCCCGTTTGGGATATGCCCGTTGCGAACGCCGGGGTAGAATATGTCCACCCCGTGCGCACGCCCGGTGCTACTAGCTTGCTGAAGCTGCCGTTGGAGACGGTGTGGCCGAAGTGCTGGCCGGATGGGTCGTGGGGGGAGCGGCCGAGGGGGATGTCGAGGTCGGCGAGGCGGGGGAGGAGGGCTGTGGTGAGGGAGTTGACGTCCGGGGTGGCTGTTGTTGATGAGGATGGGGATGAGGATGGGGATGGGGTTGATGGAGATGGGGAGGACGGACACGCTGCCGACACGGGCCACTGCAGCATATCGTACACATCATCGCAGATAACCAGCGCGTCGTGCTCGCGCGCTAGCCGAACAAGCCCCTGCCGCCGCCGCAGCGACATGGTCTTGCCGCTCGGGTTCGAGAACGAGGGCACGCAGTAGATGACATGGCGGTAGATCTTGCGGTGCGGGCCGGGATCTTTGTAGCGTCGCCTTTGCCCTTTCTCCTGGTCCTCCCCCTCCCCTTCCCCCTTCCCCTGCCCGCCCGCGCTCTCTCCATCCCCTTCGTCACTCTCGGCAGCAGCCATCTTCCTCAACCCATCCTCAAGAAACCCCAGATCAATCCCCTCCTCATCCTCCGGCACAGCCCTCAACCTTCTCTCAAACCCCGCATCCGCAAAGATAGGACACGCCAGAAAATAGCACGGCGCCACCATCCACACGGCGCGCGTGTAACTCGGGTCCGTGAACGACTGCAGGATGCACGCGATGCTCTGGCTAGCACCGCCCGTGATGGCAATACGATCCGCGTCCACACCACCATTACCACCCTCTCCATCGTCTCTAATATGAGGATGATAAAACCGCCCCAGCCACCGCCCCAGCTCCTCCCTCAGCGGCTGATACCCGTGATCCGGCCCGTACTGCAACCCCAAATCGAAAACGGCCGGGTCCGAGAGCGCGGTCTGCGAGGCGGCGCGCAGGCCCTCGGCCGGGAGGAGGCTGGTGGAAGGCCAGCCGCGCAGGAGGTTGATGCTTTTCCTCGGTTTCATTTCCTGCTGGTGCTGCTTTGGCTTGCTGCATGAGGACTGTTGTGCCTGGGCTGGTGGTGTGGTGCCCGCCATGGTTTGGTGGAGCCGCCGGGGAGTTAGACGGGTCATGATGACCTGAGATGTGTGGTTACTGTTGATGATGGGTGACCTTTGTAGGAAGTACTTGTGCATGCCCACGGGTGTTGTTGTTGTTCACGGTATACATGTAGGTCTGGTGCGAGGCAGGATGACGTTTGCTAGATTCAAGGATGTGGGGATCCAAGTCAACGTATGTAAACGTGTGTAAAGCATCATGTGATTGAAGCTGAGTCACGTATTGGGTTCAACAATCGACATATCAAGTCTTCTTCCACACGGAAATGGAATGTGGGATTGAAGAGAGTCATTTCATGAGGAATTGCGCCTTCGCAGTGCTGAAGATGCTATATGGGAGACTGGCTATACTACAACGTGGCCGGCGACTCTTCTTCAGGGGTATAAATGCAGTGTGGATCGTGACTAATGTCACTCCGAGTCCATTACGTCCCAGCTCCTCACACGGTGTGCTAATCCGATGAGACCTTCAGATTTCATAAGGCGATGCTGGTTCTTTGAATATCAGATGCGGCTTTCGCTTTGCAATGTCCAGTATGGTTTCTGCAAACACTCCGTTTGCCCCTATAAGTACAATTAGCTTTGAACAGGCCTTGACGATACATGTATACTCGGGCGAGACTCACAAGCAAACCAGCTTCCTAGACATACTTGTTAGCACGGCCACTCGTTCGAATCGAATCCGCGGGAGACTTACTTGTATAAGAATGCATCATGTTGACATCCACAGACTCGTGGATGAGGCCGAGTTTGCTGGAGCTGAGTACCAGCTGCAAACACTCGGCTATTTCAGTATCGTCGTCCGAAGTCTGTGCTTGAATCAAGAGACTCATTGGCCATGCATTGGTGAGACCGATATGAGGGCCTGCAATTTCCGGTCAGTCTCGGGGTTTGGGAGTGGTGTGTCATAACGAACCTCCAATGCCATGGAATTCTCTTCCGCTTAGGTAGTATGGATTCGTCTGCTTGCTAAGTAGCATCCGCCGCGTATTCTGATATGTTTCGTCGTCGGCTTTCACAAACCCCATGAGAGGCAACGCAAGCAGTGACGGGTAGTTTGCGTCATCCATCAGGATGGAGGAGCCGTAACCGTCGACTTCATAGGCAAAGACGTTGCCAAAGATACCATGACGAACGACGCCATGTTCCCAGATGCCATCTGTAATTGTCTGGCTCCATTTCTCGATGGTTTGCGCCAAAACATCCTTGTGGGCGTCTTTCAGAGCTTGTGCTGTCCGCTTCAACTCGACGGCCATCATCGCATTGGCCGGAATGAATAAACCCAGAATTGTAGCATCGTCTGACGGTCTAAACGCAGATCGCACAAGACCTGTACCGTTGTTCAAGGGATTGCCTACGCCATTGAGGTTCAGTGTTTCCGTCCCAGTGTTGGTTGAGCGGCTGAAGGTGTACTCGTTCCGACGGTATCGACCAGTCTCGGGGTCAAAGGTGGACTGGGATTGTTGTTCAAGCACGTTCAACAGCGTCTCCAACGCAAGAAACCACCGCGGCGTCATGTACTCGGTCGCCCCAGTGTGATCATGGAAGTCGTTCGACAACGCGAGGAAATGTGCCAATGAGTCCAGCTCGTACTTGCATTCGAAGACAAATGAGGGTTCGTATACGGGGTGGACCATGTCGTCTTGTCCGTTATGAGAGATGGAAAGACCACTGATAGGCGGTGGTTGGAACGCGTTGCAGTACGGAGACTCGATGACATATTCGGACTGCGTGTTGATGGCCCCCATAATCAACTGGTGTATCTTGGGGTCTTTCTTAGCAAGAGCTTGGTAGGGTGAAAGCTGGTTCGTAGAGTCGCGAAGCCATTCGGCAATGATATCTCCTGTGAAAGCAACAGTCAGCCACAGTTCTGGGAGTATGGGCACCAGTTCTGCGAGAGAAGTACCAGTGATAACAAACGAATGAGGCCCCTCCCACTTTCCCTCATCGTACGGACTCGTCTTGACCTTCTTCTTGCCGTCTGTCGACCCGCTGGTATGGAATTTGACGGTTGTGTCTGTAGTCGACTACAGAGAGAGAGAGAGAGAGAGAGAGTATTGGTTAGCTGTCGAGTTGCACAATGCTCGAACCGAACCTTGGGACGCAAGGGTATAGGATCGACTAACAGGAAAGGCGTTCTCGAACAGGCGCGCAAGATCAGGATCCTTCATTCGAGAAGTTACATCTTCTATCACCTGCTCTATGGCATCGGAATGAAAGGTGCGACATCTTGGATGGGGTCTTTGAAAGGGTAACTCTAGGGGCCCTTCGCTCAGAGGATGGCTGCAAAGAGTCAATCAGTCAGAAGCCATGGCCTGTTGACGCATTGTGACGCATCGGGTACTCACTGAGGGTATGATGAATAATGTGTATATTCGGGACATGCTTCTCGATAGGCAAAGTCGTCGTCCAAGGGTACCTGTTGTTGGCCATATTGACGACCAGCTCCCCATGCGAATGTCGGCAGCAAGCTAACAGCTACCAGCGCAACAGCACAACGAATTCCCGCCATTGTCCACACTTGTGTCATGAATATGGAAGCTTCATTTCTGGTGTGGTAGTCGAACTCTTATATCGCTCGTCCTGCTGACAGTTGGGTGTTGACTCGACTCCTTCTCTTTGAATAATAAGACGAGACCACGGTATGTCACAAGCTCAAGGGTGCTCGCCCAGGAGCATGGAAACACGGCAGATAAGAACCTTATCAGAGCAGCTAAGCTTGAAACGCCCCGCAGTGTTACAAGTTTAGAATCCATTCGCCGGTCTTTTGGCGGGGTGCTCCTAGGGACCTCGGGGGTCTGTTACTTTACGTTCATGTAACAGGTCATTGACATGTCACAGGGCAAAGCTTATCTGCGGACTGTCCGATATATCAGAAGACATATGATAAGTCTTGTCCGTCAAATACATAGACTACATATATTGCCAGCACTGGTCTGGGAGGGCTTGTCTCGAAGTATGGACCCTTGAGAGCGCCATGTACCTTACGTTGGCCCACTATTGTCTACCGGTCCGGGGATGCAGCCCAAGATGTCCGCCGCAGAAACCATCACGATTTTCTGTCTGCTTACTTGCTCGGTCTGCCATTGAGTCACCGTGATGGCCCATCATGTCCCCATAAATACCTCATTGCGGTCTTCAAACACTCTAATACAGCCTTGACTACTTGAAGCCCCTTCGCAGCCATGCTGGCACCCACAATGCGCAGTCTCGCCGGCTCGCGTGCCCTCGACCGTCCCTTGATCCGCACCATGGCCTCCGCCAGACGTCAGGCCGCCGAGACAATCCCATCCACTCCGATCCGAGTCCTCCGCACCGTAGACGCCGTGCGGAAATGGAGGAAGCCCCAATATCTCGACCATCGGATCGTGGGGCTGGTGCCGACCATGGGCGCATTGCACGAAGGCCATCTCTCGTTGATCCGTGCCGCGGCCCGCGAGACCCACCACGTCGTCGTCAGTATATACGTCAACCCGGCACAGTTTGGCATCAAAGAGGATCTGGCTTCGTATCCGGTGACGTGGGAGACCGACTGCAAGATCTTGAGAGAGCTGGATCGGGAACTGGCAGACGACGGTGGGAACCTCGGCCGCATCAGTGCCGTGTTTGCGCCGACCACGAGCGAGATGTATCCGTCCGGATTCCCGGGGCAAGAGGTGGACTCAAAGGGCAGCTTCGTCGTCATGACGCCCATCAGCGACGTGCTGGAGGGCGGTACGCGACCGACCTTCTTTCGAGGTGTGGCAACCATTTGCATGAAACTGTTCAACATTGTACAGCCTGAGAAGGTGTACTTCGGACAGAAGGACGTACAGCAAACAGTTCTAATACGCAAGATGGTCAAGGACTTCATGCTACCCACGGAAGTCATTGTTGGCCCGACAAGCAGAGAGCCGGATGGTCTTGCTCTAAGCTCCCGGAATGTATATCTTGGTGAGAGACGGCGGAAAGTTGCCCCGGTGTTGAATCGGGCACTTCAAGCTGCAGAGGCGCAATACTTGAATGGTGCTGTGGATCGCGAATCCATTTTGAAAGCAGCCAACGCTGTGGCCGTCGATACCCTGAACGAGCAGATGACCCTGGCCCCTGAAGAGGGGGTGAAGTACGAAATCGACTACATCTCACTGGCCGACCCGTCAACGATGGAAGAGCTGACTGAGGTCGACCCAAAGAATGGTGGGATAATGAGTGGCGCGGTGAAGATGCTGCCAGTTGAATCGCCGCAACCAGGAGAAGACCTCGGTCATAGTGGAGGCCCGTCGGTACGGCTCATCGACAACATTGTGCTGCAACCATCAACTTGAAGATAGACAGATTTGTTTTCAATATACCCAAGCTACCACTTCCTCTCGGCAGGGCCTTTCACGTCTGGTTCTGGTTCCCGTGGCTCTTCTTGTGTCAAGACTCGAGCTACATCGAGAGTCTTCTCCCTATCCCGTATGGTTTCCTCGGTCATCTTGTTTTCCATCTCCCCGCCGTCCAAAACAGCCGCGGTCTCTTCCACGCTCAACTTGCCAGCCTCAACAAACAGAAAATAGACGACAAAGCAGCTCGACCGCAAGCCACATGTCTGTGATGTAGAGCTTCCACCCCGAGTTCGTAACGCCGACGGGGGCTGGCATACTGGTTAAAGATCAACGCGCAGGCAACGAAGAGGTTAGGTAGGTATACAGCACCAATCCCCTAACCTAGCGCGCAAGTTGAACGGCAGGATCTCGACGACATACGTTATTTGAAGTTTGCCCCATCCCAGCGCGGACACCAGTTGGTATAGGAAATTCATTGCCACAACATCCTTAGCAATTCCACTCGGTCCTTCCGTCCCGTCGGTACCAAGGTCGGTCGAGCGCTCGTATGTCGCTTCGAGGGCGGTCCAAATGACATAAGTGGCCCGGCAGCCCGCCGTCGACGCGAGGAACAGCGTCCGTCGTCCGAAGCCGTTGACCATGAGCGAGAACGCCATCCCCTGCACCAGCGTCCACGGCGTTAGCAGCCTGTTGATGAGGGTCTGGGTGTCCTGAGCCGTCTAGTCAATCGAGTTCAAGATAAGCGTCAAGTACGATATCAGCCCGTTGCCAGTCCTCTGGCTGAAGAAGCCTACGGCCAGCACGATGAGGAACCACCGGCGGTTCCCCGGCGTCGCGAAGAACGCCAGGTACGACGTCGAGGCCGAGGCCGATTATGCCACGCGCCGCGATGCACATGCCATGGTCGCAGAAGGGGAGGGCGACTAGTTGGCCGATTTTCTGGATGGCGTTGTGACTTTGGTTTAAGGGGGAAGACCAACTTCCTGTTCCACCTCTATGACCTAATTCTGTCTCGGAGCCTGTATACTTGCAGAGCGAGATCGCTGACGCCGGGTTGCTGATCAACACCTTCCAAGTGTCGAGGCTCTGGAATTTCTTCATCATGGAGCTGTCGAACCCCGTCGCCCAGCTGGAGATGAGCGAGGGCAGCAGGATTGCGCTCAGCTTCACGATGCCCTTATTGGGGAACCAGCCGAAGATGCCTGTCCGGCCTCACATGGCTGCGTTGGCCGTAACGGCACTGTTGTAATGTCTGGCATTCTCAATTGTATTGAGTTTGGTGGTTCCGTTGCTCACGACGTCTGATGTTGCGAGTTTCAGAGCCAGGAGAGGCGAAGAGGGGTCAAATTTCCAAGGAAATATTCATGGAGACATCATGAGATTTTCAGAGGAGCACTTGCTCTATATTCCATGCATACCCTCGGTGTGTCAACATCGGATCTCGACAAAGTTTACTAAGCAGCCACACTGCAAAGCTTATAGCCCAGCCTCCTATTCCACCCACCACAACGGTACAGGATATATATAGCAGTTTATCAGGTTTGTCCGGTAGCCGGGTTGGTACGGCCTAGCGAATAGCGGATTATTCTTATTCTATATCCTTAGGCACAGCGGTTCGATTCCCTAGCGGCTGACATTACTTTTTTTCTCTTTGCCACTCTTTACCCGAACTGTTTCTCCCCTTCCTCTTTTTGTATTGAATTGAGCCACCTTATATAGCAGCGCCTTACTTTTGGCCAGTGTCCAACCTTGCGCGACGACCTGGTCAGCCTCATTGAGGACTCCCTTGAAGCTGCCGCTGTAGGTGGCATGCGTCGAAACGGCACCTTCCTCGAAGACGACAACCTCGTCTTGGCCTGTTTAAATTCCTCCATAATGCGAGCACTCGTAGTCGGATGGATAGGTGCCCGCCGAAACAACCAAACATACATCGACTTTGCCGAGCAGGAGGGGACCGGCCTACTGGTGTTGTTCAAAAGGGTGAACAGGAGTATTATGGTATAAACCTGTGGGCGCTGGCAGCGAATATTGCGTACGGCCGCCGAAGGGTGAGGCCGATCTGCTCTATGAACGTGCGAGGGTCCTGGACTCTCCCTGATTATGGACGTCGTTGGGCCTCCATTGATGCAGACACTTATACCTGGTAGCCAGACGACTAGGCTGGGGGTGTCCTGGCCGGGTAGATCTGATGATTTTGCCAATGAATGTGACATGAATGAAGTGTATAATCAATAGACCTTCGTGGTGTTGAATGAACACGAATTGAGTCCATGTAGCGCCATACAACGAAGTCTATCCAACATGAATGACTTCAATACTATGAAGTAAGGTGATAGGCCACAGAAAGCACAAGGCCAGGTCTCCTGCAGCTTGACCACCGGGCATCGCATCATCGTGCCGGAAGAAGACTGCGACGGACTCGGAACGATCTCAAGTGGACGTCTCGGGCCGTCTTACAGACATCGCCGGCGCCTCCCTCCGGGCCACAATCGGGCACTATCTCCGCTTTTGGCACCCAGACGATGGAATAGTGCAGGAGAACGCTTCCCCGCCGAAAAGACGTTGGCGGCCGAAATCCTAAATCCCTCCTCATCCTCCCAGTCAGCCAGTCACAAGTCAGCCAGTCAGCCCAGTCAGTTCAGCGTGCCCGAAGAGGAAGAAGCCCGTCGTCGATGAGAATCATAAATCCCACCCGACTCATACTTCCCCACCTGTCGATTATCTGCGCCTAGCTTCATTTCTTCTGCCGCCCGTCATACTCAAAAACGCGGGGCTTCCTCCGTCCGTATCCCAGAATAACATGCCGCGCACCCCTACCGCCGTCTCCGCACCGGGCAAGGTCCTCCTTGCAGGCGGCTACCTCGTCCTCGACCGCGAGTACACGGGCCTCGTCTACGGCCTGAGCGCCCGCATCAGCGTCATCGCCCAGGAGATCAAGACCAGCCCTGGCATCCAGCTGACTGAGATTGTTGTCAACAGCCCACAGTTCCTCGAAGCGCAGTGGCGGTATGGCTACCATCTCGCCCCTGACGATGGCGGCATCAAGGTCACTCAGTTTCAGGTGTAAGTCTATGTTCTCATTACTGTCACGTCTATATTCACTTTACGTGTCTCGTGACGGGTAGTGATCTCAATCATGAGTATCTGCTACTGTAGCCATACAATGACTTGTTCACAAAATACGATGGGAGCCCTCTCCCGCCCTGCCATCTCACATACTCACCATGTAAACACAGCGGCTCAAGCATCAACGCCAACCCCTTCGTTGAGATTACCCTCAGCTACGCCCTCTCGTACATCACCACCACGGAGCACTACAAGCCCTCAAACACATTCGAGCCGGCCCAGTTCACCATCATCGCCGACAACGACTACTACTCACAGTCACACTCCATGACGGGCACGGAGAAGAACCCCACGCGCTTCGCCAAGTTCCCGACCGCGCTGAAGGACGCCCACAAGACCGGCCTCGGCTCGTCGGCCGCGCTCGTCACCGCGCTGACGGCCGCCCTACTAACGCAGTATCTGCCAACCTCGGCCTTCGACCCCGCCACCGACGCCAGCAAGCGCATCCTGCACAACCTCGCGCAGGCCGCCCACTGCGCCGCGCAGGGCAAGGTCGGCTCGGGCTTTGACATCGCCGCCGCCGTCTACGGCAGCTGTCGGTACAGGCGGTTCTCGCCGTCGGTCCTGCAGGGCCTGCCCGAGGCCAGCACGCCGAAATTCGCGCCCGCGCTGGCCGCCTGCGTCAACGATAACGACGGGCAGTGGGACGTCGAGATCGCCAAGGAGGGCGTGGCCGTGCCGCCCGGGCTCGCGCTGCGCATGTGCGACGTCGACTGCGGCAGCCAGACCGTCGGCATGGTGAAGCAGGTGCTGGCGTGGCGGCAGGCCGACCCAACCAACTCGCGCCGCATCTGGGACGAGCTGCAGGCGCGCAACGTGGCGCTGGGCGCGCTGCTCAGCAAGAACCAAACGGGCGAGATCGTCGAGGCGATAAACCAAATCCGCGAGCTGATCCGCGCCATGGGCAGCGAGAGCGGCGTGCCCATCGAGCCCGAGAGCCAGACGTCGCTGCTGGACGCGCTGATGGACGTCGAGGGCGTGCACAACGGCGTCGTGCCCGGCGCCGGCGGGTTCGACGCGCTGGCGCTGCTGGTGGACGACGACGAGGCGACGGAGAGGCGCGTAGAGGAGTTTCTGGTCGGCTGGGGCAGGGAGAAGGGCGGGGCGGTGAGGTTGCTGGATGTTAAGGGGGAGATGCAGGGGGTGCGGAGGGAGGAGCTGGCGCAGTATGAAGGCTGGGTTGTATGATTTGGGGATGGGTGTGTATTCACGTGGTAGTTGAGCAGCGGAATTGTCTGGGTATATGAACAAAATGAGTAACGGATGACTGACTGGGGAAGTCTTCGGTGCGAGTGACTAATATATCGCCCTTTCAAGTCTCCCCTCGAGTGGAATGGTAAACATTGAAGGTGTGTATGAGATCCAGAATAAGCATTGCAAGTTACCCATCAGATCAGAACCGCTTATCCCGGGGTGCTTAACCCACACTCCCAGCATCAATGGATCGTGGGAACTGCTCAGTAGAAGAACGTTTTGAACACCAGGTGGCGATGCAAGCAATTTGTGAATGACAGGTGAAGCATGATAGTGGTGGGAATAGGCTGGCTGACACACCACGGATGATTTAGGTAGACTCACGCGCAACCCTAGGTAGGACCCTTACTTCGAGCAGGTGCCGGCGACACGACTCGATGGCAAACTGAACGGCAAATTAAAGAAGGTCCGTGGGGCCTTACCACCTGGCTTGTCCGAGCACGATGCTGGGGGTTTTGAACAAGCTTCATGGTTCTATCATCTGAGTTACCCCTGTCGTTGTTTGCAATACTTTCTCCAATACGCTCATATCGCAGTTAGTACATTCATTGTCTTTTCCGTTTAGACCGCCGTATGACTATTTCCAACATTATAGCGGTGAGCAAACAACGTTGTATATTGGATGCCACTGGCTGGGTCCCGGTGCAAAGTCAGTAAGGGGGTGAATGTTTGTTTGGCAGTATCGACAAGCTCCTTGCCTTGCAATATCGAGGCTGCATTATTTCAAATGAATTTTCCAGGACAAACATGACCTCGAATGGAGCTAGCCACTCAACAGGGACACGGGGCAATCTTTTTACTCGAGATCGAATGCAAGACGTTGATCATTGGGTCATGGCGGTTCAACTGGGAGCAAGACAATGAATGAACTGGTCTATTCAGGAGGGCATGGGCCCCCTACAGCGCAGTCATCCATTGAGAAGGGGACATTCAACTGGCGTATCTTCTTTTTCTACATATACAGCGTTGCTGCCTAGGCATCTAGAGATATTTTTCTATCAACCAACTTTGCTTTCGCTTCCCTACACATTGCTTTCGCTCCCCAACGAACGACTACATACCTACACGATCGCTACGAACCAAGCTTTCCACCATGCTTTACACCAAGAACCCCCTGACCAGCCTGGCGGGCACCATGCTCTCTGCTCTCTTGCTCTTCAGCAGCCTTGCCCAAGCCGTCCCCCTATCCCCGGAATCAGCCCCCGTCTACATAGCGAAACGCGCGGTTGCCAAACGCATCATCCTCTGGGACTACAGCCTAACCCGCGACCTGGCCGCCTACCCAGCCATCCAGGCCAGCGCCAACTCCCTCGCAAACTCCCCCGTGGTCACGACCATCGTCAACTGGGAGACCTGGCGCCCGACCGAACTGCATTCAAACCTGCAGTTCGAGCCTACCGTGTATGTACATTCTCGAGTCTCCTATTGCACCTTCTGGCCGTGTCTCAGAAACGAATTTTTTCTTCTAGCCTGTGTCAAGAGCCTTGCTCCCGAGACGCGCATTCCGACTCTTTGTTTCTCGTTGAAAAGGAGTAATTACTGACTCTAATTTGCTACCAGGCGGACCCCGGCCTACCTCTCCGGTGACGACTGGAACCGCGTGCTCAGCGCGTCGTCCTCGACACAGGGGCTCATGGTGCACCTCTACAACGAGCCCGAGCGCCAATCCGTCAGCGTCGCGGACGCCCTCGCAGCATGGAGGAACACGATGCTCCCGCTGCGCGCCCAGCACGGCGTCAAGCTATCCTCTCCAGCCTGTGCCGCCGACGCCGCAGGCACGGCCTGGCTCGATTCCTTCATGAGCCAGCTCTCGGCGGCCGAGAAGCCGGACTTTGTCGGGATTTACTTCTACGCGGACGCGGCCCAAAACGCCGCTGATGAGGTCCAGAGCGCCCAGGATTACCTCAACACCCGACACACGAAGTTCGGCATCCCGATCGTGATCCTGGAGATGGCGAGTACGAGCCGTGACTTTTCTGTCATGGATACGTTCACGCGGCAGATGGTGGCCTGGCTGGATGGGCAGGACTGGGTTAATAAGTATGGCTTCTTTGGCGTTTCGCGTGAGCCGGTGGATAGCTTCGTGAGCCCGGCGGCGCAGTTGATGGATGTCAATGGGGCCTGGACGGCTCTGGGCCATTTCTTTACTGGAGTCTGAGTGTGCGAAATGCGTCTGGCTTCTCTGCGCATTAGCGAGCTTGGAATATCGGTTGTGTAGTATAGGATATGAGTGCTATAGAGTACTAGGGAATCTCTGAGAATAATAGTACCCAGATTGCAGGATATATGGAGACGGTGTTCGTCCAGTGATTTCAGTCTTCAGGTCACACTGAACCTCCAAAAGTCTCCGTACACCCCTCGTTCAGTCAGCGAGGAGCATATCTATTATCTTGGAATAAGAACTCTAGAGTAAGCATCAAATATGGTTCATCGTATTAGACCTGCTTTTCTCACGTCGCTTATTCTATTAATACAAATATAGTACTGATATTAAAGAGTTGACAAGAGCATGACGGACGGAGACTTGTGAGGGGTGACTGTACCTATGTAGGGATATATAAATCACAAGTTCTACGGGCATTAACTGACATTGAGTAAGTACATTTGTGTCTCGGTGGGCCGACATGGCCGTGATATTGATGGAAGTTCAGCAAAAGGCATGCTTACCTAAGTACCTACCTATGCAACAGATATTCCTCTCCTGACAATCAGACTGATTGATACCCTACGCGCCTTGTAATCCGGTTGTTGCTTTGTTAACCAGTTTGATGCTATTTAGAGAAACTCCCAAGAGATATTATCGACATTCACGAAATAAAATGGGCGAAGGTAGTAGCACGTGGCTGGGACGATCTCGTCAACCCAGTTCTATCGCCGATAGGGTCTGTCAACTACGTACGCAACTTCTTCGAGCCACTCCTCAAATACCGCTGCATGGAACGGCCCATGCACCGCCTTTGTTAATTGAACTTGAAGAGTCAGAAGCGATGACATAGAAACAAGCGACGCCGCCGTCTTCCTCTCGTGGCTGATCTTTACTCATCACGTTCGGCCTCGCGTTATCAAGTCAGATGAAAATGCCCTCCGTACCCCCCAAGGGGAAGAACATTGGCTGCGGACCCGATTCCCATGGCTGCAGATGTCATCCCGCGGCTGCGGGTGCAATTGATGTTCTGATCAATGTCTGAGGTTACCCGGACGGATCTTGTCAATGACCGGGAAAAGATGGGCCGGGTGTGAGGATACAATATAGGGGACAGCATGGTGGTGCTATCGTTGGAAGTCTAGCAAAAGGGCATGCCCACCCAAGTACCTATGCAGCAGATGTTACTCTCCTGACAATCAGAATGATCACTACCTACGCGCAAATTGGTTGCATCGCCACCTTGTGTCCAAAAGGTCCTTCTACTGAGCAGTTGCCACGCTCAATCGATGCCGGGAGTGCATTCTTGGCAGTTTGACAAGCAGGAACCTCGATCGACCGGTTCCCTCTTGCCATAAAGGCACTGGGTCCAGGAGGAAGCCGCGTCAATGGAAGAGACCACTTTGCCTCATTATCCTGAGGAAGTAGGCAGGAGGCACTCGAGTGCATGTGCCCCTCGCTTGCCACAATGCTTCCATGGATGATGGGTCAAAGAAGAGTACGGGGAGTCTCACATGGGCCGGCGCAGTGTGAAGGTCCGGAAGGAAACAAAAGCTGCGCTGAGTCCCTTCCAGATTTCGAGGCTCGGCGCCATAGTCGGCTGGTGTTCCTTTTCCGCGGTTTCTTTCGTGTGTGTCAATCTCGACTTCAAGCCGGTCACTTTGGCGTCAGCGTGTTTCGTACTTCCGCTGGTAGAGGAAATAGTAGCCTGTTCACATGGGCAAGTGCTCCCAGTGCGTGTTCATCGCTGGTGCCAATCCACGGGCTAGACAAGCAAGTTGGGCTGACGGAACAAGACGACTTGAAGAGTGATCGACGGGCAACAGTGATGGCCTCGAACATCAGGACAACAGGGCACATCCAAGGTGGGAGATCCCATTTGATTGAAGGTAGGTCCAAGCCATGGAAGTCAAGTCTACAGCACGGGCCCAACGCGCAATGCCATATGTCGAGGGACTATGCAATAGAGGAAGATTGTGGGCAGTGCACACTGCCCAGGGGTAGCATGTAAGAGAGTACTCGGCTGGAGGTTTTATTCTCGAGGAGGTCGTCTTCTCGATACCGTCTTCTCGACCCCTTCGATTCCCCCAGATGCCACTTGCTTTCCTGTAGACCTTTTCTGCAGTTACTACCTTGCCTTGATGGTTTGAACTGCAATATCCCGGGGCCTTCCCTGATCTGGGGCTGCCTGCCTCTTCTGCCCTGGTGGATGACCAGTGCCATCTCCCATCTCCCCGCAACTTCGAGACCACACCTGCTTCCAAGATGCCTTCCAAGGTGCCTTCCAAGGTGCCTTCCAAACACTCTGGACAGCCCGTCTCAGAGTCCACGCCTTCCTGGCGTGATCTCCCAGGTTTGCCTACTCAAACAGCCCATTCCGTCCCAGACCTCTCCATATTCTCTCTTGTCTCCTCACCGCCATGCCGCCACCCCACACCCAGAGGCCATCTACCCAGTGCAGTCCCAGCAACCGCCGTTATCCACAGTCCCCGATACACCCCACCTGCTACAAGTCAATTCCAACTCGCTCGATCCATCCTCTACATTCTCTGCCTCCACCGTTTCCAAGAAGGTCATCACGACACGACAATTCATATTCATGGCCCTCAGCTCCTCCATCGGGGCCGGACTCCTCCTGTCCACCGGCCAAGCCCTCGCCGTCGGCGGTCCTGCGCCGCTCTTCATAGGTTTCGCCTTCGTCGGGCTCGCCATCTGGATCACCATTGCAGCCTGGGCGAGCTGTCGACCAACTTCCCCGTCAAGGGGTCCTTCTGAACACGACAAGTAAAAAAACCACGCTATCCCACGCCATGCCCCCGAAGAAGTCAATCAACCTGCACCGGTGGCCATGCTCAGTATCACAGGCATCCCTACTGGAGCGCAGAGCCGTGACCAGGCATCGGTACGCGAGCCAGCATAGCGTTCCCGGAATGAACTCGTATGGCCACTATGTCAACGTAAGTCCCACCTTGCCTTTCGCTGCCGTCGGCAAGACAGTGTCCCCTGCAATAGTAGCCAATAACCCTCTGGTCCCTTTCGACCCAAGAGCTAACACGGCGTTGAAGCTAAGCAACATCGACATGAATGCCTACGCGAGCCAGCGTAGCGTTCCCCAGATGAACATCCAGAACAACTATGTCAACGTAGTCCCATCTTGCCCTTCGCTGCCTTCGGCGGGACCGTGTGCCAATCTATTCAACGTCGGTGTCGTGAGTGCGACGAGGAGGTCAAGCAAGAAGATCACGGTGATGACGACAGTGTCGACAAGCCAACACCCACGTCCTCAACGCCAGCGCCAGGGCGTTCGTACCAGGGCAACCAACACATCTTGTCGAAATCCAGCTCTCCCCCTCCCCTGGTCAAGGTCCCTCCCCTGGTCAAGGTGCGTCGACTACGACGCCATGGACTCCGACGTGGAGACCAACCAAGAAGATCACGGTGATGGCGACAATGCCGAGCAGAGTGTCGTTATCGAGGAGTTGAGGCAGGCACAGCAGACGCCTACATCAGCCGTCTCCTAGAGGCTTCCAATGCCAGGGACCCGCCAACAACCATCGAGTGACGCCCACGACCTCAAACTGGCGCTCCACATCTCCCGGAACCGCATCGACAGGTTCGGATGACTCATCGACCTACTTTCCGGCCAGCACTCCAACAGCAAGCTCCGCCACATACGTTCCGCCACACGCTCGCACAGCGTCCACCACCACGACGGCAGCGTCAACCACCAACACAGCAGCACCAACCACACCGATCATCGTCGGCCGCGTCAACCCCGCCCAGATGCGGTGGATCACCGTCGACGCTCTCCCCTCCATTTCATATGTGAGACTCGCCCACTCACGGAGGCTCGTCCTATCGCGGAGACTCGTCCCGCCACGAAGACTCGCCCCGCCACGACTGACCCATACTCAGGCCGGCTTGACATCTCCAGCCGCGTCGATCCAACCAGTGGGCGCACCGGCTGCACCACTGATCCAAGAGAAGCCCGTGTGGATGGACGAGATAAGCCCGGCTGTACTGGACTCGATGATTAATGGCTACGGCGACCAAAGTCACCTCTGGGGTCAAGAGTCAGGAGCTAATGGCCACATCCAGGTTGAGACCCTATCACAGCCAGAGCAAGTTTTGGTACGGGTCGCGACTGTGGCAACGGTTGGGATTGCACTTGGGTCACTGGGTAGCTGGGTGTCTGGGCTAGTGGCGGAGCGCAAAGAATTGTGAGCATGGGTGGTCGGTATTTTTAGACGACATCAGCAATGCATGAATGGATGCATTCTTTTTACCAACACCAGTTCCCTCTGATCCTGTGTCCCAATTCGATCGTCTCTGGCTCTTCAAGTCCATCACCCCAGCATTTCGGTTTCACAATTATCATAACTATCATAACTCCCTCTAATCTCTAAGGTATCTTCATCCACACCGGCGGATTCGGTGCGGTCTAACACATTGCTTATCTGAGGCAACAGACGTCGGATCCAGCTATTGCGTGGGTATGCCCACACCGACAGCTGTTGCTTTATCATTTCGGCTGCGAAGATGTATGAATGAGGCAAAGCAGCTTCTGTACGTATATCAACCAATTGCAAATGTCTACCGGCCGACCTACGCATAGGAGAGAACCCGCCCCTTTAATTCACAGGGTGACCCACATTTCCCGCCTCCCCAAATACCCCTGAGACATCCATCAGTTGCGCACCAAATCACCCTTGTTCACCTTACTAGCATCACAGCCTCCAATAGGCTTCTTGAAGTAGTCCACCAGGCCCGGGTAGGCATTATACCAACAAGTACAGCTTCCCTTCAAATCATCCCCGAGCCCAAGGAATGGATTCGTCTCACGGCACAGGAAGTCCTCCATGTCCTGCGGAAACCACGGGTTCCAGGGTTCCGTCCCGGTCGTCCGCTGGACGGCAAACACGGCACACCCGTCGTGCAGCTCGCCGCCCGTCTTGGCCGTGATGGTGTTGGTCTGGCAGCCGTTGAGGACGGTGCGCAGACGCTTTTTGCACTAGTCTATTTTCTCGTCGTCGGTGTTTCCGTAGATGGGCGCGACGGTGCCCGCGCAGGGGGACGCTGTCTTGTCGAACAGAATGCCCAGCCAGAGATAGCCGGGGAGGCTGTCGATCGTGTACGGTTTGTTGATACCCACGACTTTGGTCTTGCCATCGTGCGTGACCCCGCTGCCCTGCGAGACTGGTGATGCGAGGGTGTACTTGGCCAACCACGATAGGTCGTTGCAGAACTGTTGGATGAAGCCTTCGACAGGTGGCTGGGGGAATTGCAGGGCGGTGTTACCGTTATAGCATATGGGCGGGGCCAGGTCGTCGGCTTGTGCTAGGCTCGGGGCCTGAGGGGGACGGGCTAGGGATTCTGGAAGGGCGGCGCTCTTGCAGAGGGGTAGGAGGGTGAGAGCGAGATTGAGAGTTAGTTTGAGTACAGCCATGTTGATTTCAATGGGAGATTGTCTTGGGATTCGGTGATGTAGGTTACAGATGCGAGGTGTGGAATGAATTTATCACAAGAACAGACTCCTGGTATTTGTAGAAATTTGGAATCTTCCTCAATCCACAGCTTCCGACGTGATGACAGATCTATGCCTAGACGTTGAAATTTTATCCCTTGGAGGCAAACGGTGTGGGTGTTACTGGCACTTTGTCGCTGCAAGTCATGTTTGTCAAGTATGGCTATCCGCGATGAAGAACAAGCCTGCAGCACCAGCAGCATATTCCGGGCGGTCAGTCTTCCCCAGTCATGATCCTCGTCGCAGCGCATCAATCCGACGCACGTCGTGTCATCAAAGTCATCGCCCGTCCAGCCTTTTCGACAACCTCCCTCACAACCGCTCCTACAATGTTTAGAAGGGGTGTGCCATCTCAACCGAGTTTCAGGCATCGGTGCAACATGTAAAAACACATGCCTTGTGTGAGTTGGATGCGTATATGACTACTTTCTGCATAATCAGACGGGTAAGACATAATGTAGGCACCATAAGACCATATCAAAAAAATTCATGATGAATTACTGCAAAAAAGCTCAGCCTAGAATCTGACCCTATTGAACGTGCTCTGTCCTGAGCGAAACCCTATCCACTTGCATGCCAGCACGTCCTGGAATCGAATCCTAGACTTACGAAGGACCCCCGAGAGGATTCTGTCTCATACCACTGTACCAAGAGGACTTAAGGGTTGTCGTTGGCCACAGGGCGTCATTGAAAGATTGAGCTGGATTTACGGTACATATGGGGAGTTGCTGGGGAACCTGACCTGACCTGACCTGACCTGCTCAGCCAGCATGGGACACCAGCCGCGATCCGGAGGGAGCAAGTTCGATTCCGGGCCGCGCACTATTATTTCCTTTACTTTGCATAGTTTTTCTGTTTGCTCGTGGGATAACCACCCTCTTGCCGGCCTTTCTTCGTAACCCTTTCCTTTCCCTTTACCAGACAGACTGCTTGTCATACCCACGCTGGCAGTCTTCTCCATAGCCATCTTCAAAGACTCTCTCGTATCTGCTCCTGTCGTCTGTATCGGAAGCTGACTCCTGGCTGCCATGAAGCTCCACAGCAGACTCGAATTCCAAGCTAGAACGAAGAAAGCCCCTCCATTAGGTCGCCAACGTCGTAGACCTCTTCGTAGCCCTTGATGGCATCCGACACTCTAGACGAGAGTGACCTTCGGCGTATGCTTCTCGATACCTTGACCACGGTCTTTCGCTTCCTTGGCGGAACCTAGCACATTCTAAGGTCCCCGTAAGTAGTAGCCGTAGGAAGCCACCTTCATGTATTCCCGCCGGCCTTTCAATACATCCTTCTGAGCCAAAGACGTGATAGGGTGATGGCTGGCTTTGGCTCGCATGTGGAAATTGTATACCACAGTTCTGATATCCCATTAGACATGCCTGGCAAAGCCTTTGCCTGTTCCTCACATTCAATGTATTTCCGAGCAATGAACCCGAGTGAAAGCGCTCCATGGGGGTAGCCGTCTGAGCCGCAAGTGCAACGCAGCAATATGGCACCGGCGGGAAGACCCATACTTGTTTCCGTTTGTGCCCCTTCGAGAGACGGCGTCCCTCTGGTAGGAACTCTCTGCCTGGACGCTGTCAGTACAGGGACGGCAGATATAGCTCACGGTGACAATCTCTGTTCCACCAAAGAGAGGCCCGCCCGCACTTAGAGTCATGTCATTCCACGGCCATCTGACATCTGACTCGAGGCCACTCATAAGGACTCACCCAGAGGGGAAAATACAGTAACCAGCCGGCCAGCCCAGTCACACACAAACAAGGAAACGCGCCCCCTCGACGCACCAGAAAAGCACACCAGCCCCATCCAGGTCGAAAACCTCAGATTGCACAATTGCAGAATTCAAGATGCAGATCTCATTACTATATCTACCCCTCGAGCCGAAGAAGACAAGAAGACAAGACCTCCAAACGCCAGGAGCCGCCCGCCCTGTCATTGTCGTATCTGCGACCGCACAGACAGACAGACAGACCTCGGACGCCTCCCCCTTCCCTGCCTCTACCTTGACCAGCCGAAACCGAAAGGTACCGAATCCGTCAAACGCCGCCCCTGTGGACTGGACAGACAGCCTGTGTATCGTATGGCATGGTACGGGTGGTGTCTGTTGTCGTATGAAAAATCTAATGCATCGCGTCCGTCGCTTATCGTACACATTACCGAAAAAAATATCCTCATGAAATGAAGAATAGAAGCCAACGCAAACCTCTTTGCCCGGGGGCCGCCGCGTCGGGTTGGTTGTGCTTTCTTATCGTATAGTCTGTCAGTCAGCTAGGCTGAACTCTCCTGGTCTCAACGAACATGGTGTTGCCACAGTCGTGAGATAGCTGGTGCGTGGCGTGTTGTGTGGTGTGGTGGTGAAGGTGCTGTAGAGAAGACGACAGAGGGCTGCGTAGGGAGTTTTTTGAAAATTTGGCTTTCAGAACATCCCCGTTGCTGCCGCTCTAGAAGTTACAGGACAGTAGCGTCGAGATGCACGTTCATGCCGCACCTAGATGTAGTCTCCTGCAGGCGAGATGGGTGTGCTCGGGGTCACCTGTGCAAGTCAGTATCCTGTTCGTTATAAGAGATTGGATGAGAGCCAGGGCATGATGGATGAGCACACGGCGACCATGTCCTCGTTCGTGAACATGCAACGTGAAACTGAAATACCCGGATGCATGTGACGTGGCATGGACCGCAAAGGGAGGAATTGAGACCACTAACCTGCACAATCGGGGGCGCCGGTCGCAGCTGCGACGGCGGGGCCGGCGCTCTCCGGGGAGGAGTACCGATCGACGATGCGCCGTTGTCCGACGCCACGCCGAGACGGGAAGCCGCTGCCTTTTCCTTGAGAATGGCGATCCTGCAATGAGGGGTCAGTCAGGTGGTCAGAGCGCGCGATGGAGATCTTGGAGAGGAAGTGAAACGGCGGGATGAACGCGGGCGCCCCGGCCAGGACGACGACCTCATGCGCTGATCATGCAACACGATGTGTTGTCAAAAAGGGAAGGCGATTTCTGAAACTTACTCGTCTTCGGAAATGCCCGGCAGGCACACTGTCTCGTGCTTGAAGTTGAATGGTGCTGACTGTAGAGGGGGCGCAATGCGAGTTAGCGGCGGAATACGAGGTATAGAGTGGGGGCGGCGGAGGGAATGAGTCGCTGACGGCGCCGACGACGATGACGACAACGGTGACGAGGTCGGTGAGGCTAAGGTGAGGTATAGGAGTGCATGTGGGGTGCAACTTACGATTTGCAGCGAGCGCTTCTCCGAGGGCGCGGCCTTGGACTTGTTAAGGCCGACGAGACGTTGCAGTCGCGCCGTGAAGGCCTTGAGCCCGAGGCAAGCCATTGTGGGTGCTGGGTGAGGATGATGCAGGTGGTAATTGACTTTGGAGGGATGGCGGAAGGAAGAGTCAATCAATTGAGTAGGTAAGGTAAGGTATGAGGACAGAATCGAAAGCGCGAAAGCGTCGTTGGTGCGTGAAAGTGAAAGTGAAGTGGTGGTGGTCTGAGAGACAATGGGTCAAGCCGCGCACAAAGGACTTCGATTGCGGCCTGGCAGTGGTGGTGGCTGTGGTTGCAGGTGTGCAGTGTCGAACAGATAGGTGTCCTGGGACCTGAATTCGTCGATTGTAAAGAATGGATGGCGACAGGAAGTCGATGTCGTGGTTCAGCTTTGAGGGCGGTGTCGAGGTTAGGCGGCGGTAATTGGTAATAGCGGCAGTGAGAGGTGACGACGAGCTGAATAGAAGGATTCCAGCACTGCAGGTGGCCGTCGCAGACAGATTACGGCAGCTGCAATTGATTGAACCCGACAACCAGACAGACAACCTGAGAGAATGGTCGATCGAATAATTGATTGAATCAACAATCGGAAACGCCGCTAAAAGAAGTGGACTTGTTCTTTCAATCACACCAAGCACGACAAAAAGGAATAGATACTCATCGCGGGATGGGATGAATGCGTTGCGAGCGGCCTTCCTTTTGAAGTCGAGATGGGGCTCAAAGAGAGTCGGGCAGCTGTCGGGATGCGGGCTAAGCCTCCTGGTTGGTCCTCTTCCGGATCCTTCAACGTCGGACGGAAGCTCGAGTGCAGGATATACCGCTAAAGTGGTGGGAGCTGACCTGACAAAGGAATGGTTGGCTTCACGGGGCGACGGGCTTGGGCCTTGGATTCGGTGGACCGAAAGAGTAATCTGGTCCAACGAAGCGAAGGTATCACAAAGAAAACGAGTGTACCTGCGTGTGCGCGTCCATGTGCGTTGGTGTTTGGGAATGCGGGAGCTAAAAGATTTGTTGTCGAAAGCGGAAGAGATACATCATTGATGTAATTATCCCGGGTCTATGGTCCACCATCCCACCGGTCTGCCTCAGCTCGACTCAGCTAATGCAACAGCCAGCAACAGCCGCAACACCAACCATCGCCCAATTGTCAGATTCGTCACCGCTGCAGCCGCCTCACCCTTGGAGGAGCCCCCATTCCGGAATGTGGCAATGTCTCGATTGACAAGGGTGAGGGGTCACCATCCTCCCGCCTCCTCAAGTCATGTATGATATCATGCTCCTGGCAGAAAGCGCATAAAGGAAGCTTGTAATGGTGTCCCGATGTTTCGAAACGCCAACTTTGAGACACAATCATTGTTGTGCGTGGCTTTCGCCCGTACGGGATTGGTGAAACCAACTACATGCAGCGCCGCACACATGCCGAATCGGGACAGCTGTCAACTAGAAGCAGGTAAAGTGGTAAAGTGACCACGCATTGAATCCCATTCCCTCGGGACGGTCATATAACATTGAAGTGTTCTCCACGCCGGAAGGAGCAATACTACTTGAATACTTGACGGATTCATCCATCTACCCATGGTCCCTCCACATTCCAGTCACAGCCAGTATAACATTATCCCTGTGCGACGTCGCCTACTGCCCAACCGCAAAGCTGAACACCTGAACATCTACTTCGGATAGTCCTTCAGGTGGTAGCTCTTCAGCTTCGAGAACTGGTCAAACCCAAACTTGCTCAGAGTAACGCCTTTGCCCGAGTTCTTCCAACCCGTCCACGCGAGATCCTGCAGGATGACATTAATAACCGACCACGAGACGAGTCCACCGACAGGAACAAAGAACTGGTACTTACTGGGCTGGGGAAGTCGGCGCGATTGACAAAGATGGTTCCCGCTTCGACTTGCTCTGCGAGTTCGTAGCCTTTGTCTGTGTCCTTGGTCCATATACTGGCAGTGAGACCAAACTCGCTGTCGTTCATCAACTTGATCGCCTCCTCATCGTTGGCTACCTTCATGACGGAAATCACCGGCCCAAAGGTCTCCTCCGTCATGACCGTCATGCTGTGGTTGACATCAACAAGAAGAGTAGGCTTGACAAAGTTACCCTTGGTCGGGAGGTTGTCGAAGGTCGAGTTCTCTGGCGTCTTGTCCTTTGCGCCTTTCTCGAGCGCATCCTTGATGTGAGCCTCGATGGTCTCCTTGGATCGCTTCGAGACAACTGGTCCGATCTGGGTTTCCTTATCTAGAGGGTCACCAACCTTGTACCCCTTCAAGACCTTCTGGACAGCCTCAATGAACGAGTCGTAGATCTTCTCGTCCACGTATATCCGTTCAAGGGCGCAACAGCTCTGGCCAGAGTTGAAGATGGATCCGTCTACGATCTCGGCAGCTGCCCAGTCGAGGTCTACGTCTCCCCTGACATATGCAGGGTCCTTGCCACCAAGCTCCAGTCCAACATTGACGATTCGGTCAGAAGCTGCTCTTTGGACTGACAGTCCGCCGGCAACGGAGCCGGTGAAGCAGATGAGAGCAATCTTGGGGTTTCGTACGAGAGACTCCATCATTATCGGCGAGCCGCAGTGGAAGTATTGAAGGACACCAGATGGGAGGCCAGCCACACTGAATGCCTTTACAACCTGCTCGGCGATCGTAGGTGTCTGTGGCGAGGGCTTCATGATGACCGTGTTTCCCGCAAGCAGAGCTGGAATCAACGAGTTGACCAGGATCAAGTAGGGGTACTGAGATAGTTAGCATTGTGTTTGTGCAACTGTCAAGTGTATGATTGTCTCACATTCCATGCGAAAATGACCAGAACAGGGCCGACAGGGACCTTGCGAATGAATCGCTTGAACCCCTTCTCAGGCTCGCCATCGGTATCCTTCAACGTGTCCTCGCTGATCTTGATAAGATAGTCTGCACGTTTGAGAGCTGTGGTGACTATGGAATTGTCAGTTCTGGAGCAAGATTCATACAACAATGGTGATCGGTACCTTCTACGCCAGTGTATGCAATGGGACGACCCATCTGCACGGTGATCTCCTCGGCCAGCTCATCCTTCTTCTTCTCCAGCAACTTCAAAGCCTTCTTGACTATGATCTGGCGATCCGTCAATGAAGTCTGTCGCCAGCTCTGGAAGCTCTCGAGAGCCACATTGGGAAGTTCTTCCAGATCAGATTGCGAGAGGCCACTGCGAGTCAAGATGGGCTCGTTGGTAGTCGGCGAGATCGTCGTGATGCTTTCCACAGACATCTTCTCAAGCTGGTCCCGGTACTTCTCAAGCTGGTCGGGAATGATGAGTTCTCAAGATGAACCTAAAGGCAACAAGGAGAGAAATAAGTGAGTAGGTCGTTGTTTCTGAACGCAACGAAGTTATAACTTGCGATGTTTAATGAGAAAGACGCCTTATTGGGAGATGCACGTCACTCTCCGATCCATGGAGGGGTTGTCGTGACATGGACTCGTGCCCCTCCAAAACACCCCGATAAGAGAGACTAGCTGCTAAATTTAGTGTTATCTCCTTATCGCATTCCCGGGAATTGTCATCCCATTTCTACGCTTCTCCATAATTTTTCTTTGAGAAGCGTTTCGAACGACCAACAACCAGATCTCTGACGAACCCTTCATCGACTACCAACATGGCCCCCGAGAAGCGGAATCAGTTCCTGGATCCCGACGAAAGCGATGACGATGGAAGCCAAGGCTATGACTCGGAGGCTGAGCAGGTGCAAAAGGGTGGTCGAACGGCCAAGCGTCGCAAACTTGGCGACAATGTCGCAAGCGACGAAGACGATGCATTGAGCGCCGACGAGTACAACGACGAGAGCGACGAACCTACAGTAACATCGCAACCAAAGACGGAGACGTTGACCCCCAAAAACCTGCCCGACAAAGCCGACGGAGAAAAGTCCAAGTCCCGAAACAGGGCAGAGCTGCCAGACGTATCGAGGCCCTTGACCAAGAAGAACCTGGTGGCGTCCCAGAAGGCCGTCAAGAAGTCCGGAGTCATATACATCTCGAGAGTACCTCCCGGAATGAAGACGGCCAAGTTGAGAAACCTGCTCGAACCCCTTGGTACCATCAACAGGATATGGTGCGCGCCCGAAGATCCCCAAATACGGTCTCGGCGTATCAAGTCCGGTGGGAATAAGAAGAAGAACTTTACTGAGGGATGGATCGAGTTCGTCAACAAGAAAGAAGCAAAGGCAGCTGTTGAACTCCTCAATGGCAATTTGATTGGAGGGAAGAAGGGGTCGTACTTCCGCGACGACGTGTGGAGGTAAGCCCAAAGGCTGTCAGTACCGTTGATTTCTAGAGCAATACTAATTCCCGGGTCACAGTCTCATCTACCTCAAAGGATTCAAGTGGAGTACGTACCGGGAGATGACTACCCTGTCCTTGTGCCTGTTCCGACCCAGTTACCAAGAGGGTTCTTTCCCTCAGCTGTCACAGGAGACTTGGATCAGAAGCTTTGAACTGGCTCATAGAACAAGACTGCTAACCTTTCGATAGATAACCTGACCGAACAAATCGCATCGGAGACCGCCGAAAGGGCCAGCCGAATGAGGGCAGAAATCAGCAAAGAGCAGAGGAATACCAAGGAATTTGTGCGGAATATTGAACAGGGCAAGATGCTTGAAGGTATAGAAAGCAAGGCTGCAGCAAAGAAGGGCAGCGGCGACGGAAATCCAGACAAGGCCTCGTCTCTTGCGGAAAGGTCGGGTCAGCCTAAGAGCAAGCTGAAGTTCACACAGTCTGCTGTGGGCAACAAGGGAACCGACAAGGCCCCTGAAGAAGCTCAACGAGTTTTCCGGCAACTGTTTTAACAACCCACCAATGATACCCAGATTGAGACTCCAGCATTCATTTACGCAGTGATATGCTGATTCCTTTTATCATGAACCAACGATCTTTGAGATGTCCGGCTGACACGGTTCTAGCTCGCTGTGTTATATAGTCTCAGACAGCCTGCACCCCATATCATCGACGCGACTGCAAGCCGACCTACCTGCCATTCGATACTGCAATACGTCGTACTGTTTCTAACTGTCCTCAACTGCGTAGGCCGTTCCGTTCTGGCCAATCATGCCGCCTCACTCACAGTCGGATACGGAATCCGTCACTACCGTCATCAGCCCGTCGTCCCGCAGATATGACGAGATACTCGATGAGATCACCCACAAGTACGCCACCCAAGGTACCGAGACGGAGCTCATAAGCCTACCATTGGATGACGCCCTCTTCATCTTGGACGCCGGTAGATGGGAGCCCGATACTCTGTTGCACTTCCAGGAGTACCTGCAGCTGCGCGTGAGATATCCAGCCAAGTTCTATGGCAAGGACGTCGCATGGGCCGAGGACATCATACTCGCCGCGGACGTTATGAGCAATTGCGACTACTTGCGCACCAATCCGAACAAGACGGTACCCCTCCTGCTACACGTCTACGCAATCGCCCGCTGTGGACGTGCTGTCGCGGAGCGCATTGATTTGGATAAGTTTGTGCATCATCACGTCGCACTCCGAGATCCAGCAGGTGATTACGACGCTACTGACGCAATTTTCGATGAGTGCGACGATCCGTCCGAATATTCGGACAGATATGCGTCCGACCATGTGTCGGAGGAGCGCGGGTCCGTATTCGGCGGCGACTGGCAGCGACAACAGGAAGCATACCAGAAAGAGCTGGATATTGCACTGAAGCATGTCGTGACCGCCAGGGCCGCCATGCTGGAGTACGTGGAGTATGCGAAGTATCCCGAGTGTAAGGGATACACGGCCGACGACAATGTGTACACAGAAAGGAAGGCCAGTGATTACTGGGTGGATTACGGCCTCTGCTGTAGGAAGGTCAAGCTCTTGCAGGAGAGACTGGACCGATTCCATTGCGAGTATATCATGTATCGGAAAGACGGTGGGAAACCTCAATCCCTTGCACCGCCGCCAGACGACCGAGATACCGACGATGAAGCCGAAACGGAGTATCAGAAGCTGGGCAGAGCCCTCGCCAGCAGGAGATTTATTTCAGACTCATTCAGTGAGAGCACCATTGGCGGAAAACGGCAGACCACTGGCACCGAGCGCGAGTCGTTTGATGACTGGAGATCCAGAAGATACGCGGAGGGGCCGGCTTCCACGATGTCGGTCGGTACGTCGGAATCCGAGACCATTGCCGAGGAAACTGAGGAAGACGCCAACATGGAGATCGACTCGGACGACGGCAAAGATCCTAGGGGGCCAGAGACCAAGAGCCCGCCGGCAAGGACGAGGGAAGAACTGCTGAAGAAGACGCTCCTGCGCTACAACGTGTGGGTGGTGGTGAACTGGCCCCGGGGCATCCTTTACGACGACAAATCATCATACGAAGCCTTCCTGCAGGAATTCAAAGACGTGAAGGCCGAGCCAGCCCAGATAGAGCAAGATCAGACGAGCGGGAAGTCGGCCAAAGAACCTCCCTACAAGGCCAGCGGGCCCATCGTTCCGGCCGGCGACGACCTACCAAGCCACGCCGCCGTCCTCGTTACCTCGCTACAGAACTACATCACCGAGCTCCAATACTGTGCCAAGCGGCTCGAAGAGGATCGAGAAACGGTGCGGTCGCGGAATGGCGGCAAGCCAGACACCGCGCCCATCACCCGCAGCGTCATTTTCCTCCACCGCACTAAATTCCGGCTCAACAGGCTGCAGGCGAACCTCGATCTCTACCAGAAGGAACTGGACGAGCAGCTTAGAATGCTGCGTCCTGTGCCGTGTGCCGCCACCATCGCCCCTACCGTCGTGGCCGAGATGGCCGCCATCGACGAGAACCGCAAGCGGCAGCGCTGGCCGCAGGACAGCGACGACCTCTGCCTGCAGACCGTCGGCAAACCCATCAACATTGCGCGCCCGAAGCCCCTCGGGCTGAGCGGGTCCTCGAAGCCCATGAAGCTGCTGCAGGAGGGCGGCAACAGCAACAATAAGTCGATGACCACCATGATCATATCCGGCGAGTCGAAGACCGTGGCCCAGCTGTTCGATGCCGCCAATGACATCGCGACGTACGAGGACGCGGCCGCGACCTTGAGCCAGCGGCTCGGCGCGTACGCGACGTGGATGCGCGAGGAGGCGGGTGCGAGTGAACGCAACTGGGTCGTGGTGTTTGAGGTGCGCAAACAAGCCCTGGAGTGGTGGAGGTCGGCTGTGCGGAAATTGGAAGCGCTTGGGGCAGCCGGCAACGATGATGCTGCCGGGGCTGCTGGATCGAGGTCGAAGTGCAAGGCTGCGGATGATGGGAAATCGTCTGCCTCCACCTCGAAGTCGCACAGATGTAGATCCAAGTCCAAGGCCCGATCGAAGACGAGGTCAAAGTCGAAGGGACGCAAGCGGTCTCTCCAGTCTGAAAGCGACGATAGCTCGCAGGCCGCAGGAGGCAAGAAGCGCAAGACGGACCGCCGTCGTGGTCGCGCCGAGGGTGCGGAGGGCAGTTCTGCGGCTTTTCCTGGTGGGTTCGGGGTCATGACGGTCGATGACGACAAGCTCTACTACCGTGTTTGATGGTTGGGACATGAGAGCTGGACGAGTGAAAACCGGTGATTGTCTTGGATGGGGTCATGATGTGACTTCGGAATGGCTGTGCATGACATGGCTTGCTGAGCATGCTTGGTTGATCTCGTTACTTCTGGCACTAGCACTTTCAGACGAGTCAATAGACGATAGATGATGAACTACAAGTAGCACAGATCATTGGCACTGCTTTTGCGCGGTCTTGCGTCTACGAATAGCTTGTCTGGTCGTCTGTGAATGATTTGTCTGAACGCAATCGTGACACATGCAGATGACAACCATGTGATGACACAACACAACTTGGTGTCGAGAAAGCACCGATGAGGCATCGCATGGATATCTCTTTCATTGTAGCTAACGCAGATCAAACCTTTCCATTCGCTGCTGGATTTATACCTTCTCCTCCATCGTCAGCTCATCAAAGTCATCCAGCAGCTCCTCCATATCGACCCGAGGAGCATCATCGTCGCCGTCCTCCGTCGTCGCCATGGACATCTCATCAGCATCTTTCTTCTGTTGCTTGTACAAAGGCATGGCGGTTCTGAACTCATCGTCCTCCTCGATATCCCGCAAGAACTGCTCGAACTCCCGGTCCATACGCTCCTGGTCGGCCTTTTTGGGCAGCAGCTCACCCTCATCCTTCGCCATGCGCTTGACTTTCCACTGTCTCTTGCGGTTTCTCCTGCGGTTGGGGTAGTGCTTTTTGACTACCACGACATCTGGTATCCGTGAGGAGTAGGTGTTTGACTGCTCGATGGCCTCGTAGTGAGGATCGTTGAAGTTGGTGCCAGTAAGCATGTACCCCAAAACGGAGTCGCCAGCGTGTAATAGACCACCCAGATGCGTTCGTGCGAAATACGTCTTGTCGTTGACCCCCAAATCAGACGCCCTCGCAAGCTGTACCTCTGCCAATATCCATTTCCCTTTCGCTGCGCCAAGCGGTTCGCAGTCCATGACAATGAACTCGACTAGATCGTTCGTATCTGCCAACGCATTGAATGGTGCTCTCCAGTACACTGGTCCACTGACATCTGCTGTCTGGAGGGTATTCGGGTCCAGTAGGTTGACTGCCGTACCGATCCGGTAGCATATCGCGAGCGGGGAAATATTGCCAATCTGTTTCGCCAGGGAAATGGGGAGGGCGACTAGATCATCTTTACAGATCGGTATCAACTCGATCGAAAAGCTGAACTTAAATTGCTTTTTGGCTGTGTGGGAATCCTGAGATATAAGCTCCTGCGACTTCTTGATTCGTACTGGGACGACCGAGTTGAGAAAGTCGACAAACTTCTCGGCCTGGTTTCTCGCAGCAAAGAAGAAGTCGATGCCGTCCTTTGCCTCCTTGATGTTGATTGTGTCTCGATGGGCTTGGTGCTTCAGGATCAACTGTTCCAGATACAAGAACGTCCTCTTGTGAAGGACCTTCTGTCTGACCTGGACGCTTGCTCTCCAGACGTTTGCGGTGTATGACTTGGCGCATTCCGGACATTGCTGGTAGGCAACAACGTAGATGACCTCCAGAGATTGCTGCATGACCCGATCGTCGGCGACAGCGGCCTGCACCACAAGCTTGACTCTGACTCTCCTCGAATGTGGTTCCGTCCATATGAAACTCGCGTCGATGATTCTCGTCTTGTTCAAGCTCAACTTCTTCAGGCACAACGCTAGTAGTTCGCGCGACTCGGGTTGGGCAGTGACCCAGCTGGTAGGTGGTTGAAGCCATCGGTCGCAATCCCTACAGAACGGTCAGTCGCGGTGATTCGGGTGGCCGGCAGCAGGAAAAGAGGCCGTTGGTACTGACCTGCAAAAGTGTAGAGTGGCTTCTCGTTGGATGCCTTGGGATATGTCTTTCGTGAGCTTGAAGCAGTCGTAGCACTTGGCGTCTATGGCGGTCGTTCCATCGATGGGGGCACCGCAGTCACAACAGAATATGGTAGCTGCACCACTAGGCACCTCTGCAGGAGGTGCCATTGGCATGGGCGCATCTATATCCATCGACATGTTGGGCGTGGTGCTGAGGGCGACTGTGACTGTGGTATGTAGATGACAAGTCGCGATGGTGGGGTCGAAGGCGAGCCCGATTAAAAAATGGTATCCAGCGTCATTTGCCCCTCGATTGATAAGCCTTGTGGCTGGAACTTTCGAGCGCCACCCGCCTTATCTCAGCCCCGAGATGCAATAGTGTGGCTTGTGCTGCCCCTATTTCGAAGCCTCCCCAAACCACTCTAAATACCCGCACACGGAGGTATACACAGCGTCAATTCCAACAGCAATAAGAGATTCAAGTTACTCCTAACAGGTCTTTATCTGATGTTTAAGATGAGATGATGAGAAAGGGCGTTCACCACGGACAACTTCCCCACCTGCCAGCGGACCGCCAAGTAGTCTGGCCCACCAGGCTGCCATACCTGGCATTCGGCTGACACTTCTCTGCTCGTGAAATGCATCCGCTCACACGACTAATAAATCATGGCACCAAGAACCGTGGTGAATAGACTCCGCCGTTTACCAAGATACCGCATAGTAAGCGCTCGCTCCATAAATCCTTCTGGAGCTCTGACTAAACCAAACTTCAGATTCGTTCAGCTCTGTCACTCAAAACTGATGCGGGACCATCATTGAGCACTGTACTCCAAGCGAGCACTAGACCAACTTCTGAATCCTCGTCACGCCGCCCGCGCCGTAATGATGAGGATGGCGTCGAAGGCATGAGCTGGCGGGCGGGCTACTCGAAATTTATCGAAGGTATCGCGACAGCTTTTGGCTCTATCCTGATACTGGGGTTGGCGGGATACTCGTACCAGGCGTACTACAAAGCGCATGTGCTACGGAAGATGGAGAACGCCTTTGCGGTCGGGTACTCGAGCCTGGAGCTCGCAGCGCTGAGCCGTCACATCGACCCCGCCAGTCCGCACTCGGATCTCAACGCCGTCGACTTCGAGGACAACGACTGGATGCCGCGCGACGAGCAGGCCGTCATCGACGGGATCGTGGACGGCACCATCCAGGGCCAGTACCACCTCGTGACGGGCGAGAAGGGCACGGGCAAGACGTCCATGCTGCTCAAGGCCATGCGCCGCGTCGGCGGCGAGGGCGTCGCCATGTTCGAGGCGCACGGGGACCCCGAGATCTTCCGCGTGCGGCTCGGCAAGGCGCTCGACTTTGAGTTCCACGAGGACTACGTCGGGAGTCTGTTCAGCTTCAAGGGCCCGCGCGATACGACGGCGCTGCTGGACATCGAGCGCGCCTTCAACAAGATGGAGAAGATCGCGCTGAAGCGCAAGGAGCGGGTTGGGAAGCCCCTCGTGCTGATCATTACCGGGGTTCATCTAGTGCGCGACGATGAGGATGGGCAGGACTTGCTGGAGCTTATTCAGCAGCGGGCCGAGATGTGGGCTGCGAGCAAGCTTGTCACCGTCATCTTCAACAGTGACGACTACTGGACACTCGAGCGTCTGATCTGGCAAGCCACGCGCCTGCGCGTGATTCCGGTGCACGACGTCCCCCGAGATACCGCACTCGAGGCTCTGGGAAGCCTCCGATCCGCGAAGTTTAACCAGGACGTTCCCATGTCCATCCTAGAGCAAGTCTACGACAAGGTCGGCGGCCGCCTCAGCTTCCTTAGCCGCGTGGCCAAGTCGGACGACATGATCAAGGCCTGCGACATCATCTGCGAGCGCGAACGGCGCTGGCTCCTGAGCCAGTACTGGATCCTGGGCAAGGACCTGGACCCGGGCGGCGAGGAGCAACAGGATCTGTCGTCAGCTGCTATGCTTCTGGCCAAGGCATTGATCGACAAGGAGGCGGCGATGAGGAAGGACGGGACCTACGACGGCAGTCTGCCACAGATACCCATCCACGAAGCGAGGCAGATCATGACCAACGCGGCGTGGATCAAAGAGCACGATCATCACAACATATTCACCATCAACTCGAATGGCATGGTCCAGGCCGACTCGGTCGCGATGCAGAACGCCATGCGCGAGATCTGCAGTGGGGAGGGCTTCGACGAACATCTGCAGGCGACTCTAGACCGTCTTGATGAGATCGAGAGTCTGCAGAGGACAAGAGAACTGACGCTGAAGGATTTGAAGGATGACGGCGAGTATCATGCCGTCGTCGGCAGTGGCCTTGACAGGAAAGAAGCTGTGGTATCGCTGAGGGCCCGCCCAGCGAACCCACCCACTTTAACCTAATGTTATGTGTATAGACATAGGGCATCTGATGGACGGCGAAGAGCTGTAAACAATGCTTCCCAGGAAGCCCGCACCTACTACGCAGTGGTGTTTAGCCTTGTCCCATTGCGACCTGATGTTTGTCTGAGCGGGCAAGTGTGGATGCTTAGATCGATGTAGGCGCCCAATTTGACGTCCGTGTTAGTACTTAAGACATCGTTCACGAGGGTGTCCGTAGACTGTAGCTGACTCCCACCGTACACGATCATCCATCCCCTCGTGATGTATCACCGACGTCTGCGTCCGGCAAGGGATTGTTCTATCAACGTCTGCCACATGCGCTTGAATCTGTGAGAATGTATCGAGACCATATCAGCTCTGGGTTGTCTTGGCCAGGTTTTTCAAACACCCTATGCAGATACTCTACCAACGTGGTCCGCTTGTCTTTGAAGATAGCAGCCCAGATCAAGGTTTCATGTTTCGTTTTACTGCAGCAGCGGAGTGCCGCCAGAATAGCCGTGTCGCGGTATTCCGTCCGATCTCATCTATATAACTTTGTATGTATTGTACACTTCACTGACCTCTAGCTCAACCTGCTACTATAGAGGTGACCTCCCTCTATAGTAAGGCCACAATCTGTCCACCTCTGATCCACCACCTGGTCTTTGTTGGTCTGTATCAACCACGGTTTCAACTGACATTGAATACAGGCTCGTCATTCTCCGTCGCTCGACGCGTCATGTGCAGCAAGAATGAAAAACTCCTTCAATCAAGATGCGTTACAGGTTCGTCATTCTCCATCGACTGATTCAGTTGCCGGAGTAACCCTTCCGTGCTTCCGCTGCGGCGCTTGCGTCCCTTGCCCTCGTCCTTCGTGGCCTTGGGTCTGCGATCCTTGAGTCCCGCGAGGTTCCACAGATTTTCCCTTGCGCTTTCGGCCAGAGACGTCCTTCCCGGCGTCGATTGGTCGGGCTGCTTCGTTCCCAGCGACATTACGCAGCTGAATACCGAATCTTTTGGGAGGTATGCGCCCTTGAGCCACCTATCGCCCGATGTGGGATCGAAGGACTCGCGCCCCTGGAGGGACGTCTAGCAAAACGCAGTCTCCCTCATTCAGCTTATATTTGGATACGTTTTGATGAGCTTCCAGACGGGAATGAAATTCCTTCATTGCTCACACCATATCCGTCCATTCATGCGTCTCTCCGCTGTGGTATGCCTGCATCGGGCGTTCGAGGTTTGGCACCCAGTTGAAGATGGCCGGATTGAGGCCTTCGTGTGCCGGCTGGGAGATGATGCTGGCATTTCGGTGTTGCGAGAAACCTTCATGTTGTAATTGGAATCTGATTCTATCAGTGACCAACATTCCATACGCACGAGGCACAAGTGCTTGCATCTCCAATGCTACCCGCAGACAGTCACTGAATCTCAGTTCACCACCCTTCACAGTGTTTGATAGACACTGGTACAGCTTTACCTTGGGCGCAAAAGCCTCTGATAGACATTAGCATGTATCATCAATGTCTAGCTACAACACATCTTATCGTCGAAGGAGCAGTGGCTCCGCTGTTTCTCCGTTTGCCCTCTTCGTGTTTATATAGGTTCGGCGATGATACAAATCATTGTGACAATGCAGAGTCATACTTACTGCAATTTGTCAGCTGCCGAACATGACTGAAGAACGCGACGGGCCATGATCTGACTTACCATGGGAATTCAGTGTGTAGGCTTTCTGCACCGCATCCAAGTGTTGCATCTGATGCCGCTGGGTCGTATCGAACATCAAAGGTACGTCCGCGGTGAGTTTCCATGATGGGCCCGACCCGACGACACATTTTCTCGACTGTGTCTTCCGCTACTGGGGCGTTCTGTATGACAATCAAGCCGTGCGTATGAAACACCTTCATTGCGTTGTAGAACTCGGCTCCGCCCGACTACCAGGATGAATAGTCAATGAGTTTGACGTTGATAGTCTGATCCATCGATGCCTTATCCCATGGCACTCGGGGCCTATTGGTAGCCGTAGGGACCTGCAGCCTCCGTAGGTGTTTCGCCTCGGTGAACTGCGTCCTCAAGGTTGCCTGTGGGTAGCAAGAACGATGGGTGGAACCGTTGCTGACAACGTCGTCTTTCCAGATGACCTCCAGGTCATTAGCATCCGTGAAGCGTACGTCGGTCGGCTACGGGCAGGTTTTTGGGAAGTTCATGCATGGCGATCTTCTTTAGACCTGTGCGAGTATCGACACAGTGTTCGCACTGGCATATGTAACGTAGCCAACTGCGGTCAAGAGCTTTCATGAACATCGTCAAATGTCCTGTTCTAGGTCCCTTTGTCCGGCGAGTCCGGGTAGCAAGACATATCTTGCTGGATCGCTCCCGTCTCTTGACTCCAAGCGGGTAACGTTTATCGTCGGGTTCTAGAATAAGCCACTCGTCGAATTCCTTTCTTGCTGGCTTGTCGCTCGCGTCTCGATTGCTTTTCGACTCATCAGGCTGTTCCCCCACACGTTCTGACCCATACTGACGGCGCTGGCCGTTGTAGGGAACACATCGGGTGTCATTGAAGAGATTTGCGTGCCTGTTGAGGGAGCGAATATACTGCAGGCAGAGCACACGAGGTGCAGCATGTCGACCGAGAAGCGTCGGCGTCAGAGATGCAGTCTGCCAACCACGGCAAAGAGCAGCCATTGGGTCGGCGGATGGGCGGATTGAACATGAGAAGCTGGCGAAGTAATAAGGTTCAGGTAGTGAGGTGGCCCGAAGATGATTGAGTTTTGAAGCAGGCGTATGAGGTCGGGTATGCGGCAGGAAAGAGGTGGTTGGGGTACCTAGGTAGTTAACGCGTCCACAGCCCCTGCCCAGTGTCTTCTAATACCCCTGCCGGTTTGCCACCTGTCCGACAGTGCACTGCCGGGGAAAAGCAACCGCCAAGCCTCAAACCATAGTGTGTAAGTCACATCATGTTTTCTCTTCCATGTCAAGTTTCAACATTGAACTGTCTCTCGCCATCAACCCGATCGGCGTTTCCAGATCCCGTGCGTCATTAGCAATACGCCATTAAATACAATTACAATGGACTCGAAAGAGCGAATCGATGTGATGTATCAAACATGAATTGTACCACTGTCCATCGGGATTGATGAAACTAACAGCAGATGTCTACGCGCTTGATCACGACCCGCAAGATCCTGTGAAATCTACACACATATACTACAAGGCGCTGGGTCCCAACCCTGCCCATCACCCCTAGATACCCGAGTCATCCTGGAACACATGCGCCGGGTTCCCACACGACGGGTTCTGGCCCGTGATCGGATCGACACCAGGCCACCAGTTCGCGCAGTCATCATGCCAGGCGTCCCAATTCCTGCACACGCGACGAGCCTCGGCCACCTGCGGGGAGCTGTCCTGCGGCCACAGGGCGTCGGCGTCGGCCTGGCGCTCGAGGATCTGCAACCCTAAACCCTCGCTGGCGTGGCGGGCGATGTGACAGTGCATCAGCCACGACCCCGGGTTGTCGGCCTTGAAGGCGATGACGATGAAGCCGCTCGCCGGGAGCAGGACGACGTCGCGCCGGGGCGGGTTGCGCAGCTGGAGGTCGAGGTCCGCGGGGCCCGTGTACGTCTTGTTCTCGGCTTGCTGCAGGACGGCGAAGTCGTGGCCGTGCAGGTGGATCGGGTGCGCGAGCGCTATGCTCTGCGTGCCGGTGCCGTCGATGACCAGTACGACCTTGGGAATGTCAGTAATCATAAAAGCAAAGCCGAAGGTATTGGGTCGAGACAGCAAGACCACGCTCGAATACATACCCAGTCGTTTTCGGTATAGTCTTCGGGAACAATGACCCATTGCTTGGGCCACACGCCGCTCGTATTGTTAAATTCGAAAAACACGGGCTGGCTAAAGTTGACTTGGAAAGGGGTATTGGACCCTGGACCCACTCCTTGGGGATCCAGCGCGAATACGGCCAGCGGGAAGATGGGCGTCTTGAAGGCCGAGCCATCAAAGTTGACGTTGAACTCCTGGCCGTTCTCGCCGTTTGCAGCGGCGCCAACTTGCCATGGGACGACCGGTCTCAGCGAGGTGTACGTCTCGTCGGAGCAATGCTTGGACACGTTCCACGGCAGCGACGTGGGTTCTGCCGTGCTGGTGTCGTCGTACCTAATAATCCCGCTGCGCTCGGAGCCGGGGAAGCTGTCCGTCTGGAACTCGCCGCATCCATTTGCCGTAAAGGTCCGGATCCAAAAGTTGCCATCCTCGGGAATCGGATTGTCCGGGCCAGCCTCGGGCCGTGCTTCCACGATGACGTTGTATCTCTGGCCGATGCCGATCAGCACCGAGGTGTTGTAGTACGGCTCCAGTGGTACGAAGTCGGCACTGACAATCTGGAGCCAGTGGTTGTCTATGGTGAAGATGAAGGTCGTGTCGAAGGATGTGTTGATGAGGCGCAGCAGGTATCGCTTGGCTTGACCGGGTAGGCTCAGGTTCCTCTGCTCGAAATGTAGCTCTTCCGCACCGGGGATGACGGCCGGACTCGGCAGGCCGGTCAAACGGGTCAGGTTGCCTTTGCCGTTGAGTAAGAAACTCGCGTTTAGGAGACTGCGGCCTGGAGGCCGGTACACGGATGCAAAAGCGCTGTCATGGCCTGCGGTGTATTGGTTAGCAAGGTGAGGTTGAGTAATTCGGCAGCAACCAGTAATCGGGGCGGGAAAAGGAGATGGGAAGTATTCATTCTGATCATGGTCAATCACGTTTCTAAAATAACTAACTACCAGATCAAGTCTTAAGTCTGCTGTCACTACAGGCCAGGACTTATCTGCGGGCAACAGGCAAGCTAGATTCTTTAAATAGGAATGAGAGATAGAAAGCGACTTACCCCAGTCTGTCATCAGCAGTGGAACGTCAGGAGCTTCATCGAAAGGGGCGGAGGTTGGTCCATGTATAGTCTGATGACTGGTCAGCTACTGATACATATCCAGTCTCCTATATGGATCACTCACAATGGGACCCTGTACACCATCGGCGTACTGGACCGAGTAATGGCTGTGGTACCAGGTGGAACCATACTGGACAGCCTTCCAGCTGTATTCGAACGAGTCCCCTGGGGCAATGGGGCACTGCGTAACACCGTTCACGCCGTCTTGGGGATTGGTGTAGTTCTGTCGGATCCCATGCCAGTGGATGCTGGTACCGTTCCACTTCATGTTGTTGATGACCTTGACATTGACCGTCTGACGACGCGTTAGCCCCTTTCCCCACTCATCGCCAAAGCAAAGGTCAAAATCTGAACTTACATCACCCCAGCAGGCCTGAAGCCACGGCCCGGGGTAGGTGTTGTTGAACAACTTGGCATCAGTGAAGTTCATGCCATCGAGGTTTACATTGCCATCGTTCACCACCAGCGTGTAGTTACGCTGGATGCCGACGGGTGCCACGGCTTCGTAGTCGGTGTGGATGTTCAGCTCGCGACCGTCTGGATGGCGGAGCCAACACTCGCGGTTCGACGGGCTCGAGCAGTCGTACCAGTCCGTCATCTCTGGGTATTCGCAGACGAAACCCGAGTCCTCGCCATTGCTGGGTGTGCTTGGGGGTGTGAAGACCGGGTGGTCCAGCGGGGCGACGGTGGTTGCGGCCGGCGGTGCTGCGCTAGGGACGAGGTCTGGGAACCCCAGGGGGGACTGTGATACATCTCCGGGGCTGATGGGGGAGAAGGTCAACCAACTGACTACAGTGGTGGTTGTCTTCCATACAGTCTCGAGGAACCGCATTTTGGCGCGTTGGGCAGGTGTTTGCTGCGTGCCTCAAGTCCTAGAAGAATCTGAGGAATGTCCAAGACAAACGTCGAGAATCTAGGACCATGTCAAGCCGATTAGTTGGCGGACATTTATACTTCCAAAAGAACAATCGAGCAGAGTCCTAGATACACCGCTCGCTGTGCCATGCCACCACTGCATTCCATCGTCCTAGGAGTTACGGTCAGGCGACCTCGTTGCCGTCTTACGTGACCTCTTCACATAAGCCCAGCCCAGCCCGTAACCGATAACGACTGGCCCTCGCCCGAATACCGGTCTGCTCTGGCAGCCAAGGTCAGATAGACAGGCTCAGCTTCTGCTCTCTTCCGGCAACATCACCGAATCAGGACGGCCAAACAGAAGGTACCGCGTTTTGGGTCTGATACTACTGACCTGGGCATCAAGCCACCCTTCGGTGTGATTGCTCACACTATTGGGCGGGATATAAGTGAGATCTTAGCCTGAGTGTGATTCCCCGGTAGCACAACGGTTTTTGCTAGGACTCGTCGTCAGTCAATGGCGTTCATGGCGTCCGTGGTGCGAGAAACTCCCCTCAACCTGGGTATAGAATAACCTGTCGAGAGAGATCCAGACGCAGAGCGGCGTCGCCGGCCCCATAGATGTTTTCTTTCAAGGTACCGGAAGGTAACATCGCCCATGACACACGGAGCCCCAGATCGACCCGACAGGCTGGGTCCAAATGTCCGGCGCAGAAGGACCTCTGCATCTGAGTCAGCTGACGGACGCCTATCTCAGCCTCCTTCGACTTCAGCCCTGTACGACTGATACGAGACTCGGCGTCAGCCCTACGGCAGCTTGACCATATCGAGACACAAAGACGCGCTTTGGTTCGGAGGAATACCCCTGTGGCAAGATGCCAACGTCATCTGATAACACCGAGCCGAGCTCAGTCACACTTGTTCATTATCCGAAACTCGGATGAAGGCGAGTGCTGGAGACCAAGAGTTCTGCCGGCGGCCGCTGCTATGCGAACTAAATTCTCACCTCTTCATGTTTTGGACGCCGCATAAGGCTGAGCTGTTGTGATACGTTACAGCCAAATTGCACTTTCTAATATGTTGCCGTGCCATCGACGTCGAGCAAGTCCTATAAAGGCGGCAACTCATGCAGTTCATAGCAAAAGGCATCAAGTCGATCAGTATAGACAGTCATTCAGTTCGAAAAGCGCGTAGACAATATTGGCTGGATCCCTTTATAAAATGTTAGTCAGCGATTTGTTGCCATACGCTTACGTGATAAGTTACATCATCAGGGGAAAGCGCAACCTCTCTAATCCGATGTGCTAATTGTACCTCAATGGAAGTCAATGGCACTAATCACCCTAAGAAGCTGTGAATTGATCGTGGAAGAAACCACCCATACGCTCGTAATGACATGCAAGGGACATGGCCTCATTCGGCTATAGTTGATGCCACATCATGAGGTCTCGACGACGCTGGGCTGGGTCGACACCACGGGCATATGCATTACTAATCCCCCCCCAGTCAGAAATGCTTACGGGCATGACACAGCGCGTTGCCTCAGCACAGCTTTCGGGTTCGACTTCAACCGAGCCTCGTCCTCATAAGCGCGGTAGAGTTAGTGACTCCAAGTGGCGAGAGCACGTCGACGACCATTATTGCCGCTTTATACCCCCACGATACGATCGGACGTTCATCGGGTTCATCATTGGAAGAATAGGAGTAGACGCGGGGTAAGTCGTCGATACTAGGCAGTGCCGGAGAAGAGTATATCCACACGTGTGGTAGAGGTGGTTGCAGTTGCGACGCGCCGGCCGGATTGCGCGATCCGACTCCGCGATAGCAACATGGACGGCCCAACATCAAGCTCGGCGATGGGACAGGATTGGCTGAATGGCCATCCGAGCCGTTATCTGGTCAGATCAGGTGTTTGGATGGAGGGTAGAGGCGACCTTGAAGGCGTCAAATCATGGGAGCTTTCGTCATTCCCTTCGCCTTCGATAGGCGAGACGTGGCGTAATTGTGCTCTGCTCGCACATCAGTGATGCGACACAACAGCGACCTGGCAATGTGGAAGGAGGCGTTCGGCGTTTATAAGAAGAGCTAGAACTGCACACCAGTCTTGTTGAAGGTAAGTCTAAATCATCAAGGCTTGTTGTAACCATGGCCCCATCTGCCACCACCACCGTTACTGAGACCGTGGCTCCGCCACAAACGCTTAAGACGCCTGGTTTCTTCGGTGCATACAAAGAGCTAGCTCCCACTGAGTATTCTAAAGAAGCAGAGGAGGGCAAGACTGGCTTCGAGGCGGCCAAGGTAAAGTTGGCAGGTCTGCGTCCTAGATCACTGCGCTGACAGTCCGAAGTACCCACACTACCTGCCAACGTGGAACCCGGAGCAGAAGTATGAGCCGTTGAAGCCATTCCAGCACTACGACCATGGGAAGGATGGGGACACATCGTACTCCGATCTACTCCCGAATACCTCTCAGGTGACCGACCTCACACCAACCATCGGCACAGAGGTTCGAGGTGTTCAGCTGAGCTTTCTCAGTGATGCTGGTAAGGACCAACTTGCTCGATACGTCGCGGAAAGAAAGGTCGTCGCTTTCAGGGGGCAGGACTTTGCAGATCTTCCTATCTCTGAGGCCCTGAAGTTCGGTGGATACTTTGGGCGGCACCATATTCATCCCACGTCTGGATCTCCTGAAGGACACCCAGAGGTTCACCTGGTTCATCGCGGAGCAGGCGACAAATCGGCCGAGGCTTTCTTCCAGGCAAGGACAAGCTCTGTAGCATGGCACTCGGACGTATCGTACGAGCAGCAGCCACCGGGAACGACGTTCCTATACATCCTCGACAAGCCGGAGACGGGCGGCGACACGCTGTTCTGTAATGCCGCCGAGGCCTACAACAGGCTCAGCCCCCTATTCCAGGAGAGATTGCACGGCCTCCAAGCAACGCACTCGGGGATTGAGCAAGTCGCCGCAGCTGTTGCCAAAGGCAGCATCAAGAGGCGAGAGCCGGTCGTCACTGCTCACCCAATCGTCCGTACCCATCCGGCGACTGGAGAGAAGGCGTTATACATCAACCCGCAGTGTAAGTCGCTTGTCTCCATCGGAGAGCTGCCACTGACCTTCAACAGTCACCCGCGATATTGTCGGTATGAAGAAGGAGGAGTCGGACATGCTCTTGAAATTCCTGTACGACCATATCGCGTATGGTGCCGATTTCCAAGCTCGTGTCAAGTGGGAGGAGGGTACCGTGGTGGTCTGGGATAACCGTGTGACGCAGCATTCGGCGTTGGTCGACTGGAAGACTGGGCAGCGTCGCCATTTGGCTCGTATCACTCCGCAGGCCGAGCGACCGTACGAGACCCCAGTCTAGACGTGTACCATCTCAAACTTTCATAGAAACCCAGGAACAATGTCGGCCGATGATGCCTTTGGCTTGGCTTTGGCTGCTGGTTTTCGTTGCTCCCAGCTGTGCCTGCGTTCTTCCTGTTGCTTCTTTAAGCGACTCACAAAATCGAGTCCATCGTCGTCTGAGGAATCGCTTTCTCCGGTGGCCTTGCAAGAGGTCGCAAGCTCTGTAGATCTAGCGTCCTTCACTGCAGGCCTCAATGCTTGTTTTTGTCCTGCGACTGAATGCAATGGCTGGGACCTTTGTGGTTGAGGTTTAGACTGCACAGCGGCCCGAAACGGACGTACCGTGCGCGAAGTGCTCGCATCTTCCAGATCATCATCATCCAGCTCAGGATCTTCAGACTTGGGCTCAGGTCGAGGTCTGCTACCTGGAAGTTGACCGAAAGTCGGCTGGGCCGTGGTGGGTGCAATGATTGTTCGTGGCCTGGTGAATCCGGCAGCTGCACGGGTCGCCATCGTGGTCGGCATCAAGCCATCTAGGCGCGTTGCTTGCTTCTTTGGACTCTCCATGAGTCCATAAAGAGATTCGTTTCGTGGGGAATCGTCATCTTCACTGCTGCCGCCGTTGCCATCGCTGCGGCCTTGAGCGGCTAGCACTTTGCCGGTCGCGAGCTTCTGGTTCGCCATGCGTGCCTTTCGTTCCTGCTTCTTCCTCACCAGATCGGTCATCCGTCCAACGACAGGTCGCGATATATCTCTGATAGTCTCCGCGTTCTCGGATCTCGACGCTGCTTTGAGCCGTTGATACTCAGCGGCATGCATATGAGCAGTGAATAGTTGGGCAGTTGCTAGGAACTCGTCCTCAACCATCCTATATCGATCATCATCGTCAGGGCCATCAATCATATAGCTGTTCGCATGTTAGCTAGTAGGGGGTCATTCGGGTATGTGTGCTTACCTTTCCTGGAGTGGTTGGGGAGGTGGAGAGGTTGATGCTGACCGATTTGCCAGGTCAGTCCTGCGTGAGGTCAAGAGAGTTGATACTTACTGGACCTTAGAGTGGGCCTTGTTCCCCCCTTTCTAGAGGCCGATGCGATCGTTGAGTCTTTGTCGTCATCCAAGCCCTGATCTTTTGGCTTTGGTTGTCGGCCAGATGTCGAGCGACCTGGCCCCGAGGTTTCCTGGAGAAGTCGCTCTCTCCGCTTCCACGGCAAGGTGCGAACCATGTTGAGGATGCAATGAAAGAGAAGCCAGTGAGAGATTGTCGCGCGAGGCAGACGCGACGATGTCTTAGTTTGATAGGTCGTGACTGGGATGACGATGGACATGCCATGTTCGTTATCAGCATAATTTCGGTTTGAAATATGCATTAGACTTATCCCAGTACCGCCCCACCTAGCAAAGCCGTACGCCCCACGCTCAGCCACAAGCATCCCAGGTTCGAGGGCTCCGATTTCCAAAATTATACGTTTTATACGAATATTATACCTGCATTTTCGCAACTGTACGTATGGCGGAACGGAATAACCCGATTTTCCGGGCATATACAGGGGGTGTGCCCATATACAGGGGTTATTCGGGTACTAAGGTGCTCGTTCCAGCTGCCACCCGGGCTGCGGTGCCTTGCGACCATAGTACCTACTAGCGCACCTAACGTACATCCACCCCAAGGTATTTCTGTCTTTCTGGTTCATCCCGTCTGGTCGTTCGATCGCCAGGGTGTGATGGCTACGGCCGGAGTCTTATGGGTCTGCACCAGCATATCTAGGTGTGACTTCCACTGTAGCTAGCTGTTACCGACCTACCAATCCTTAAGGCCGTGATCGGCTGGGACTGTAACCCCCCCCCCCCCCCCCCCCCCCCCCCAACCCCCCCTTATAGAAAAACAGGGGTTATAGGTTGCTACATATTTATATATTTTTCGCGCTTAACCGAAGAAAGTAAGGTACGGGGCTCCATTCTTTATATAACGCTTAAAACGCGCTGTAACGTTTTATTAGTAATATACCTTTTTTTAAGGTTATAATAATTTAGTTCTCGTTAAAAGTGGTATAATTTAACTTCTTTTCCTTTCAATTGTTATAAGCTTTGTTTTTATAACTAATATTAAGCTAATGTTAGTTAGGATTATTTACAGGCTTTATAACTATCAAAATACGATTTTAACGGCTTAATAAGTCGTTATTAAAAATAATAAAAACGTTTAATTTAACGCGATGATAATTAACGCTTTATTATACGCGAAGATTATAATAATAATAATGTTTAATTAATTAAACGTTATCGCGGTTAATTAAACGACGTGTTTATCGTCGTTATTACGTTTAATTAAACGTGTAACCGTAGTTTTGAAAGCGGTAAAAGTAATAATCGTATAAGTTAAGCGTAGTTTATTAAATAAAAGCTCGAATATTAATAGGTTATAAGAAAATATACCCTCGCTTTATAAAATTTAATATATGAAATATATTGCTTTATAACATTTATAACCCTGGTTTTTTATAAAAAAAAGGTTTATAAATTCTTATCAATTACGGGATATAATTCGGTTAACATAAGCACTTACTTCACTTTTCATATTTTAATTTACACGGGCTTTTTAACTTAATAATATATTATAACTTGTGAGATTTCTAGAAGGGTCACAAGCCTTGGGGGTGTGAGCGGTCGCTGCGAATGTTGTTGGCATTGTCAAGTATGCTTGGCAGGGCTAATCTACAGCTAAATACCATACTGCACCATGCCAGGGTGGATCCACTGTTCCCTTGACAGCCCCCTAGTGGGTACTGCACCTAAGGGCACCATATCTGGGATCCAACATCTGACATAACTATATGAATAGTTTTAAACTCCTACTAAAATTAAATATTAATAAGGTTCATAAACGGAATAGTTAATAATGTTATAAGTTTTTATTAGGCTGCATTTATCGGTATCAAACCATGCAGTCTTTAGTGGACCAAGTGGTTCCATATGATTATCCACGGAGGCAGATCGCTTTTTGGAGAAAAAATTGCAACCGTGAGAGATCTCTGTTCCATATGGGGTGGGCGACCAGCTCAGACAAATCTCTCCAAATGTCATCAGCGTCAATGGGAGAGATTGACGGCGAGAGACGCAAGCCCATGAGAAAAGGTCGAACGGAGTCGTCTGGAAGATGTGAAGCATTGTCTTCCATAGGTAATGGCGTCCGTCGGAATCCCCGCACAGGTCCAACTCTTTTTGTTCTGATTCGGACCAGCTCAAGTCCGGGGGTTCGCCGGTCCTTTGGTTGTGCGTTGGCTTGATGAGTATCTCAACGTCATCGCTGGAGAGAACTAGCGGCCAATGCTGTGATGGTCCGCTTTCGCTGAGAGGTGGCGCTGACGGAGAAGGAGGCAGAGGTATCGATCGAGTGTTTGTGGGCTCGAAAGATCCATGCGGAGACACGTGGGTTTGGTGATCGGGCACTGCGTTGGCACCGTCATCATCTGCGAATCCAGTAAAATCCTCATCAACTATGGGACCATGGACCTCGTGGTCATCCAGCCTTGGACGCTTTGATGGCTGCTGGTCGAGCTCAGGTTGGGTTTCGGCATCGTTTCGCCGTATTGCCGCAGGGTTGAAGTCCACTTCCTTTCCCTTGGTCTGTCGCCGGCCTTCTGGCTGGTTTGAAGGCATGCTGGAAGACTCGGCACTTGACGGTAAACGATAATCCTGCTCATGATTTATTAGCACGCGCGTTTGCGTGCCTGATCTTCTCTCCTGATCATTTAACACGCGCTTTTGCGTGCCTGGTCATGTTGCACCCGACCTGCCAGCAACATCCTCTTCTGAATCCTCGATTTCCAGACCTGCCTCCGGGGGGGTTTCTTCCTCCAGCCCCTGGCTTCTAGTCTGTATTCTCCGAGGGGCCTGCGATCGGCCGGGTTCAGATGACGGTTGCGCTAGACATGAGATCAGTCACTCATATCACTCGTATTCTGTGAGTCAACAATGGTTTCCCATACCTTGGCCAGGTGTCCTCCGGGGCCGTGGTGCCCTTGGCTTGGGTGGTTCCTTCCTAGGTCGCCCAATGAGATGCGCGCCTTCAGGCCGCGGTAGTTTCGGGTATCTGTGTCTGCCTTTTGGACGACTCATGTCGGCGGCAGTGGTTGGGAGGACTGATATGGTCAATTCAAATATCAGTCATACGTGAGTGTGATGCTTGGGTTGTTCAGAATCAGAAACGTGAAACAAACTTTGTGTGTGCCTGCACCTCACCAAGGAATGCTATCTGCGACGGCGACTGAGAGACCCTCTCGATCTTCTCGTAACTTGAATCCATTCTGGTCTGATCGCCTGCGACCTCGTTGATCTTCACGAGACCCAAGTCATACAAACATGTTCCCAAGCGTCAGCTAACACGAGGTCTCCCAGGCTCTATCAACGACTCGTCGAGGGTTCGCTTCCAGCCTTTATGAGATCGTCGCCGAATATAAATACGGCGGGCAAAGCCGACACTTCAGCTAACATGAACAGCATCCTCAGCACCTTTTCATTCGTCTTCCCAACACTCTCGCTTCTGACCTGGTGTCTTTCTGATTCGGGCTTCTGTTCTCATTATATTGCCACATCAGTACCCACTCATCACCAGCATTCACCGGACGTTGTTATAACGAGTTGCCCAACAGTTCAGCTCGAGACGCAGCTCCTGCAGAATCCCGTCCTCCACCCATCCGATCACTATGTAGCTCATGAAATCCTCAGGTCTCATCACAACGCTCGTTGCCCAGCTCGGCTCCATTGCAGCTCAGTCTTGGCCAACCGTCGGGTCAGAGGTCGCCACAGACCTCGAGGCATCCTTCAGGGGAACGGATGGCGCTTGGACACGACGTTCTACACCGAGACGGCAGACGGCAGCGTGGACGCCTCTATCACAAGTGACAAGTTCTTCAGCAACTCGACCGCGGACGCGTTTGTGTCAGCGTGAGTTACCTGATCCGGCCCTTTAAATTGCCATCCAGAATACTGATTTGGTTTGCAGAATGGCAAAGGTGGCGGTGATGAGCAACGACCAGGCCAGCTTGGTCGATTGCTTGGACATCATCAGCGGTGCCTTTGCGTAGGCTGAGGATAACCTCATCACACCACGCACACGATGGAGCATTCTAATATCTCGGCCCATCAAAGCTGTTTGTACTGCTCTCATGATGATATGCAAACGGGTTGGCTTGTCTATATGGTACCTACATACGTACGAACTGGGGATGTCGATAATAATGGGTTGGCGCACATATGGAGCCATGGTCATAGGGGGTCTGGAAGGATACGAAAAGTGTAATGTCATATTGGTTCAAGCGTTCAATCGAGCTAGAGTCTCGGACTCATCACGAGTCCACACGACGAGGTGACTTCCTAACCCTACTCTTGCTAAGCTTGACTCGTAGGACCATGTCCGATTGACGTCGGGCCCTACCAGGGCCATAGGGACGGCCTCGGTGTCAAAACACAAGCTTCCATTCAACTCCTAAGAGCCACCCCCCGTGCGCATAAAGACATTCGACGGCCTCTCGCGCGACGCAAACTCGCCATCGACCTCATACGCGATCTCAGGGCCTTCCGGCCGGAAGCCCAAGCGCTCGTACACCAGCCGGCCCATACTCGACGCCTCGGTCGTGGCCTCGGGGATCCTGCGCCGCCGCACCTCGTCCAGCCCCCACCGCACCAGCGCCGACGCGACGCCCCTGCGCTGGAACGCCGGGTCCGTCGCACACAAGTCCAGCACCATGACGGACGGTGGGTTTGCCGCCGACGCCGCCTTCTCCCGCACGACCTCGACGCGCCGCCGGAACAGCGACCGCCACAGCTGGCCGCAGTAGCGCTGCTCGGCCTCGTCGCCGGGGTACAGCGCCGCGGGGTCCATGCTGCTGCGGATGTCGTCCGAGGGCGGCTCGCCGTGGCCGTCTACCATGGACGCCTGTACCCAAATGGCCTGGCCGACGATGACGCGGCAGCCGTCTTGGTCGGGGAGCGTCGCTTTCAGAAAGACGGTGTTGGGGTTGCCGTTCTTGTCGGTCGTCACGGAGCGCCAACGCTTGACCATGCCGGCAGCCCCGCGCGCTTGGCCTTCGGGCGTGTCCCAGCCGGGGTTCAGACAGGTCCAGATTGCGTCGTTGGTCTGGTGCCCGAAGGCTGCGCAGGCGCATTTGAAGGCTCCCAAGAAGTCCTCCTCCTGGTCGATGACTTCTACGAGCGGGGCCTCCTTCTCGGAGGCGGTGTTGGTCGCCATGGTTGATATTCGTGCTGTGTGATTTGATGAATGATGCGGAGAATCTTAAGGATCGGGAGTCATTCAAGTGACAGCACGTGGAGTTTCGGCGGGGAACCTTGGGGGCCACGCCGTCCGGACCGGATCGGGCCGGTACCGGTGTATGGTGTGAAGCCCGGGGCTTGGCGATACCTACTTCCGCGGACAAAATTCTACAGTATAGATGGTCGCCACGAAAAACTTAAACGATTTCATTAATACTCAGTGCTACGGAATCTTCACGCATTTTCAAGTCCCACTCGCACATATTCTTCCACAGTAGTCGGTTCCCGCCCAAGCAGCCAGCGCAGGACATCCGGATTTCCCGTGAGAGCGCCAATCTTTCCGCTCGGTCGCGGACAAGCTCCGGGCTGGCATCTTCCTCAGCCGCGCAACTTTGGAGTCCTAGGGTTTCCCACTGCTAGTGAAAAGAGATCCGAGGAAAAGCTCGACGGCTCTCTCGAACGACGGCGTCTTGACCTCGATTTCCTTCTCCATCTGCTTCCCGACCTCAGACACGATCTCGTTCTCACTGAACGGCAGGGTCGAGCAGAATGGGTACTTTGCGTAGAATTGTTTCTCCCGCTCGATGAGAACCTTGGCAGCAGCTTCCAAGACTGTGTGGGCTGAAGTTTGCATTGATCAGATTTGGAAAGTTTTCAAGGAAGTGTCAAGAGCGTGAGTCATTTACGTTACTGACTAAGACCAGGGGATACAATCTATTTTTTATATCAAACTTCTCGAGCGCAATAAAAAGCAAAACCTTACCTTAATCATGACCTACATAAGCTAAAGCTTCGCTCACAAATTTGAAGCTTGCCCGAAATACCTATTCTCTCCTTTATTTTCTTCTATATATTTAACTCAACGAAACATCGCGAAGGCCCGCTAACGACTATAGCCTAAGAACCGAACAAGTACATTGTTATTTTTTTGAAATATTGTCGAAGGTTCACAGCCCAGGGGATACGTCCGAGGGAAGAGGTCGGTAACCAGCTCGAGCAAAGAAAATCGAAGATGCCTGTAGTACTCTCGGAGCGATATTGCGCTTTTGCATAGCCGAGTGGCGACTGAGGTGAAGAACTCCGTGTTGAGGATGTATGCTGGGCGTGATGAAGTGGCTCCCCTTCTCCCAAACGGAGATGTTCGCGACTGAGTTCAGCCATCCACCGAGCGTCTGCAAAAGATCATACGATACAACGCAATGGAAGGACAATGTACCGGTGTGTACTTTGCGTGTCAGGCGCGTACGTTGATCACTTGTAAGTCAAGCAAAACCCGCGCTCTATTGTGACCTGTAGAGAAGTCTGATATGTCGACCAGGTGCGTCGAGTCTTCGGTATTCGGTCACCGACTGCCCGATTGTGTACGGGTGCAAGGAGCACTGCGACTCTCAACAAGACGCATGGTGTCAATGGAAGAGCTGGACGAGCCTACCTCCGAGTTGACGGGCAAGACCTGTGGGGACAGTCGAAATCTGATCCCGGCATTGGTCTGCAAGAACACCCATTCTCATCCGGAGATGAAGGATCTGGTGACGGTCGACAGCCTCATCGAGGTTCGTCATTGAGCCCTCAGGAACATTGAACGTGATATGGAGACTCACGAAATCGCCAAGAGGGTTGTGCCTTCGAGCAAGCACTTTATCCATCTGGAGGACTCCGATCTAAACAGCATTTGCAGATAGCTGGCCTTGCCAATCAACACCATTCCGCATACATTAAACTATTTCTCTGTGCTACACGTGTGGATAAGCCAGCCTACGGGTGAGGAAAAGTGTCAAAATTCCACTGCTGGTGTCTCAAGAATGACGGGTGCTGTTGTACTTAAAGGGTAGAAAGAAATTATGAAGCTAGAAGACATGGTCCGGGGAAAATAGGGGTCAGTCCTGTGGGGCTACCTAGTGCCGTGACAGTAGGATGGAACAATCATAGTAACGTTTCGGCTGTCTCCTATTCATACCTTTTGTTTTAAGCCAAGTAGCGAGGTCTCCAATCTATGCTGTATCTCCTCATTACCCAGGTATCATGCAGAGAAACATTCTCTTCGGGGTGGTCCGGAGGCGTCACTAATTATGATTTGTTTTTATTTTTTAAGCTCTTCGACCGAAGGGAGGAGCCAAACCCAAATACCTCAACAGACAACAAAAAGCAGAGCCCCCGTGATGTACGCTTAATTATGACGCGCACGCTTGTACCAGAAAGAACTCGTCATTTTGCTTAAGGTTATGACAGAGGCTGAAAAGCTAGGATGTCAACGTCTTCGAGTCACGTAAGGTGATGGATGTCATCGCTGAAGCTGATCGTGCAGGAGCTTCCACCGAGGTTTGATCTAAGGTACCTACGTAAGATGGGTAGGGTAATCTATCAAATCATAAAAGAAAACTCCTGGTACCTAAACAAGCCAAATTAGCTCGTATTTGTTGAATGGCGCACAAGCCACCGTGGCGTTCAGGGAGGTGGCAGTGCACCAACAAGGCCAATAGGGTATTTCTAGGCCACCTAGCCCACAGAAGGATTTTCACAGAGACACAACACTCTAACCAGAATCACCAGAATACACGTTATCAACCAGATCAACCATAATACACGCTGTTTAACAGTATTGGCCTCTTTCCCGTATAACACATATTTTCTAGCAGTTTAGCGTAGCTCAAAGGCTAGCCCTGCCCCTTCTATGTCCTCTTCAAGATCCCCTATGTCAATCCAACCTTTGGCTAGATTTCGGCGCGATAAGTTCGCTGAGACGATGGTCTTTGAGATAGCCTTCATTGGGTTCTTGATCTTTGCAGACCCCTTTGTATGTTGCTTCTCAGCAAAATGGACACTCGAGATACTGATCAGCGAGCTCTGTTGGGTCACGCCAGCCATCTTAGTCTCCCTCAACCTTCACCTTGACCTCTTCAGCACCGCCGGCATCCTGCTCATTCTTTAGCTCAGCACCTTTGCTGGCCTTGTCTTCAGCCTTGGCCTCCTTGACAGGCCTGGGGGCAGGTGGTCTACGGCACCAGGGGGGTTCGTGCCGTCTCTTGCATTTGTAGCAGAAAATCTGACTTCGATTTGCTGGTAAAGGTGGTGCAGCAAGCCGCTGAGAACGTGGATTCAGCAATGCCCTGGCTGGAGTCGACTGTATTTGCCGACCGACGGGCGGCTGTGGGTTCCCACGGCCCCTCGGTAAGCGCAGATCGCCCGGTTGCTGGCGGTTCCTGTCATAGGTGTATGATCTGTTCTCTTCGTCGTTCTCAACCTTGAGGAGTGACTGGCGCACATTTTCGTTGTCTCGGCGGGTGGAATAGTCTCGCTGGGCTTCATGGCCAGGAGGGGACCGACTCACATTCGCATTGTATGGGTGGGTGGAGTAGCCTCGCTGGGCTGCATTGCCAGGAGATGACCGACGCACATTTGCGTTGTCTCCGGGGTGGGGGTAGCTTGGGCGGTAGGAGGCTGGGGGGTAGAAGTAGCCCTGAAGGTAGGAGTAGCCCGGGGGGTAGGGGTAGCTCGGGTGGAAGGGGAAGCCCGGGTGGTAGGGGTAGGCTGAGTGGTAAGGGTAGTACCGGTACAGCTGGTCTGCATAGCCAAGAGGTGAGTAAAGCACATTTCTGTCCTCGCGAGGGAATTCGTGGAACTCTCCCGGGCGGCCATCGTGGTATAGGCCGTGCGCAGGAGCTGGAGGACGGTAGCCAGAGCCTAGCCAATAATATTAGCATTGCGATGTTACAATGAGTGCTAATAACTCGCCTTCATTTGCATACGGCGGGCGCTTCCTGTAGTGCGGCTGTGGTGGACTTCTCAATGGACTCAGCTCTCGAGGTCGCGACATGGGACTTCGATGGTGAGTAGTCGTGTCCTGCCTCGGAAGTGGAGGTGGTGCCGCATTCCTGGTGACTAAACCGCCGCCAGCAAATCCGTTGAAGACCCTATACGGCTGCGCAGCTGCTTCATGCGAGCTATACAGGTGAGCCTGTGGCCTTTCGTTAGCCAGCGAGCGAGGTGGTAGTGGTGATGGCCCCCGGCCGATGTTGTGATGCAGTGCATTTCGAGAGTCATCTCGGTGTCGAACACCCCCCTCGGAGCGTCGACTTGCCCAACCCGGGCGTTGTTGTCGGAAATCTCGTAGTTCCGACACTTTGATGCAGTTGTTTTGGAGAGAAAAAAGGACGCGATGCAGTACAAATTTCCATTTATCGGCAGGCACTTCCTGTGTTGGGTGCGGCTTGTTGCTGAACAGTGCGTAAATGGTTCTTATGGTTTGGTGCTAAGTGGTCCCAGAATACCCCTGTTCAGTGCACTGCCACCTCCCTGAACGCCACTGTGGCTTGCGTCCCATCTAACACCACGGCATGTCAAACAGTGCGTAGGGTCAGTTAGATGGGTGAAAGTATTCTGGTGTATTGCTTTACTGGCCTTGCTTGGTGCACTCACTGCCACCTCCCTAAACGCCACGGTGGCTTGCGCGCCATTCAACAACGCGGTGGCGTCCACCATGTTGAAGTCCATCTCTTGTTGGTGGGGACGGGCCTACGTGGTAGACGGCTGTGGCTCCGCGTAATAGCGAATGGGAGGCGTCCGCATAGACCAGGTCGCAACGCACGACTTCTGCACTGGGGTACGTGGTTTGCAGTTTCGACGCGGATATTGGGAATGGACCGCGAGCCGGAGATCGAAGTTCCCCTTTTCGTAGAGCAAGGGGAGGAGGGCAGAACACTGCTTGCCGCTGGGGCCCACCTAACTGTCGTTTCTGCTGATACGTTGACTTCAGCAAATGGGGGCGATGACGATCTATATTGGTATAGCGACTGCGTACAGCATTTGATCATGATGACCATTCAGCCTGGCAGGTGTCTCCATTTCTTCGCGACCAGCCCATCCAGGCAAGGAGCACGGGAAGCGAATATCAAAGTTCGTGGCACTTGCAATCGTATCCCAATCGTGACCGATTTTCTACCTGGATCCCAATCTCGGATGCGTGACAAGGTACGAGCCCTCTACATCAGGCATGACAGCTGTCATGGGGCATCAGGTGCCAGGAGGACCAGGTTGAATGAACAATGCGGAACAAGAAGCCTTCTGGCAGTCAAACTGCATAGCTTCATAGGGTAAATGCCTTGTTAAAGTATCATGCCGTCCGTTACATCAGTTGCTTGAGTCTTGCCTAATCGCCGCCTTGGGAACATGCTGCACCTATATTACACAGATTCCGACGAGGCCAACATCCATGTGTAGAAGCTCGATGTGTCAGCTTTCGCTGCTGTTATAGACATAGTCACTAACCCAGGGGACAAGAACCCCGGATCTATACTCGCATACGATAACGAGATCACTCTTTGCAAGATGGATCATTAGTGAAGCCCAACTCTGTTCTCGGCGGCTGCTATACATACCCCCATATACACAGGATAAGGGAGCTAGATCCTCCATCGCCGCCGGGATTCTCAATACCAGACGACTGCGGCTGTGCTGACCTGCTATTTCATACCCCCTCCTGTCATTCCGTGTCATTCCCATCGGCCGCTTGAACCACTCCAACGTTTAGCGCACGCTTGCGCCTTCCAGCTCTCGCGGGATTGGCAAGTTGTGCCAGTCAAAGCCGGCTGCGGTTCACAGCGGCATCGTGGCCGAAATAAGAACCTACTTAGTACTCCTTTGGGTAATATCTAAGCTCGGCTCGACCATGGCTCTTCCGTATCTGCACACAATATTGGAGGTGCTCGCTGTCACACCCGGGACATGGATCTGAAGATTGAATCGGGTCTGGAATACGCCATCCCTCGAGTTCGCGTAGGCACACCCAGACGTCCGGCGGGTATCTCTCGTTGTCGAGGAACATGTCGAGCCTTTGCGTCCAGGACATCCCTCCCTCGTACTGTCCGATTACCCAGAACATCTTGTTGTATAGCTCCGACGGTAGGTATTCACTCTCTGGATCTGGCCGAAGCGTTTTCAGGGTTGCCATACTGCCTTCTCGAATCGAATTCCACTTATGCAAGACTCGAAGCTGATCATGCGACAGCTGAGAAGTGGATTCGTCCGATGAGTCGTTTCCGGGGCCTGATACCCTGGACTTATCAGATGTTGCTAGGTCGAGTCTGGGTTTCTTGTTCGTCGCATGTGGCGGCGCATCTTCCGCCGTATGCTTCGCGGGACTCGTTTGTGTCGCCCGAGAAACGTGGTCCGCCTTACGCTTCAGAGGACTCGTTTGCGTTGCTCGAGACACGTTCTCTAGAGCGGGTGTTCTGGGTTTGAGGTCTCTAAGTGCAGTCTCGATGGTCTTTTTGATTTCACCCAGATCTATCGGCTGGTGACTCTTGTTGATCGCGACATGTATGTCCTGGATCTTGGCGGCCATATCCTCTTGGGTTTTTCGCTGACCGTTCGCGTCCGTGGTGAAATTGTCGTTGGTGGATACACTCGCATCGCGAAGGCCTTGCATCTCCGACCGCAGTTCTTCGTGCTTCTTGTTTTCGTCCTCGAATTTGCTCTTCTCGAGCTTGAGTGCCTGGTATGTAGCATTACACGTTTGAATGCCAGCATCGAGGTCCGCCGAGGTTCGAAGGAGTACTTCCATAATACCACTGAGGACTGGAGGCCCCGGTTCGCCCAGCGCTTGGTACAGACCCTTGAATCGGTCTGAGCAGCCCCGGACTACTGCATGCAGGGAGTCGACCTGCTCCTTCTCCCTTGTGTGATTTTTGGTGTGCAATCTCAGTAAACTGGGCAGATTCCGTGTATAGTTGTCCTGATGGCTGGTTGTAGCTTGGTCAATGGTGTTGTGAGCGGGAAAGAGTCAATCCCCGACAAGGGGCTGCTCCATACACTGGAACTAGGCCGCACTCCCACGGCAAGGGCGTCCAATTTTCACCGACGAAGGAAGTCGCGACTTCCTTCTCTTGCATGAACCACCGAAACCAACCAATATGGTGTAATGGCGTAGGAATTTGCTGCGTGACTAGGTACCTGGGTACCTACGTACGGTACCACCTACCTCATGTGAGGAGGTACATGTACTTCGATCAACGCCAAGCACAAGACGCTCCATGTATCCCAGGACTGGAGTATTCGGCCTGGTGTGTCGGCCTTGATGCCCACAGCAACTCAAACCTGTGCACCTTCACCTCCCTTCGCCACACCCAAAAACCGACGCGCATCCCACAGGAAATACACAGTTGCGCCCTGTATTTCTTACCTTCCTACATCTTGATACACTGTACCTTTCCACTCGTATCGTGGCATCAAATTCGCCGCAGCTATGGATGTGCCCGAGTTCCTTCTCACTTGACGTTATGGCAGGGATTAACCTGTACACGGGCAACCGACTGGCGACGGCAATTGGGAACTTGTCACGATATTTCAGACACGAGAGGCAATGTGGACTTGTTCCAAAGGATTATCATCATAGAATATGGCTATTGCTAATTGATTGAGCCTGCCTATTCTGGGTGCTTATTCCATTCAATGAAATATGTCACCAAGGGACGGTGGGGGTCCGGAGGTGTACTCTTGGCGACGTACGCCTCCCACCAGAGCTCGCTGCGGAAATGCGTGCTTTGGAGCACAATGTCCTCCCAGAGGTGCCGGTCCGGGGATGACACCATCATTCGGGGCCGTTCGTCGAGGCCTGAGGTGAGTTCCTGGGCGAAGCCGTCCTCGAAGACCCTGATGGTCCGCTGGCCGAAGTGGATGATCGCCCACCACTTTTTGTCTCCCGATGCGAAGATGCCGACGTCGCCCTCTATCTCGAGCCCCGGTCGCAGCTCCTCTCTGAGCAGAGCCGTGGCCTCCCTGAGGTCATTCGACCGGACCTATGCATCCTTCTCAATGCGTTTACCAGTTTGGTCGCACTGGCGTCGTTACCTGCATTTTCACAGGCCGTATCTGGGTTGCCCGCGTGTTTACAGGCTATGGCAGTCTTCCTCAGACTGAGATACTCGCTCATTTCGCTCAACGCAAATGCAGCGAAGCTCATGAGGTGAGGCCATTTCGCGAGTGACCTCTGTAGCGAACAGTGGAAGTCGTCCATGAGGTTTATCATGCCGCGAAATTCCAGTGACCCCTCAAACAGAACCTTCCAATTCAAGCTGAGCAGCTCGAACGCCCTCATGACGTGAGACGGCTCCCAGTAATCCTGCTGCAGAAGCCAGAACAGCCGGGCGAGCCTCTCGTGGGTGCCGATCTGCGGCGGGTCTAGTTTCAACCCTTCGGCCTTGAGCCAGGGAGCCTCGAAGACCCAGAACCCATCCTCGACATCCTCGTCTGGCAACGGGGGCAGGGGTGTCCACGCGGAGTAGGCTGTGAGGAAACTGTTCCACTTCTCCCGTGGGAGGGGCCCGATGGTGGTGGTCAGCCAGTCGGCGGTCGCCTCGCTGAAGCGGTCCAGCTTCTGGTCGGTCTTTTCGAATTGTTCTTTCCAGCGCTTGGACGACTCCTTTGCGTCGCCTAGCTCGCCGGCCAGGACCTTGTTGTTGGCTTGCAGGTCTTCTATGTCTCTCAAGTAACCAGTAGCAGCCTTTGCGTGTTCGGCTTTCAGACGAGCGACCTCGCTGTCATGGCTGGCGTCTTTGGATGCTAGATCCTGCTTGTGCGACTCTCGGAGCCCCTTGACGTTGGTCTCATGCGTTGGTCTCAACTTCCGGAGTGCTTCACTATGCTTAAGAGCCAGTTCTTTCTCCTTGGCTGGCTGGTGTTCGTAGCGAGGTGGCCGACGCATATCCACATCTTGGCCGCGGTGAAACCTCTCTTCGTGGTCAGGTGACCGACGCATATTAACGTCTTGGCCGCTGTAAGATTCGTAAGCCCGATGTTCTTCGTAGCGAGCTATTTGACGCAAATTTACATCTTCCCGGTGGCGAGATTCGTAGGATGGTTTTGGTCGACCACTGCGGGAAAGGCCGTACCCAGGAGGCGGGAGGTGAGGGCCATAGCCTGGACAGGAATATCAGCATTGGGATAAGACAGGGAATAGGGCATGTTGAGAACTCACGTTCGCGTCTGGGCGGCGACCGCTCTCTGTGGTAGGATTGCTGCGAGTGGCGTGGTGGACTGCGCGGCGGACTGCGTGGTGGACTGCGCTCGCGATAGCGCGATCCGTGATGATGCGCCGGCGAGAAACGTGATTGCACATCCGAGGCGAACGTTACGTCACCACGGGAGATGAAGGTGTCGCCTCCGTAGCGCTCCGAATGAGATCTGTGGGTTGGTGCGCTCTCGTATCCGCGCCAGTCGCGCCGGTCGTCTTGGTCACCCCGTCGCATTGGGTCGTGCAGCCAGCGAGGTGGTGGTGATGGCCCCCGGCCATTGTTGTGATGCATCGCATCTCGAGAGTCATCCCGATATCGAGCGCCCCCCGTGGGACGACGATTTGCCCATTCTGGGCGTTGTTGCCGGGAATCTCGTGGTTCCGACATTTTGTTGAAGCTGTCTTGGAGAGGAAGAAAAACGCGATGCAGCAGAAATTTCCATTTAACTTATCGGCAGGCACTTCCGTGGCCCCGACAAAGCACCAGCTTCCAAGTCCATCGTAACTGCCCCAAGTTGGCCAACTCGGGACACTGTCCAAGAGAGAACCCGATATCACTGGAATCTCAGCCATGTCGTTGGCCTGTTCAGTTTTCACATGATGCTGTTCAGTACTGGCCCAGCTAGCTACATGAGGCACAGGAACCCAGGGACAGTTTCCACCAGTATGCGTGACGGTTGATAACACCAGCTTCTATCTGTCGCCAATGACCGAGTAGGTCGGTAAGCCCTTTGCGGAACTGCTAGCCCCTATACATATCCACAAATCCCATGTCACAACGGGTAAGAGGTATGAACCTGTTAAACTGCCATAGACTGCCGGTCCCGGAATGGTGTACTCCTTGAAGTCGCTCCCCCATATATCGATCTTGATTCCCGGGTCGTTGGCATTGTAGGCTCCCGGGAACTTCACGCCGGCGGGGTTGGCCGAGCCTCCGCCCGTGACCGTGACTTGCTGTATGACTTATTAGCATGCATTCCTACGAACTACATTGTGGAGAGAGTTCTTACATAGCAGGTCATGTAGAACTGAGCACCGTTTGCCTGCGAAGCAGTATGAAGCGCAATAGTCTCCGCGCGGAGAAGATAATCACCCGGGGCAATATCAGCCGGGATCGTGACGTCCTGTTTGCCGCAGTTCTTGTTGAGCAGGTCGTTGCCCCAGGTCTTGGTCGAGGCATCGTATCCGATCTCGAAGATCTTGAACCAGGACGATGACCGTCTGCAGAGGCGGCTGAGTCCACCTTGCTCATGTACGCCATCACGGGTCCGAAGTGGTTGCCGCCGAGGGCTTCGTTCGAGCAGGATCGGTCGCCGGGCTGTTGGTGCATCTCGACTGTGATGGTACCGCCAGCTTGGACGCTGTTAGGGCTGGGATTTTGATCGAAGACAAGGGAACTCACCTGGGACGCTGCAGCTGCAGCTCGCTGCCTTGGAGCCTGCATTGCACCGAATGTCGTTTGTTGACACACGTCACAGGGCTGTTACTCGCCTATATGAAAAGATCAGCTACGGGACAGTTAATTTCGCCCTCGGCAGAACTGCAGACTTACAGGAAGCCTTGCACAGGTTGATACCATGTCTTTACCGTGACCCATAGCTCCTGGAACGTTGCGTGGGCAGCAACCGACGTCGCAAGGATCGTTTCGCGGCAAAAGGCACGGAAGTGGCCTTCATTTTGAGATCGATGGGCTTGGCGATGACTTCTGACAGGCTTTGGTCACACATGCCTCAACCAGGAAGCGTAGTCGCCTTTATAAAGCTCAGGGTCTGGTCTGTTGCTGTTCATGATGCCAGCTTCACGGATCGTAGGGATCCGAGACTTCGGCCTCAAGTGACCTTGACTCACGGCTTCGGCCCTCAGATTGATGGCTTTAATCTGGTCCTCTTGGCGTAGTCGCTCAGATCGGTGATCTCGTGGTCGTGCTCGGCGGGTTGTTGTCAACTTTACGGTGCCTTATTTAGCCAGAATCACATATCAGTGACGATGTCTCACCCAAACATGGTTCTTACTTGCTCGGCACGGCACGGGACCAATCAAGACATGTGGATTGAGATATATGAACTTGATGCCAAGCGTGCCCAGCAGCCCCTTTTGGGGAAACCTCTTACATTATGATTGGATGCAGATATATATCAGAGCGTCATTTCACACAATATCGCAGCATGATTCATATATGTCGGCGATATTCTGGTGATATAAGACCGATATAGACCCGGAAAGCCGGGATCTCGGAGTGGGAGGTTGCAAATGAGGACGCACCACACGGTAGCTCTATGACGATTAGGAAAAACAAGAGAGGTGACAACGGCCATCGCAAGCCCGCCATTACCAATCCCCACGCATATGATGATATGAAAACTCGTCAAACTGGTTGGCCAGATAGAGTTTCACGCATGGAGTCTGAGCAAAGCCATGAGCATTTCGATACACAAGAAAGACTCGAAGACCGACTCGGGATGAGCTCGCATGAAGCGAGCCAGTGGCGGCTGGCATGAACTCAATTCGTCTAGACTGGGGGAGGGGTCCTGAGCGCAGTCGCAAATTGAAGACAGAATACTCGTTTGTGGAGCAGACAAGATCTGCCCGGGACATGCTTCCAGTATAAGGTTATTGGCCGTCACCACGGCAATTCCTTGCCATTGATGGCGTTGATGAACTTCCCCGACGTAGTCTGGCGACTGGCATTGTCAATCTGATGAAATTAGCGATACTTCCATATGTCGATGCTTCCCTACATACTATGGCTATCATCTTCTCTGCACAGAACTCCTTCGTGTAAGGCGCCTTCTCCATGCCTAGATATCGGGCGGTTCCGTTGCCCATATCTGTATCTGCAAGACTGATAGCAAGTCAGTTCCGTATCACACAAGACTGCTGGCAGTAAACTCACCCCGGGTTCAAGGCAAGAGCTGTGAGCCATTCATGACTACAATGGGCCGCCCTGTACGTCTCTCATCAGCTGCTGCTACTCGTATCATCCACAAGACCCCGAGAAAGTAGAGCCTCACAAGGTGATCCAGTTTAGAGCCGCCTTCGACGCACAATACGCCGGTGCGACATGGGCGCCATTGCCTTCCATGCCTCCAATAGACCCAGCAGCACTGCTAACAGACACGAACTTGGCGTTTGCTGACTTTTCAAGGAGTCCGTAACAGGCCTGATATAAAGCCAGAGGCCCGAGGACGTTGACTCTGTATGCGCTGGCCATCTCCTCAGGATCGACTGTCTCGAGCCCCACAACTGGTGGGCTCACACCAGCGTTCGCTATGACGATATCGATATGGTCGATGTTTGCGGCCTTTACCCGTTCTATTGCGGCACTTGCATCTGCGGGGACGGAACTCTCGATCTTGACCAGGAGCAGCTTCGATCCGCTTCCTTTGGGTGACGCCGCAAGCTCGGCAACAGCCGGCGTACTGTCGTCGCGGACCGTCCCGACCACGATACAGTTCGGGCGTGATAGATAGGCTTGAGCCAGGGCGTTGCCGATCCCTTGTTGGAAGATCAGCATGGGTCTTGGCAGAATGTCTTGCGTATTGACCTACCTCGGCCGGCGCCGCTGATGACGACGACAAGTTGGTTCTCCATCATTTGTAACTCAAGCCTTGCCTTCAACGAGCGCGGCTGATTCGAGGTCCCGTAAGTTCTCGCGTGGAGTGGCGGTGTAGGTGTGATGACATACCTAGGTAGAAATCCACTTTGCTGGCTCCTGGCTACGGGGAAGCGAATAATGGATCTTCCCTTCGTAGGTACGTAAGCCCCGAAGCTTACGTAAGGCCCCGGCGCAGTCTGGGCAGCCAACCGGGTGGAGGTTATAGCCCGTACGTTGCCAGCCAGCCAAGCATTATGTTCGAAGCTGGCCGTGTGTATCACCGGTGCTTGACGCACTACCTACCTAGAGTCTATGTTACATTCAGTAAGACCCAGAACATCTCCCTACAGCAAGTACGGGGGCGTCTGTTTTCGAGCGACAGTCTAGATAGGGGTTGTGTTTCAACTCGCTTGCTATTGAATCCATTCGCCTCAGATGGCCCTTTCAACCTACCAAGCTTGGTGTGTTTGTGAGAAGATGGACTTCCTGTGAAATACGGCATGACCTAAACAGAAACCATCAACCAACGCTCAATAATCACCAAGATTCGTCAGCATGTCATAGACATCCTCAACCGGCCACAGCCAGGAATCGGCACATGGCCAATGCATGGTCGTCACGAAAAGCACAAGCCATACTTCTCAAGCAACGAATTTTATTCCTGCCTCGCTATGTACGCTATTGGGTATCTTTGGCAAAGCACGCAGAAAACAGAAGAAAGCAGCGAAACATCGCTGCAGATCCAGCCCCAGGACAGACTCAACCAGAAGCAGTCCGTCCAGCTTATTCTTCTCCTCAAAGTCAAACCTAGACGCACTGATCGCGCGTCGCACCGCCGACATGCATGACAAAATCACCGATACAGGCCTTGACCTCGCCACTCAGGCTACCGCTAGCGCTCCAGCCATACGTCGGATCGTCCGGCGTCCAGTTGAACACGGAGTTGTCCACCTCGCCTTGGACGCCGTTGCAGCCGTTCAGCTGCCAGTGCAGCAGCTCGCCGTTGGGCCCGATCTGGTCGTCCGAGAAGCCCCTGCCCTGGATTATGAACGAATACCCCGTCGGGCCCAAGCCCAAGAGGTCGCCCTGCGGCGTCGCGTTGCAGGTGTTGATCACCCAGGTCTGCTGCGCGTCGATACTGGCCTGGCGAGGTAGCGCAACGCCCGGCGAGTTGTAGACGGGATCTTGGTACTCGGGGTCTAGGGGCGCGCGGGTGATGCAGTCGGTGAAGACTAACGATGAAAGGGATTGGGATTAGTGAATTGGTCACAGTGATACGGAGGGGGAAGGGGATGATGTCTTGGTGGGGGGAGTGGGTTCCTTATTGAGAAAAGGGGTTAGAGGACGAAGAGGGAATAGTACTCACCAAAGAGCACGACACCCTCGGGAAGTCCGTCTCGAATGTACAGCTGGTCGGCGCATTAGTTTCCGGTCGTGACCGGATTGATACAGTAGTACTTTAGATTGCTGTAGTAAGGAACGCCTTCGGTGTACGTTTCGCTATAAGAAGTGGTGGTCAGCAAACTCTCAGTCCCAGAGATAGATGACGCCCATAGGGGAAATAAGAAGCGCGTCAGGGAAAAGTAAAACGAGAGTGCATTGAGGCTTACCAGGTACCCTTCATGATGCCTACAAAGGTGAAGTATCCGCACTGGCCGGACGTAAGTTCGATCTTGTAGTTGCGGCCCCGGGCCTGGCCCTGCGAGTAGCTGTAGCCGCCGCTGATGCCGACCTTGTATGCCTTGCCCATTTTGGCAGACACCGAGGTACTCCATCCCGTGCTGGTGGTGTAACTCTCGCTGATCTCGCAGTTCAGGGGATATTGGCAGGAAGAACGCGCGAAGGGAGACTCTTGGATGTAGTAGTACACAGTGCCTGGGGCAAATCGTGTTAGCTAGATTACCTGGAAACGGGCATGAGAGTGAAAAGTCTGAGGCGAGCGACCTGGAGAGAAGAGAAGGAAACACTTAGACTTACGGACTTGGCAGAAGGCAGCGCAACCATCCATGGGCTCGTCGCGATAGTTGGGGCAGGTACCGTCGTCGGCTATGTGGTATTTAGCCGGACACTCAGCTTCACCATACTCGTGGAAGATTTGGAGCTCGTAGCCGACAGCGTCGCAAGGATCGCGCTTCAATGTCGCCAACAGCCGTCGGGTAGCTGATGTTGGCGGGCAAGCCATTGGGCAGGGCGGCAGCGATGCTGAAGAGCAAGGCAAGCGACAAGACGAAAGCCTTGAGGGCGGCCATTGCGAAAGTGATAGTGCCGGTGTATCAGAGAGGATGTGTGAATGTAGATGGCGAGTGCAAAGAGAGGTTGCGTGAAAAGAGAGGGTGCACGAACAGAGAGGGTGCACGAACAGAGAGGGTGCACGAACAGAGAGGGCGGGTGAAAGAAGGGGTGGGTAGTTAATAGGGTTGCCCGGGAGCGCTGATAAAGTGCACGTGGTAAACTCAGGGGCAAATCTTGCACAAAATTAAGGAGCTCGCTTGAGAAATATAGCATCCGCTATTAGCACATTTCACAACATCACTACACTTTTACTCCCTTTTCACCTTGTCCCCTGATAGTCTTGCGACTTCCATGATTAGTTCCTATATTACTGTGTTATCATGTTAAGCTGACACTGAGGGCCTTTCACACCTGTGCTGGACCTCTTAAGCCTCGATAATAGCTTTCCTATGACCAGCCTACCCGTGGGCCAGAAGGCCTTACAGCGCCATAAGCTCATCCACATCCACGTCCCAATACACCCAAGGCAGCTCTATGTCATCCCGCTAAGCCACGCCGCAACCCCGGGTATGTAAAGCGGTCCTGGGTGGAATTATGAAATCCAGATGCCGTCGTTAAAGGCGAAGGCCTACATCACCTATGTATAAGGAGGCCATCTTGTTCGGTCCGTACCCGACTCGGAAGGGTCTCTGGATACGAGTCACCGCCGCCGTCGTCCGGACCTTGATAAAGGTCTTGCGGCTGGTGGTGGTGTCGAGATATAGGCCTCCGTGTAGTTGAAGGTGGCCACGACGTTGGACCCCTGACACGATGACACAGGTACCTATGAAAACTATCCTATACCAACCCCCGACGTCATTGAGAAGTGACCCCTGATGATCTGATAACACCCTGAGCACGTGGTCTTGCCCCTTTAGCCCCTTTCGGAGCCAACGTGCATACTCTGGAGTCTGGACCTATCATACCCCAGCTTACTCCTCTTGGCGGTGCTTCCTCGGGTCTTTCCCCATGCGAGTATCGACGACTAGGCTCATCAGGGCAGCTTGTGTGAGGATCTGTCAGCCCCCAAATCCTGGCATCACTGGCTTTGCTCGGACAAGCGTGCTTCTTGGAATACCTATATAAATCTGATGAGTTGGGAAGCGTTCGATCGTGTCAATAGATGCCACACCGCTCGACTTCGACAACCATGTCTCACTCATCCGCGAATCAATGTGTACGCTGAAGTCTCCGCGATCGAGCATGACTGCTTTGGAAGACCGACTGATTTGTTACAGTGCGCGGGGATTGCGAACGTTCTGGGGAACAAGGTTTATTTCCCGGGCGAATCTGGCTACAACACAACCGAGACGTCATACTGGTCTCTACAGGAGGCATCAGTAGCACCAGCATGTGTCGTCCAACCAGAAACCACTGTCGAAGTGGTCAGCTTTATCTCTATTGTTACTAAAACCACGAACTGTAGTTTCGCCATCAAAACGCAGGGCCATGCGCCAGCAGCTGGAGCCGCCAACATCGCAGACGGCGTGACATTGGATATCTCATGGTTGAACGGAAGAGATCTCAATGACGACCATTCAGTCGCAAGCGTGGGCCCAGGATCTGCGTGGCTCGATGTGTATACCGCGCTCCAGCCATTCAACAGGACCGTTGCTGGAGGTCGTAATGGAGCCGTGGGCGTTGGCGGGCTTACCCTGGGCGGTGGCATTTCGTACTTCTCACCACAAGTCGGGTGGACCTGTGACACCGTCGTCAATTTCGAAGTACTCCAACCCCCTCTGTCAGCTAGGAGAAGCTTGCTGATAGCGAGCTAACTAGATCGTGCTGTCGTCCGCAGAGATCGTGAACGCCAACGCCACATCGAACCCCGACCTGTTCCGCGCCTTGAAGGGCGGCGGGAACAACTTCGGCGTGGTCACAAGGATCGACTTCGCCACAATCGACACCGTCCCGTTGCGAGCAGGCCATCTGATCCAGAGCTCCGAGTACATCAAGCCGGTACTGACAGCGTTTGCCAACATTGCGTCGGCGGAGGACTACGATGTCCATGCGTCTATCACCACGAGCTTCACCTTCAATGTGACAACGAGCGGATGGACGATTGCGAGTATCCCTGTCTACACGCTACCGGAGACGGATCCTGCAGTCTACCAGGAGCTCTTCTCCATCCCCAATATCACAGCACAAAGCACAGTACTTGCAGAAAACATCAGCACGCTGGCAGCCGAAGGCCCCTATCCTCAAAGGTGAGTACGGGTTGGCCTGATACAGCTCCCCGGTCGCTATGCTGACTCCCGAAAGTTACCAAAGGTTCCTCACAAGCACGTATGCGGCGTCAGCGGTCCTGCTCATAGAGATATTCGGCGTTGCCAACCAGACACTCCGGTCTGCTCGATCGCCATCCGACATCAGCTACTCCCTCACCTTCGAGCCACTCCCCGCCGTCTTAACCCAGCATGGCGCCGGGAAAAATGTCCTTGGCACGTCGGAGGCCGATGGGAATGGTGTGGTACTGCTGATATCCACATCATGGTCGAATTCGAACTCGTCTAGCTTTGCGCAGAGCATGAGTCGGAAGCTACTGCAGGCTATGGATGACACTGCGGCCGCTCCTGGGGGTCTGCACCAGTTCAAGTACATGAACTATGCAGATCCGAGTCAAGACCCACTCGAAAGTTATGGGAGCAAGAACCTGGCGTTCTTGCGAGCAGTGAGTGCACGGTATGACCCAAGCGGGATATTCCAGAAGAAGGTACCAGGAGGATTCAAGCTCGGCTGAGGAAGCGCGAAAGCTATGTGGTTTTCATAACAACATCTACATATCTCGTGGAGTTTCAGTTTCGTAGCCATAGATTGGAGCAAGCAAATAAATACACTCAGCCCTCATAAGTCTCCGTACGCGACACTTCCATGAGATTCCACACACCTGTGGAATTCAGAAATACTGGAATAAGCACACAGGAATAACAAGTTCTGGTGTTACACTCTGCTTTTGGTGCTTATCCCAGTGTGCTTATTCCAATTACGACAAATATACCGTTGTTTGCTAGATGCGTGGTGTACGGAGACTTACGAGGGTTCAGTGTATCAAACCAGTAACTTAGTCGGGGGTTATGAGAAGCTGGCACGTGGAAATGGTTCAATTCTTGTAGATATGGGATTTTGGTTCAGCACGACTACATCTTAGAGCCTGTCCCCTATGGCTACATCCATTCACGCCCATCTCGTATTCGTTGCCACTTGAGTTGCTCATCCTGAGCTCCGGACACATGCCCTCCCATTTGAACTGCCGTTTACACCCCTCTGTTTAAGCTGTTACAGCCCTGGGTGCTCTCCCTGTACACGCTGTATGTTCACAGGTAGATGTACTCGCTGTATGTTCACAGCTGAGCCTTGGGTTTAACTGTATATGCACAGCCAGCATATGATTCAGGATGATGGAAGGCGATTGATGGACTTTCGTCGCGTAAGGTTGTCAGTGGAGACAGAGGCGAAGAACGTATCGCGAGAATGTGATACCTGATTGCGTCTTGAAGGCGAGGTTGACAATCCTGGCAACTTATGGGTTCTGCCTTCCTCTAGTCCTCACTCGTCTTCCTCCTTCTTGACCTTCGTCCCGTTCTCGTCCAGGTAGGGCTGGGAAGGCAGCGGAACACGATGCATGTCCACCTGGTTGGGATCGGCATCTTCGGGACGCATCAGGGCCTCGATATGCAGCGGAGGCCTGTTCTCCCAGTCCACTTTGTAATACCAGCGTTTGATTTTGATCCTCCCCTGCTTTTCAGTCCATCTGCCCGCTGCGATGTCCCGCTTGGTGAGTGCCACCTCTCGTGCCTTGTGCCGCTCTCTTCTTTCCTCGTCCTGAGCTTGTGCAATGTCCCTCGTCAGGACTGGCATGAAGTGCCGGCCAGGCACTGCTTCGATGTCGGTACGGTCGACCTTGGTGGCCGCCGGGGCTAGGTTTTGCCTCGGGTAGTACAGGAAGTCGTGCCGGTCGTCCACATCTTCGTTATCGAAGCAGCAGACCTCGAAAAGATGGCCTTTCGTGCCGCACCGAACGCAGACGTTGGTTCTACCATCCTTAAGTGGTCCAATGCAGAAGCGAGGGTCGTGCTTCTTCCTGCAGTTCTGGCACAAGATATCATCCCTGTTGGCTGGGAGGTCTGGAATATTACACGGGAACATGATGCCAATCCCGTGCCGTCCGTTTACAGATACGCTCGCAATTATGGTACATAATTTGCTAGATGCCTAGCTATACAGCAGGCGGGACCACCACGACTATCCCTCGACGTCATCGTCTATTTCTAGAGATATCTAGAGAAAATGGAACTTAGAATCTTCTGGGAATAACATGCTGTCATCGTACACAGGGACTGCTCAGTGTTTTTTTATGTAGTAAGTTACTATACATGTGTGAGCTTTAAAAATGGTCTGTATTGGAAGAGGAATAAGGATAGCTGATGGGGGTACCATCCTACTTGAATAGGTGGGAAAGGGACCTCTGACAGCTATCACATGTGATCCCACAGGATGACTCACAGCAATCACAACAAGGCTAAATAGGCCAATGTTATGATATCTGACAACTTGCTACCAACTGTCTATTCGCGTTTACGGCTCGATCCGAGAGGTTTTGCTCGGGTTGAATGTGAATGGTGGCACACAGGCAAAGTACACGCCTCTGGCCGCGGTGGTGGGCGCTCCCGAGTTAAGTAGTATCAAGCATGGCCCATGAGTATCAGCCACCCAGCACCTCAGTATGTGCGTATCGTCATGTTGGACTGCAGTAGGACCACTGTGTTTTCCCACCTCGGTACCGCGTATCTGTCCAGCTGTACTTTACCGTGATATGACTGGAGAAGTTCCTCTCAGGATCGTCATGCCCTGGTATTTATAAAGTCGTTGTAGGGTGGTGTCTCTAGCAATCGGGGATGAACATGAAATCGCACTTTACACAAAAGGCTACACGCATGCTGGAAGCATCCTCGCTGCCCATACTACGCTCCTTCATCTGGCTTGGAAATGAATCTCAATTTAGTCGACGACTATGAGGCGGCCTTACTATTACAGAGCCTTTCTTGCCTGTTGATGGTCATGTGAATATGGGTTACTCGGACTATGATCTTTGCTATTTCAGTCCCAGTTCGGGCAGGGACCGCTTCCTCCACAGCTCCCATGCGTCCCTGTCACAGCTACAATGAAGAATCTGGTTCCTAACAATGACCTTCTGAGCCGAAACGGGCTTGAAAATACATGGAGATTGATGGAAAGGGGTGCGATCATAATCGGGCAACATGATCAGCCCCGGCACATAGTGTCACAGTTCGACTGCTGGTCACTCCAGAATGATGTTTCTTCGCGACTATGCTTATGGTCATGTCGGACCATCTACTAGCGATACAGAATCAGCGGTGCGTGATGTACAGGCCAAGGCCCATCAACAAGTATACCTACATATGTGAAGACATCTTTGCATGTCTCGATGCCCCGTCCTCTTGCGAGTGGACTTACCAGGCGCCACCAATGTCGTAGCACTCCAGACGCTCTGTACATGCCGCCATGTCGTCATGCAATATTTCCCAAGGGAAGACGGCCAACTCAAGAGCCAGACCGACCCATAGCTAGGTAGGTACATACAGGCACGATGCGTATTACGGGCGCTGACCAGGAGGTCTATCGAAATTGTCGTACTCTTGCCACACAAAATCAATGCCGACTCCTGCGAACGCTGCCTTGTATGCATCGATGGCCTCTGATGATCTTCTGCCGACTAGTTTGATCGGGTCGTAATAGCCGATATCAGCAGCGCGGAATCTAAGCTGCCGAAGTTCTGGCCAACGGCCTTCTCTGCAGCCCTCAAAGCAGCGAAAGAGCATCGTTTCTAACCATGTTTCGTGGAAACCTACTGTTTGGGGGTCGCCGGACATTAATGTCTCCTCTTGGACTGCGTACAACCTCTCGATTAACTGGAGCGTGCGCAGTGATTTTGGGAGAAGGACGGGGATGTCTTCAAGACCGTTGCGCTTGCGGTGGCTCCAAGAGCCAAACAATTTCGTCAGGTCGATCGTTAGGTGGTACAGCTTTTTGAACGAAGGGAGACATGTTACAATCTGACATGTACGTGGGAGCATTTCCGGTGCGTAGTCCCCGGCAATTGTGTCCAGGTGTAATGTTTCCAGTGTATCTGCGCCTTGCAATAGAGCTTCATTCAGACCTTTCTGTCGGTACCCCCATGATACTTTCTTGTTTCTCTCGTTTGCCCAATCTATCTCCCATGTGGACCAGTGAAAGACCTTCAATTTGCGACTGAACTTGAGGATTTCGTATACCCAGGTGGGAGACGTCATGCTGAAGCTTAGTCGAACATCTTCAAGTGATTCCATAGCGACAGAGGGGAAACTCCAGACACCATTGTCTCCGTAGAGGTCGATTTTCTGGACATGACTGAGCGCGGTAATTGGTAGGTTTGCTGCGGATATTCCCATCTCGGTATCGAAATGATGATATTCATAATGATCTTGGTGCCTTGGATCGCGCTGGAGTCGAATAGATCTGAGGCATGAGAGAATACGGTAATCGGGAGGTGTGCTGCCATGCCCACCATAGCTCATGGTAGTCGCAAGACTTCGGTGATGGCGAGGGAAGGATCTGTGTTGTGGCAAGCGCAAAAGGACGTCGAGCAGGCCACTCGAAAGAACGAGGACCATTGCAGTCACCCGTTGTAGCAAGCCGAGGTGGTTTACGGTGAGTGTGCCTTGGGCCTCTGATAGACGACGGGTCCAGGGTGGCAAATCATCCGCTTGTCTCAACACAAGGCCCAAAGATGCGAGAAAATCCGTCTCAACTTCGTTCAGATCCGCATCATCGAAGAAGGGGGCGACGCTTCTCCAGCATTCATTCCCGATTGGAGACTGGTAATCGATTCGGACGACGTCAACAAGGCAGGCAAATTGCCGGACAGAGGAACGAAGATCTCGCCTGCGAAGCAACGTCCGAAACAGTCGAATGAGTCCTATCGGCCGCGTGACAATGGTGTTGCGATGAAGCCTCGGTTGTGCGAAACGGCGCCACCATTGGGACGTCAGGCATAGATTATGCAATACAAATTGGCCCATACAAGCCTCGTCTGGCACGTAGGTAGTGTTGGTGGGCAGAGGGCCGGGGATGAAATGTGAGAGGATGATTTCGAGCAGCTCCTCTGGGAGCGCATACAAGAGGAATGCCATCAAAAGGCAGGTCGGAAATGTATGCGCTGTTGGAAGTGGTGCGATGACTATCCGCACAGGCACCTGGACTACATGTAAGCAGGCAGGCAGGCAATCAGAAGGAAAACTGACCGAAACATCACCGAGGTGCTGTTTATACCACTCCGATATCCGACGGCAAGATCGTGCGCGTGCACTCTTGAAGTCTTGCTTGAATCTGGCTGTTCAGTGTTGGGGGAGCAAGCACTGATGAGGTACATGCAAGGTACCTACTAGGTTGTTGCATGCGAGTTGAGTATTGTGGCTCTTCAACCCCATTTCCAGCCACAATGACGGATGGGTCACGGACCAGGGTACAGGGTACCTTGGAGCCCAACTGGTACCCGTTTGTACCAGATTCGTACCCAACTGGGATGATAGCTACTTCTAGGATGGGGACACCACCCATCCTTTCTTTCAATCAAGCAACTTCCAGAATCCAGACAATAGCCACCATTCGTGACCTTGGTCCTGATTCTGGAACCGCTACCCACAAGGCACAGTATTACTTCAGTTGTGGGACCTCAAACATGGGAACACGGGAAACGAAAGATTGAGGCGTTGGCGTGGCGTATTGAACTTGGTAGGGCTCCGATTAATTCGTATAGTGTGAGAATATTGGTGCCTGTCAGGCGTGCTGCAGCTAGCAGCAGGTTGAAAGGGGGGAATAAGAACCTTAAAAGGGTAAAAAAAGGAGCAATTAACGCGTTATCTAGCAGGTTTATTATTTAATATTAAGTAAACGGGTATTAAAAGGCTTTTATGGTTATATTATTAAAAAAATCTCTTTTATAGATTTATAACTAACGTATTGAATTAAATTTGTCTTATTTAAGCCTGATTTAAACCCTTGATTTTTATATTATCATATCTTTAATAAAGATTAAATAAAAATATATCTAATGCTTTTAAAAGTATTTCAAGCCTTTTAACGATCATTATAATAGCTTTAGCTAAAAATAATGAAAATAATACGTATAAAAGTATGGTTATTAAAAGTAATATTACCGCTTTATAACGCGAAATCGTAACCTTTTAAAAATAATAAGGCTATTAATAATAACAAGGCTAATAATAATGATAACAGCTTATTTATTTTTAAAAGGTTAAAAACCCTCGTTTTAATTATAGCCTTTTATTAATAGGGCTTTATATAAATAACTACTAGAAAAATGATATTTAAAAAGGCTTAATAATCAATAATTATAATATTTAGCTTTAAGTTTACTTTTAAAAGTATTGCATAAACTAATAACATTGTAAGAACTAAGCTCAATTAAATTAAAATTGACAATATTATTTCAAGTTGTTGGAACAGGCTTGAACGATCAATCATAATACTCGAGTATTGGGTCAAGGTCATGATGTTACTGATGATTGGATTGGGAGGCCTAGCTGGACTTGCAGGTCTAGCTAAGTGACCTCACAATCCGGTATCTAATCTCTTATCTAATCATACATGTGGGTTTGATATGGATGGTTCGAATATGAAATCGTATAGATCTAACACAAGTATTATTAAAGAAAATAAACCAGTACGTTTTTTAAAAAGCTTTATAAAGGTAATAAGATAATCCCACGTTTTAAAACAACGTTTAAAGCGTATAAAAATAACAACCTTATAAAATAATCTTTAAGCTTATAAATATAAAAGCGGATGTTTTATGACGTACTTTCTAAGCTTTAATTAATCAATAACTCGTAACAATAATATAAGTAATACGATAATATAATTATAATAAAAGTTTATTTTTTATATAAGCGCTTATAAAAAGTTTAAAGGGTACAAAAAGCACTAGTGCTTTTTAGTTATTTATTTTATGGCTAATAATATAACGGTTTAAACTATTTAAAACAACTTTATTAGCAAAATTTAAAGCTTAATATACGATTGTCATGGTCTGGTACAGGTAGCCCATGTGGTGAGTCCTGGAGCCCGGACATGAGTATATGTACCACCATTGAATGTCAAGCTGACATGCTTAATATTCGACATCCTTTTGGGAGGAACAGCCGTGGCATGGTGGTTATAGTGAGCGTTCCGTCACAACGATAGTTAAAAGAAAAACCTTTTATTTAATTGAAACCTGTCAGATGTTGGATCCCAGATATGGTGCCCTTAGGTGCAGTACCCACTAGGGGGCTGTCAAGAGAACAGTGGATCCACTCTGGCATAGTGCAGTATGGTATTTAGCTGTAGATTAGCCCTGCCGAGCATACTTGAGAATGACAACAATATTTGCAGCGACCGCTCACACCCCAAAGGCTTGTGATACTTCTAGAATCTCACAAAACCCCAAAAAAGAAGTTAAAATTCAAATATTAGAAGTATAAAAAATACGGTTATTATGAAAATAAACATCTTGTAAAAAATAAAAAGTTAAACGATAGTAAAAAAAAATAAAAAAATAAAGTAAAAGCATTTAATATATTAAACGCCGTAATAAGTATTAAAGCTACGCTTTTAAAGTTAAGCCTTTTATAAGATTAAAAACCCTTGTTAACGTTTTAAATAGGTTTAATCGTAACATTATAAAAATAACTTATAAAATATTATAACTAATTGTAGCAAGTAAATAAACGAGATTTAATAGTTATAATTACGGATTTAAAAGTATAAATTATAATAAAACGGAAGTGAAAAGTCTTTTAATCGATTAAAAAATTATCAAAAACAATACTTTCATGAAAAAGAACAAGTGTTTAATAACCTAGCTATTAAATGTGATAACGTATTAGTTAAAAGCTTTATTAATAAAGTTAAATTTTATTATATGTACACGTATACCGCTTATTGAATTAAATAATAATATCGTCCTTTAAATTAAAGTTTATCGCGTTTTTAAGCGATTTCAACTTCATTAATCTCTTAATATTATTATATAAATTAGCTATTTTAAAGTTTAATTAAACGATTAAAAAACCATCTTATTATGAAGGTAAGTAACATAATAACTAATAATATTAAATAGTTATAAAAACATTAAAAATTATAAATACTTATTAAGCGTATTATAACTAGTAATAAGTTAAAAAAGGTAAATAAAAACTTTAAAAGGGTAAAAAAGAGAATGTTTGAGCGGTATTTAATAGATTTTTTATCTAATATTAAATAAACGGGTATTAAAAAGCCTTTATAGCTAACGTAGCCAATAAGCGAGTTAGCATTATGAACAAGTTAATATTCGTTATAAACTTTTTAACTACTATATTAAATAACTTTATTATAACGCATTTAATTTAATTTGATTTATTTTATTTCTGCTTTTTAAATAGTTTTATCTTTATTTTACAAGTTCGCGCATTATAGCTATTATTGCTGTAAACGCTATACCGTTGTGTGCGCGCTGCCGTCTTTTTTAAACGACGACTACTTTTACTTATTTCCTGTCTTGCTAGCTTAGTAAAATCCTTTGCAGCTTGAAGACCTACTGCATTTTTAACGAAAAGTATTCCTCATTTTACTAGACGTTTGTGTTTATCTTTCGGTGTTTACTTAGTAGGTAATCAACTTCTTTTAGCTTGCAAACCTAGAAACTAACTAGAGCGACCTTATATACAAAACTATATGTAGCCTTTAAAAACAAATTTGACATAATAATAACTAATATAAGTAACCTTTTTTAATGGTTTTTTTATTTAGTTTTTAATATAAACCGACTAAGTTATTACTTTATTAATAATACAAGGGTTTTTTAAAGTTTGAAAAACATTTGGTAAATCAAGGTTCAACGACGGTATTTATATAATAGTAATAATATCTAGCTTTAAAATAACACTTTTTAAAATAAATAAAATACGGCTAGTAGTATTAAAACCTGTTTAAACGTTTTTAATATTATAGCAGCATTATATACTTTATAAAACGCTATCAAAAAGTGCTTTTTAAAACGTAGGATATATAATGCCGGAAAAGATCTTTAATTAAGCGATTGTAAGCTAATTTGAGCGGGTTAAAACAGCTAACATTTAAAGATTAAAGTGTATAAAAGAAGTAAGTAAGCATATAAAAAGTAATATTATTATTATTTTAATATCAATCTTTCAAACCCTAGAGATAATAACTTTTATAACTATTTAAAAAAAAGTTTATTAGTAATTATACGCGGTTTAATATACTTATTAAAATGTTAAATTTATTTCAAACCGATTTTATTTGTAATTTACCCGTTATTAAACACGGCTACTTTTTAATCGTATAATAATACTATATTATAATATTATAACGCGAAGTAGGTTTTTGTGACGGCCTGCACAGGCCTTCCCACATGACAAGCGGATACTTCCTAATAAGGGAAGGATCTGACCAGAGGATCCCCTTAAAGGGGCAACCTCCCGCTGTACCTATCTCTTTCTTCTTTTCCTCTCTAGTCTTGATATTCTCGTCAATAGAGTAATAGCTGCTTGCTGCAAGCCATGTCCCAGCTCCCCAGTATGCTCGCCGTGACAGTTTTACTTTATAAAATCATGAACATCGGAACTATTTAACTATTAGCGTTAATAATAAAGATTGTTATAAACCATTTTTATTACCTTATTAAGCTTGTTTCAGCCTGCTACGTCTTTTAACGCTTATAACAACTATACCGGATTTAACAGTATTTATTATAAACCTAGTGTTATTAAAGTTATAAATATTAGCGTTTTAAATACTATATTTTACAACCATTACTACAACTTAGCAAAACTACGCGTAATATACGTTTAAATCTTCGCTTAAAACCTTTAAATAGTTTATTTATTGAATCCATGCGGTTCCATCCTTCAAACCATTTATACTGTCACGGCAAGCATACTGGGGAGCTGGGACATGGCCTGCAGCAATCAGCTATTACTCTATTGACGAGAATATCAAGACTAGAGAGGAAAAGAAGAGAGAGAGAGATAGGTACAACGGGAGGTTGCCCCTTTAAGAGGATCCTCTGGTCAGATCCTTCCCTTATTGGGAAGTATCCGCTTGTCATGTGGGAAGGCCTGTGCAGGCCGTCACATATACCAGATCTACATGTATGATTAGATAACAGGTTAGATACCGGATTGTGAGGACACTTAGCCAGACCTTCAAGTCCAGCTAGACCTTCCAATCGAACCATCATCAACAGCATGACCTTGACCCAATACTCGAGTATTATGATTGATCGTTCAAGCCTGTTCTAACATTATTTTATAATAAAAACGCGTTTGAAAGCCTACTATACGTTTGATAAAGGTCCGCGTTTAGTTCTTTTTAAGGCGTTTAACTTTACGCCTTGTTAATAATTAATTCGCTATATTTTTAATATAACTGTATTAAGGCGGAAATACTCGCTTATGGACTACGTTATATATATATATATAATTATAAATTTTATTTAAAATATGAAACTAGATCTATTTTATTTTAACCTTATTTTAACCTTTGATTTTAATATATAATGTTTTAATATATTATTATTATTATTATACCGCGTATAGTACCGCTATTCTTATAGTTAAGGTCGTATTAATCTCGTATAATATTATATAGTATTAATTACTATGATATTAACACTTTCTTTACTACGTTTAACTACGCGTTAGCTATATTTAAACCGTATTAAAACCGGAAGTAAAATATTAATGTAAGATTAATACTAATAGACATTTTTAGAATAAAATAAGGCTTTATTGAGTTATATAGATAAAGGTATTATCTATTTTACCGTATAATAATATAAATTAAGTATATATATTAAGTTAAAGGTCTTGTACGGCCAGTTTGAAAGAACGGCTAAATGGATCCCAGACGTAGAGACGAGAAAGAACGAGCTGGGACAGATGACACTTGACACATGGTATGTAACAAGCCCAGACAGAGAGTCAAACGGTGGACATCTCCTCGACTGCGTGGAGAGACTAAAGCCATCCGCGAAACGTAAATCCGAGTATGAGCTCGAAGAACGTTATTTCTTCCTTGAAAGCAGAGATGTCGTCCTCATCCATCGAGCACTAGACTCCCTCCACGAGAGTGGTGCATCTTTACAACAGCGAATACCTCATTGCCATGGACAAGGCTTGGGGAGAGCTACCCCCTCACCACGAGCAAGAAATGCAAGCGTGGGACAGGCATTGTATCATGCGCGAGAAGAATGACAGGCTTCAAAACGAGCCGGACATTCCGCCCTCCGAGAGGAGCCAGAGTAAGCTTATTTACTACTGGCGGCACCCACAATGCGATCGGCGGTTCTACCCGACCATTTTCGGAACTGATCCAAGCGCGATACAAGACCGGCATTGAAACTGCTAGACCCGATTCTAACGATAGTAAGTCGGCTAATGCAGGCCGATAAACCCAAGAGTGAATGTGCTCTGAAGTCAGAGATTGAAGCTGTCCTCAATCTGATAAATCCGAGAGTGAATGTGCTCCGGAGTCAGAAGGGAATCCTCTCTCCAAACCCCAGTGAACGTAGGCGCCACGGGCGTTAAAATCAGATGCGGTAGCTTCTGATCAGCTTCGTCGTCGACTCTTTTTGCTTGGTACCCAGCAGTTCCTTCCTGAGCCAAACGAGGGCTGTCATGAACGAGGAACGTGTCTTGGCTTGCCTTTTGAAGCAGGATTCGAAGCCGAGTCAAGCGGCTTCGGCAGAAGGCTAAGCGTCCAGGGAAATAGTTACGTAGAAGAATTCACTTATTGTTACCGCGATCAGATACATGTGTGGGTATAACCTGGGTCTCAGGCCGGGTTTGTAAAAAGGCCGTCCCTGGTCTTGCACGGACTTTAGCTGGTGGCAGACACATTGGAGTAATGACCGAGGTCCCAATGGTATTGATCTCTAGTACGAGAAGAACCTCGCATCCATATGGTTCGACCATGCGGCTGTCTGAAAATGCACTGCTGCGAAGCCACCATCTGCCGGACTGAACACCTGACAGAAGCTTCGTATATCCCCAACGCTTCGGATAGCGCCACGATGAGTGCCGCGACAACAGAGATAACCACTTCCCTCCCGCCCGCCTCCCTGTCGTCACGACTTCTGCTGCTGCTCCTGCCACGCACTACACTTCCGATATATATCCCGCCGAAACGTCTGCTTCAGCGCCTCCACGGCCGGTACATCCACAGGCAACGAAGCCTGCAGCGCGCCCAGTCCACACAGATCGTTCTCGCGATCGATAAACCACGTGAACGTCATGCCGCCGCCCCACGTAAGCGTGCGCTCGCCATACCACCCCTCCACATCCTGCAGCGTCAGCAATCCCCCCAGGCCGTGGCCCGCCCTCGCCCCGGCGTCCGTGCCGACGCGGAAAAACGGGCCCCCGGGCCCCAGGAGCGCCTCGCCGAGTTTTGTGGAAGACTCCGGGCTCAGGTGGTCGCGAAACATATCGTTAACCGTCTCGGGTTTTAAAATCTTGCCGTCCTTGGCTAAGAGTGATTTTAGCACGGCCAGGTAGTCCGGCGCCGTCATGAACAGACCCTGCCCGCCAAAGTCCCCCCGCGTGGTGCGGTTCACGTCCCCCCCGCCGCCTAGCACGGCGCGGCCGAGCGCGTCCGGGTCCGCCGAGTTGAGGTCGACGAGGCGCGCGCGCAGGTCCGGGCGCGTGACGGGGTGGAACTGCGCGTCGGCAATCCCCAAAGGCGCGAAGACGCGCGCGTGCAGGTGTTCCCCTAGGGTCCGGCCCGTGGCGCGCTCGATGAGGCGCCCGGCCCAGTCGAGGCCGGGCCCGTACATCCAGCTGCTGCCGGGCTGGAAGCTGAGCGGGTAGCAGAAGAGCTGCTCGACTGTCATCTTCCTCTCGTCCCCGGTTTTGGTTTTGGTTTCAGCTTTAGTTTCGGCTTGGGCTTGGGCCTGGGCTTGCGGCGCGAACTTGGCGCGCCAGCGGGCCACGTTCGGGTCGAGGAAGTGGTACGTCAGCCCCGAGCTGTGCGTGAGCAGCATCTCCAGCGTGACGTTTCGGGCCTGCGGCTCGAGGATCGGGGTCTCGCCATCATCATCAAAGCCCTTGAGCACCTGCTTCGCAACCAAATCAGGCGCGACGGCCGCCAGGTCGCCCGTCAGCGAGAGCGTGCCGTCCTCGACGCACTGCAGGGCGGCGATAGTAGTCAACAGCTTGGTGGCGCTCGCGAGGAACAGCACATCGTCGCGCCGATGCGGGCGCTTCTCGCCCGACAGCAGGGTGCGCCGGCCCAGCGTCTTCTCGTAGACGAAGTTCCCGGCGGCGTCCGAGGCGCAGACGAGGACGCCGTTGAGCGTGCCCTTGTCGATGGCGGCTTGGAAGGCGGTCTCCATGTCGTCTTGGCTCATGGTGGTGGGTTGGTGGCAGATGAGTGAGTGTAGCCCGGCTGGTCGTATGCATGGAAAGCAGCGGTCTATACCCCTTTATGAGTCGGCACGGGATGTGTGCTGACGGTCACCTACCCCACATTGCTGCGCCGGGTGACTCAGACGGCGTTATGGATCATCTCGATTTACTTGAGCCCCAGACTACCATGATAATCTAGAAATGTATGCACAGGTAACTGCAGAGACGATAGTGACGATCATGACCGTGTAACCTCGCGAGATCCAATTTATGACATGCTTGCGCGCCATGCCGGGAATGTGTTTTTGGGAAAACGCATTTCTATCAGTCGAGTCAGTGTCGACGTACAACTACTCACCGATCCTTCGTCAGCTTGAGTACAGGCTATCGGCGTGTCCTCATGTGGGTGCGTTCCAGCTGACGAGTGGCGTATCACATCGCACGGACGAACATGGGTAGGAATGACTGACGCGGCCAACACCATTATCTGCTGCGATCCAAAGTAGGTAGGTACTCTTTGCGACTGGACGTATGACATCACAGCTGGCGTATAGGGTAGATAGAATGCTTCATTGGCTATAGAAGCAGATCCTTATCTAAAAAACAGCACACGCATGCCTCTGCTATGCGAATCAGTTCCCGTAGTAGACTCCAATCCAGACCGCATCGTCACGTCGAATACTGAGCATGAACCCAGGCACCATGGTCCGCCTTTCTATGTGTTTTTGGTTTCTTGGTTTGTCTATCGAACTCCACCAACGCCGGCTGATCCGGATGGATGCGCTCAGGCCTTGCTCTTCTGCAGCATGGTCACGAGGGCGTTGGGGTTGGCTCCGACGAGCTTCTCGGCGGGCTTCATGTTGCCATCCTTGAAGATCATGAAGGTGGGCATGGCGGTGATTTCGAGCTCCTGGGCCAGCTCGGGCAGGTCGTCGACGTCAATCTTGGCGAACAGGATGTCCTTGAACTCGTCCTCGTTGGAGTGCCTGTAGTGGATGCCGTGTTAGCGAGCGACTTTCACTGATAGATCAGACTCGCATGGAATGGGGGATGTCCGTCGTCGAGGGACTACGGGAGTTGCTTACTTGGCTAGGATAGGGGCAATGGCCTTGCAAGGCCCGCACCACGTGGCGAAGCAGTCGAGCATGACGATCTTGTTGTCCTTGACAGCCTGCTTGAAGGCGTCCGCGCTGTAAACATGGTCAGCGACTGTGATGTAGGCACGGCTGAAGCAGGGTGGGGTAGCTAAGCTGTCCATGCGACGTCGCGCGGGTGTCACAGCAGCGGAAGCACAAGGCGACACTCACGTCTCGAAGTTGTGGACAGTCATCTTGGGCAAAGTGGTGTGGAATTGGCGCAGTGATGCTCGTTGTGCAGATCTGTATACGGATTGTCTAAGTGCAGACTGGGTTGCGCGGAGGAAGTTCGTTGACATGAAGAAAACGGAGATGGTGTTAAGCCGAGGGGCAGAAGTGGGTTTTATGTTTATGGTGTGCAGTAGCCGCAGTGACAGGCGGGCTTTGTATTAGTGATACCGGTAGTGAGGGAATGTACTGTAGGCCGCGGATAGAAGGGGGATGGAAGCACCGAGACTGGACTGCTGTAGACTGTAGTATTGAGGCGCAGAGATCTGTCATGCGCCTGCTGAAGTGATGATGCAAGCCGCCTCGGTCTGATTTGTCAGGGCTGCCACGCCTGCCGATGACGCGATATTCGTCCCGGGATTTGGGGCTTGACGAAAGCCGCCCGACGGCCGTCCGCGACTGTGGCACCTGTGGCTCATGCTTATTAAGCCCCTGTCCCCACTTTCCGACGCCTCCTTTTCAACATCTTGTCCGGGCCGCCATTTCAATGTTTGACTTACAAATATCGGGATATTCACGGTCATATCGTTTGGAGTCACTACCAGACTGCAGCTTCTGAGCCACCCGGCCGGGTTGTGATCGTTGAGATGTATCTTGCGCTCTTGATCAGTCAGTCGTAGTCGAATTCCAAAGAAAATCATCGGCCATACTCTCTTCATCAGACATCGATAACATTCGCTCAAGACAGCAGGCGTCCAAGTTTGGTGACCCCGGCTGGCCAGGACCTGGCCTGGTGGTCTCAGTGAAAGCCTTGCGAGAAGAGCCTGACGTTGACACACTGAAGGAAGGATGTGGCTAGCTGTCACATCGATGTGGCCGGTGAAACCCCCTTGGTGCGACTCAAGAAAGCAATATACATTGGGGGGAGGTCATGTGCTTCGAACCCTTAGGTCCGACGTTGCGATTCCAGACTGGCAACCACCCTATCAAAGAACCCATCATATCTGCCCTGCTGAGGGCAGAATTCAAATTCGTGGTGACAGCGGTGTGGACGAGATATCGTTTTGGTCTTGGGTATGGTTTATCTACTGTCTGTTGGCAGCGAACACGCTCTAAATGGATGGGGCGGGGCCGACACGGGAGGAGCTGTTCATCCACCTGCTTCCAACTGCCCCCTGTGACCTGACGTGACCACCAAAGCCACCAGCTCTCACACCCCCTCATGGCTACAAGGTGGCCCATTCTGTCTCCTTGGTCTCCTTCCTCGCTCGAATAGGAAGGTGGCCAACCGCACGCCGTGGCAGAATCCTCTGCGTGCGTGCGTTCGTTTGACTGACTGACTGACTGCCAACAGGCTCCAACTGCCTCCAATAGCCCTGGGAGGCCTCAATGGCTCCAACATCTCTGAAAAGCTCGAAAGCACAACAAAACTGGGATCTGTGAGTGATAGCATCGCTTGAATGGGGAAGCGGTGTATCCGTGCCACGGCAGAATTCCTCCGTGGTGTGGCCAACTGCTCCAGATGCCCACCAATCCTTACAGTCTCCAATCGCTCCGTTGAGCCCAAAAACACAATATCAAATCAGAATCGAACGAGTGATACCATCACTCAACGAGGTAGGCGGTGAGCTTGTCTCCCCTGGCAGGATCCATCCGTGGTACTCTCAACCCGCCAGCTGCCCAGATGACTGCAGATGGCTCCCAATTCTCCAACAGGCTCCAATTGCCTTGCGAGGTTCAAATCAGCTCTGAATGCCGCGTCCCTTGGTGTTCTCACGTGCCTTCGTCGTCGAAGGGCTTCCGAATCTTCGTATGCGGCTCCATCCATCTCTCAGACTGAGGACCTCGGCGCTGCTGATGCTGTATGTGTGTGACTCTGTAGCCAGCACTCCTCGCCATCCATTCGCGCGCCGAAGCGACCTCATTCTTGGATGTGTGTGCCTCTGTGGAGGTCTTCTTTCGGTGTGCCGTCCGTGACCTGGCGAACTTTACTCTGCGTGCCTCCGCCGCGGTGGCTACAGGACTTCTCTCAGACTCCGTACATAGAAAAAGGGGTGCCGTTGAGGCTCGGTTGCTCCATCCGTTGAGGAGGTCTCTCGTTTCTTTCGCTTGCGCTCACTCGTTTGAAGCTCGAACGTGATATATGAAAAGGGGGGTGCCGTGGAGGCTCTGGTGCTTCCTCTCGTGAAGCCGTGATGTGTTGACTGACATATGAACGGGGATGCCCTAGGGGGCTCTGGAGTTCTTCTTCCTGCCGCTCCGTGGCTTCCATCTGCGTGCCTCTGCCGCGGTGGCAAGAGGACTTCTGATGCTTCGGATGACTATGTTGCCATCGAGCTGCTCGTTCGTGTGCCTCTTCTATCGTTGCAAGAGAACTTCCGGTATTTCTCCGCTGAAGAGGTCGCTTCGTGTGACATCTCTTTTCGTTGGGTGACGTTGTCGCTATCGTCATGGCTCCTTAGCTCGATGCCTACTACCCCGTGGATAGAAGAGCTCTGCTTCTTCCCGACTTCTTATGCCTGCTTTGTGGCGCTAAAGTAACCGGTACCTCCCTCCGCGCATGTGACTTTCCCCCATCCCACGTCTACATTCCTTAATTACCGCAAGTACAATGAAGTTTTCGACGTAGACTTGGGCAGGTTTACACGATAGTACTAATTAAAACTTTATCTTCCGATTGCGCAACGGGCTGACTCGATGACTTTTCGTACACGCAACACTCTTATCAACTTAAGTACTCACTCCTCGACTACCGCAAACACTAGGGTGTTCGACCTGGCTCTGGGCAGGTCCACACGACAGCACCAAGATCAAATACCAATAAAGGTGTCTACCTATCCAATAAGTTATTAACTTCTGGCATGGGGAGTCACACTGAACCCTCATATCTATCGTAATTGGAATAAGCACACTGACATGATTATTAAACGTATCGTGTAATATCAGATATGCTTCTTCCGGTATGCTTATCCTAGTATTTCAATTCTTTACGGGTGATGTGGAATGTTATCAACATCAATGCGCGTACGGAGACTTACAAGGGTGAGTGTAATTGTAGGGTCTACATGCGCTTCAACGCAGGCTTTTAAGAGAGTTGGAAGTCTCGAACATGTCAGTCAAAAGCCGTCACCTCACATACACATGGTCAACCGCAGCGATTTTAAGAAAAAGCTTTCATATTTTGCTCCGCTGCTGCGCGCAAGCTCCTATTCACACCAGACATGACCCTGGCTCTCCATCTAGGTATTGGAACGGGGCGAGGAGGCTCCAGAAAGCGGACGCGAGCGGGTTTTCGGTAAACCAGATACCCGTAGCCGCAGTCTAGTCGCACATTTCCGACTTTTCTCTTCCAAATGTGCCCATCCAACTCGCCTCCTTGCTTGCCAAATCAGAATTGGCGCATCCTAGCCGCACTCTTCCTCTATTGGGTGGAATGTAAAAACACAGTGCCGAAGAAACCAGACGCAAAACCTCTGCTCCTCCAACCGCAGTGCGAGGAAGGGGTATCGAGGATAAATCTCCGACAACGCGTAAATGTGGTTATTTGGTGCCTGGGGTATCGGGATTCGTGTGCACCTCGAACCAAGTTCCAAAAACCCTGCGAGCGCGCGCGGAAGGTGAAAGCCCATATCGTAGATCGAGGCAGGCTCAAATATGGGAACGAAAATCTTCGTCGGGGAACGCTCAAACAACGCGTCCTGACCTCTGCGCCGCGGCAGAGAGTGAGTGGTATCAAAAGGGGAAGCCGCCGCGCAGAAACACAACCATGTGGTATCGCCGTATATCGAGAAAATTAGAAAATGGACGCGCCGGCGTCTCTTCATGTACGGCGAAATGGGGGAGAAGTCGTGAAAGTCGTATCGTACATGCGTAAACGCATTACACGTATGTATGATTCGGTGTGTGACGACGTGAGGTCGAGAGTGAGGGTGGTGAGGGTACTGGTGAGGCGCTGGCAAGCCTGAGTGCATGATGCTGATGGTCTGAACTATGGTAGTGGTTGATCCAGGAGACGGTCTGGGTTTTGGGGTTTCAACTTTTTTGTTGCTTTTCTGATGAAACATCAAGGAGAGATCGTAATGAGCGAATCAGGTCGGTACTTGAGAGTGCAAGGAAATGGGTAATGAGTGTGGAACCGTCTCCTTTCGCAACCAGTACCATGATCATCAGTATCAGTCAGCATATCCACACGGCCACAACGACGAGGCTACTGCGTGCCTCTCTCAATCAGTCCACTCCTCCGGTGCTCGCCAGAAGGTCGTGGCGAGATCTCGAGGAGCTTTGCACTACCCGCACTGAAGTTACGGGCATGCGCTTTGCCAAGATTTACGCTCGTTGCCCGCTGTGGCTGGACAGGACTTTGCTCAGGACTTTGCTGGGGGCTTTGGTCCTCTTCACCCTCACTGTACTTGCCAAACTCCTTCTCATCGTCAAACGACAAAAGGAGCCCCTCTCGACTTCGCATCGTCTCCCGGTGATGCATGACGGGCATCTGGCCAATTGCGCCCCATTTAGGCTCAGCCTCGGCTTCCTCCTCGTCACTGCTGGGACGTGCCTCTCCTGTGGACCCGCGGTGTAGGTGAGCTGGAACGACGCTGTTCAGGTATTCGTCATCGGCGAGGTTATCGTCATCCGTGTGCTGTGAACCTTGTCCTTCCGAACCTCCCGATAGAGCAGATACAGTTCGTGGGGGGTATTGTGAAAGAGAACGCATGCCGGATGAAGCTCGCTTCCTGCCAACCCGACCAGAGAGCCAAGATCCCTCCGAATCGATAGACGCAAGCGACATGGACTGCGGTGCCGGTGAAGGCTGTATTTCGTCTCGGTGCCACGAGCTTGGAGTAGCACGCATGGCTTCCTGGGATCGACGGCCCGAGGTTGGCGTGTCATAGCGCATCTGTACATCATCGGGAATAACGGGCAGGGGCTCGGTAGATATAGGTCGGTCTTCAGGGGAAGCTACACGAGAATCCGGAGGGGAAACGGGCAGTTCGGGCAAGTCTTCCCGGAAACGAGACATAGTCCGCTTTGGCACGCCCGAGCTTGACTTCCGCGGTACCATGTAGGTGACGGGAGGCGGCGCCTGGCTTGCGGACATAGAATCTCGAGAGGTATTCGAAAATGACGAGGGACCAGAGCTGCGTCTGTTCCTTCCCCACTTAAAGAAGGACTTCCATGGACGAGTAGATCTGCTACCGGATGTCCGACTTGTAGACTCTCCATCATCCGTTCTAGCTAGTACTGGTGAATCCGAGCTTACTCCAGCTTGTTCGTGGCCAGGATGCGTAGGTGACGTAGACCGAGACTTCCTCGATCGAATGAATTCCATAATCTTCGGGCTTATCTTAGGGCTTGAAGAATGACGCGCGGCTAGCTCTTCGGGGTTGGCTTGCACCTCGGTTTCAGGAAGGTTTGTTAGTGAGGCCGGCTCGGGTTGGATACTGTCCGTTCTATGGAACTCGTCCAACGGGGAAGGCGTTCTCTCTCGGGTTATCGACTCGTCCAGTTTGGCCGGTTGTTTGCCTTTTCCTGGCGAATCACTCGAAGATCTCCGCCTCGAGGACGTGACAACTGCTGATGTCTGCTCATGGCCGGACTCTGGAAGTTCTCGGCCGAGAACACCGCGCTCTAGGTTCGACGGCGGAGGCGTGCCATTCCGAGCAGCCGCAGCCTCTTCGGCCCGCTGCTTCTCTGCCCTTCTAGCCAAGCGTCTCGCTATCCGCTCCTGATCCTTTTCCTTCTGACGTTCTCTCCTCCGCTTGTCTCGTTCCATCAGCTCCCGCAGATCCGAGGCATCGAGATCATCCGCCAGAGTGTCGACTCTCTTATGAGCCTTGAGCGTCTCTTCAGGAATCGTGCCCTTGTCTGAAACCTTCCTCCTGGTCGACTGTGACCGCATGGGCCCTGAGCCAGGTCCTGGACCATACACTGGATTCGAGGCACAACGCAGTGTCGGTCGAGGAGATAATGCATCTAGCGCGGATATCTTCCAGGAGACGTGTTCGGAATCTGAAGACATGGACGAATGGACGGAGTCGGGTGTAGGCAAGGATATGTCAGAGGAGGGCTTGTCCCAGCTTCTGTTCAGGCCAGTCCGGTAACGTTTGCTATCCTGTTTGACCGGACGGCCTGCTGTCCAACTGTCTGTGGCAGGACGTACAGGCATAAACTGGCTCATGGCCTTGATCTCGGCCTCGCGGTCATGATCCTCTTTCCGGCGTTTGCTTGACTTCTTCCGTGGCAACGGCTGGGCCCTTCGTTTGTTTCGAGAGTTGTCATGATGTAAAGTGGGCACTCGGACGGCGAAATCATCATTCGACACCGACGGACCCCCTTGGCTTCCATACACTTCACTCGTGACGCCGCGAAGGGGGCCTGAAGGTAAAGGGGGAACTGACTCTTTCCTGGTTTTGGCAACACGCAGCGAATCATTCCGACCTGGGGAAAAGCTGTAAGCTCGGTTTCGCCGTTGTAACTTGCCTGACCCATCCCTTCTTGCTCTGGGAGGCCCAGTGGTAGTGGTGGAGATGGCTGGATCCGTCTGTGCTCGCTGTGCAGCCCGATCTTGACGCCCTCGCCCGGTCGCACCGAGATCTGAAGTGTCTACCGGGGCAGTGGCAGTGCGACCGCGCCAGCGAGAGCCCCTGCGGCGGAATGGCCACAAGGCCATGATGTCCCAGGGTGGCCAACAGCCCTAATCACGAAAATCTGGCGAGACTATTGGCAGCGCAGGGTTGGCAGCCGCTATCGGTTGATGCTGGGTGAAGACGGTCGCTGGATGATTATAGCCATGGGCGCGGATGGTGGCGAGTCATGCGATCGGGTTTGTCAGGAGTCGAGCGATGATCAACGCAAACTGTGCATGGGAGGATTCGTGAAGTGGTGTATGAAGGTTGCTGACGAAGGACGGTCGCACTGCAGTGGTCGGAAGGTTAATTTGGCGTCTAGAACAGATTGTCTTGCCTGCCAGGTGGGCAAAGACGTTGTGCCGTTGTGCCGTTGCGTGGTCGGCTTGCCGTTATTGACCGTCGTGACTAGGTCGAACTATAAGGTAGAAAGAGAGGACGGCGCGCGAGTGATTCAAGGAGTAAATGGATGAAGTGACTATTGTTCGCCGGGTTGGAATACCGTCGGGTGACTTTCAGAAGCAATGGGGATGTGACTTACGTCTCTGATAGGTACTGAGATGTAGCCGGCATTCATTCACACCGATCTTCAGAGTCTGGAACTGTTTGTTGTCGGCGGTGGCGACAGTGGGGAGGACGTTGACTGCAATTAATTGAATTGGCAGAGGGAATAAATGGGGGGGAAGGGAGACGTTGGCGACTATTTTCAGGTGTGGCAGGGAATCGGCGTGGATTAAATGGCTTCAAAGGTGGCGTCAAGTCCAGCAGCGGCCTCAGCGACTTGTCCAGGGCTGGGCCAGGGCTTAATTCGACGTTCCCATTGGTTGGGTCAAGGTGATGGATGCAGGTGGTGATGGACCTCGCCACCTCAGGTGGATAAATACTGGCTCTGACCCCAGCAGGTACTTCAACCCCCGTGCAGTCCACCGCCTATTGTTGCGTATTCCTCCATGTTCCCTTATGCCCAGCAGTGCTTCTGGTCCTGCGCATTGGCCCTTGGGCTTCATCAGTCTCCATCCCTCATCATCTCCAATCTCATCAATCTCATCAGTCTGTCAGTTTCACTCTTCTATTCTATCCGCTCTGCTAAACCACGACTGCACACTTCGTACGTTTCGTACCTACACACCTCTCAGAGATAAAGCAAGGTACCCGACCACTGCCGACCTACCTTCACCTAAATGTGTCCAACCTCCATGTCACACCTGCACAGAGCAAGGTGGAACGTTCGTTCTTCCAGTATCTTTCAAGACTCCGGGGCGGATGATTGCAGCAGAGGACGAACGCTTGGCGGACCAAAAAGGCGAGCTGGTCCCATGGATCATGGATAGCCATGGGACCTGATCCCGATGCCCCGGGGCTCGCGAGCTTTGTTCCCGCTCTGTGCATTGCCTACGGTATTCTGTCTTGTTACCACAAGCTTGAAGAATGTGAGACTCGATCTTCTCCAAAGCCCGAACAGACGTCAGGATACTACCCTGACTACCCAGCCCAGTCAGCAAAGCCCTCGTGGCTCTCATCACAAGATCAATGCAACGAATGGGAGACGCGTATGCTCGTCGGCCACTCGACGTCAGAGCTGGCCAGAAATAATCACCAGTCTCAATGCGTTTGCCGTTAGCTGATGATAGTGCCATCGCCAAAGCCGCAAGCCACCGTGTCACCCTACCCTTGCCAGCCCGTCGCCAGCCAAGCCAGCTTACCTGCACCCCGGCCTCCTCGCCAATCAGGTCGAGATCCATCGGTGATGTCAGCGCACAAGGGAGAGCTGCCAGGTACCGACCTTCATAAGCTGATGTCATGCCATCGCCGCAGGCCTGCATCGCCGGCAGAGCTGACGGTTGTTGACCTGCTTGCCCATGCTCGCATCGCAATTTTACTTGGGCCTCCTCAGAGCCTGGCGATCATGGCTGTGTGGGAGTGTCGCCGCCGAAGCGTACCTAGGTAGCATTCAAGAATCAACTGCTCCGAGTCCCGCTTGAAGTTGCTGGAGCTCTCCTGAAGTCCAAGTTTCAAAACTGGCCACACTCGCTAACTCGACACCGTGGGGACGGGAATCACGTGCCGCCACGGGCTGCATGATCCATCACCTTGCTACTCTGCTAGTGGCATAGACAGCTTCGATCTACTTGAGCCATCCGCTTGATGTCGGCGGCATCAGAGTTTTCGGGCACACCGCTCGAACTTCAACGCTCAAGCCTATCGTAGATACTGTCTGATCGAAGGTTCGATGGAAGAAAGCTCAATGTTAGCAGAAGCTAGATGTTGCCACATCGTCTGATGTCTACTCGCTTTCAACGTCAGCAAACCTTCGACACACGTGCGCAAGCGCATTCTCCAGGATTACCATGCTGCATTTTCCCGGGCTGTTCCGGCTGTCTGGCGGCTGCCTGGGTCCTGCGTCGAGTGTCCGCACGGACGCAGGGGTCGTCCACTACCGATGGTCCAGCGATCTACTAGTACCCGCTGGAGTTTTGCAGTCCTGGACCACCAAACCGCCAGACTTTCAACCTGTGTTCTGTGGGTGGTGTTACTGTACAATGACATACGCTATTAGGTGGAGTTGACCCCGTGTTCTGTGCTGCCGCCACGAACTCTGCAGCAAAACGGTGAGGACGGCAGGACGGCAGCTGTGGTGGGCCGTGGCCTGAGCACAAGATCAAGATCGCTTCCGTTCGACCAGACAGCCCTCTGGATATTGGCAAAATGGGGGGATATTGTCCTCGGTAGGTGATGGACTGGGGTCGGAGATATACCCCGACGCAATTGACACACGGCCGGGGAGTACGTCATGCGCCACAGCACAAGGGCAAGTGATGGACGCTCTCAATGCTCATGTGTACTTGGGTATGCAACGGCAGTTTGCGAAGTTGACGACCGCTGTCCGTCCATCGTGACACAGACAGACCAGCAGGTTTCGTGTCCTAGCTGTGACGTGAAACATGACCGCAACCTCACCTCCAGGACTCCTTCGTCGGTGGCAATGCCCCCCGGCCTTGTTCGGCGTCTCCCGGATTGCGAGAGCGGCGGTACCTATTGGGATCCACAGGCATCTATCTGTTTGCAATGCAGAATGCGGGGACGATGGGGGTGCCCTGTGAGACTGACACGTAGAATATTATGTGCACCACACACATGATCCCCTAGCTGGTGCATGCATGCATGCAGGAGAAGGTACCTGAGAAGCTTAATGGATTGGATGACCGGCTGAGATATGCATCGAGATGGGGTGCCAAGAGGTCTGCGCTCTGCTCTCGTGGCTCTTGTCAAACGGTCCTGACGGTTGGAGTCTGGGTTGGAGTCTGTCTGCCAGACATATCAAATCGCCTCAAGTTATTGCTTTCTTTCGATCTATACCACGACATTGGTGGTTGGATGGTTCTCGCATAGAATGAGATTAATTCCCTCTTCGTACACTGAACCCTTAGAAGCCTCCGTTTATCACAACCCAAGACCCGGGATATTTAAGGTCGTCTGTGATCTGTGGAATAAGCACTGTGGAATAAGCATTCAATACGAACTGGTTAGAATATAGCTGCTTATCTCCAGGCTGTTTATTCCATTGTCTTGACCATACAAACCATAATTGACAAGGTGCGCTTCTGAAGGTGGCCATCACACCCAGACGAGTAGCGTGATAAGCCTGCCTTAAGTTGAATATCAGTTCTCCGGGAGCCTCGTAACGAGCCTCGACGAGAACAAGTGACGAGTCAGCCACAATGCTGAAACAGACGAGAAGAGGAGCAACAGTTCCGGGTTACCGAGTGGCGATGTCTCCCATGTCGGTTATGGCACGGGATCCGGGGAAGGGAAGTCTGGTCAGACCCAAGCACTGACCCAAGCGGCCCGTTCTGATGGGTTCGTCTAATAATATGCTGCTGGTGATATTCTCAGTGTATAGTTGTCCATGCTATAGGGGATGACGATGGCGATATCTTCCGCTCTGAAACATTCTTGCTGTCTCCGGCACTGATTGGTCGCCGCGGCATATGAGAACTTCGAGCGGGCATCGAGCTTGAAACGCCGTCAATGGATAGCCATCGACCGCCACATGTTGTCCATTGAAGCAAGGGGTTTATGATTCGTGCACTTGCTCTTTCTCTGAGCGCCCCCTCATTTTAAGTTCAGCTGCCATCGCCGCTCGAAGCACGATGACTTAGAGTCCGTGCTATTCGTCCCATCTATCCACGATGGCAGCCCTCTCGAGTCAGACATAATTCCAGGGGGCTTCATGCAAGATTGAGGCTCCTGGTTGCGGGGGTTCCCTGGGTTATGGTACGCAGGATGTCGAAATGATCAATAAAAGACGCAGGCCCTCATCAGTGACACTCAGCCCTCATCAGTGACACTCAGCCCTCATAAGTCGTCGTGGCCGCATGTTGGCGATATTCCAGATTAACAGTGGGATAGTTGGAAATACTGGAATAAGCATACAGGAATAATCACCTTTGTTTTGATATACTTCTTTAAATGCTTATTACAGTGTGCTCATTCCAATTCGATAAATATACCGCTGTCTGCTGGACGAGTGGTGTGATGTTCAATTGTCGGTAGAGTCTAGAGGCCAGAGAGCACAACCAAGGGTAGTTCAAACACGTATCTGCAGCCAGCTGGTAGCATTGAAAGGGTGGAATAGAATAGCAAGTCATTGCGGACAAGAAAACGAAAGGAAGTGAACTGAAGGTAACCAAGTTCTATAACCTTGCTGCTTGGAGGTGAAAGACACACAGGAGTTGAGCATCTGGCCGCTGGAGAGATGGGCAGCCGTTATCGATAGGACCCGCCAGCCAATCACAGCCAAGTTCTGCCGCGGGCTGTTTACAGTGTTTACTTGACCCGTCCAGCAACGCATCAAAACATGGACATCTCCAAATATCACCATCGCGAATAGACGGCCAGCACTTGCGAGAGAATCGCCAATAATCCTGCAATACTCAGAATCGTACAGACCCCGCAGACGACAGCGACAGCGATAGCCATGGCGTTCAATCCGCGAATGTCGATAATACCGCCGACGCAAACGCATTCGCGCACGCGCAAGAAGGAGGAGGAGGCCGACGCATTTATGCGGCTGCCGGACAAGGAGATCGTGGGATGCATAACAGACATCGGGATCCCCTTCGCCGTGGCCGACCTGCAAAAACCAAACCCGATACAAGTACAGATGATCTTCGAGTGGTTCGCCGAGCTGCTGCTCAACGCGACGCGCGAGACGGTCGAGCCGGCCATGCGCGCCGCCGCCGAGGACGTCTGCGGCGAGTACATCGACATCGTGCCGCCCGACACGCGCAACCTGATGGGCTTCTACGTGTCGCTGCGCCGCCTGCTGCTCGAGTGCGGCATCACCGACTTTAGTTTCATGGACCTGTACAAGCCGACGCACCCGCGCCTCGTCAAGATCTTTAGTTACTTGATCAACTTTGTGCGCTTCCGCGAGAGCCAGACCAATGTCATTGATGAGCACTTCAACAAGGGCGAGCAGACCAAGAACCGCATCGACGCCCTGTACGGCGAGAACCAGGACGCGGAAGCCCGCCTGGACGAGATGCGCCACAACCGCAAGGCCATGGAGGCCCAGGTGCGCGAGAAGACGGAGCGCAACGAGGACCTGAAGAAGACACTGCTGGAACTGCGACGGAACCAGGAGAAGGTCGCTGCGCGGTTGGAAGAGGCGAAGGCGAAGAAGGGCAACCTAGCACAGAGGCTGGAGCAGAAGACCGCGGAAAAGATGATGCTCAAACAGGAAAGCGCCAAGTTGCGACCGTACACGCTGCAAAGCCCCCAAGCGCTGCAGACAAGTCTGACCGAACTGAACAACACGCTCAACGGCGACAAGGCGCACATCGACTCGCTCGACCGGCGAGCGAGAGCACTGCAGACCTCGACGGACTCGTTCGGCGTCGTGTCGACCGACGTGGCGTCCTGCATCAAACTCCTGGACGAGATCTCCATCGAGCTGGCCAAGGAAGAAGACGAGAACGCCCGGAACGCCAAGCAGCGAGACGCACTATCGGAGCGCGGCAACAGCGTCCGCGAAGTCGAGCGCACGGAGGCCCTGCTGTCGCGGCAGTACGGCAAGTGGAACGAAAGAACCGAAAGGCTGCGCGACCAGAGCCGGGAGAAGGCTCAGGAAGCCAAGGAGAAGATGGAGGAGCTGCGGGCGCTGCACAAGAAGCTCACGGAGGAGCGGTCGGCAAAGGGCACCGAGATTGAGAGACGGAGAGTCCGCATCGAGCAGACCGAGAAGAAGGTATGCATGCACGCCATGCAATGAATATGTGGTCTGGCCTTGTGGGAGCAGTGCTAACCAGACGACAACACAGATGCTGGACCTCAAGGAGAACATTGAGAACGAGGTTCACAGTGCGTATGATGAGTACCTGAAGATGGAGTCGCATATCAAGCTGTACATCACGGAGATGGAACAGGCTATCTGAGCTGGTGCGGTCTGTCCCCATCGATATGTTGTACGTGTTATGAGTCCATGAAAGGATACCATTGTTGGCGTTGGGTTGGAGTTGTGTATAGGCCTGGATCAGGATAGGGGGTACGGGAATGTTTAGAGCCTATTACCTACACTTGGTGTCCTGAATATCACGAAGCAGTCATTCACCCCTAAACTACACATACTGCGTCCATGGCCATGAACCAGTCTCATCACGAACCATCACCAGCATCACACCTTCCCAACTCCTCCCGCCTCCTCGGGATCCCCATCCCCATCCCAGACCCCACGCTGGAGCCGAAACCACCGCCGCAAGATCCGGCCCACCTCGACCGTCCTCCCTGTCCACGCGCCGCCGCCGTCGGCGTCCAGTGCGGCCCTACGCGCACCGCCGCCCAGCATCGGCACCGTCTCCCGCAGCACGTCCTCCAGCCTGGGTTGGACATTCGCTGCTCCCACCCCTCCTCCAGTTCGGGGCTCGACGACGAGCGCCTGCCACGCGAGGCGGTGCGCCAGGTCCACGACGGCCGCGGCCGAGCTGCCAAGGCCCTGCGCGCTCCACTCGCTCGTGGCGCGGTGCAGGTCTAGGAAACCGTAGAGGATGATGTGTGGGTTTCTGGAAGTGCTGGGGGTTTGGCGATGATGGGATGGGGGTGCAGGCACCTTGGAGTCGTCCGGCGTGAAGACGGAGAGGTAGGCCTGCAGGTGCGTGACGGTTGGGACGTAGACTATGCGGATGTGGCGCGCTGTGGCTACTTGGTGTAAGGGGGAGGAGAGGAGGGCGTGGTGTTTGAGTTGCAGCACAGGTTCTTCTCCCTCGTGGTGGTCTCTGTGGGCGGTTGATGGGGGCTGCTGCTCGTCCTCTAGAGTTGGAGTGGTAGCTTTCTCTTGCTGCCGTATATCTTTGGCGACTGATGAGAGAAAGTCGGCCCGGGACGCGCATATGACCAAGGTGGTGGGATGGGTGTGGTACTTCAGAATGTATGTGAGGAGCTCGGATGGCAGGGCTGGTGATAGGAATAGAGGTGTCGACATTGAGTGTTGAGTATTGTGGAATGAAACGGACTTGATGTGACTTCACAACGACGAGAGTCAGATATGAAACAGACATGACACTTTGAAGTAGAGAACTTCTTACCTTGGTTTGATTGAGTGATCTCAGCGGCTTTGAAGATGTATAAACCCGGGGATGGCAGGTCTGCCCCGCGAAGCAGCGGCCATCACGGCGGGAAACGCGCTGCTGCAGGCCGCGGCCGGAAAGCCCCGCCAAAAGCTCGACTTTCTTACAACCTGCCCGACGTCACCCTATTCTAAGGCAGGTAGCTCGCGACAACACCAGCAGCTTGTTCGCTGGTTGCGCATTTCCCTTGAAACCATGGAGTCCATTTCTCGGATATCCAATCTGCTCGAGAGTGGTAAGACGGCCGTCTCGGACGAGGAAGTTTTGCGCTGACCTGTTGCTTTCCAGCTCGGGAGCTTACCCTCGATGCCGCCCAAGCAGCTCGGAGCACTCGCGGCACCACAACACGCTCCCTACCTATGGCGCAACTCAAGAAACTCCTAGACAGCCGAAATGACCGCGAAGTGCTGGAGGGTCTGCGGCGGGTTATCTCCGTACGAATGTCCAGCCTTTCCCTATGCCGCCGAGCTTGCCAGCTGACCACTGCTACACCAGATGATGTACCGCCAGCAACGGACCCTTCCCTACTTCTCGTCGGTCGTCAAGAATGTCGCCTCGCCTCACCTCGAAATCAAGAAGCTCGTATACATATATCTCATCCACCATGCCGAGCAGGAGCCCGACATGGCTCTGCTCTCGATCAACACGATACAGAAATCATTATCCGACACGAACCCGCAAGTGCGCGCCCTGGCCCTGCGAACCATGTCAGGCATACGCGTTCCTGTCATCAGCCAGATCGTCTCGCTGGCTATCAAGAAGGGAGCCGGCGACATGTCCCCTCACGTACGGAAAGCAGCCGCACTCGCCATCCCCAAATGCTATCGCCTCGAGCCGAACACCCTTCCCCAGCTGCTGGAATACCTAACGACGTTGCTTGCCGATAAGCAGTACTTCGTCGCTGGTGCCGCCGTCAGTGCTTTTATGGAGATATGTCCGGAAAGAATAGACCTGATCCACAAGCATTACAGGAGTCTCATCAAGAAGATCGTGGATATGGACGAATGGAGCCAGTTGGCCACCCTGAGGATGATGACCGTCTACGCCCGGAAATGCTTCCCAAGGCGGACGAGAAGCGCCAAGGCAAAAGACAAGGCCGCGGACCTCCAAGACTTTTATGGAGAGGGGGTCTCGGAGCCCGCGGAAGAAGCCGAACAAGTGGTTGTCCTTGACCCCGACCTGGTCATGCTGCTGAATGGGATCAAGCCGCTACTACAAAGCCGGAACTCGGGCGTTGTGATCGCTGTTGCACGCTGTTATGCTGAGATTGGGACGCCCGAGTATACGACGGCTGCTGTTGGCCCCTTGATCGCTTTGCTGCGGGGAGCACAAGACATCGGGCAAATAGCCCTCTACAACATTGTGTCCGTCTGCCTAAACCATCCCACGGCGTTCGTCAAACATGCGTCTCATTTTCTCGTCCGGGCTACCGACACAGCTCCTGTATGGGAGCTAAAGCTCGAGGTTCTCACATTGATATTTCCTCACAGCCCATTACACACGAAAAGCCTGATCCTCAATGAGCTCGAACACTTCTCGCGCGGTACGAACAAGTCCCTCGTCCGCGAGGCAGTGCGCGCTATCGGCCGCTGTGCCCTGGCAGATCCGGCAACTGCATCACGATGTATGCGATTACTACTGGGTCAGATCACCAGTCTCGACGGAACACTCGCTGCCGAGTCTCTCACCGTCATCCGGCATATCATCCAGAAAGATCCCCAAGCGCATATGGGCACCGTGGTGCGGTTAGCAAAGAACCTTGACTCCGCGACAGATCCGCATGCGCACGCGACAATCGTATGGCTGGTCGGCGAGTTTGCCGGCCTCAACGGCGACGATAACATTGCTGCCGATGTTCTTCGCATCCTCCTCAAGGAATTCGCCGCCGAGTCCGAAGTTGCCAAGCGCCAGATCGTCCTGCTTGCCGCCAAGGTGTATCTACACCACATCAATAGAGAGAGCGAGAAGCAGAAGAAAGAGACGGAAGACGACCAGACTCCGCCCTCCCCAACGAGTGATCATCCGATAACTCGCTTATGGGACTACACTCTATTGCTCGTTCGGTATGACACATCGTACGATCTGCGCGACCGGACACGTCTGTACAAGGCGCTACTCGGCGTTCCGCAGCTCGCTACACTCATGCTGCTTGCACCCAAACCAGCGCCCCATGCACCTAGTCCGTCCGAGACAAGAAAAGGGTTCATGCTGGGGTCATCTGCTCTAGTACTGGCGGGTGGAGGGGGCGTACATGGACTCCGTGGCTACGAACCATTACCCGACTGGGTCGAAGAAGGTGAAGAGCCGGACCCCAAGCTTCGAGCGCAAGACGGCGTCAGGAATGAGTACGGCGAAGAGAGGCGCGCCGTGCCGGCCTCGGACATGCTGGGAGATTCGTCGAGAGGAGGTATGGGGAAGAGCAATGGCCTAGCTGCAGGTACGGGTGCCAAGACGTTATCAGATTGGCTCGCGGAAGACGAGGATGAAGAGGGGGAGGCCGGGTCCGAAGAAGACGACGAGGTGGAGGAAAGTGAAGAGGAATCGGAAGAGGAGTCCGAGGAAGAAGAAGAGGATGACGATGACGAGAATGATGATGACGACGTCGATGGAGAGAGCCAGTACGAGGAGAACAATGAAAGGGCCGAGCTCGAAGGATTCCTAAACGATTAGGGCCAACCGACTTCACTTTTTGCATACCTAATTAATAGACTTAGGGGCTAGATGGGTGCAATACATGTAGACTGACTGACCATCTCGTGAGAGCGAAAGCAGCAGACGTCGTTCTCGACTCCAAGAGTAAAGGCCACCAGACTTCAAGTCACGCTGGCACAAACAAATATGCGAGAAGCATTCAGAGCTTTCGATGTATGTAAATCGGAGGACTGGTGGTATTCGAGGGAGTCTATCTCGTTCGCTTTGACTATGAGTAAAAAGTGCAACCTGGACAAATCGACAAAAGGTATCTGGAAGATATATATCCACGGCCAAAAGCAGCGGGCGGCCTGACATCCCGCCCCTACATGTCTGTCTACCCGTTGTCAGGCCATCCATCTCTTGCCGAGTAATGTTTCTACTATATGCCGCGAAACAAACGCCCCTATGTATATACCAAAGACCATAGATTTCGTCCCAAACCCCAAAACCCCCGAGCCCACAATTCGATTCTCAGGTCAAATCAACAAACGAAATACAGATCTCAGCTTAGACGCTCAGACTCTCGGGCGTCTTCTGCTGTTCGCGCTGACTCTCGTCGCCCGACGACGTGATGGGCTCCTCGGCGCTGAGCTTCTCGGCGCCGGCCCCGGAGCCCAGGCTCTTCTTGCTCTTCTTGCCCTTGTTGCGCCTGAACCGCTGGGCTTCGCGCTGGGCCATGGCGGGGAAGAGGATGCCGGGCGGGAAGGCGGTTAGGAGGACTACTGCTATGAGGATCATGCTTTTAGGGTGTTAGTCTGGATTGAAGATGGGGTTTGGGGGTTGATGGTGGGGGATATAACTCACAAGCCCTCAAGCACGATAAACGACGGCTCGTCCTGCATGATGTAGTTGCCCCATCCGCCTGCCATCTCGGCGATACTGGTCTTTTGTCAGCACAAATCGTCTCACTTCATCCCGTCATCCCGCCCGCCTGTGCCCTCGGCGTCTCGCGCGACGAAAACAGCGGAGGACGCAGATATCGAGACAAAAGAAAAGGGGGACCCAGAAACACTAACTACTCACCGGTAAATACACCGTATCAGAATCGCCCCATAGGCACCCGCAACGGCATAGCAAAACAGCCCAAACCTTTTATCCGCGAAAACCGCCCTCGCCTGCCTCACCGCCTCGCCCTCTCCTTCCCCATTCACCCACCGCTTGACCCTCAAGTAGTAATCCACACAAACCGCGCCAAAGAAGAACAGCACAACGCACTGCAGCGCAATACCCGCAATGATAACCCGATCCCCACTCAGTAGCACAGCCGGGTTGTCCGAGCCGGCGCTCGCGGCCAGCCCGCCGCCGATGGCCTGCAGGATCAGACACGAGACGTCGGCGGGGACGAAGATGAGCGGGTACAACCGGGGGCGAATGCGTGACAGCGATGGGTTTAGGGATAAAGTGGCGTGCTTGAGGGTTAGGTAGATGGATATGCAGATTAGTGTTGGCGCGAGGATGATGGCGCAGATTTGCGTCTCGAAGGCGTTTTGGTTCCAGGGGTTGTAGTGCAGGAAGACGCGGGAGAGGTAGCCTGGGGGTGGTGGGTGTTAGTTATTAGAGTTCGGGTTGGTGTATGTATCTATGAAGCTTTGAGACGGGAGTATCGAGGTAGGTGAAGAGGGTCTGCGAGGCGGATGGATGCGTCGAGTATGCGCCCGTCAAGATCGCTCGCCGCCCTGTGCCGTCGTAACGAACTAACAACCTTCATTGCGACACCTCACCAGGAGACATCTATCAACAAGCAAGCAAGCCCTCATTAAACAAACACAAAAAAAAAAATTCTACACACCAGCAAACTCAAGCGCGCATCCCGCCGTCAGCGCAATCGAGTAGCCCCAAGTCCGCTTCCACGCGCCGACGCCGATCAGACCGAGCAGACACAGCCCGAAGGCCGCCGCGAAGAAGATGTTGATGCCCAGGTTCGGGTAGTACCCCAGCACAGTGGCCTCGACGGGGCACGCGAGTGTCACCTCTGTGCACGTCTTGGCGGACATTGTGTATTGTGTCTTTGTGCGCTCGCTTGCTCGCTCGTTTCGTTTGTGCTATCGTGGTGTTTCTTTGTGGTTGTGTAGTAGGCGAAGCGGCCGCGGCCTCGTTTCGGATCGGCGGGGGATGGGCTCGGATCGGGAATCAGATGGGATGGTATGCGCGCGCTGTATGATAAACTCGTTCAGGTACAATCGCGTGCAGGTCGTCCGTCGCAAAGGCACTCTGTTCAAATCGCGACACAGCGCAAATGATCCGACCTGGTAAGAAGACAACAAAGCGAAGGGGAATCTCGGTCGCCGAGGAACAGTAAATAGGTCGGACAATTAAGAAGAATGAAGTCAGAAGTCAGTCGGGTCCGGGGTGCGAGATAGATAGTCCTATTCCTTCGCCACCCCCGGACCAAGTTTCGTTCTTACACATCATACATATCCTGCTGACAGCCTGACACCCAACACCCGCTACTCCGTAGACGGTGGGCGGCGGCGGGGCAGACAGAAGGCCCGGATCTTACGCGAGTTCCAAGCGGACGAGGAGGTTTCCCAAAGCGGCAAATTGGCAACAGGACCAAGACCTCTAGCCCTCGGGAGACAACGACGCCGGTAACTAATAAGCCATGGCGCCATCGGATTCCTATGTATATCATATCGCCAAGACTATTGTGTATCACACCGACCGGCGAGATAGAGACCGTTTATGCGCCACCGTCAGTTCTCAGATAGAGCAGAGCTGATAGAGCAACATTTACTTCACATGCGAACTCACTCCCTGCACTCCTGCGGTCGCAATCCTGGCAAACGAAATGTTTGTTGGAATCTGGAATTGAAGACACTACCGGTATCCTAGCCGACTGGTCTAAAATAGGCAGGTAGAGCGAGATTTGGAAGAGGGATCGCAAGCGAGGCTACCGGAGTTGTGTCGATCCGGGACGCTACGGTGTGGCTGTTAGTAAGCACATGGCACGCACTGGCATCCATGATGCTCACTACATTACCTTTCACCGAGTACTGATTATGAGTGGACTGATCCACCTCCAGGGAGTACATATGTCAAGACGTTCTATTCTTCGCCCCCAAGCCACCTGTAAACAACCGAGAAATCTCTACCTTTGCAGATTTCATCCCTCTCGACCTCATTGTACACGACCTGAGCCCGACTTCCGAGTGCCAGCTTAGCGCCAGCCTCTTCCGCCGCTACAATGGCAAGCCCGAGATCTTTCTTCATCAAGCTGATACCGAACCCGCCCGAGTAGTCACGACTAGCCGGAGCGCCCTCGACAACCCCTCTCACGGGATTGTTGACCTCGCTGGGCCAGCATCTGCCGGTACTGACGTTGATGACATTGGCCAGGGTCTTTGGCTCAAGACCCCATTTGATACCCAGATTCATGGCCTCGGCCGTTGCGATGTTGTTGATGGCGAGCAGGTAGTTGTTGGCCAGCTTGGCACTCAGACCCGTTCCCTGAACGCCGCAGTGCAACACTCGTTCGCCCATACGTAGCAAAATAGGTTCAACCTTGGGCACCAGCTCGTCCGGAGCGCCCAGCATGAACGTGAGGGCTCCCGCGGCTGCCCCTACGATACCGCCAGACATGGGAGCATCGACGAAATGACCTTGCTTTGCATCTGCAACCCACTTGGCGACCTCCCGGGATGAAGACGGGTCGATAGTTGAGCAATCGATATAGACCCTGTCTACCCGGGGGAGGGCCGGTGACAGCATCTTTGAATAAACACCCTTGACATGTTTTGGCTCGGGCAACGCAGTGATCACTATGTCCTATAGCACCCTGGTCAGTGCTGATTCTTTACTTGATTGATGCAAGTGACAGAATGAGGTATAGAATAGTTTCTTCAGAGGATTGGCTTTAGAAGTATAGACTTTAATCATAGGGAAGCCGGCAGAAAGCCGGCCCCAACTTAGATCATAGATAGAACATTACTCATCATCGAAACGAGGGACAAAAAAAATGGAAGAGTTCAGACATACCGCGTCTTGTGAAGCCTCCCTGACACCCGCTGCAAGCTCGACTACAGCGCCACTTGTTTGCGATGTTTGCATTTCCTCAGCTAACCGTTGCATCGCATCCTTGTTGATGTCGAAGAGGCGTATGGAATCGCTAGGCGAGAGCTTCGATTGGAGGTTCTTGGCCATCTGGTAACCCTGAGAAGAAACATATTAGAGATTTGCAAGCGAAGCTGAATTCAAAGGTGGACATACCATTTGGCCCAGGCCGATGAAGCCATAGCTATCCAACCGTGGCGACGAAGACGAGAATGCTCGTTTTTGGGCACAGAGCGCAGCCCGCAAGATACGAGGTGCTCTCATGATGAACAAGACGATCGGAAACAGTCCCTACCTGTATCGACGAGTAAGAGGTTCGCACAAGAGCATGCGTTGCAGGCGTATCGAACAAAGCTGGAGGCTGACGGCTGAAGGTTAATGGAGGGCCGTCTTGTAGCCGGTGTGGACTGCTCGCGGGGTTTTGTCCGGATTGCCGAAGAACCCCATGAACCGACCATTGCCGGTCCTAAGCATGCCCTCGGCGGACCTTGGAATGCGAATGACCACCGACAGAGCATGGCCAAGATGCGCTGTGCTTCACATGATAGCTTCCGCTATCAACACTCACTGCATCACTTCCAATCGTTGATTAAACATCCGTACGTCAGGACACGATGTTGGTCAATGATGGAAGGTTTTCTGTTGAGAGAAGTGAGAGAGGACGCTGGAATTTTTTTATTCAGCAGAGAAACAGAGCTTGGGTGGGCCACGGCAGGTCGCTGAAAGGCGGTTATCTGGGGCATTTCGAGGTGCTTGCTAGCGGTCACGTGGGTACTCGGGTGAGCCCAGGGCTCCAACCTGGCAGTCTGGGGTTGCCGCTTACGATAAAGTGTCAATGTTTGTCTGTGCATAATTGTACTGTACCATACCTTGCAAAGGCTCACTGCCTTGTATCTGAAATGCAAGGTCATCGTTACTTATTGTAGGCTTGTTGTGACTAGGGGGGTTGACGCGGCGCGACCTGGCAGTTCTACTGTATTGCGATGTAAAAATGCAGATAGTTATCACGTGCATCGATTCGCTGCTCGGTCTAACGAGTAATCATCGTCTTATTCATCTCGACCTCATAGAGCCTGTCACGCCGGACGAGCAGCCTTATCCATTGGGATCTGAGTAAAAACAGTGTGTACATATGCAGACAGGAACCATCTGATATAGTTTCAGGGAAAATTTGGGTTCATAACGGCTACCTATGACTGGCTAGCGGTTGGGGGGGGGGTATGTGCAAAATCAAATCGATCACCGGGCATTCCTGTGCACCCGAAAGTAGATCGCGTTGGGCAGTCTGACGCCTTCCAGTAGGGCACTACATGCGCCGGAACAGAAGCAGCCGGGAGACATCGGCAGAGGTCTAATGCGTCTAGAATACGCCCATAACGTAGGGAATTAGAGCACTGGGATACGATGTCAGTAGGGTACGCAGCAAGGAGGATATTAGAACAGGTCTTACCCGACAGCGAGGGTCGCACTTAGACCGACCAATGCTCGGTTCCTAACGCGCACCTTGCGCACCTCGATGACCGTCTTGACCTTCTTGGACGGATGTTCTTCGGTGACATCGCCGTTCTCTTGCTCGTCGTCGTCGACAGCAATATCAGCCGCCTTGCGCTTTCCCGCGTTGTCCGCGCCAGTTTTGGCGGCAGCTTCGGCGGCTGCAATCCTCACCATTTCCTTGGCTTCTTCGACCATGCGATGAGCCTCTTCAGGGTTAGGCTGACCAGAGACCGGAAGTTCAACCTCCACGGCAGTGTGGGTGGTCTGAGCACCTCCCTCGAATCGCACCTCCTGACCGACCTTGATATGAATCTTGGACTCCTCTTCGGCCGGGGCAAAGACAATCGCGGGCTCTTTCTCGACCGTCTTGATCGATATCTCTTCGGTGGCAGGTGTAGGTGTAGTCTCATCAGTCTTGATACCATTCGTCAGACGCTCGGCTTCCTCCTTTAGGGAAGGGACGTCGCTGGAGCTAGATGGAGGGGCCGGAGCCTTGTGCGATCTCTTTCGCGGAGACGCGATCGATCGTTTCTTGGTTGGACTGGCAGACCGGCGGCCACGTGTGCTGCGAAGTGAAGACGGAGTGGGAGGCGCAAGGGTTGGCTCTAGGGGCGGGGCAACCACATCGACATCGAATCTGGGCGGTGCAGCAATCTTCTTCGGGGGGCTATCAGGTGCGTTCGTGATAGCTATCTCGGCTGGGTCGAGCAAGGCGCGGATCCAGGGAGTAACTTTGTATTCTTCCGCCAGCGCCAGAGCTTGCTCCGGAGGAATCCAGACATTGCCGGCGGTCTCTTCTAGGCTCGTGGTAGCCAGCGATTTGATAAACTTTCGCTCCGCTTCCTCCTCCCCGGCTTCGGCATAGGGAAACGAAGCCTTGAACATGCCAGTTGCCGAGATGTATCCGTCCTGGCTTCGGCGCATGAGGAAGTAAGAGTTCGGGGAGCCCTTGAAGATGCCGGACTGGATGCCTTTGGGAAGGGGAGCTCGGAGGTGCGCGTAGTCAAATACACCCAGACTCGATGGGTCAACATCCCCTGCAGCGCTGGCGGCGACCATCTTTGCGGTCAGTTGAGTCTGACCGAGACGCCGGCGCGAAATGAGATCGGAATCTTATATGACAGTTAGCTTTGCAATTCTCGCGACAAGGTCGATTGCGGTCCATACAGGTAGGAACATCATCGGTCATGAGGGGGTTGTGCTTCTCGGGAAGCCGTCTGATGTCGGCCATTTTGATGCTTCGCCGGGACTCGGAAGACGCGACCGTGTATTAGGGATTCGGCCAGATAGTGGCTTAATCTAGCGATGGTGGTCAAGGCGACGAAATGTAGATTAAAAGCGTTAAGGAAGTGTCAGATGCTGATACTGATGGTGATGTTAGTTGATGATATCGGGTCGCGCGATGTTGCGAAGTCGAGGTGGCCATCGAGGCGCGAGGAAGCTCGAATGCGCGCGCGGGACGCTCCGCCAAAATGGATGGATCTCACTCACGTTGCGGGAAAGGGTCTGAATGCGGAAAGAAGAACACAATTAGCTGCACCAAGGGAGGATGGAACTCTTGGGAGAGCAAGCAGACTGAAGAAGGTGAAGAATGACTATAGCGATGCGGTCACGTCGCGGGAACGGCGATTGCTAAACCAATACCAATCGATGAAGAGGAAGGAGCTGTGACACCCGGCGCAGAATGTCCTTTTCTCTATGGAGCTGACAGGACCGAGGGCTGCGAGGGCTTGCGAGGGTGGGTTGTCAAGAAAAGGGTGTGCGGCGAGAGGTCGGGTGGAAGAGCTGGAGAAGGGGGACGGAACGGAATACATGTGCGGTAGATGCCCACATGGCGCCTTGGCCCCACCCTGGGCAAGTGCTGCTTGTCAGTGCTTGAGCCTTGGGGCTTGGGTAAATGGGGGGCCCTGCCGGCTTCTCAATGGCGCGAGTTCCTCATCAGTCGCGGGAAATAATCAATCAGCGTAATGGATCCGCTTTTCAAGCTGTCCTGTCCAGTCAGATGGAGTTAGGCAACAGGCCTGCGACTCCGCTCGAGTAAGAAGCTTAGACCACCTCTCTTTCAGGAACACATCAACCTTGCATCTTTCTTTTTTGGGAACGACAGGCAGCTCGGCTCTTCTGAGTCTTCTCCACAGGGTCATCTACAGTGTATCTTGAGGTGTGACACCGTCCTGTTGCACTGGTTCCTCCTAGAATTAGGGTAGCTACCGGTAGGCTTTGTCAATGATTGATTTTTCATGTTGGCTAAGGTTGTCATGCCATTCTGCTGGCTCTTCAAGGCTTGACTTGAGCATCATCCTTGAATCCAAGGCCCGGAGATGATACTGGAAAGAGCTCCAATATCAAGGCACTCCATGTCCTAATGCTGGCTCCGGCAAACTCAATCTAGATAGTCTCAAGCCACCTTGGGAACCCTCATGTCCACGCTCTGTCACCTACTCGTTTAGACCTGATCATCAAGGCATTCATCATCTCTGCACTTGGTTGGTACCTTACATATGATGTAGAATACACCATGGCCAGCGAATGTTTGCTGACCTTCCATCGTTGTCCCAACGAAGCCTTGGGACGCGGTGCTATGTTAGCTGGTTATTAGCTATTGCCATTAGTTCAGTACGGAACCCCTTATCGCCGGTTACTCGGGGTTCTCTTGTACGGCCCCTCTCCTGGATAGGGGTGAGGCTATCTTGGGGCGAAAGCATTGGAACCACATGACCAACAGACCTATGCGCGAGTTCAGTTACATATTTAATCTCAGAAAGTATGTATGGCCTTTCTGTTGCACATGAAATAGGGCCATGGTGCATTGTGAGGTTTGTTGTTGTCTGGACTCAGTCTGAGACAACAGTCCGACGTGAAATCCGATTCACCCGGCGCTTGTTTGAGCCTCTGCCCTCGATAAGGCACCACCTGCACCAGATGCCCGATGCCAGTGCCATGGATGCCCGCCATGTGTCGGTCGACTGGCAGATGGGGCCGTATCGTCTGGTGTCAAGTGCCCGGCCCAGATGTGAGACCCCAGGGCCCAAAGCTCAAAGCCCCAGAGGGAGGGACCTCTTTGCCCCTCAAAGGAACCCCACCACAGAATGGTGAATGGTGAATGGTGAATGAATGTCTCGCAACGCACGGGCCGGAAACCTTTGTGACGACGTCCTGTCATCTTATCCCTCCATCCCACCTCACCTCCTTACCTAACCTAACCTACTACTCCAAACTCAATTCATCGCCGCCAGTTCTGCTCCTTGACAGAACCATATCCCATAACTGTCCTGGTAATAGTTGCCAGTTCGTTAGTACGAGTCTTTAAACCACGTCTCTCTCCCTACAAATTCTTCCCCGCAGCGACAGGATGGCTTCCCAAGACGTTCTCGACAACGACCACCTGCCCGAGGAGACTCAGGGCTACAAGCTCTCCCAGCCGAAGCAGAGTATTGCTGAATATCAAAATATGGGTGCGTGAATAAAGTTTCCTTCGGGTAAACCGCCTCAAATTACCTCTGCCCATGCCCTGCCTTGCCACACAATAATGCACATAACCTGTCTTCACTATATCCTCACTGTCGTGTCGTGTCATGACATGCTGGGAGTGACGGTATCGGGTCTGGCTCTGGAGGAAAACACGGACGAGGATGAGATGCTGGACAAGTCATGCAACAAACACTCTATGGGATGGGACAATGACGAGCAGAGAGGGGTGACTGTCGACTGAATTGGCTGGGCGAAGTGAATTGTTGTCGGTTGGTCCGTCGCAGCACGAGCTGGCGTTCGGGCAGCTGGCCACATAAACCATATCGCTGCACTGGTCGACGCTGGCCTCAGGCACATCGACGAACTCTACGGAATATGTGTGCTCTGAAAATTTCTACGAATGTGCTGCACCAGAACGGCGACCACCAACTCCTCCACCACGTCGAGGTCACCACACGGTCAACTGCAACGCCGTCGCCACGTCTTCAGCCCAATCGCTGCAACGACGTCTTCGACCACGTCGGCGCTCATCACATTGTCCGCCATATCGCCCAGCGTCAGATCGAAACAACCACTTTTCCGAGATCCTCGACCTCGCCGTCGACCTCGTTCCTTCAAGATGAGCGCCCCGCTCAACCGCCAGCAGACTCGAGGCAGGCCTTCTCGCAGCCCTTCTCCAATTGAGAATGCCTCAGGTAGCGGCAACTCAGCAGTATCCGCCAGCATCGATCGGGTACAGGCTTGGTTTACCTCCAACCAACCCATCAATCTCAACGGAGACTCGAGTACCTTGTCCACCAGACAGAGCACCTCTTCTTCCCAGCAAGCTGCAGCCTCTCGTCAGCTAGCAACGCCCTCTTCTTCTCAGCAAGCACAAGGTTCTTCAACTTCGCCGGCCGAAATGTGCAACATTCTAGTCATCACCGATCCCGGCCGACCTGCTGCCGTCCTCCGCAAGGCCAAGTCCTTCTTCAACAAGATGACCGGCCGCAACGACGACATGGAGTCATTGGCTTCGTCGTCCGAGGACGAGGACCGATCTAACTGGCCCAACGGCTTGGACCCTCGCATGACTTGCAGAGGCCTTCCTGGAAGCCGCTTCATGACCCGGGAGGAGGTCACCGTCTCCAGCCAGCCCGCTAGCCCTTCTCTTTCTACAGCCCCTACCGCTACTGCTTCTACCTCAGCGCCCCCCGCGCCCGAGGGTGATATCATTTCTCACTTTCAGGTCACCCGAAACATCTCACCTGACAAGACCAACTCTACAGATGCGAACGACGAGTCGCTGCAGCGATACAAGCAGTCCCTCGGTCTTGGAGGCGGCAAGGATCTCTCGGACCCCAACGATCCCCGAGTCTGCATCATCAAGTCGCTGACTATGGAGTCCCCGGGCCGTCCTCCCGTCACCATCGACCTGTCCGCTCCCGGCAGCGAGGCTACTCTGAAGGACCACCCGTTCAAGATCAAGGAGGGAGCTAAGTTCACTATGGTTGCTTCTTTCTGCGTCCAGCACGAGATCCTTAGCGGCCTGCAGTACGTGCAGATTGTCAAGCGCAAGGGTATCAAGGTCAGCAAGGATTCGGAGATGTTGGTACGTATCCCCTTATATCATATTGAACTCACTTTCCAGTTGCTAACATATCATAGGGCAGCTATGCTCCCAGCACCGACAAGCAGCCCGTCTACCAGAAGCGCTGTAGGTGGCCCGCAAATTGTGTATTGCAATGATCCAAAACTGACTTTACCCCAGTCCAAGAGGAGGATGCTCCGTCTGGCATGCTTGCTCGTGGCCATTACAACGCCGTCTCCAGCTTCGTCGACGATGACAAGAAGAACCACTTGCAGTTCGAGTGGAGCTTCGACATCGCCAAGGACTGGTAGAAGGATCGCCGCTAGGATCAGCTCCGCGAAAGGAAACCCGTCAGCCTTCTTCATCTTCTGGAAAGGTACCACTCTGGAAACAAGCGGATGCCTGACTCGACTCGACTCAACTGTCCAGGACTCTATAACGTTCTCCTTTGTGACACCTCGGCTGGCATTGGGGGAAATTTCGTGGGATGATAGCCCGATTCTGCGCGCGCATTACGACTCGACGACCATGATGACGAGATACAAAAGAGAGATTTCGACTTGCTATACGATACACAAAAAGAGATTTGCAGTGGTAGATGGATGCCCAGACAAATACTCGGTGGCCTATAAAAGGGACACGACTAGGAATCTTCTTCGGCGGTCGGCTGACTCGATGAATGAACTTCTTTCACTTTCAGGTCCCCTTAGATAGGAAAACCGTCTTGATGCTCGCTCGATAAGAAGGACATACAATAGACATTTCGCAAAAATTGCAGTGTTTCTTTCCTGCGTGACACGATGATGATTGCCACTCCCAAGGCACGCGACACTCTGATATTTCCCTGCTTGCTATCACAGCTGTGATATCATATCCCGGGGATATCCTACTGACGCGACCAAGGCAGACACTCCTGGGAGGCTGTAGATGAAGTATGTGTATGGGGTATTATCATTTCGTATCTGCCATCATCCTCTCATTCACTACACCTGAGGTGTCAACATCATCCTCAATTACACCTGGTATCATTTCGCGACAGAAGAAAAATTACATGCCCAAGCACACACCGTTGGAAATATGTGCTTGTGCGCCTTTTTTGACGTAATGTACATATCCGCAGCTCCTGTTTTCCAAAATCCCAGATCTTGCCGAGCCCAAAGACCCCAAGAAAAGCAAGAGGTTGTCCTACAGAAAATAATCCGGTAGCGCGTTCCCGTCGGCCGTCTTCTCGCCGCCGGGTTGTATCTCTTTATGCTGATCGTTCTCCGGGGCGGCGGCGAACACGTTGAACATGCGTTCGCCCGTATCGCTGACCTCGAGCACGCTGGCCATATTGCCACATCGGTAGCAGTAATTCGGGGCGCTCCAGACCGTGGACAGGTGGTCGTCGTAGAGCACCAGGAAGCCCTCCTGGCACAGCTGGTGCGCGCGCAGGATGTGGTTCATGCCGTTGACCGCGAGGAACTTCTTGACAACGCGCGCGCCAAATGTGTAGCCCGCGCCGCGCGGCGACAGCGAGAACTCGTCGCGCTCCGGATCCGGGTCCGACCACACCAGGTCGGCCATGGGGCCCTCGTGCGGGATCTCGCGGAACCGGTCGATGATCTTGATCTGGTCGATGGAGTGGATCGAGGGCGAGAGTCCGCCGTGCACGCAGAAGATCTGGTCGTTGATCACCACCGAGAGCGTCAGGAAGTCGAACATGTCCGTGAAATAGTGCCATACGTTGGCATTTCCGTACTTGCGCGAACACTCTGTGTAGAAGCCGTACGATTGTGTCACGCCCCGCGACTCGTGGTTGCCCCGGATCAGGTGTACTCGGTTCGGATAGCGCAGCTTGAGGCATACGAGGAGTGATATCGTCTCTACGCTAAACATGCCGCGGTCGACGTAGTCGCCTACAAGGAAAGTTAGGTCTCCAACTTCTCCAACTCGCACTAGGTAGAGTTTTGGGGTACCAAACTTACCGAGGAAGAGGTAGTTCGTATCTGGACACCAGCCGCCGATCTTGAAGATCTCGATCAGGTCGTAAAACTGTCCGTGAATGTCACCAACCACGGTCACCGGGGCCCGCACGTGTACGACGTTGCTCTCCCTCATGAGCAGTTCTTTCGTCTTGGCGCATATTGCCTCAATGACGGACTCGGCGAGGAGTTCCTTCTTGTATAGCCGGGAGATGCATTCATCTAGGTCGACCGAGGCTGGACAATGATCTTCGTCAGTCGGGAATCGAGAGGCGAGGGGCGGAGGGGCAGACTAACCCGGCAGCCCAGGCATCTTGGGCTGAAATGTAGGTCAGCCAGCTGCAGGGTATGGTGGCGGAACCCTGTGGGCAAGCTTCGGCTGGTTCGAGGAAAGGTTCGTCGTCGAGGTTATGAAGGCTTCCTTCTGGTCCGGGGAAATGCAAAGTCGTGTGAGGAGCTTCGAGAATCCACAAACATGTTCAAGAGCGGTAGGAAGACAACAACAGTCGTAGTCTCACATGGAGCCGGTGTCGGTTCGGATTTCTGAAAGGAGCGAGAGATTGACGTCAACTACGAACGAGATGGGAATCAAATCTGCAGGAGGACAGGAGACGGGAGGCGAATAGGTGATCGATTGCTTCGTAATCGGATGCTGGGGTTGCGCTGCATAGGTCAGACCGTCAGCTAGCCAGCATGCGCAGACGGGATTCCATTGGCACAGCCTGGAGGCATGACGGGACTTTCGTCAATGTTGGAATGTTGACCTGATTTGCCGAACGCCGGGGGTTATCGCTTCCCTTATCGGCCGCGCTGCATTGATAAGTCCATAGCCGCCACGTGCAGCACGTGCCGCCACAGCGCGCCAGCAGGGCATTAGGCGCCGCTAAGGTACCTTAGTCAGCTTAGTGCTGTTAGGTTATCCAGGTGCACTGCCCCGGCCCGCACTAGGTACCATCCCATCGGAAGGGAAAGAATTTCCACCGAACTTCAACCTCTCACGACTCCTCTTCCCTCCTCCTCTTCGACTGCCGACCTCACCTCAGGGCCCTTCATCCTTTCGTCCTCGATCGATACCTTGAGCTTTCATGCGGCGGCGCCTCATTTCGAATGCAGACCAAGATGTGGCGATTGTTTTCCTTCCCATGATTGTGGTTTCGCTTGGGATATGGTAGTGTGTAGTGAACACCCCATTCCCAGCTGTTTCGTGCTTTCTTCCTGCTAGCTCGGCGTTACAACTTGCCACCATCGTCGGTCATCAACAGGCTCCCATTTCTTTTGTCTCTGTCAGACTCCGTACATACTCGGCTTCCCCTCATTTGAGATGCATCCAAGATCAGTTCCAGACATGGCTGGCACCGTCGAGAGAGGACATGGCCCTGGAACCTGAAGCTCTCCTTGCACTCCTGTCTACCTGGCTGCTGTGGACATATGTCGCCCTCATTCCAAGGCTATTTTGAGGGAAGACCTTGAGCCATTATATATACCACCCTATCATGATGATCAGTATCAATCAACCGCCGACGAGGTTTCTCTTGCTGGAATGCGGGTACCGTCTATTCTTCGTACAATAAAGTCATCTTGTCTCTCGTAGTAGCGTCTTTGTCCATCAGTAATGGTGACCATGACCTGCCTTGATTCCATCCATCGATTCACGCCTCCTGTCAGTACCTGGCTTAAAAGGTCAACTTCGAGTTGCCTCGTATCTTTCTCTGAGGTCAAGACAAGCCCACGGACCGACGTTTAACCGCTGCCGCCCAGCTGCCGCCACCCCGAATTCTGGACATCTGGATCTCACCTCGTGCGACCTTCAATCTCGGCCCAGCAACACCATCGTCACCGCCGTTCACGATTCTGTGCCTGACTGCTCATATACTTTCGATCAGAGGAGATAGAATTGCGCAGCGACATGCTTATGCGACTTGGATATCATTTGCGGTTCTGCCCGGAGGTGTTGCGGGGGATTCAGTGGAATAGCGGACGTTGGACGACCGGCTTGTCCGACACGCGGTCTTGATATCTATCACCTGGTGAGCCCACCACGTCAGATACAACCCCCTTCACCTGAGCTGTGTCCCGTCTCTTCTACCCCGCCGTGTTGGTTCATGATATTCTCTCCGGTAACCAACATTTGACACAAGAGTCAATGGTTTGTGAGTTGTGAGGGTTGCTATTCCCACAGTACATACCACATGCAACTCCGCGCGCGCATGAAGCCTCAACCAGCACCAACCACTGCGTTTCCTTCGCGATAACTCTAGTAAGTCTTTGCCTTCCTGCACATTTATCCCATCCGAGCTTGGAGCCGGTTTGTTCCTTTTCCTCTTCCTCGTCTCCTCACAGCCTGGATCTCGAGTGCACCATCACCTGAGGTGCCTACTGCCTTACGGTATTGTCTCCTTCTTAAGGTACCTTCATCATCAACCTTCACGCATTCATCTGCGCGGGTCCTCTTCGATCGCGCAAGCATCCCACAACACCCTATCTCATCTTCCGCTATTTATCCACACCCTTCGCCGTATTGTAAAGCTCCTGTCGTTGCAGGACCTGAAAGCCTAATATCCTTCTCCAGGTCTGCATCCATCTGATGTGAAGCATTTTCGATCTTACCGCACGTCTGCAACCACCTCGCAATTTCGGTCCTCACTGTTCTCGCAAGATGGCCAACCGCGCCCCAGGCTACGAGCCACCGCAGAATGAACACCCATGCTATAATTGTGGCATGAGTGGTCACTGGTTCGCGGCTTGTCCCGAGCCTACTCGGTCACTTCCCGCGTAAGTACAGTCACTGCATGCCATCTAGGCATTTTCATCTCGTCCTCATATGGGCGCCTGGTACAATGCACCACTGATCATGCCAACTAACATCACACTCAGTGGTCTAGAGGCCTCCCGCCAAAACCAGCGTTCTACCCACAGTCCGAACAGTGATGCATATGCTTCGGGCAAAAGGAGTAAAGGTCCGGTGATCACTCGTTACCCGATTCCTCCCAACCAAGGAAACGTGATGGGGCGTCCAGACTCTGCTTCGCGGCAGCCCTTCCCATCGGCTTCCCCTTCTCACTATCCGCCCCAATCGCCATACTCCCAAGGACCTGGTCTTCATCATTCACCTTCTTTCAATGCATCGTACGAGAGTGGCCGACACGGCCCGCCTGGACCACCACCGCCGGGACCGTACCAGCAGTACAATGTACCTCCTCCGCGCCATCATGCACCATACGAATACCAGTATGGCCCCCCTCCCCCTCCTGTGCCCCACGGGCCTCCTCCTGGTACACCATGTGGCCCGCCTCTCAATTTGTCCCAAGGATCGCCGGCTTCACGATATGGCTCGCCTCATAATGCGCTCGATGGACAACCGTATGGCCCTCCTCGTAGTGCGCCTCCCGGACAGCCTTATGGCCCTCCACCTGGTCATCCCGGCCATTACCCCCCTGGACCTCAGTCTGGACCACCACGACGTTACTACCTTGGCCCATCTCATTCATATCCACCTCCTCCGCCTCCGTACTATCCCCATCCTGGTCAACCTCATGGATATCAGGGACCTCCCCCTGGAGCGCTTTATTCTCCATATCCCGGGCCGCACTCTGGCAATGGGCCTCCTGGACAACACGGGCCTCCTAGGCATCATGGACCTCCTGGACAGCACGGAGCTCTTGGACAACACGGGCCTCATGGGCATCACGGACCCCCTACTGGAGAGTATGAACCAAACTACGGCCGGCCTCAGTCGGGACCTCCCCAGCAATATTATCCATACCCGCCTCCGGGTCCAGGTCCTCCAGGTCCTCCGCCGAGTCAGATCTATAAGGAAGATCGAGGCCGGGATCGACGTGGCCGACATGGCCGGGACGATTACCGACAATACGAAGACAGCCGCTCAGTCGACAATTGGCATGGCCAAGATGAATGGCGTCGTCCCCCGCCTCCCGATAATGTGAAGTATAAGGACGACCATTATCAGGACGATTGGCACCGGGAAGAAAGTCGTCAACATATGCGACATCCTCGGGAGTGGGAGCACGAGAGATTCAGGCGAGATACTTCTAGAGATGAGCAGTTTCACAACCGCCATGACGGACCATACCAATACGAACCCTTGCCACCTCCGGATCATGATCGAGGGATGAGACACGACTTGGTAGTGACAACATCCCGAACCAATCCTCGCGAACAAAGATCATCTCGTCCTGCTTCCTCGGTGGCTGACGATACAAGAGGTGATCTTGTCCGCGACCTGGAGCCTGGTGAGGTAAACTCTCAGTCACACAATGGATCAGACCACGAAGTTTCGAAACCCTCGACTGACACAAATGGCAATGAGAGTCCCAATGATCCCAACGAGAGCCCCTACTTCGGTTTTCGACATGACGCAAGATGTGTCTTCGGGGACCTTGAATGTGAAGGTGGCAAGGCAGACCCTATTGCTGCGCCTCTTCCATCAGAATGGTTCGACGGTGTCATGATTCCTCCTCCTTTCGGCGCCAAAAGTGTCAAGTCAAAATTCGTCACACCGTCGAATGTAGACGACTTCTCACAGAGTGTACGCGACACCAAATCTTGGCATCACTTGCAGCACCATCCACTTCTCGTGGACCCCGAGGACATTCGGATGGAGAAGCTAGAGGATTACGAAAGAGCACTTCGTCAAGGACCCGTGCAGAACCGCGACCGGAATAACAATCACAAAGGGAAAGGCCGTGGAAAGCGTTGGGATCCTCCGGGTCGCCCCTTCAAGAACCACAATCGTGATTACTCGCGTGATGTCCCGCGTAACGAGCGCCATGGGCGACCTGAATCCAGAAAACGACGGTGGGATGGCTCGCATAACCATCCTGATGCCCGTCAATGGGACAAGCCCGAGGCTGAAGTCCAGTACGACGAGCTTGCGCTTAAGTATGGCGAGCCTGAGTACAAGAGACCCAAACCTGCCTCTCCTGAACCGGGCGAAGTGGCTGAACCCAGCAAACAAGAGCCCACCTCGCGAGAACCAACCTCGCAAGAACCGAGACCAGGCACACCTGTGATCCCCGTGGATGATCCTGCGTGGGCACCCGAATCAGCAGAGGTCGCTAGAGACAAGCCAGAGCCGAGCAATCGCGGAAATGAGAACAGGGCGACAACCTCAGAGATCCAGGGTCCCTCTGAACGTGAGACCAGGGCCAGTAGTGAGCCCAAGGACTGGGACAGAGACGCCTTTGTGGCCTCCAAACTCTCCGAGTTCGAACTTAGGAATCAGAATGGGGAGCGTCCGCCGACACCTCCGCCTCCGCCTCCTGGCCGTCCTCCGTCCAGTAGGAGTAGGCGTAGCTCTCGAAGCTACAGAGGCAGCCACCCCAACAGCCGCCGCTCATCTTTCGGTGCGCACCTTGCTGACTCTATGGAGTCACCCCTGACTCCTACAGAGCTCGAGCTGCTTGGCATGGGGAGACCTTCGACCAGTGGTAGTGACACCGGACGAGACTCACCTAAGCGGCAGTCTGATGATGTTACTCCTAAATTCAGACGCCGACAACCCAAGGTGCATGACGCATATTCGTAAGTCCTTGGCCTCATCCCGCAACATAATTCGAATGCTGACAATGGACCTAGGCGTCGTTGGTAGACGTGCTGCTTTCGACTTGCATAGCTTCGCTGGTCCTCTCTTTCATCCGATCGAGCAAGCAGTTGACCGTACAGGCGACCGGCTATTCAGTCCGTGACTGAGAAGATCGCTCGTTTTCTGCTTTCCGTCGATGAATGATTCTTCACAACGATACAGGTCATTCCTCGTCGATATCCTGGCGACCGATGGACAACTCCTCGGCATGAACATATATCGATGGATGCTTCTCATCAACAATCGTTCCTGCGTTATGCAGGCGGCCAATACTGCTTGCTTTCCACTGCAAGAACTATCCTAGACTGGCAGCTCAGGTTACCATTCGGCACTCCTGCTTTTAGGAGATAGATCCAGGATCCAATCATCGTTGCACGGTTCCCGGTAGAAGGGCGTTGGGAGACTTAGAGAGGTAGGGTCAGGGTTCAGGTATGCATTGCTGCATCGAGCATTTGCTTTCGCATGAGGAGAGGGGGACAAGTACCGATTTGCAAGACATGTTTCTCTGTTTTTAGTTCATCGCTTTCCATATGGATACCCCACAATGATATTTTCTATGAGACAAAGGCGTATGCGTTCTTCCAGCATCTGGCCGATCTTCCATACTTCAGGAGTCTTCGACGACCATGAAGCTTCCGTCTTTCTGCATTTCCGTTCCCAATCGTCAGGTGCTGGGTCAGTGAATCACAACCTCGCCGAATTGCATAGGTAGCTGGAGTTCGAGGTTTTCTACCTACAAAGGCTAGATAGACATAATGACATGCTACATACCGTACTATCCTTCTGAACCCCATGCCCAGACTAGTAGGCTTGCATGTGTGGCTCTTTGTCCCCTTTGTGACTTGCCTGATTCTGGAGTGTGCGACTCTAATTGTTCGCCCGCCCTTTCAGCTGACTCCTTGTCTGTCACAGGGTAGGACAATGCGGACTGTGGTCGACAGCGACAGCGTATAAGGACAAGGACATTGCCACTTCCGAAACAATGCCACAAAGACGTGCTTGTCCAGTCGCGTACCTTCAGGAAGAGTACAATTACATTGAGATACCCGCTGCGATTTGAAGAGTGCGATTCGATGTTATTGTGCTTGCTCTTCATTTATCTGCCCATTCAACTTTACAATTTCGTCTTCCAATACTGCTTCCTTTTTCGGCAGATTAAACTACTTCATTTCTCACCAGAATTCATTTTATCCTGAAGCCGGACTTCAGATCGCATTTACTCTTTTCAACCTTTAAAACTTCTTTATATCTATCTATTCCACCACCACCGTCAGTCAACCACCCAGCGAAAATGTGCACCGGCATAGCCCACAACCTCAAGTGCCGCGCCTGCGGCACCACCATCATGAAGCTCCGCGACGCGACGCCGGGCTACACGTGCCGCGAGGCGCGCGCCAAGGGCCGTCGTGGGGTGTGCCGTAAAGGCGTCGAGTACGCCTTCTACGATAGGATATCCGACGAGTTGTGTCTGATGTGCGAGCTGTTTTCGGGCGACGGCAACGAGATGCCGTGTAGTGTGGAGGCTTGTGATGAGGCCTGCGGGGTTTGGGAGGAGGATGTTGTTGAGGATGAGGATGGGGAGGAGGGGGGCGCTTTGTTGCTGCAGGTAGGCGATGCTTCGGTACTGCAGGTGGCTTGCGATAGCGATAATGAAGAGGAGGGAGAGGAGGAGGAGGGGGGGGGGGGGGGGCGCTTCGTTAGTAGAAGGTTGTGATGAGGTGGATGAGGAGGTGGAGGGAGGCGATTCGTTGCTAGTTAACAAGGATAACGGGAAAGACGCGGACAAGGAGATCATTAAGATCGAGCTTGAGGTCGAGGGGGTTGGTGAGCTGGAGGCTGAGGAGAGCCACAGAGACAGTGACGTCGAAGACGAAAGTGAAGACGAGGAGAGCGGCGGTTTCTTCAACTTCGACGACGAAAGTGAAGACGAGGGTTACGAGGGTGAAGACGAAGGCGAAGGTGGGGACGACCCCAAGGGATTCCGGTATAAAGGTGTCAAGCTGTGTTCAGTGCAATAGCTTGATCACTGCCTACTTTGACCCCTTCAACCACGGGCTCGAGATTGCCCTTGATGGGGCACCGGTATAGTCGCCAGTGCATATTCCCTTGGAGCGTCAAATCCGTCTGTCCCCCGTTTGATGACCGAATGTGAGCGTTGACTGACTGTACACAGCCTGGGTCCGTGGTAATAACAACAAATGCAAGAGATTAAGGGCAAAATCCGGAACGAAGTAATAGAATATGGAGGAGGCAGCGTTGTTGTCTTAATAATAGTTTATTTACTATTTGTTAGCAGCAAACACCCTTTTATATAGGGGGTCAGGGCCCGGGGGCCCGATATCCGTGCTGCCTGTTACATACTGGCTACATACAAAAGTAGATTCTGCTTACACGCCCTCATCTAGCTTGGTTAAGAAGCTATATGTAGCTATAAAATCACACCTAGAGGTCTCTTAAACAACCTGTTAAGCTCGAAAAGCTCGAAAACGCAAAGAAAATCCTGTTCTGAACGGGTGGCACACTCCTTCGCGCCTTGCCAAATGCCCAGATAGCTGCAAATAGCTCCAATCCTCCAACAGGCTCCATGGCCTCCAACATGTCAAACAGTGCGTGGGGGCTTTTAGATGGGTGAAAGTGTATATTCTGGTGTAATCCGTATTGTTGTTGTGTCTCTGAAAAATCCTTCTGTGGGCTAAGTGGCCCAAAAATGCCCTATTGGCCTTGTTGGTGCACTGCCACCTCCCTGAATGCCACGGTGGCTTGCGCGCCATTCAACACAACAGGCTTCGATAGCCCTGTGAGGCTCCAACTTAAGCCGTGGCCTTGACTCCTTAGTTAAGCCGTACCGTACCTAAATAGGAAAAAGGATGCCGTTAAGGCTCTGTTGCTTCCTCTCGTAAAGCCGTAACATGCCCCCGTAACGTATAAAAAGGGGGAAAATGCCGTAGAGGTCTTAACCGTTATACCGTGCCTCTCGAAAAAAAAACCTTTCAAACCGTGCCGCCTGTCATGGTCTGGTACAGGATGCCCATGGGGTGAGTCTTGGGGCCCGGACATGAGTACATGTACCACCATTGAATGTCAAGCTGCCACGCTTGATATTCGACATCCTTTTGGAACAGCCGTGGCATGGTGGTTATGGTGAGCGTTCCGTCACACCGCCCTAGATCAGGCGGGCTTTCGATGCTATGCCTCCATGAAGGTCTTCCGTGATCTCTCGCTCGTGCGCGCGGAGATGCCTCCTGCGGAGGGCTTGCCGTAGCCTCCAGAAGAAGACTTAACCGTGTGCCGTGCCTCTCCCGTGATGGCGAGAGGACTTCTGAACCGTTGCCGCCGTCGATCAGGCGGGCTTCAGATGCTTTCGTCATCGAAGGGCTTGCCGATGCCTCCAGAGGAGGACTTCCGATGCCTCTAGCCGCGTTGGCGAGGACTTCTGGCCATCTCTCGTGATGCCAATCCCACGGTCTCTTCGTCAAAGGATGTGGGTGTGATGCCTCCGACGAGGTCTCATCCGTTCGTCTGGCTAGTCACGCCGTGACGCCTTCATCGACTTGAAGGATTTCGCTGTCCTAAGCGTGACTAAAACCTCGTGCCAATATTGGTCGAGACTCACGGTTTTTGCTTGATATTTCCCTCCTGCCGCAAGTCCGGCAGCCGTGTGGTGATCGCCTTCTGCAGTGGTGATCCCATTCCTCGTGAGTGATCACAGAGGGCTCTCTCGCTGCGCTCGGTGCCTCGCTGCTGACCAAGGAGCTGATGGGGACTTGATACGGTGCTTCTCTCGCAAGGAAGACTTGATACGGTGCGAACGCCGTGGTGTGACTGCCGCGCGCGTTGCTGACGGATCCTTCGCGAATCCGATCGATCTATCGTTCTTCGCCTTCATTTGCAAATGATCAGGCGGAGGAAGACTCTCTCTCTCTCTCTGGTGACTGCCTCGCGCCGCAGACAACTGGTGCGAGCGCCGTGGTCTTCGGGGAAGTGAGGCGCTCGTGTTGGCGACCTCTGACGCGCTCTCTGAGCCGTCTGGCGACGCCCTCAGGCTTGCCGTTCCACGCGCCGTATTCTAGCGGTGATGCCAAGCGCTGCAGATGACTGTTGCGAGCGCCGTGGGCTTGGAGAAGACTGCCGCGCGCTGCAGATGATCGCTAAGAGCGCCGCGGATTTCGGATGATGTGCCACACGCTATGACTTGCATTCTGGACGCCGAAGGTATGAGGTCTCCAAGATGACTGGGTGAGTACTCGTCAGGATGACCTCTGACGCGCTCTACTGGAGCCGTCACCCTTCTGCTGGCGAAGGCTCTCTCTGAGCCGGGGAAGGGGAAGATGACTGCCACGCACTGACTGCTGCGAGTGCCGTGTGGACTTGAGGGTACTGGATGAGGTGCCCGAGATGGCGACCTCTGACGATGCTGGCGCCTCTCTCGGCGCCTAGATGGCCGTTTGCTCACCCGTTTGCTGAGCGTGAGCCGGTTCTGGCTCTCTCTTCTCTTTCTCACGAAGCCGAAGGCGACGTGATGCTCGCGCTGCTGATCACTCTGATGATCGTCGTGCTAACGCCCTGGCTGGCGTATCTGCTGCTGGCGAGCTGGTGCCTCTGCTGGCGCACTGGAAGGCCGTTTTGCTGCCTTTTCTCCAACGGAAAATCATCTGTTTGGTCCTTTTCTGGTCTCAGCGCTGGCGTGCCCTCAGGGCGACGCCCTTTGGCTCAACCAGCTGTTGATCAGATGATGATGCCCTCGTTACTGACTGAAAAAAAGAGATGCTACCATGAGGGCAAAATCCGGAACGAGGTGACAGCAACATGGACGAGGCAGCGTTGTTGTCTTGATGATGGTCTATCTACTGTACGTTGGCAGCAAGCAGCCCCTTGTATGGGGGGTCGGGGCCCATGGCCCCGACATCCGTGCTGCCCGTCACATACTGGCTACATACAAAGGTGGATTCTGCTCACAGAGATACCCAGCCGGCTTTTTGAGTGTAGGTAGGTATTGCCGAGTATTCCTAAGCTCTCATGAAACAAGAGGTGAATCCCAGTGGCCTGGTACAGAAAACTTTGAGCGAGTCTCGATGATTTGACTCTACCCCCAAGACAAACTCCGTCCAGGTCCTACCAGCCTGACCAGTCTGACCTTAAACCACAGCCCCGAGCCCACTCATCATAGTCCAGCATCGTGCCAAACACCTCGTCCTGCAGATAAAACAATTCAATCAATCCGTATGCCTAATCGCAGTCCTGAATAACGTACACCGAGGTTGCTTTCACCAGCGCCGCACCGCCCAAAGAGCCTTCATGTACAATGCGCAATGACCAGACCTCTGAATATACCGAGGTTGCTTCCCTTCCCTTCGACCTCTTGCGCGTTCTGTCTAGATGATACAGAAGTCGCATGGAAGCGGGCAAGGAATACAGAAGCAAAAGCGACCTGGACAACAGCCACCACGGTCACCACCACGCAGACCCATCGGTTCATCATGTGGTGCTTGAGGGTCTATAGGGTGGACTGTTAGTTGGCTGACGAGGAAGGGGGAAACCAGAGGGCTATCGTACTCATAGGTTGGGGAGCCATGGGCTGAAGAGATATCTCCTCCATGGGCGATTGTGGCGATTGCTGGCCCTGCTCGTTGCTGGAAGGTGCAGCTTGTTGCTGGGTCTCGGGTTGTGTGGGTGCCATTGTGTCGTTTGATGGGGATAGTCTGATGGGGATGAATCTGGGAGTTGGGGATATCGAGATTTGCGAAGACCGAAGTTGAAGTGTATACTGATTACTGTGTGATATTGGGGAGTAGGTTGAAATGAAACAAACTCTCAAGTGATTTGACTTAGGCGTGTACTTAAAGTAGGTATTTGTGGATGAATGACGGGCACTGGACAAGTGTCAAGAATCTTGGAATGTTGATGAGTGAAGCTTGGACTGAAGCTTGGACGATGGAAACCTGTTAACGCCACAAGTGCGGTCATGCGACGTCATCGTCTTCGTGTCTCAGAGGCTGTGCAAGCTAAGGTAAGGTAATTTACGCGCCACCCAAAGCCGGAAGGCGCGTGTCCGACACGTGCAGGACAAAGCTGGACATCAACATCGAGCTGTTCCCCTGATATGTCGGCGGGCAGCTGCAGGTCGTGCTGTCGACTCGCCTGTCGCCCGACGGCAACAAGCACGACAACGAGGAGCGTCCGCCGCGAGAGCTCGCTGGCCGATATGTACTACTACATCTTTGAAATTGTCTCCTTGACGAAGGCCAGCGTGAACAGCTCGAGCGGCGCCAGCGGCAGGTGCTTCACGGCGCGTGCGATACTCTGGATAATCGTCCAGCTCGTTTGCAGCAGCGTGATGGCCCAGTGAACATGGCCAGCGCAGGTACTGTGTTTAATGCCGGGCAGTCGATGCCCCAACGGCGAAACATGGTTTTCTGATGAGGTGTCTTCTGGTGCGACCGAGTCACCAATGGTCGTTGAAAGCTCTACGAACATGATTGTGCCGAGTGTGAAGAGTCAACCTTGGTAGGACCGGGGACAGCCAGCGGCACGTCTCACGAGCGGAATTGCATGACAGGTAAAGAAGTGTCTACTCCAGTTATCCTATATGCATGCCACGTTTGGACTCATGCACGCTGCTGCTATCACCTAGGTGCAAACTTCCTAATGTTGTCGCAGAAAGCCGCAACCTGACAGCCCCAAGCTTCCTCTTCTTCAATGCCTGTGCCCAAGCTAGCAAATGGGCTGATATGGTTATGCCGCGGCATACTATCAACAGCGAGAGATACCCGATAATCGTTCTCGCCCATGTGCAGCCACTCATCTACGAAGTTGTCTCGCGGTATCAAGATATCGTTGTCCGGGTCCAATTCACCGCTGAGAACAAGAACCTTGGCGCCAGCATTCACGAAGTCGATAGATTCCACCTTCTCCTGGGCTGTCCGCAGCAGGCCCAGCGGACAGTTCGCCTCGATGTCGCTAAAGTAGCTTTTCAGTATCTCGGAGCGATACGCAGGCGCAAGGTTGAAATCGAAAGGCACCGATAACATCACCGCGCCTCTGAGTCTTGTCTTGTTTCCAGTGAGGACCTTCCGTCTGGTTTTGCTGAAGCTTTGATGAAGCAAGAAGGTCGACAGATGTACACCACCAGCAGAATTACCCATGGTGAACAGATCAATAGGCTCCGAACCGGGTCCTGGTTCGTTCTCGCAGATCCATTCAACAGCCAGAGCGATGTCTTCGCCGCCCGAAGGGAACTTGGCGCCGTGGGACATTAGACGGTAGTCGGCTACCACGACAGTGTAGCCGAAGTGATTGGCGAAGAAAGCGCCGATGTTGGCGTGTACCAAGCCATCTGGCATTGGCATCAACGTCTTCGCGCCATTCACAAACCCGCCGCCGTACTCGAACATCAGCACCGGTCTCCGGCCATTGGTGATTTTGGCCTCCAAAGGCGAGTAGACGTCCAGCTGTTGTCTTTCATGTGAGCCGTAGGTGAATGTCTCTTTCTTTACGGATTTGATGAAGTCGGCATTCCTTTGAAGCAGAGGAGCGTAAGCCTTCATGGTAGGCATCACGATCTCCTCGATCTTCTTTCCGAAGGCAGGTAGTTGGTCCATGACCCCGGCTGCAGGTTGAGGTAGTATTTGGTTCTTGATCGCTCGAAGTCGCCTCATCGAACGTGTTGTGGACTGTGGATGTCAGCTGGACTGACAGGAGTCTTGGAAACCAGCTTGTAGACCATAAATTACCATGCAGCCATCTTCAATCGGCCCATCTATACCTTTAGTGGAGGTGACCTCGGGAAGTGGGGGTGCGTCGTCATCTGTCAAGATCCGGCCCCGGTCAAGATGGGGGCCGATGAAATGTGGCAGACGTCGGGCGGAGGGGACGCCAGTCCTCTAGTCCTACATTCTACAAGTTACAACTGCTGTTCCATTGCCATCTCGAGTCATTGACGGCCTTACTACTATGGAGCAGATCACTGGAAAGCTATCCTCTCTCATGAACGGGACGAAAGACCAAGCAAAGAAGCTAGAGACGGTAGAGCTCCCACCTGGAAAGCCTGGAGCACCCTACGTGATCTCTTCGCAAGACGGCGAGATCATCTACATACCACTCTCCAAATCAGCGACTCGACTCCTAATCACTGGAAAGGAGACAGAAGATGCCTTCTGTGTGGTAGCCAGTGGCGGGAGCCAAGGCGATCCAATAGGTTTCCACTACCATCGCGAAGCACACGATGTCTTCCTGTGTTTGCAAGGGAATATCAATGTCTGGGCCGGCGAGAAGTGTCGAACGATGGGGGCTGGTGACTTTGCGAGCTTACCTCCTGTGAGAATCTGAACCCAAGTCCGTGGACACGGCGCTAACACTGTCATAAGGGTACCATCCATCAGTACCAAGTCCTGGGAGCTCACGCCGAGATGGTCGGCTTGATAGTGCCAGGAGGTTGGGAGGAGTTCTTCCGCTTCATTGGCGAGCCTTATTCGGGACCAATGTGGCCAATGGACGATAACCGGAACTTCCTCGAAGTCCTACTGCCCAAGCTCAAAGCGGCAGCAGAACAATATGACATGGTACCTTGTCCACAGCAGGAGCACTTCGAGCCGCAAGAGTGGCAAGCAGACGAGAACCAGCTTCCAGGTAGTCCGCAGCCATACTTCCTCAAGAACGCATCCGGCCCGGCTTATGAAGTGGGAGGCACGGTATGTCGACCAATCATCACCACCGCCGAGTCCCACGGCAAATTCGCAATCGGTAGCATTGAAGGTTCGTCTCAACACCACAAGCACGGCATCTTCGCGAAAGAAGTCCAATGTCTCCGGTTCGACAATGTACATCATGCGTTTTACGTCGTCCAAGGGAGCGTCGAATTCCATCTTGACTCGTCTTCGCCGTCGAAGCTGGCCGCTGGTGAGGTCATTTATATACCCAAAGGGACAGCTTTCCGCTACAAGATGGCGTCTAGGCATAACAAGGTGTACGCTTTCGCGAACGGAGGAGGCTTGATCGAGGTGCTTTCCAAGCTTGGCAAAGAGCACAAGTCTCCTATACTGCCAGAGAAGGCGGAAGATGCCAATGTCGGTGCCTTCAAAACGTTGCAGCCCGAATTCGGATTCTCCTTTTCGTAGCGATGGCTAGATAGGTAGCACCGCCTGGTCGTTTCGTTGCACATTGAGTCCCGCGTAATCCAGCGCCCCGTTTGATGATTTGGTGGCTCACTAGGGTATAAAATTCTCCCTCAATCACCCTGAGCGATCCGACAGTCGTTACGCTTACATGATGAGTTGGACACTGCCAGATAGTATTTTTTGGAACTGTGCGGGACTGATGTCGGTGCGCAAGAAGTGCAGTAGGGAGTATGAACTGCAAGGTCGATCGATCCTACAGGCAATTGTTGTGGTGTATATGTCAGAATAACTTCTGTATTCCGGACGGAATATAGAAGTCGGGCGAGGTGAGGTGGAGGTCATTGCCTCGACATACACGACAGTCAGACGTGCATAGGTCGAGCGTTACATTGGGCATATCTTTCGCGACACCTCGCGCCTGTACATAGTATAGCATCGCTCCTGATAGCGGTTCGTCGTTCGTATAGACAGGCTACCTCATCGCTTGCATTTGGATTCTGATTGCGTCACTGATCGTGGGTAGAGTGTCGCCATCTTCTCCACCACTATGCCGATGGACGCCATTAGCAATGTTTGTCCTGCTCCACAGTCTTTAACGCTGACACTGACTTGGAAACATCGTTGACCTGTACTAAGTCCCCATTCACAGTGGCCCTCACTCCGCGTTCCCCCTTATTTGGCAGCGTGCAAGCACCAAGCGACTTACCCCCTATTTCAAGATATGATGAGGTATCTGTCAAATAGCGTGTATTATGGTTGATCTGGTTGATAATGTGTATTCTGGTGATTCTGATTTGAGTGTTGTGTTTCTGTGAAAATCCTTCTGTGGGCTAGGTGGCCTAAAAATGCCCTATTGGCCTTGTTGGTGCACTGCCACCTCCCTGAATGCCACGGTGGCTTGTGCGCCATCCAACAGTATCATGTTAAGTAGATGTATAAGCTCAGTATCTCCCCTCCATAGTCTACACCGCATCCTTGAGACATGTAGATGGTCTTCTCACATCTCGAGTATTATATGCCTTACTTATCTTGCTGTTCTGTCAAGGGCTATGCTATATGTTCCTATGCAGTTATGACCTTCAGCCACATATGGAAGCATATACTGCTGGCTCACGCCTCTCAAGGGAGATGGGCTGTTCAATGCATACATGTTCATCCTTTTCCGCCTCAAGCAATGGTAGAAGGCTACTTGACCAAGATTGACAATGGGGTCCACTAGCATGGCCATGGAGTCCCATTGTTGTGAGGAACCTGCATTGTTGCGATAGTTTTGCCGGGGACCATTCACCCTGATCCTGATACTGCAGGGTCTATATCAACAGGGCCATTAGATCGTTGCCCACTGCACATTCTCAAATCTTTTTCACAAGCGAATCACTCATTGCACATCAACCGATAGACTTGCCTTTGCAGTCTTGCTTCATACCGGTAGGAATCCCCTTTAACAAAAGGTAACCTCACATATACTATCGATCATCCCCAGCGAGCACCATCTACCCACCGACAATATGGTGAAGTTAGTCGATACCACAGCCCGCGAGCTGGCAGAATGCAGAAGAACCATCATGAGTCCCCGAGCAAGAGTCGAGCACCTCACGCAAGAGAACATCACTTTGCACTCATCGCAATGCACAAGATGTGCAGTAAGGACGAACCGCCAAAGCAGAGACCACCACAAAGGCTCCTTGGCCAGCGGACATGAGGTCGGTGAACGAAATTCTTACATGAAGCCAACAATTGCTTCAAAGGACAGGGCATCCTCTGGCCTCGGAGGAAATTCCGACTCCACCGAACACGGCCACGGGTTTGCAACCATCGGAGAATCCCCATACCAATATCACCAAGGACGACCTCTGTACATCGGTCCGCCCCCGGTATATGATTCATGGTCGATAAAGCCTGGCTACATGAGAGAGACAAACTCGTCGCTCGGCAAAGTAACCTGGAATCTATCTTGTTTTACCAGACGTCTGAAGAGTGGCCTACCCCCACATATTACCAGCGAACTACAGTCTCAGGCCACCTCCTCAGCTGTTCCCGCTCCCGGAGAGGAGGACTGCATCACAGAACCCAGCCGAATCCCGAAGCAGATGATGCCACCGACTACCGACGGAAGTTCAACGTCTAGCGAAGGAACGGAGACCACCCCTGATCTCAGTACTCGCTCCCGGCTCCATGGCAGTTCATACCTCCTGGCTTCCTCTTATTCGACTGACCGTACTACAGACCCACCGTCTATATCCACAGCGCTTCCGGCTTCCGTTACTTGAGAACCGCGTTTGAATCGGTTCGACAGCTCGTACACGATACAGCACGAGAGCGTTGGCCCGCGGTCTACCGCATCCACTACAAGGACGGCCCACACCTCGTAAAACTCGGCCGAGAAGAGCTTCACCGCGTCATCGGCGGAGGGGAGCTCTGTATAGGCTACGATGTACCAAGTTTGGTTAGATCCGCACTCCTCGAGAACGTGCATCTCCGCAACGCGGTATGACACCCAAGCAAATACCAACTTCAGAACTCCTCGGCGATCGACGAGGTGCTCGCGTCCGCGCAGAAGCTCGCCGCATACATCGGGAACGAGGAGGAGACCATGCGTTTTCGCGGGCTTCGCGATGATCTTGCAAAGGAAGCCAGACAGACGTTGAGCGACTTCGAGGACGCCTTGGACCTTGCTTCCTTACCATTCGCTGGAACACTGGCACCGTGGTGGGAATCGCATCATGAGGAGCATTTCTGGCTGAACCGTGACTACTGGAAGAAGGGAGAGGGCTACTCAGAAGAGGTGCTTACGATCGCACTACAGTATTATAACTCGGAGTGAGCGGCTGAGCTCTGGAGGGGTTTCGAGATGAGATTGCGATGGCGAAGGAGCAGGTGGACGGTCTGCAAGAGCATTTGCGGAAGCGAGAGGCTGCGCTACAAGAGTTACGACAGCAGATTGACGTGGAGAAGGCTGGTAGACGATAGCGGTCATAGAGGAGCAGCAACCTTCCGTCTCCCCATCTACGGCGTACCAGTCTCCTTGTGTTCTCGTTTCGTCACATGCCATCTAACCTCGGTTGAGTGATCTAAGTAATGCCAAGACGGACCGGCTTATGCGACACGGACCCCCCTATTTTGACGGCCCGGCCCGGTTCGGCTCGGCAGAAGGGCTATAGCGGTGACCCTTAACTCCGTGGAGCCGCTTCCCCTAGCCGAGCTAAGAAGCTAACGCCAGTTCAAGGTTTGCCTCTTTTCAAGCCTCCCAGCCATCCCAGCCTCTAAAGACTGCTAGATCCCTAATCTTCGGGTTCTCGGCTCAAAGTCAATCTACTACTGGCCAGCTCGTCGGTAACTGATGACCTAAGTTACTGGCTGTCTCCATCCCCTTTCAAGCAAGGCCTTCGCATGTGTGAGGGCGGTTCTTCCATCTTACATGATCGAAGTGAGAATTCCACGTGCTATGTGAGTTGGGGTAGGCCTTGCGATCCGAGATGTCTGTTTGGGCGTGTCGTGATGACGGTCGTCTTGCTCTGCCTGCTCTGCCCAGTGCTTGCCGCAAGTAGACACCACATGCCTGACGCGATGATTTGGCAATCCGGCCGTCTATACGACTGCTTTCTGTCCCGCCTCTTGGATTTCCCAGATCTCTCTCCTTGCCAGAACATTCTGAGCATTCACACGAGACTGTCTGTCTCCCTGCTCCTTCTCAATCCCAAACCACCATCGAAACACCCCCGACAACGACCATAACACCCTTCCAAGCGGGCAGCAATAGCAACAGCCCACCATGAAGCTCTCCGGATCCCTTGCCCTCATGGCTGCATTCGTGGCCGTCGGCAACAGCAAGCCGCTCCCGCCCGTAAGCCCAGCCCGCCCTCGTCCCACTGCTTGATTTGATGCCTACATATGTCAAGGATCTCCGCACAGCCCTGTCAACATAAGCAACCACCTCACAGCTTGACACCGCCGACAACTGTATAGTCTGCATCAAGCGCTGCACTCAGCGAGACACGTTGAACTGCATCGAGACCTGCAGGGACGAAATTTGCAAGGACGTCGACCTCTCCGAGTTCAACATCTTCAAAATCCCGATCCCCATCATTCCGATCGATGCAGCGGCATCCTCGTAGCCGACAGCGATACCACTGCGACGTCCACGCCCGCAAGAGACTCAGACGTGTCCACCTTTGCACGTTGACAATCTGGTTCTTCGACGTGTGCTTCCTCGGTCAATGCAGCTACAAGGCTTGCACCGGGTGCTCTTTCGATTGAATGGGATGGGATCAAGTGATGGCGCGCCTGGCATTTCCTGGCGTTGTGTCTTGGGATTCGAGCCGGGCCGCTGTCGGGCAGGAACCTTGGGAGCGAAGTATTGCTTGCTGAGCTTTCCCCCTTTGCAACACCATTCAGAGCCTCGCGCAATCCTCACGCACTATCGGCAGTCCTTCTACAATACACGACAGTTCTCCCATGTACTTTGCCCCAATGATAATGTGCAAGTGCGTCTCAACTGTTGAATAGTTGGATGGGTAGATGAATGGACGGCTTCAAGATGACACTCTGCGAGAGCCTGAGCGAGGAAGTATCCATCCTAGCTAGATCCAACTTCTGTGGCCGGCTTCCTCCACCCAGCCACTCTGATATGGTTGCAAACAGGGTTTAAAATCACATGTCGGCACCCCCTAGACAAGAGCCTGCTGGATGGTGTATTTAAGGCACATGGCAAAGGTCAAGGCCACTGATAAAGCTGGCAAAATAGGCTACCAGTCATAGCAGCGTCCAGGGTTTGAACGGACAGCAACACTATATGCGCTGTTGGGCTGCACGCAGTTTCCCTACGTGGTCACTGGTCGTCGACGTTGGGTGAGACCGCCTGCAGCCCTCATAAGTCTCCATACGCGCCATGTTGATGAGATTCCCATATTACCCGAAAATTTCAAAATACAGGAATAAGCATATATAAATAAGCACCTCTGGTTCGATATTTCACTCTTAATGCTTATTTTAAGATGCTTATTCCAATTTTATAAATTTACTGTTATCTTTTGAGGCTGGTAGTGTCCGGCGCCTTATGAGGTGTTCTGTTTACCTAGAGCACTTTATGTAGAAAGGCACGGCATCACATGTGTTCGAGTTTCACGTTGAAGGCAGCATTGTCAAGAAAGTGATGACCAAAGGGTTTTTTTTTTTTTTTTTTTTTTGGTCCCTTGATCTCCAATCGGTCATTTCCCTCCCCCCACCGGTGACCGTCTCCTATCAGCTCTCTATTGACGGCCGACGACGGCCACCGTGACAACAATAGCAATTATGCCCAGCCCTGCCAGTATCGTGCAGTAGGCAGCCCACAGCCGCGCACACGCGCTCCATTTTGCCGCACGCAGGTGCTTCCCGACCCACCGCCTGCCCCGGGATTGTGGTTGATTGGCTTCATCCGGGACAGGTTCTTGACCTCCTACCGCCGTCCTCTGATTGTGGTACCACCCCTCGCTCGTCGCTGGCCTCGGCATGACTGCATGACCCCCTTGCTCCAGGTCGGGACTGAGAAGAGGTCAGTAATCAAGGAACAACGTATATGACGGTTGGGGTTCGTGATGAAGAGTGGTGTGCGGTGAGAAGATATCCCACTCAGAGCGACGTTTGATGCAACACCACAAGGAAGTGGGATGCTCTCGCACTGGGAAGAGGGAGAGCACGCAGGAAGGCAAGGGGAAGGGCACGCAGGAGAATGCCATGGGAGAGGGTGATACTCACGGGTTGTTGAGATTGTCTACCCCAAAGTTAGTTAGGGGTGCTTGGGGGAAGAGGAACGGATATCTTGGAACATACCTGGGGCGTCATGCAGCGCCGGACTTTGAATGTGAGCCAGCGGCGGCGGTTGATTGACTTGAGGGTGGGAGGACTCGGGAGTGGCGGTAGGAGTTCGGTGGATCGGGAGCAGTGGAATGTCTTGACTGCGTGCGGCGGAATGCGACGGGCTGTGGGCGCTGGTGCTGGGAATGGTGACTTGATTGCTATCGTCGTCTAAAGGGGGGAGGGTGGGGAGCGAGGGGTTTTCTGATTTTCTGATTTTCTGGCGGCGTTGGTAAGGATATTGGTCATTCCAAGAAAGACCAAAAAGGTGAGTAATGATGTTGAGGGAGAGAAGGGAAGAGAGGAGAGGAGAGACGAGAAAGCTGGGGGGGAGTGTTGTCGACACAGAGGAGCTGGGCTGCTGCCTTCCCTTGGGTTCGTTCTTACCCGGAATGTCGACCAATACGCACAATTCTGGGAAGCTGTGCCAATTCCACCACCCAGTTGCATCATCATTGGCCGATGTGGTCCGATGATCGCTGAGCTGCCACTGCCGATGGGCATTAGTGAGGCAGGGACGCTGTTGGTGCTGCAAATGGCTAGGTGACTCCCGACAAACAGCAGGTCGGTCAGCAGGTGACGGAGGATATGGTCCTCTCTGATGAACCGGTTAACGGGAAGGTCCACGTAGCCCACGCAGCTTGACGTACGCAACTTCTTCGAGCAACTCCTCAAATACCGCTGCATGGAACCGCCCAAGCACCGCCATTACCGTACAGACTTTAACCAGCCCATTGTCTTCGATACAGACTTTATGCAAGCCATTGTCTTCACATGTCCCGAGCTTCATAGCCTGCAGGTAAGAGCCATCTTCACTGGATGGGATGTGAGAGCCGTCTTTACCGGATGGGATGATTCTCCATACACCGAGTCTTACCTCACTCAAGGTGAGCGAAACCCCATGTACACTGAGCCCTTATAAGTCTCCGTACACTACCCGTTCAGCAAGTAACGGTAAATTCATCGAATGGGAATAGCACCATGGAATAAGCATTGGGAGTGCATATTAAACTCGAGCTGCTTATTCCTGTATGCTTATCCCAGTATTGCGGAATTTCTATGCGTGATCTGGAGTCTTAGTAACATGGCGCGTACGGAGACTTATATGGGCTGAGTGTATTGTGGCCTGGGCAGTGACGCGGGCAGCAATCTCATGATCATCCAGGGTGTCTCTTCCTTTCATATGAATATACCATTTGATATCCACGACTTGACATAGCGAGGCCCGACGAAGACACATGGGGTGACTGTAGTGATGGTGGTGATGGTGATGATGATGGGCATGAACAAGAAATGTAGGCGCAGACTGTCAAAATATCATCAGACAGGGCAGTCGAGTTTCTTGGAGACGATAGTCTGCACAAGTGGTACGGCTGATGCCTCGTGGAGCAAAGAGGTTGGCTGCCAGCGGTCTAGTCATGGACCATCGACCCATTCTTGAGTGCGATCACGTAGAAGGGGAGAGGAACCAACTCCATCTGCAGATATATTCAGTGAGCGGTGAATGCAAATATGTGCTCATTGAAGTCTTCAGGCTATCGTATCGACGTGAGGTAATCTTGCATCATGCCTTTTGCACTTTGTATCCTGAACCATTGCTTCCCGCAGGAGCACACAATCCAAAAGAAGACTTCTGGCAGATCCCTGTGCGCAAGCCAGATATGGCTATGCTGTGGCCAACCCAAGATGTGATGTGCCCAGTCCGTTGCGTGGTGATCGAGGGTCTCCAAGACCGCTACCAAAGTATGAAATCCAGAAAAAAAGTGTACATACCAAAATCCTCCATTCCGCTAGGTAACAGACAAGAAAAGCAACTGGACCAATCTAGAAGAACAGAAGATCGTCATCCTTCCACCCCAAGCCAGTGAAGATAGCATGGACGCTCTTCTCGAGCGCCTCGGGCCCGCAGATGAGCACGAGGTCCTCCCCACCGTCGCCCGCGGGGCCCCGCCCGACTTCTTTTTCAAAAAGCTCCGCGCTCAGACGGCCGCGCAGGCCCGTCCAGTCCGGCCCGGGGCGCGTGAGGGTGTGCAACAAACGACAACGGTGCTCGTTGCCGTCGCCGTAAACCATGGCGTCGAGGTCGGCGCGACACAAAATGTCCTCCTCGACGCGGTTGCCGTCGAGCACGACGCAGCGCGTGGGGTCGTCGCGGTCCGCCAGCACGGCGCGCAGTACCTGGAAGATGGGCGTGATGCCGCTCCCCGCGCACACCATCACAAAACGGCGCACCTGCCGCGGCCGGCCCGCCACCGTGCACGCGCCGCGCCCCAGGTACTCGAACTTGCCGATGGGGCCCTTGAAGTCGACGGCGTGGCCGATGGGCAGCGCATCCAGCGCCTGGGTCATCTGCCCGCCCTTGCGCGCCGGCGTGTCGTGGTACACCTTGACCAGCACGTCGAGCTTGCCGCGCTCCGTGTTCTTCGAGATGGGCGTGTAGGAGCGGATGATGGCCTCGCGCGTCGCCGGGTCGCGCAGCCGCACCATCAGGTGCTGGCCGATGGGCAGCCCGACGAGCTGCTCCGCGTGCTCGAGGTTGAACGTGAAGATCTTGGTGTCGGCCGAGATCTTCTTCTTGCCCGACAGCACTGCCTTGCTCCACACTTTGGACTGCAGGAAGTTCTCTCTCACGGCGACACCCTCGAGTACCTCGGATTCCCGGTCTGTCAGGAGGGCTAGAGAGGCTTCGTCGAGGGAGCCGATGTGATAGTCCACCATCATCGCCTTGGCATTCTCGCTATCTGCAACTTGTGTGTTAACTTCATACAGCTGGTATGCTTCGACGTGACTGATCGACTTACGAATGGCAAGGAATTCCTCGCTGGCATCCTGTCCGGCAGCACCAAATATCGACACTGAACCACCAGGATGCCCCTCCAAGAACTTCGTCCCGTCATAAACCTCGCCGTTGACCACGAACCAAGGCTCGACCTCTCCGCCATGATTCCGGAACTCGTCAATCGTAATTGTTCGAGTGACCTCCTTATTGATCATGCATATCTCTTTGGCCGGCTCCTCTTCGACCGTGGCCGCATCCTCGCCAGACAGCTTCTCGCCCCAGTAGCCATTGCTAAGGTTCCCACCGGCCTTCTTCACCCTCTCCATCCAGCCGCCGGGCATCAGCGCGGGTTGGGTTGGATGTTCGAACCTTAGCGTATGGCCCTCTTTGTGTATGACGACTCGGAACCAGGGGTTGTTCATCATGCCCAGAACACTCCAGTACATATCCCGCGGCTGCACCATCATGGCGTCGTCCATGGCCCGAACCATTATGTCATCGGACTCCTGCAACTGTGACACTGGGATATCCAGGTCCCAAAAGCACCAGCAGAAACAGCTCTCTCGCCAAGACATGTCTAAACGGCCGCCGAACAACTCTTCACCCTCAGGCGCGAGGCGGTACTCGTCTTCTGGGTATGATATGTTGGCCAGTAACCAAGTCTTTCCCTTGTTGAGCGTGATCTCCACCCGCGTTATCCTCCTGCCGCCTCCAGCGTACGCATACCCCCGAGCCTTGTAGCTCTTTAACCCTTGACCCAGTGGCAACTTCTCATCATGGGCAGGGTAGCACGTCGCGCTGTTCGTATTCAGGTCGTAGATCGCGTGACGTTCGTCTTTCCAGGTGTCTGGCAAGTCGGCGCTCATCTCCGGGCTGATCATGGTCGGTAACACCCTGTTATCGTAGATGTGGTACCAGTTATCGCTAGGCTCCCTGGTGACAATGATCTTCTTCAACCATTTCACACTGCGTCCGCCGATCTGTCCCGGGATGATGATCCGTAGAGGCTTGCCGTGATCCGGGGCGAGCATCTCCCCGTTCATCTTGTGGGCAACAACGACTCCCCGGTTGGGGTCCATAGCCCAGTTCAGCTTGATAGACGTCCCGTAGTACCCGTTCGGCAGCCTGTCGGCCCCCTCGAAACACACGTACTTCGCTCCTCGCTTGGGCCTCGCTGCTTTCAGTAGATCGCCGATCACCACGCCAGTCCACAGGGCCGTCGACAGGCCTGCTGGTCCCCATGAGAACCCCTTCGTCTTCCTGACGACGTTCTGCTCTTTCCGCCGATTGCCCGCGCAAACGAGTGTGACAGGGTAGGTGATCTGTTCGTAATCCTTGATGAGCTGTTCCAAATTCATCCGTATAGGATTCTCGACCTCCCCCTCTATTGTGTACTCCCAGTCCATGATCTCGGTGTCTTCGACCTTGGGTACCAGCCCGTGATTCCGGACATAGTGAAGATCTTTACTTGTCAAGAACCCCTCGTCGAAAAGCTCGCTCAAAGGCGCCTCGACATTGAATGGATGTATCCCCGTCAGTCGTATTAGCCGGGGGTCCCGAACGACATGGTTGTCAGGAGTCTTCAGGTCCTCCGCGAGTACCTTGTTGTCGGGTTTGCACCTCGGCGGGAGTGGATAACACCGTGATGCCTTGTTGCCTGACCTGTCGACATGGCACGGTGACTCGGCAATCTCCGAATTACTGTTTCTCCTACTCGAAGCGCTGGAGACCTTGGTTGAATCAGGCGGGCTGGGCGGCAATTGGGGATTTGACGATGTGTGAGGGCCCTTTTGGAGACTGTCAGACGGACTTGAGACCTCCATGCTGTAGGTGAGAGGAGTAACAGAAAAGGCGCAAATCAGATAAGGACTTCAATGAGCAGTTGCTGGTGTACCGCTTATATGCAAGAATACACGCGAGCAAGAGTAGAATGGAGAGGCGGATTATGCCTCAAAGAAGGGTAAGCAATTCGATAGGTGAGAGTCCGGGGCAGACAGGACAGCCAACAAGCTGTTTGAAACGTTTTCGCATGGGCAAAAAGAGAGAAGAAACCGATCGAGGGTTCAAACACACATGGCTGCCGTCAAGATTCTAGATATGGCTCAATGAGTGAGTGGGTGATCGGAGATCCAAACCCCAGGTCCACCAGATCGCCAGCCTTCCATCGACCTCCTGCAAGAGGTAATTCGGCCTGGTATGGTGTAGCACTGCGTCGCTATGCAGGAAAATGGCCCAAAGCTCTCGTTGGCCGGAGCCCGCGATAACAGCCCGTATACCAATGATATGACAATACAGTTGGACTTCCCCCTCGGCGATGTGCCACGCCGCTTCAGGGGAGCCTCACCAAGACGAGCTCAGAAGCCATTGTAATTTGACGACGTGTGTAGATCAGTAGTCTTCCCCGCGGACATGCTCTTCTCCTGTCTGCCATGTCTGCGTGGGACTCTTTCTGGCCTTATCAGACGCCATGAAAGTCGGTTGGTAAGGTCGGCGATGCAGCGAATCATGACTCCTGATAAGGACGAGAAGTCGAGTCTCGGCGGAGATGTGTGAATCGGCTAGCACTCAACGGACCGATACACCGGTGAGTTAGGTAAGCCTGTGGTGTCCGCGGCCCATATATATGTATATATATCCTCAGGGTCAGCCACCCAGTAGTAAAAGTAGGAATGGAGAAATTGGCGTCCATTAAACTTATGATCCACTCATGACAGGATGAGCGCGAAACTTCGCTGGCCCCTTGAATGTTTTTGAGAGCATCTCGCAGAACTTTGAGCAACACCTTCTTTCGGTGGATGTTGTTTATCGAGGTATCTACTCACCTCACCTCCTCACAACCGTTTCCGTACCGTGACAGCTTGCTATTCGATCAAGTAGTTCGGCTCGGTCATGAGGTGTTCCTCCTTTCTTTCGTCCCAAGTCTGATCGAAGGTAAATGTAGATGGGGTCGAACTTACAACACGCTGCTTGAAGCATGTTCTGTGTTGTAAGGTTTCAAAACAAACGTTGTTGTCCGAAGGAGTTGAATACACTGTTCCATGATGATCAGCTGGCGTTGCCTGGTGTGGTCGCGAATGGCCGCGAAGACCATGTTCAGCCAAGAGCTTCAGGCTGTCTGGGTGTCCCCAACTGCCATAACTTCTTAATAAGGGTCTCGAGACGCAGCCAGAAACGGCATGGATGTGATGTACCCAGACAGAGGTCTTCAATAGGACACCTTCTGTCCAGTCCCATCAGCTTCGTTGCGAAAACAATCCGAGAGTTTCGAGCAAGCGTGTTCCCAGAGGTCAATTCCTCCAAGGTCCATGATAGGTAGTAGCATGTGACAGAATAGGGCAGCGAAACCTCGCATGTACTGGCCAGATTGAAAATGCAGGTGGTTTAAGCCGTATGTGAAAGTGAGAACCTTGAAGTCCAACACCTCAAATCGAAAAGATGCATCATGTCCCAGTCTCCAGCTGCGCGTTGTAAATCCAAAGGATACAGTGGGACCTGGACCATACTACCATCAAGCGACGCACGCCTGTGCTGCAAGGCTGATGAACCAGAAACCACCCCCGCCAGCATCCATTCAGCCACTGCAGGTGGGCATCGACCCCGCCACAGCCTTCCAATAGGTACCGTAGTCGTGCCCAGGCGCCTGCATTCAGCACCTGGCACCTGTACTCAGTGGATTGACCTCACTGACAACCCCAAATTTCTCTCCCGAGGTCCACCTTGGGCTCTCTGTAACTTCCACCAGATCCAGAAACCAGACACTGCCAGATCTACCGTCCTGCCGGCGTACTTTGTACCCTCATCTGTCTCGACGCTGTTGATTAGCTCTCATCTCTCCGTTCGGCCATTTCTTTGCGCCAGAGTGTCACGAGTGGACTCGGGGAAAACCCGCATTCAGTCACCACCGACTCGATCCTCCCGCAAACTCGCTTGAGGTACCCCAACTACGACCACAACCACGATCGCCAAATCCCCGTCTCGACCACCCTGCCGCCCTGCCTGGTGTCTCCATTCAGGGCAGAGTCTCCTCCACCTCTCCACCGATGCCGAACGAGGCTGATACGCCGTATCACTCCCACTACTTGGGGCGCTTTATCCCTTAGCAGCGGCCGTCTACCTTTGCGAATGTAGCAATTGATTGCGACCGGTCTTTTCTTATTCAAGGAGCTGTCCAATATGGACCGCTCACGGAAACGTGCGTTTGTATCATGACGCGCTGCACCCCAGTCGGCCCGCTTACAGTATCCTAGGCGAGCTGATGTCTCTCAACCAGCGAGCATGGAACGGAGAACCAGGTAAGCCTGGCGCAAAGATATAGTCTATCATGGCACATCATTGACAGCAAGCCAGATGTGTTCCCCGTCGGTTCTTCCCTAGACTCTTCGCTCAAGAAGAATACCGCCTTCATCAAGCGATTGCGCACCGCCGTAACCTCCGCGACTCGGGACACCTTCCTACAAGAAATACGAACCCTGAGTCTTACCAAATATCTGTCCGAAATCATCTCGGCCTGCTATGAGGGACTGTGCAAGCTCAAGACACAAGGAGAGATCGACGCCGCCGTCGAGATAGTCAGCGCTTTGCACCAGCGGTTCGGCCCAGCCGACTTTACCGAGTATCTAGGATGGCTGCTTGGGAAGGGCATGGCCACACCAGACAAAAGCCTGCTCAAGACACTGGCGCCGGAAGTCCGCGAGAAGGAAGAGAAGGAACGCCTAGTTCGACAGCGAGCTCTGCTGCGAGTCATCACCGAGCTGTGGCTCGTGGGTATACTGAGGACCTTGGACGATGTGAGACCGGACGATGCTACACGTGGTGTCAACGGAAAGAATGCGGAGCTCAAGATCAAGTCGGCTAGCTCTACAAAGGGCGGCGGTGCTGAACCCTTCCCCCTTGAGGTTCTCAAGGATCTGCTAGGACACGACCGGGAGCACGTCAACCTGCCGCTTTTGGTCATCTTCGTCAAGTCATTCAGCTGGGATATCTTAGGTGTCAAGTCTGCTGGCTCTGAGGGCCGCAAAGCTGTCGGGGAAGATGGCGCTACGAAGTCTACCGAAGGCCGAGACGAAAGTAACGGCACCCTGGTCGACGCTCCTTTCGCAAGTCCCGAGATGCAAGAGCGGTTCAAGAACATCTTCAAACGATATTTTGAAGACGTCAAGAGTCACCTTCTGAGAGACCAGAAGAGCATTGTCGCACAAAAGGGTCGAAACTCGGAAGCCTACGTAAAGTCTGGAGAAGTGTTCGAGGATCGCCAAGCCAATTTCGAACGGCAGCTGAAGGCTCAGGAGCGTCTAGCCAGCAATGCGCAGGTGGTAGCCGATGCGATCGGGGCGGAGATGCCAGACCTGAAGGAGGCTGGTGACGGCTTTGCGAATACGAATGGCTCCATCGGCCTTGTCAAGACGGGAGAATATCTACGGGGACAGAGCGAAGGCGCTGGCATCTGGGAAGATGATGATGAGCGTCGCTTCTACGAAAATCTGGTAGATTTGAAGGGGAAAGTTCCTGGCATACTTCTCGAGGACGGCAAGAAGAAGAAAATTGACCCTGATGAGCAAGTTGGCAAGAAAGCTGACAGCGCTGAGCCTTCAGAAGTCGCCAAACCTCCGGAAGCAACCGACGACCAATCTATAGCTATCGCCAACAAGACGATTGGTGCGCAAGTCGACGTTCTCTTGACAAGGCTCCCGGAGCTCACGCACAAGGATGTGGTAGATCAAGCAGCCATCGACTTCTGCTTCTTGAATTCCAAGGCATCCCGGAACCGGCTTATCAAAGGTCTGACCGAGGTCCCCAAGGGACGTACGGATCTGTTGCCATTCTGGTCACGCCTCGTAGCCACTCTGGGAAGATACATGCCAGACGTACCCAAAGGTGTCGTCGAGTATCTCGATACCGAATTCCGCAGTCTTCAGCGCCGCAAGGAGAAGGACTTCCTGGGACAGGTCCGACTAAGCAATATTCGATATCTTGCTGAATTGACCAAGTTCGGCATTGTGCCCGAGCACGTCGTCTTTCATTGCTTGAAGGTCAGCTTGGACGATTTCTCCAGAATGAACATTGAGATTATCTGCAATCTCCTTGAGAACTGTGGAAGATACCTCCTACGCAACACCGATACTTCTCCCCGTATGGTTACTTTTTTGGAGACGCTCCACCGCAAGAAATCAGTGCAGCATATCGGCCAGCAGGAGCGTATGCTCATCGAGAATGCAATATACTACGTGGACCCACCCGAAAGAGCCTCCATTCAACAGAAGGAGCGCACGCCTACCGAACTGTTCATTCGGAAGCTCATCTACGTGGATTTGACGAAGCGCAACTACACCAAGATTCTCAAGCAGATTCGACGACTCCACTGGGAGGAGCCTGAGGTGAGCATAATCAGGAACGGGACTTGGCGGACTACTTGCTAATGTATACAACAGGTGGTAGCAATACTCGCCAAGATCTTCTCGAGGCCTGCCAAGGTCAAGTACGGCAGTGTTCACATTCTCGCGATCCTCCTGAGCGCCATTTATCGTTACCACCCCGACTTTGCCGTCAAAGTCATCGAGACTGTTGTTGATAACGTGGTATTTGGACTGGAGCAGAACGATTTCAAGTTCAACCAAAGACGTCTTGCGGAGGTCAAGTACATTGGCGAGCTGTACAACTACCGGATGATTGAGCATCCTGTGGTCTTTGAGGTCATGTACAAAATCACGACGTTCGGCCATAGTATGTCACCCTGCACGGACTTCTCGGTAGTGTATTCTTACTAACGGACCTAGGTGGCCCTCCAATCCCTGGTCGTATCAATGCCTTCGATCTGCCTGACGACTACTTCCGCATTCGTCTCGTCGCTACAATACTTGATACTTGTGGCATGTTCTTCAACCGAGGAGCAGCGGGCAAGAAGCTTGACTACTTCCTTTCCTTCCTCCAGGTTTGCTCAATCTCCTCCTTGGCAGAAGCACTTGCTGATCTATTCATAGTATTACATATACACCAAGCCACCCCTGCCTATGGACATCGAATTCATCGTCCAAGACACCTTCTCCCTCACAAGACCGCAATGGAAACTAGCCACCAATTTAGAAGAGGCCTCAAAGGCATTCCAACTTGCGATAGCTCAGGACCAGAAGAACGCAGGACTGGATAGAAGCGCAGACCATGATGATGCTTCCAGCAGTTCATCTTCCGACGACGAAGGCGCAGAAGGTGATGGCGATCTCGTCCTTCCTGAGGCCGATGGTGATGAGGATTCAGAGCTTGCGGACGATGACGAAGTATGTTACCATGCAGATTCCCTACCTCTGGTGAGCTATTCTAACCATAATTCGCCGTGACAGGAGCTCGACAACCCTCAATCCCACGGAAATTCTGAATCTGAAGAAGAGGCGATCATTGTCACCAGAGAGGCAGAGAAGCTTGATCCAGAGGCTGAAGCAGAGTTCGAGCGTGAGTATGCGAAAATGATGGCTGAGAGCTTAGAATCCCGAAAATTCGACCGCAAGCCGTTGTTCGATGTTCCCCTACCTGTTCGAGGGAAGACCCGCGAGATCCCTACGGGTACGGAACCTGAAGAAAAGAAGGCCGAGGGGACCCCAAACACCATGGCATTCTCCCTCTTGACAAAGAAGGGCAACCGGCAACAGGTAAGAAACCCTCTACGACCAGTCGACGCAAGCACTGACTCCTACAGACTCGCACTGTGGCAATGCCTTCCGACTCCACCTTTGCAGTGGCTATGAAAACCCAACAGCAAGCAGAACGAGAGGAGCAGCAGCGGATCAAAAACTTGGTCCTCAACTACGACCTTCGTGAGAGCGAAGAACCAGATGGTGATACCCTCCTGACAACCCTAACCCCCAACACAAATATTCACACCGCCAAAAATCCAGGTCACGAGAAGCCGCCCGCCTATCACCCCAACCGCCTCGAGAAACCAAAAGAACGTGGCGGACAGCGGGTTCGCAGACTCCAACTTAGCGATGTTGACTGGTATGACAAGACCCGCAAGAACAACAATGCCCCACAAAAGGGGCCAGAGTCAAGCGCTCTGTCTCCGGGCGGCGCGTGCGACGAAAACACGCGTTCGCAGGACCAAGAAGAGGAAAGCACCAAGGACAAGCGTCCTGTGCCTTCTGCAGCGTCTCGATCCCGCCGATGGGGTCAACGAAGCCGTACGAGACGCTGAAGAAGCATCCGTTTTCACCAAGGATGAAGCTAACACGTTGACTCTTTCACCGCCTTAGGACCTGATATCAGCAGCTCGTTTATTGGGAATGCATCACACATCATACACATGAGCCTTACCACAGAGTCCCGGCGATCTCCTGAGTAAAACCAACAGTCCTGTTGGCAGGAGTGCTACTCTGCTCTCTGATCACACGAGTCTGTCGATTACAGACGGATGTAATGGGGACGCCAGACGCTACAAGTCAGGCCTACGTAGTGAGCCGATGGCTTCGACGCCGATTCGGCTGAGACTAGCGTACGCGGAAACTATAGCCGGTCGGAAGCAAGAGGTCCGCCCGACCATAGCGGTGGTGAAGCTGGGGAATATTTTTTCTCGGTACCCGTTCGTCGATGACCTTGCTGATACGAGTTTGCCCTGTTCCCCATGCCGTCGCTACGCCCATAGCTCATGCACCATATGCAGGTTACTCTGCTGTGCCGAGCTCATGAGAAGGGAGATGGACTTCGGAAATGTTCTCTGCAGATTGCTTGCGATGATCGCGTCGCCTCGTTGCATTCACCTCGAGTACAGCTTCTAGCTAGCTAGTACAAAGTCACTCGTTTACCTAAGCACGCAGCCCCATGTGATATGTGTCTTCCATTTTTCTGTGCGAAAAGAGCCCAGCACCTTGAGAAAGCCGTCCTACTGTTGCGGCTTCTCATAAAAGGCGACCCCGGACTACGACGCAAGGGAGGTTTGTATTGGTCCCACAGCGCGAAGGTTAAGCCCGCCTGTTTCGTCTGTCCGTGGTCGACAGCGGAGGTTTTGACAGCGATGAAGGCCAATGCCAACAACATCGAAGGTGGTGTCACGATCGACTTGTGGTTCGTCGACCTCACCACCTCTGATGCCGGCCTGCATCGGGCCCGGCGCTCAACGGGTTCATATTTATACCGAGCTTCATAAGCATGGCCGCGTGGTGAAGTATGAACAACCCGTTCAACTACCTACCTCGGGATCTATATTCAGGGACGGCTTTTCCGTTTCCCCGACCTCTTTGGAGGAATAATCCTCTAGGTAGGTAGCGATGAGTACGACATGTCGATATACAAGCAGGTGGCCGATGGCGGTGACGGTAACGGTGAGGGTCAAGTCAGCATAGCAGGCAGGGCTTTTGTTAGGGGACGGCAATAACACTTTCTTCACCGCTAGATTGATGGGGCTTTGCTTGTGACCATGCCGTATCATGTCCTTCAAGATCGCCCTTGGCGACTGACGGTCGCACCGTTGAGGTCGACAGTCAACAGCATACAGAACTGTGCCGGTCCTTAAAGGGAGGAGGGAACGACCTTGGGATCGTGACCAAATTCACCATGAACACCATCAGGTACGGCCGCGTATAGGGCGGTCTATATTCTATTCCAGGCAGTCGATCCCAGCTGGTATTGAGACCCTTTATGTAGTTCGGACTCCATCAAGATACCGGAGCACCCGTACGGACAGCCACCTCATGTTTCTCATCGCTCATTTACCGCAATTTAAGGATGTTGTCATCAATCACTACTGTGATGGCATATACAGATGGAAGGAAAGGAGTCGGCCCTGCGAAGAGCTGGCTGCTGGCCTTAGCCCTGATTATGGATATGTGTAAGATGACAACGTCTCCTCGATGGCATTCGAATACGAGGTCCCTGGATTGAGCCCACCGCAGTACCTCAGGCCCGGAACGCAGGTGGAGATCAACATCAGCAAGATTGTAATTATGGGATACCAGAGGGCGGCGAAATGGCGTGGAGTCTGCTTGGTTGTGTGGGTTCAACTATTCAGGGGCGAGGGCCGAGGAGTGCAAGGAACCGACAGAGTTGATCGACTGTCCGACACCTTCGAAACAGCCAATAGGGATGAATACACAAGACATGCTTGGCCGTCATCCCTCTTGCTTGATTTTCTCATGTGAGCTGCGTCTCGTTCGGGCCGTGTCGGAGAAGCCTCCTGTCTCCCGATGGGTGGTCATAATTCGCAGTATTGTTAGTTGACTACACTACCCCTTGGAAGCAACTGACGTCAACAACCTAAGCCATCTGCTAAATCCCAGTTGCCCGACTACCGGAATCACCCAGCTGAAACCTTGATCATTAGCTGCGCCCGCCGTATAATCCGACTGCCTAGATCGTGGGCTCGGCGTTGCTAAAAACAGAGTCAAGGTCCATAGTATGAAATGCCATAGAATACCTAGGTACCGTTTCCCATACCGTCGACGTGTTGGAGTCATGTTACAAATGCCTGCATGCTTGCATGCCAACATCACCCCCGGGATACATATTGCCAATCATCGTATCCGCGGCCCGGGCTTGACTGAATGCATCGCAAAGCTCACCGCCCGGGAGAGAGGTGCCGATTGGCCGGCTTGGGAACGGGCTTTAAGGTAGTGCAGGCGGCGTTCTTCTCGGAAGTCCGTGCAAGACCGACAGATTGGGAAACTAGTCCCGTTGTCACATGGCAGCCTGAGAATGGGGAGGTCTGTCCATGCGAGCCGGTTTCCGTCTGACGGCCTGGTGCTACGGATGAGGATGACGGTGTCGTCTTGACTATTGTGTGTGATAAGAAGGTGAACACGTAGTATTTCGGTTACTGTGGATGGAAAGACCTTTACCGAGTTCACCAGGGCAGATATGCCGCATGGCTCGTTCATCGAGGCGCGAGGTAAAATGAACAGCTCTTGTTTCCGTGACCATCGTACTTTGAAGTCGGCTTTACTGTGAGTATCTTCCAGATCCATGAGCACTGCCTGAAGTGTCATGATACTGTGCAACGATAGCGATGATATTACAACTGCCATCATCGTACTCAACGTTCTGTACCGCAGGCGGCCACGATGATGGTTGGGAAGATAGATAGTTGCGAGAAGTCACATCACGATTCATGAAACATTTCCTGGAGTATTATGATGACTGTGTATTAGGCTATGTACCTGTATTAGTTCATACATCGGGCAGGCACGTCGGCCGCCGCACATTTTCGCATGGCCATCATCGCCGACCGCCAGCATCTGGACAACTACAACGCCACGCAATGCAGTTTACTGCGCGATCCAAACTCGTTGGAAACGACCTTCTTGATCGCGCCGGCGGCCTGTTGGCTCAAACCGCTCCGCCAACTCAGGTCGGTCAGAGCAACCTGCAGCTGCTCGAGGTGGCCGTTGGCCTTGAGCTCCGCGAGCATCTTGTCGGCGGCTTGGGCTGGGTCGATGCCCGAGGCCCAGATCTCGATGTCGAGCTTGTCCACCTACTCATACGACAGCACGCCCTTGTCATGGACGGCGCCGTCGACAACGTCCAGTTCGAGGTCGGTCACTGCGCCGAGCCAAGTCAGGACCACGGGTTTTTGACATTCACTTCTTTGGGAAGTAGGGCCTGTCAGAGGCAGATGGGGGGGGGGGAGGGGTTTCCCCCCTGGATATGTGATGGCGGATAGGATCGGGGTCCGAAGGGTACTAACTCAAGTCTTCCTTATACACATACTGCTTCAGAGCATCGAAGACAGACTAGATGGCTGGGGGAAGGACGATGACGTCTGCGCCGGACAGTGGAGCGTGGACGGGTGCGGCAAAGGCCCGGTACGCCAGTAGGAGAGACACGAGAGCTACACGTGAGTTCGACATGTTGGGATCTTGAGGTGATCCGGGACGAATAAGCGACGGATATATTGGTCGCGTGCGAACGAAAAAGGTATAGGGATACTTCAAGTGGAGCAGAAGAAGATATGTGCAACCAAAAGGGGGGCACGCGACCAACATTATATGTCCTATAGCCCCTGAGCCTCATGGGGTACCGAGAGAACGTCAACAGTCTACGACTATAGAGGCGCGCCGTTGCTAACTCGAAAGCCTACTCTTAGAAGATACTCGGTCCGAGGATGGATCTTCTAGTAGCAAACGTGGGAGGCTGGGAGCGTGTCCTAGCACATGGAAATGCATGGCGCTGTAGTTAAAGTAGTTAGGTATGAAAATCAACGTCGGGTCAGCTAGTGGTGAGGAGGTCATTGACCTGATATAAAACACGTCTTATACACTTCCCAATTGCAGAGGCATAGACCAGCTGTGTAGCCGGGGGCTCGCATTGTGTGGGGCCGAAGCCGGGACCGCGGAGGGCTAAGGGGCGGAGTTCCGGGTAACCTTGGTTATCCTCTTGTGGCCCGACGCCTCCAACACTCCCCGTGGGTCACTTTGCCCAGAGGGCCGAGGTCGAGTCGCGATGCTCGGGGCTCGCAGAAGCAAATGTAAAGCAAATGTAGGACTCGAGCCTCACGCTCCCACGAGACCGAAGCGCAAGCATTGTTAATCTTGAACAATCATTGTCTGTTACTACCGAACCCCTTACGGCAGACTCGAAGTATTCCATCAATTCGCTATTCAGCCATGCGCGCCGCCAACCTTCAGTGCCCTGAACGCCTTCCCAATCCACCCCGACAAGTCCGAAGGCTGTTGCAACACCGCCGGCGTCAGCACGTCCTCACCATTCGGCCGCACACTCTGCCAGTTGTGGAACACGTCCTTCGGATCGTACTTCGCCTTGATTATTTCCAGCCGGTCCAAGTTCGAGCGCCAATACTCTTTCTGACCATCCGGTAACTCTGGGTCCACGTAGCCCGCATAAGCCCCGAAGTCGGTATTCTCGTTCGCCTTGGCCATCTCACTCTTTATCAGCTGGTTCAGCCCGCGCGGGAAGTCCGTCGTCGTGTTGGAGACATTTTGGCCGAGCTTGTCACTGATGGCGTACGATTGCAAGTAAAACAGAGCGTCCCGATGGGCATAGGCCGTCGCATCCATGGGCACCTCGTTGACTTTGCCACTTGCGAGATCGAAGATGGCGAACCAGACATCCTTCTTGGTGGTCTTGATATACTCGAAGATTTTGTCAATGACTGCATCGGGGGTGGGCTGGTCACCGTTGAAGGTCAACGTCTTGGTATAAGAATGTGCCGGGATGCCGCCCCCAAAGTGTAGTGCGATGTCCTCCGCCCAGTGCTCAACTAAACCCAACCACTCGCGGAAGACAATCGTGCCCTCGGCCTGGCTTGAGATGGGAAAGCCCGGCCCCTTCGCAAATTCATCGAACTCCGCCTTCGTACCGAAGTATGTCCCACTGATGGCCAGCCCGGCCTCGGTGATAGTAGCCGTGCTCGCGAACTTCCAGTCCAAACTCTTGTCCAGGACGAACTTCTGCCAGGCCTTGAACGCCTGCGCCATGTCGCCCCATGTACCGGCCGTGAACGAGAACCCATACTGCACCGCTTCGTCCGGCGTGAGCTCAGTATGGACTACGAAATCCGTGATGATGCCAAATGAAGCCGCCGCGCCCTTCAAAGCCCAGAAGAGGTCCGCGTTCTCCGCCGTCGAGGCACGCTTGATACTGCCGTCAGCGAGCACCACCTCCACCTCCTCGATATGGTCCAACGCCGCCCCGAACAGCCTCGAGCTCGGCCCGAGTCCGCCTATCGTCGCATGGCCGCCGATACCGACTTGCGGGCATGTCCCGTGCGCCATGGCGCGGTGGCGCGGGTCATGCACGCGTTTGGTGAGATCGCCCAGCAGCGTTCCCGCTCCGACTGTTGCCCACCAAGTCTTCGGATCCATCTCGAACTTTTGGAAGTGCTTCAGGTCGACGATGATGCCGCCATCTGGGGAGGAGTATTTGGCATAGCTGTGCCCGCCGCTTTTGGCTTGCACCTTCAAACCGGCGTTCGCTGCGATCTTGACGATTGCGGCCACTTGCGCGGTTGTTTTCGGGTATGTGACAGCTATTGGGGTGGTGGTGATGTCGAGGTTATACCGGCGCACGTGCTCCGATTGGTACCCTAGTCCGAAGGGAAAGGCGTATAGAGATACATCGTGATTCAGCGCTTCTTGGATCTCCTTGACAACTTTGCTTTGGAATGCACCCATCTTACTTTTCTTCCTTGAAGTAGCAATGGGAAATGGAAAGCTGCGAGGGCACGAGAAACAGCAAGCGGATGGTCGAGGAAACCCTTGCAAGGCTCTCACATCAGACCATAGAATGGCGAGAGGTCCTATACGTATGTTACCTGCATCGCCGCAATCGGTGCGCTGAACAAAGACAAGGCCGGGCGATGTGATGGTGATGGTGATGTTTATTAAAGGGGCTGAGACAATGCCCGTCTACGCTCACCACTCGCCAGCTTTCCGCTCGTAAGCTTTACTGTATGCGGGAACTCATCTATATAATCAATTAAATTATATATTGCGACCGCTCTCACACATCACCGTTCCCACAGGGGGCTGATGGCCACCCTCGTAACGGCGTGGTAACTAGTCGTCAGGGGCTTGATGGGCAAACAGAGATGCGGTCTTATGACAACTCCCACTGTGGCCGACCACGTGCAGATGGTCCCCTGGGTCTTCGTGCCGTGCGGTAGGTACAAACCAATGATATCGCACTGAATGACCAAACCCTCCGGTATTGCAGTGAAGAATCCAATGCCTGCATCGCTGCGTGACGTGTGTTGGGATTGGCACTGTGGCAAGGTGTTTGCCGCTACTGTAGCAAACATCTCCATGGACCTGTTTTCGGTACGTACCTCACCATCGCAATCCCCTCGCACTGTCTACACTGACGCATGGCCTGGAAGTACCGATTATCTGGACGACATCAATGCCGGAAGCCATAGTTGGCGCCAATCAGTGTCCCAATGCGGTCCGGTCCGGTCGGTCTTGGCGATCAAGAATCTTGCCCCTATCGAACCCCTATTGGCGCTTACCGGCCAGCCAACCTCTGTACGCCTCGACTGATTGTATGAACTGAAAAACACACTGGGCACTTTGAGATTGACAGTGTCCTGGAAAGTTCAATTGAAAATCACTAATTACAAGCACCTGTGGAAGCCTCTAGCAGATATAGTGTGATTAACCCAGGATGTGTGCCTTGCGGGGGACCTTCGCTTGTGGTCTACCAGGTAGCAAGCTAGGGGACAGCTGGACCTCCTTCTGTCCAGATCGGAAGAAAGGTTACTGGGGGCTGGACGAGTGAGTACCGTATCAATCAACCATAGGCCTTGTCACGGGGGCGGCAGGGCACCGTCATGATCAGGACGCATGCTATTGAATAACACTGTACCGGTTTGATTGGTCGCATGCTGCTTCGATCAGACCGCAAGTCAAGATCCTGTCACCAGTCACCAGTCACCACTCATGGAGTTTCGGTATGTCGTCGACTTGACCCTTGTTCACGTGCTCTCATCACATTGAGACTCTCGCTGTTACTGTAGGTGAAAGGGGTGCCAATGACCAGCGTCTTGTCCCATAATGGCGGTATGGTTGTCCGATTCATCGGAGAATAACGTAAGAATGTGAGCATGACACATTGATTGACTACCCAGCCGAAGGGCACGTCCCAGCAGACTTGTGTGCAGCCATTGGCCAGGTCAAGAGCCAGCACAGGCGATGTCGTAGGTACAATGACTAGTATTGTTTGCTTCGGCCAAACACCTGACAAGCAGTAGGCTGTGAAGACCAGACGGCAAAGACGCAATTGGCCCGCAGTGCTGAATGAATTGAATGAAGAACCTGGCCCAGGTCGCCGCCATTCTGGCCTGTATGGTGCGCTCATGATTCCGGCGACAGATTCAAATTATAAACATCTGGAGGGACTGCTGTCTCTTCCCTCTTCCTTTCTTCTCTTTCAAGACTCAAGATCGCGACATTCTTCCACGTCTGCTTCTACACCACTTTAGCATATAGCCGTCCAGATCTTCACGATTACCGTCCTGGCCTTCTTTCATCATCGACTCGGCTCCGGAATCTTCTCTCTTTGTCTTCACTGCTATCTTCAGCCTCCTCCTTCATCTCCAGCATCACCGTCTCCGGCATCACCGTCTCGAGCTTCTCGTCTCTGGCATCTTTGTCCGTCACCACCGTCGGTGTCTTATATCTCCTCCAACGCTGCCAACCTTGACAGCTATCTCCGCCGTGCACGTCGTCACGATCACCGTCTTGATCTTCTTTCACCGACTCCGGAACCTTCTCTCTCCATCTCCACTACCATCTTCTTCCTCTCCATCACGTCTGTCAATCCTTCATCGCCAACCTTGATCGACGTCCTCGCCGCCAGCACAGCTCTCCAGCCGCGATCGTCAGCCGCATCTGACAATTGCTTCCATCATCATCCTCACGCCAGCCAGCCGCGTTTATCAGCCACGCCCTGACCCGCGTTGATCATCTTCTTTCACCATCTTCCCCACGTCTACAAGTTTTCTCCAATACCCCATCCAATATTCTCTCCCACCAACATTATATATCTTATCCTCTCTCACCAATATTTATCCATCATCTATCATCCATATCCATCATCCAACTACTATCTACAATGGCTCAACCTACCAACTTTTCCGCTGGCGACGATGACCGTCACTCCTCGACAACCATTCCGGCCATGCTTTGGCAGCAATTGGGCGGGGGTCACGACTCCGAGGTAAAACCCATGTCCTGTTCACTGTCCACACCGTGAAGCCCAATATGCTGACCGGACTCATTGCCAGACCTTGAGCTCGCCTGGTGGCTCGCGGGAGGGCACCCACGATACTCGTGGCGTCACCGTCTATGTCACCGGTGATGACGAGATCGCGCACTTGCGTGAGGAGAACCAGCGCCTGCGCGAAGGCTGCGATACGCTCTGGCACGAGAACGAGTACCTCCGGTACGAGAACAACTGCAGATGGGAAGAAAACGAGGCACTACACGCAGCAGAAGGCCACAACCTGGCAGTCATTCGGTCCCTTGGGGCCGAGAACATCAGTCTCCAGGACCAGAACACTGACCTCCGGGAGGAGAACACCAATCTCCGTGATGAGAATCTGGGCCGGTGGGAGGAGAACGAGGTTCTTCACTACAACGAGGAGCACCATCTGGCCATCTTGCGATGGTACCTCGTGGTGCTTGCCATGACCATTGGACTCGCCGTGGTCATCGAACAAGAAGACGTCGCGAAGAAGACCACGGCCCTCGACCAGCTGTGCGAGCTCCGATACGAGAACACGAAGTTGTGGGCCGAAAACAACAGAGTCGGCGAGGCACTCGGTGCCACAAGAACCGAGAACGAGCTTCTGCAGTCGAAGCTCCGTGAGCAGGAGGAGGCTCACGACCAGGAGGTGGAGGAGATAGAAGCTCGCATTGCGGAGCTGACCGCCGCATTGAAATGCGAGCAGGTCCGCGACAGCTTCCGAGCGGCTGGGGCCAGTATGGCTGCTAGGATCGAGCAACCGCGCAGCCCCTTGCAGTCACCACCGCTGGCGAGACGTTGCTGCGACTGAGGCGGCTGTTGCAGCCGCTTCAAGCTCGCTGTCGCCGATATTGTCAAGCTCGCCGTCGCCGGTATCCAAAGCAGGCTTTCTCGGCACGCCCAAAGCTCAGAGCCAAAGCTCAGGTACCTTACATTCTCCTCACCCGGCCCACCGAACACACCCGTCCCTATCCCGGCCTATCGCCAACCTCCGCCAGCTACCTCAGCTTCGTTCGGGGTTGGCAACGTTGATCCCAGCCTACATGCCCAATGTAGGGGCGTCGCGCGTCTTCTCGTCACGTACACCACGAACGCGTTCCCTGGCGAGTATATCCCCAGTGTAGGTCTACCTAGAGCAATGGGACTTCCCTGTAGATGTAATTACTGATACTGGACGGTTAGGTTCGACAATTATACTGCCAGTGTTATGGTCGACAGCAAGCCGATCAGTCTGGACTGTGGGATACTGCCGGATAGGAGGACTACGATCGACTGCGACCCCTCTCATACCCCCAAACCGACGTCTTCTTGATTTGCTTTCGCATTGTCAGCCCACCTTCGTTTAACGAAGTCTGTGGGATGGGTGCAGCGGGCGTGATGGGTGGCGTTATGTGGTTATTTCGGTATTGGGAGGAGGAGCATCTGAGGCGGAGGCAGCAAGGGGATGATGCAATGTGTCGACCACCAACGAGTATGGTGGTTCCCATATGATGAAGTATCTCGTTGATTTCATATACCAAGTTTCTCCATACTCGTTTCAGATGTGAAAAGTGCACTATATTGCTACATTAAACCCTCATAAGTCTCCTTATATGCACTACCCTTTTAGCAAATATCGGTATATTTATCAAATCGGAAATTCGGAAATTCGAAATAAGCACACCGGAATAAGCATTAACAATGGCATATCAAACTAGAGCTGCTTATTTTTGTCTGCTTATGCCATTATTCCCAAATCTCTACTGTGGTCTGGAAACCTTCCAGCATGGTGCATACGGAGAGAAAAGTGGAAGCCATCACCAAGCGAACACACGGACCACACAGATTATTATGTCAGCCATGTGCATAGTGTCTAATCCAACGCCCTGTGTGTCGGTAGCAGATCTGCCTGTATCACGTGCCAGAGATTATGTGCCCCACCACGGCTACGTAGTGTGGTTCTGGTGTGGTTCATCTTGGCATTGCGCTGGCCGTACTCTGTGCTCTGTGCTCTGTCTCTTGTGCCTGTGCCCCTGACGACGGCCAAGTGATCCACTGTCCAAAGCTGAGGTGTGCTTGATTGCTCGTTCGCAGTGATAGCCAACATTGACCAAGGCTGTCAACTCTCATCCCCTTCGAACAACCCGTCATTTTGTTGTCTGTTCAAAGCATCAACATCCGCGAAATATATACAATCAACCTCAGCCGCCATGGACAACTTCAAGGCTTTCGGCAATAGCCTGAGGTATGTTGAGCTTCTGGAACGCGACGAGCTGGATTTATGCTGATGCGATACCTGGGTAGCAACATTGGCTCCCAGATCACCCCCTTCGCCTCCCGTACTTTCCAGCAGGCCAAGGAGCAGCTGGGCCAAGCTGAGGATAAGGTCGGTATTCCTGATCAGGATTCGAAGATCCGCTAATAGTTGTTATCTACAGACTCAGCTCCCTCCCGACTATATCGATCTGGAGAAGCGAGTGGATGCGCTCAAGCAGGTTCACCAGAAGATGCTTGCTGTGACGTAGGTGCTGTCCCTGCACTCTAACTCTAGATCATGGCTGACCTGATTCTTGCAATCCAGCTCCCAGTACGCCAACGAAGCCTACGACTACCCACCCAACATCAAGGAGACCTTCCAGGATCTCGGCCGCACCGTCAGCGAGAAGGTCCAGCTACTTTCGACTGCCTCCAGCCCCGCCGAAGCCCAAGCTGCCCTGACCGCACCTCCCTCCGCGAAGCCGCAACCCAAGACCTTCAACCACGCCATTGCGCGTGCCAGTCTGGCCAGCTCCCAGCTCCTACATCAACAACACACCGGTGCTGGGGAGGATCCTCTTGCCACTGCGTTTGAGAAGTATGCGCTGGCTGAGGAGCGAGTCGGCGAGGCTCGCCTTGCCCAGGATGCGCAGATCCAGAGCAGATACCTGGCTGGCTGGAACACCACGCTGAACACCAACCTGATGTTCGCCACGCGCGCGCGCAGGAACGTCGAGAAAGCTCGTCTGACTCTGGACGCTGTCAAGGCTCGCCACAAGGGGACGACCTGGAAGATAGGCCCAACCTCCCCTCGCGACGAGCACCCTCCTTCCTCCGAGGAGCTCAGCCCCGAGGCTCAAGAGGAGATCGAGAAGGCCGAGGACGAATTCGTCACCCAGACTGAGGAGGCCGTGGGTGTCATGAAGAACGTGCGTTATTTACATGTCGTTGCTGAATATACCCTTTGCTAACCCTCTATTTCAGGTCCTGGATACCCCCGAGCCTCTCCGTAACCTTGCAGAGCTCATTGCTGCTCAAGTTGAATACCACAAGAAGGCTTACGAGATCCTGAACGAGCTTGCTCCAGTCATCGAAGGCCTTCAGGTTGAGCAGGAGGTCAGTCGCAGCAAAGAATTCCAGCCATAAGTCCATCTTCCTAACCACCCCGGCACTTCAGGCCAACTACCGCAAGAGCCGCGAGAGCGCGTCTTAGGCAAATGATACCCCCTATAGCCCAAGCGACATGTCTATGAAGCACTGTTGATGTTTGGGCTTTTACTCGAACAACCTGGACCTGCTGTTCATAGGTGCTGAAGGAGACGGATATGTGCGGATTTGTTTAATTTCTCTTTTACTTGTGGCACACACACCTTGGGACTCGGAACAAGTCCGCTGTAGGAGAAAAATGTTAAGCCTTCTGTAGCTTACAGTAGCTTTCAAGTGGACGATCACTTTCCATTCTTACCCACCAAGTCGCCTTCAGGTCGTCAATTGACTGGGAATTGCACATTGCGCTGCGGCAGTCAGATAGCCCCCAATGATGTAATGAAGGCTCTAAAGGATCTCCAGTGCTACCTGGCTGCCATGCTGATGAGGCGAGCCGTCCTAGATCCTCCCAAAGGCGTTGATCAATCCTTCAGGACTCCAGCCAAACAATTGGGCTATGCGGACGGGCACAGCTGACATAGCCTCAAAATAGCGTCAAACACGTTCTATTTCCGGGCTGCGGCCTACCGGGGTACCACCACGAGACAACCGTGTACTTTAAAACACCATGGCTGCCTACATACGTATATACCATGGTCATATTGTATGTCATTTGAGCTTGCAGATGGCAGTTCACCCAAAGTTCGATCTATGCACATACCTCCAGACACAAACGCAGCAATGAATGACCACGGCTCAACAATAGTGGTCTCGAACACAACAGACCTGTTGTCTAGCAAGAAGAGCAACGATGTCTACATACCGCCAACAACGACGAGGTGTTTACCTGGCAAAGCCTCACAGCAGCCCGCACAACATAACTCTTCTTACAACTGGCGGATATGGCGGCACGCGAAGACTCGCCTGGGTTGTGTTGTTGCCATGCTTTTTAGTGGCGAGGCCTTCGTCGGCCTTGTGGCCGGCAGTCTTCTGACGACGCTGCTGGACGAAAGCTTCCGCAGGAATGGTCCTGTCGGACCTGCCGAGGTTTTTGTCGTCAATAGAGACGGGATTTTTCACAGTATCGAGGACGGCGGGCAAATGCCAGGGCTCGACCTGGACACCACCAGGATCGTGCCCCGGCCGTACTCGCACGCGCCCTTTCTGTACACGATACTGCTGCAGTGCCTCATCGTCGCCGCCGTGAGCAGCGTCTGGGCGCTGCCGCGGGACAAATACGGACACCTCCCGCCCGTGGTCTACGGCTCGATGCTGCTGCACCGGGAGCAGGTCCGCGCCGGGCCGACGCACCGGAAGTGCATTCTCGCGGCTAAGATTGTGTTGTTGGTGCTCTCGGTCGCTGTGCTTTGGATCTGGGCTGGGATGCCGGCTGTGCACCGCGCGAACCTGGGCGCGGATTTGCGGTATATCTCTTCTGTTGGCAGCAGCACCGAGCAGACCAGCACGTTTTTGTTTTCGATCCGGACGCTGGTTTTCGGCTACGCCCTCTTAGTTTTCGACGCCCTGGCCGCGGCATGGGCATACGCGGCGTGCGCCGTCATGGCGGCCGTGGTGGCCATGAACCTCCTGGTCTGTTTTGCTTGGAGCCCGACACCCGACATGTTCACGGTCGCGGAGCTGCGCGCGCTGGCGCGGGCGGAGGAGGCCCGGCGGCAGAAGATCGACGGTGGTGGTGCTGGTTACTGGGCGGATGAGGAGGCGGTTGATCTGGCGCCGCTGGGGGTGGTTTGGAGGGTGCAGGAGGCGCTGGCGGGGTTGGGGGAGCGGATGGTGGTGTTTGCTGGGCGGACGTGTTGATACTAGGGGATGAAGTGTGAATTGATCGTATGCTTGAGATATGCTGCGCCTTCTGCTGGGTCGTACATGTCCGTGTCGCTTGGTTCTCCCGATGCCATGGGGTTAATAACGATGACCAGCCTGGTCAAAGGTGGACATGATTCCTCGGGCCCGTCTCCGTGCCCGGTCAACGAGTCAAAGCAACACAGGAACCACTAAGGATGATTTGGCGACATCTTCAGTAAGGATCTTGATATTCATATCAACCAAGCCCGGTTAGGTCCGCGGTTCGATATTGCGGCCTTCTTCGCCGTGTTAGTGGATGTGGGTTTGATGAGATGAGGCGCCTCTCATTTTGGGGCCATTGTGACCAGGTTCGAGACAACTCGCATTCGCATATCTTGGGATATCGCATGAATATAGTGCCGGCGACTAGCGCATCATAGAAAATGCCGTTCAGACCATGGTTTCCGTTTATGGACTTGGCAGATGGCAGCCGGTGGTGTTCTGATGACCATATCGAATGGGAGGTTTGGGCCGCATATTATTCAGCTGTTTGAGGTACTGTATTTCCCGACTGAGCGCTTCACCTTGCTGCATATGCCGAGTGCTTGAGGAAGTCGGTAAATATGATCGAATGAGAATCACCTTGCTTCAAGACTGGAAAGCAGCCATAAACTTGTCGCCGTTGACAGGCAGACAATTGAATGCGACACAGGAGGTCCCTTGGCTCCCCAAGCTTGGTACAAAAAGGGTGCGTCTAATTGGTCAACACGGCCCCACTCACGTGATTTTGAGCTGTGACGTCCCCCAAGCTCTGAAACTCCAATTCAACAGCCCCGATTTCAGGTCGTCGACTCGCAACCGATCGAGAAATCCAACCAGACCACTCAATTCGCGCAATTGAACCACCCACCACCATGCGGCGGACACTCCGACTCTTCGCCAGCGTCAAGCCGCGCTACCTCGAGCCCGGCAACCCGACCGGCCTCACGGGCCTGTACACCCACAGCTCGCCGCGGTCGTCGCTGCTGTACCTGTACTCGCGCACCCTCACGAAACTACAACAATTCCCCGAGTCGTCGCTGTACCGCCAGTCCATCGAGGCCCTGACCAAGCACCGCCAGGCCATCGTCGAGGCCGCCGAGCCCCCCGGGTACAAGGAGTGGGCCGAGCGCGCGCGGAAGGTCCTGAAGGAGAACCCGGCCCAGTTCGACATCGTGAGCGGCTCCAAGATGGACGGCGCCGGCGCCATACAGGTCGAGTCCGACGGCGACCTGTTCGTCCACCGCGCCAACCCCCAGCCCAAGGACGTGCGCGAGGAGGAGTGGGACGGCGAGCGCGACGACGGGCCCGGCAACGAGGGCCTGAGAGGCCCCGAGGAGCGCGAGACTGCATACCAGGAGTTCCTGCTCGACCGGAAGCCCCTCGAGCTGCCGAACAAGGTCAACTGGGAGCCGGAGCCGCAGATGACGGCCGACCAGTAAGTGCACGCACTGCCGTCTCATGGTGCTCAACACGGAGTGGGACGGTGCAGGCTAACGCTGGGGGGCTAGGGTCGAGGAGATCGAGGGCAAGATCGGTGCTGGTCTGATCGAGGAGGTGGTGCAGATGGCCGAGAGCGAGCTGCGGCTCATCGATGTCATGTATGATGCTAAGGTGTAAGTGTTCCCCCTTCGCATGGCAACTTATCTGGGCCAGCCAGGCTAATCAGGTGCAGATGGGAGAGCCTCGAGGAGAAGCCGCCTGCGGGTCAATGGGAGTACTTCGAGCGATCATAATCGAAACCGTGCTTTAGTCTACTCGGAAAAGGGAGTTTTGCTAGTCCAGTCACCCATATGCGGTCTGGGGGAAAGCACTTGTATCAATAGACGATGCATTGTACATACGCAAAGTGCTGATTCAGGTCCTGACTTAGGTGCTTGTTCGTGCTCGACACAGTGAACGTCGCGCTCGACTTGGCGAGGATTTGGCCCTCCACTGCTACATCGATTGAGGAATTTGTCGGTAATAAACAATTGGTATTAAGCCTGGTTACTGCGTTGACAAATTAGCCACTGCGTCTGTGTCTGTTCCATATGCTTGTTTCTTTCTCTATCTCCGCCCGTGGAGCCCCGTCCCCTTGCCAGTCTGAGTGGAAGGCGATCCCATGTCTGTGTCTTACCTTTTTGGCGTCTATTGTGCTTAGCATGGTGGCAGCCTAACTAACTGAATCGGGGTGCAGGGGAAAGAAAGGGTATATGTAGCAAAACCAAAGCGAGATTGTCACCAGATGAGGCGGATCTGATGGGGTGTGAATTGGCTCAGTTACGCAGTCGACTGGATACGGAGCAGGCACATTGGAGATGTAGGCTTCTGCCGAACTTCTTTTTGCTTGCATTGGGTGTAGGGTTCAGTTCTTGTTCATAGCATCCTCTCCTTTTTCCCTTCTCCTTTTCTTTCCTTGGCTCCTACAGCCTCTCCTCCCCCTCCCCTCCAATCCTCACACAATATTCCGTACCTCAGCCTGCCGTGAACAAGGGGTAGGCGTACGGAGGAAATTTTCAGAACGCTTTCGCCATCTTGCTAAATTACTGTTCTACACTGTCGAGGTAACTTATACGACTGAGCTGTTCACCTACGTCTTTTCTCTCTTCAAGTCCTGACACACCGAGAACCTTAGGCTAGCTCGCTACGGATCACTCCCGTTTCTCTAACAATTGGCTCATCTCCCTACTCATCCCGGCGTACCCATCCGGATCTCCTGACTCCTCAACTCTCTGCGCATCCATTTCCTTCACCAGTTTCGGGTCGCCACCAAAGTCTAGCAGGAGTCGAGCAGCGTCGAGATTATTCCGGTCAACGGCACACCGCAAGCCAACAGTCGCGTCCGCCCCAGCCTCCAGCAGGGGCCTGAGCGCCTCGACGAAGCCGCGGAACGTGTAACCATCACCAATCGCAGTCGCGACCGGATACCGTCTGTGTCCATCCTCCTGGTCCTGGTCCGCCGCCGCCCCTGATGCTCCTCCCCCAGCCACGGCCAGCTTGCCCTCCGTGTCCGCGCCCCTCTCGAGAAGCGCCTCCACAGCAGCCAGGTTCTTAAACACGACAGCGAAGTTGAGCGGCGACCCGATATCCGGAACATCGCCGAAGAAATCGCGCAGGCCGCCGCAGCCGTCGCTGGCGTTCACGTCGAAGTGGTGCCTGTCGACGAGGTGGGCGATCATGGCCGTCGTCTTCGCGGCGTCCTGGCACCGCGCGGCGTGGTGCAGCGCGATGCTCTTGCTCGGGTCGGCGCCCCGGGACACGAGGTGGTCGAAGAGCGCCGCGTCGCCTAGGGCGGCGGCGTTGTTGAGCACGCCCAGGGTGTGGTCCCGCTCGCCGCCGCGCAGCTTCGTCCGCCCCGAGGTGCGGTTGCTGGGTTTGCTGATGTCGGCACCCTTGTCGAGCAGGAAGTCGAGGATGTACCTTTGGCCCACGAGATCTCTTGCGGTGCGTACGGTATGTCAGCTCACAACGTTAATTCCCTCTTCTCTGAGTCGCGAGTTTTTTGTTGGCTCACTCACTCTAGGATCTCGTGGTCCTTGCTTTTTATGTCGAGACCGTACTCTGCTAGGAGCTTGAAGGTCTCGAGGTCATGGCAGCGTCGCAGGACGTGCAGAGGGACCTGGTTCGCGTCGGCCCCGTGCTCGAGTAGGGCGCGCAACACGTCGGCGGGATGTTTTAGGGATTTTAGAGCTTCTGTGGCGGCTGCGGCGTCGACTTTACCTAGGCTGCAAAGCGTTCTGATGCGCTGTCCGTCTCCCACTCTAACAGCTTCCTTGAACTCATCGCTTGGTGGCATGTTGTGATCGATGCAGACGTTATGTTCGGTTGGTGGCTAACGGAGGGACCGGCGATGAAGTCGGCTTGAGAAGGGGGTACCTCTTGTACCTTCTCGGCCTTGTTCAGCAGCCAGAGGGCTGATGTCGAGGCTTAGAAGGACTTGAATATCGATCGAGAACCTGCCCTGAGCCTCCTTCCAAGCGGAATCCACCTCTATCGCATGGGAGACGCAAAAGGATTGGTTGTGTAGATGGTCCTACTTGGATGACGTCGTATCAATCTGATAACCGGTGGCAGGAGTCAATAAGGCTTCATCTGAGCGCCAGCCTGCATGTATGATGTATCTAGCATTGTTGTTTCAAGTAAGAGGAGTTTTTGGGGGCTGTTTCTGTTCCTGTTCCTGTCGGTGTCACCCCAACCCAAGCCACATGTTGCCGAGGCCCAATCACAAGGCGGCAGCGCCGCTCTCCGTACACCCCTATCTTTCACGTTCAACGTCATTTCACCTCCCATAATAGAAAGTTGTGCGCATATTCATCGTATTTGGATCATCTCGACGGAAGAGAGCAACCGATGATGGACAACGATAACACCTTATCGATCACTCTTTGGAGCCGCACTACGACAGGAGGATCTGAGGCGACGGGGGCACGAAAGATCGAGGCTGACGTTCGCATGGGATGATGTGTTTGGAAAGCCGCTGACGAAGCTTAGACGCCACATCAGATTCGCGACTTAAGCCGAGCGCCAGAGTAGTTACTATCTTTGGCATACTGAACTGAGCAATGCAAAAAGTTGACTACCTCCGAGCAATGGAATAGTCCTAGAACGAGCAAAGTTGGCTATCAGGCAAGAACATCATGATGTCCATACGGAAATAGACCTGGATCTGTACTACATCTTTCGACGTTCTGCAGAGCCTCGAACTGAGACTCGAGGCGGACAGCACGTACACCATCGCCTACGCCGCTTCCTCTTGTGCACATGACGCGAAGTAGTATCGATGATGGTGTCCTCGACCAAATGCGCCGTTCCCAAAGTCCGAGATCAGGACCGAAAGGGAAATTATGCGTCATGCTGACCTTCGGATCAGAATGTAGAGCATGGAGGATTCCTTTACTGAAGGGCTACCGTAACGCAAGCCGACGGGAATGAATATATATTGAGTGCAATGCTCACCTGTTGTTGTCTGGCCCGTTAGATCACATTACCATCATCATTGCCGCCACTGAATAAGCCTCCAACTATACCAATTCCACCTTCGCTACCTAGGTAGCTATGCTCTTCCAAACAGCACTATGGAGGCTTAGCCTGCTCGCAGGCACGGCCTCCAGCCTTGGCTTCCAGCAAAGACGTGCCCCTGATTCCGGCCTAGAAGGGCTGGCAAGCATCAAGACGTCGCAGTTCTGGGCCCGGGACGACCCGGATGAAGGAGACGTGGTCACAGATGTCTCCTGCGAGCTTCCAGTATCCGCCAGTGGTAAGTGGCAGAAAGAGAGCACCCATCGTCGACCGTAAAAAACCTGTTGCTGATCTTTCTGAATAAGACATTGCGAACTCGACGAAGTTCCGTCGTGATGCTCCGGCTGTGCTGTACACGCGGGCCAGCGAACCTCAGCCCCTGCCCAAGCCAGACAGCGACAGCGCGGATGACATGCTCAAGTTCATCCAGGACATCGAGAGCTCCGTTGGCGACACGGACGACAACGCCATCCAGTTCACGCCGACGGACGACCAGTTGCGGACATGGAAGATCGACTGGCAGGGGCGACAGACCCCTATCGGACTCACGGGCCTGTATTACGAGTTTGGGAATACGCCCCAGAATTACAAGTTTCGAGGTCAGCTGACGGGCTGCACCGCCATGATTGTTGCTGTGTGTATTTTCTTCTCCTACCCTTCCACTGGAATAGTATCAAAGCACCTCGTACGACTTGGACTCGAATTCCACTGTCAAAGTCGTTTGTTTTTGGGACGTACTTGCCAAGACCTTCCGCGCTAACCTCAGTGTGAACTTGGTGAAGTCGAAAAAGGGGTTCTGGGCTGTTCACCTATGGGAAGGATCCAAAACCGTCAACGGAGGGAGCTCCTTTACGAAAAGGATAAGCAACAGCGAAGTGCGAGAGCGGACGGACCCCGAGTTCAAGAAGCTAGCCGTCGACCCCCTGACCGCGGCCACGCCGTCGCGGCAGAAGGCCTACAGAACGCTCTTCAAGAGCCTCCCCGACCTCAAGGCCGACAACGGGGACCCCTTCGCAACCGGCGGGGATGTGGACATATTCATCCTGACCAAGGCCTCCGAGTGAGTTGAGCAGTAGTCTCCGGCCCATCCATCCATCATTGATGGCTTGAATCCGAGAAACTAACAAAGAACAGCCACTCGAACACCGCTCAGATGTACCCCAACAAAGTAGCCGCCCTCAAAGACGCCGTCAACGGCGCCATCCCGGGGTCCAACGCCATCGACCCGCGAACCTACATCGGCGCGCTCGACGACCCGACGGCGCCCGACGATGTTCAGGGCCTGCTGACGTTCCAGTACTCGCCGTACGACCACAACAAGGCCGACGACGACTGCACGCCGATGGCGGCCTTCCGCGTCTGGACCGAGGCCGACTCGCAGCCGGGCATCGACAAGTCGTGGGAGGCGCTGGAGGGTCAGCAACAGGGTGGTGGTGATGCTGGCTCGCGCAAGAGGGCTGAGTGTAAGTTTTATCTCTGCTTCTTCTTATTCGGTGGCGCATGTGCACTTGCACTTCTTGTTTTTTTCGAGAAGAGAACCGTGAATGCTGATTGATTGATGGGCTTCGTAGGCGCCCCGTCCAGCACGAGTACGACTTCTGCCTCCAGCACGACTACGACGTCTGCCGCTACGCCCACTGGGACCTGCAACAGCAAGTGCAACTGCAATGAGGACAGGTGCACGGATGACTCTCCGACATGTTGCCCTAATGGCACGTGTGACAACAGTTGCTAATTACTTAATACATATGGCCCAGGGGGATGGGGGAAGGATTGATATTCATTTGTTTTGGGGGTTTTGGGAGAGGGCTGGGCTTCTCAGGAGCTGTGGAGGGGATTTGAATTTGTCAGACTCAGGTACACTTAGTCCTTATGAGTATCCTCACGCTCATGTTGATAAGATTCCAAACTACCCATGAGGAAACCGAAAATATTGTGGCATAAGCATATAGGAATAAGCAGCTCCAGTGTTGTAGGTTCCTTTTGATGCTTATCCCAGTGTGTTTATTCCTATCACCATGGATGTATCGTTGTTTTCTGGATGGGTGGTGTACGGAGACTTATGAGGGTTCAGTGTGAACAGACGGACGTCTAGGGGTTACACCCTTGACATCAGTGCTCGGTACACTTCTGACGCTTGGAACACAGGCGTTCGGGACGAACGCTTATTTTGCTATTTTTCTATGGAAGTTGAAGAGGCAAAGTCGCTGTATTCGTGATGACATCGTAGAGGCCCCCATTGCGAGTGAGACCAGAAAAGCACGCTATCTCCTGAACAAAGCAATCAAGGAGCCCATAACCAACTCATTGTCGTGAAATGGTGGCGCGTCAGAGAGGATATGCCATATTCAGATCCAACCTCGTGTATCAGATCGTAGAACAAGTCGCCGTCCCGTCGCGGCATAGCAGGGTGCCGTTTTAGCCTCTCAAGTCTCCGATAATACCCCTCCGACCACTTGCTGTCCACTCGGTGCGTGCCTCGCCAGGGGTCCATCTCCGGCGCGTACTGACTGGCCTCAACATACATCTTCTGGGCTAGTATTGCCCTGACGTTCCGTACGTTCGCAGGTATCGAGGTGCCCGCGATGGCCACGGAGTGTAGGACGAAGATACGGCGCGAGCGACAGTGCCATTCGTACTGGGTGGTCTTTTCCACGTCATCCAGGATCTCTCGCTTGAAGAGCTTGTAGTTCTGGTAGAATCTTTGGAGCATTTTAGGAGTTTCTTCAGCTCGACCTTTGAACGGCATTCTTTGAGTATTATATGAAGGGGGACGGGGTGGGGGTAAACGATCCTGTGACGTAGCACCGGGGGCAACGATCTGTTAGGAGGGATGATGGCATCGTATACGCGCAGAGCACGCCGCGCCAATAGCCATTGTCGTTGGGTTAAGTTGAGCCGCGCCACCCGTTGTTGTCGTCGGGTTAAGTTGGACTGAATTTCTGGATTGAATGACGACATATTTTTGTTTTGATTCTGGTCGGTTGGATATGTGCATGTGGTCGAGGTGATGTTTACTCTGCCATCTCGGGACTTGAGGACAGGAAGACGGCGTGGCATCTGGTGCAACCCTGATACAGAAGGAAGAACCGAAAAAGGGTGGGTTTCCAAAGCCCTGCTTCCCATGGGACCTTCTACACCAAACTCTCATGTGTCTCGGTACACCGGTAATACCAAATCGGAATAAGCACCATGGAATAAGCATTGAGAATGATTTATCAAACCAGAGTGTTACGAACCAACAAGACCACACAGGGGAGGAGGCCCGCGGACAGGCCAGGGTTCATTGGCAGAAAATGAACGATAAGCACAACGCACGGAAGAAGGGTACTGCGACACGAGTCACGTGACCAGGGGATAGCTGGGATAGCCAACGATCCCAGATATCCACTTCATCAGTGAGGGAGAGATTAGATATATAAGGATAGACATTTCTTAGCTAGACAGATAGACAGTCTCTACCTCAGTGATCAATCTAAGCATCTTAGCCAACCCTAATGTGGGAGAAATCTCCTGACGACTCGACTATTCAGTGATCCCCCGGATCCAGACCAAGCCCCAGCATCTGAGTGTCTTCTAGTTGACAGAAGCCTCTATCGTCCTTTGTGTTAACTTACCTCAGAACATAAACCCTATAGAACCCTTTAGCCTTATAGATTAGACGGCTCGTCACACAGAGCTGCTTATTCCTGTCTGCTTATTCCAGTATTTCCAAAAATCTGAACGGGTGATTTGTTATTTTGTTACCATGCGCGCAGGGAGATTTATAATGGCTGAGTGTAGCTCTGGAATGCATGGCAATCCAGGTGAGCAGCCAAATAAACTTAGGTACAATGAACCCTCATAAGTCTCCGTACACCCGGTAATCGAAGCGTATGATATTCATGGACCTTTTTTCAATGTGGAATAACTACACTAGAATAAAGATCAAGCGTGACATATTAGGATATGACTGCTCATTCCAGGGTGCTTATTCCACTGTCTATATACTATCCAGGGGGTGAAGCTGAAGGATGACTTGACCCGACGTTTCCCCCTTCGCGTCTTACCGCAACGACCCCGGACTGGTGTCACAGCTTGATCAGCTGTTAATCCGAGGCCGCCTCTCCTCCGTGCAACTTTTGCGACTTCCGCACAGCCGCGGTTGCAATTCTTCACGACTTGCCACATCGCGAACTGGACTTACAATCTCACTAACGACGTCAACGACCACTTCATGACATTCGGGCTCATCCTGCATTGACCTTCCTTTCTTTCGACAACAGGCATTTCCAACTCGGAGATTTAGCAGGTTTTGGAGGACCTCATTTCGCATAACATTACTTATCCTTACTTCCGCGTTGTCTGCGATCACGAGGGAAGAACGTCGCATCCAAAATGGATACATTCATCCAGGATAGGGCGGAAGCAGTGGCTCGAATGCAGACTGTGGACTTGCGATATGACAGTTCCATGTCCCAACTGATGAAAACAGCCACGGATTGACAACCTGGATCGACGAGAAGGTGAAACCTGGCTGCGTTCATCACCGTTGGACTTCCTGTTGCATATAGCACAACAGCGTCGATGTATTCGTTAGGGTCTTCTCCAGGGCGCCCTTCAAAGCCGGGGTGTTCGTCTGACATGATCAAGGTATAGATACGCCGTATAATTCCAGATCATCGTGTCCGTTACAGCTGGATACGTTAATGGGATGGGGAATGCCCGTCACGATGATATCAGATAGGGATGCGAAATTCGTGTCCCTACTTTGGCAGACGTTGTGGAGACGATCAGGCACAACGTTAGCCGTGTCGACAAGCTATCATCCGCAGACGGACGGACAGAGCGAGAAAATAAACCAGGATGTGGAGATAGCCATCCGATATCACATCTCGGCTCTTGCAGACGTATCTTGGGTCGACATCGTTGCTTCGATGCAACAATACAACTCCAACAACTCCAAGGCTATCGTGTTGGGGTGAGCACCGAACGAGGTGAGGCTTGTCCGTCTGCCTGTGCCAGATTGTTTAACTTCTCCACGGTCGACAAGGCAAGGTTTCGTGTAGCCAGCGTGATGTGTGTACCACGGGGAGGGGGGTGTGGACGGCCTTGAGGTGCGCGGACGGAGACTCAAGTTATGGGGGGTGACTGTATCCGTGTGACAAGATGGCCTTTCATTCTGCAGAGAACCTCTAACCTACAGTAACCGAATTTTCCCTCCAAGTTTCCAGGCAGCGAGGACCATGTAATACAATAATAGTTTTGGCGAGTTCTGATACGTAGTCCGTAATCATATCCGAGCCCGGGCCCGTCATTCAGGAAAGGGGGCTTCAGTCTCGGCGGTTCGGGGTCTGGCTCGACCGCGATCGATAAAGCAGACAACGGATGCATCATCATCAATGCACGGCTTTCGGGACGACTAACCTCATCTTCAAAACTTAATCGCATCGTGATTCCATTTGGGGCCGGGGTTGAGTGATGTGCTGTCCACCGAAACGAGACACAGTTGGACTTGTCGACCAAGGTCGCGGCTCGGCCCGCGCGCGCGGCCACATTTCGAACCTTCAATCGTGGGGACTTTACTTCAACTCCGGACTCATTCTGAACTTGATTTACTTTTTTCAACCATGCGACATGTCAGAGATGCGCGCTGATATATCCAACGCGTACATCAATCAAGAAGCAACGTTACAGAACCTGCAGCGTTTCACACAATAGCTATCGCCATGGGGCCATTCGCTCTTTCCGTGCCTGGCTATCGCCTGGGCGTGCACACTCGCAAGCGCAGAAGAACCGAGGACCAGGACGAGCAAGGCGCCGCACAATCGCCATCGCCCTCTCCCTTGCATGACACCGCACCTTCGCACCTGCCCTCAGGCTCAATCAACCCACTGAGTCACACACCCGACACCCTGCGCCAATTCGCCGTCGCGGGGCTGTCGCCCGAAGACGAGCTGCCTTCAAAACTGCACCCATCTTTCCCGCACAAACCACTGCCGCCAGACTATGCCAAAGGCGGCTCCAAGAGGCGCAGAAGGAAGGTGATGACGATGTCGGGCACGAGCGCCGGCGAGAGTGAAGCCGAAACGGACACCACCACCGGTAGGAGCCGGGGGGAACCCACGGTGCAGCAGCACTCGGCGCGGCTGAAGCACCTCAACACCCTGACGGCCATCATGCACCGCTGCCTCAACGACGGCGACATAGCCCGCGCGAAGCGGGCTTTCGGGCTCCTGGTGCAGACCAAGGAGATCGACATCCGACTGAACAGCCTCTGGGCCGTCGGATCCGAGATTCTGATGCGCGACGGCGAGACGAAGCATAGCAGACAACAACAACAACAACAACAACAACAACAACAACAACAACAACAACAACAACAACAACAACAACAACAACAACAACAGGCCGCGAACAGCGGGGGCGAACAGTCCGACATGACGACGGCAGACCAAACAGAAAGTCTGCCTCCTCCGCGCTGGGGCTCCGCCGGCAACATGGAGAAGGTCAGAAACTACTTCGAGAGCCTGATCCAGCAGCATCCGCACGACCCGTACCGCCCAAATCTGACGAGCGCGTACGACTTCTGGCCCGCGCTCTTCGGCATCGAGGTGTACAACCTCGACGCCGAGTTCAAGCGGGCTTTGCATCGGCTCGACGTCGAGGAGGAGGAACAGCAGGAGGAGGAGGACTACGAGCCCGAGGGGGAGATGGCGATGGCGTACTCAGACAACGATTTCGAGGCGCGGAGGCGCGGCAGGGAAGACGCGCGGCAGCGGCAGCGATGGGCGGCCCGGGACGAGCTGCGGAGAGAGACGCAGACGGCCGCGGGGCACATCGCCACGCGCATGAACCAGACCATGGAGAACGCGCCGTACTCGAAGCACCGCGAGCTGTTGCGCCTCAGGGGCAACGTGGCCCTGTTCGTCGGGGACTTGTATCTACCCGCCCGACTCGTCGAGAGGAGCGATGTCATCGTGGAGCGCATGGAGGGGCTTTCCCTCAAGGACGGAGACTTGCACGCCCATGTCGACGGGGCGGAGGAGCGTCTCGCGCTGGGGAAGCGGAAAGAGGAGCAGGAGAAGGCGAGGTGGTTCTTTCAGAGGATATTGGATAACGGCGGGGAAGTCGATGCCTGGATCCAGCGGTTCATGGACGCGGAGGACGATGAGCATGATGTTAGTCTTGAGGGAGATGTGTCCCCGGCTTTTTAGATACCCCGAGCGAGTGTGTACATACTCCTTTCTTGTACGAAGCTTCTACGAGATTTAGCTTCTTAGTACCATTCCTCCGACTGACATGGTTTCCTTCTCGAGCAATACATCCATTTGAGCAATCGCTCCGTTTGTGATACCATTAGTCTGTCTTTCGGGATGTACTCAAACTCCCACCACGAGAAGGAATCATGGATAGACCCAAGCAAAATATTCCCAATGTACACCTTTTTCATGCCTTTGTCATATATGTATCTTATGAAAGCGCACTTCTGCATAGAGAAAGGACTATAGATCATAAGACTGCAGAAATCCAGGATCAGGAGGGTAGGTAGTTGAAGGCTGTAGAATCGGCAATGCAGGTCTTAGTAGTTCATCCATCATCTCCTTCCATGCATGCCAACACGGATACGAAAAAGGGCGGTGCCTCTTACGAAGAGCCACCATAGCGGAGAGTTCTCTCCTCTCAGCCTCTCCTCCCCCTTTCTTCTTACCTCCAGGTCAACAGCTACTCTACCGAATTGCCCATCACAGGCCCCATTCCCTAGAGAACTGGCCACAGAGCCCATGAGGTCTACCTGCAACCATGATGGCATAACATCGAGACAAAACCCTATTGCGGCAAATCTACCACCCTCGACTGTTTGAGACCTTACCTGGCGGCCTCTCTACCCACCCTCCTTCTCGTTTCCTTCCCCTGAAGCGCGTCCTAGAGCCGATGGTGGTGGCGTTCATGACCGCGGCAGAATACCAGAGCATGCGGACAGCGCAAGGCCGAGCTACAGGAGCAGGCAGGCGCGGCTGATTGATTCGCGTCCCCGACACAGTCCTCGAAGGACACGGCTCCGGATAGGATGGGTTCAGCGGCGGATTGGTGGGGAGACAACGGGAGCAATCAGGAGGGGGCGCAATCACGAGTGTGTTTTGCGGACTGTTGGTTCGGAGGCGCCGGTAATTGGGATTAGGTAGTGCTGGTCCTCGTTTCCGTGCTGGCGCTGATTCTGGCGAGGAAGCAAAAGGGGGGGAGAGGGGAGGCAGACGCGAAAAGACATGCGCACATTTCGAGGAGATACAGACGGTATAGCGGCCCCCCAAGCAGTAGTGGCAAGAGCCCCTAGCCTCAAACCTCCCGAGCCCAACCCTCCCGACCGGATACGAACCACATACGCACCCTCGTCTTCCCAGCCCCTTCCGTCAACTCCCATCGATCGCCTCCTTCCCCACTGCCCACTCCCACTCCCACCCCACGGATTACTGGCTTGCGGAGCAGCCACTAACTTACTCGAAGGATCGGATGGTAGCAGCGGTCGACGACGGGCGGGCATGAGAAGGCGGAAGAGTAGAGTATCACAAGATCGAATTGCAAGATCAAACTCGATCAATAACAGCGACAACAATAGCGCTGGGTGGCAGAAGCAACCGCTACGCATGCAGCTTTTGTAAGAGACGCATGTATGTTCGACCTGCTGAAACTGGATGGATCTGGCCGTGGCCATCGCGTACATGCCATTGGTTCAGGGAGGGTTTGTGTGGTGGTACAAGGTTGAGCTTAGGTACCTAGAAGACAAGTCGAGCTGCTTGGAGGCGAAAGGGGCCAAGGAACCGGGGAATTCAGCACTGGCTGAGCAGAGCTGGAGCTGGAGTTGGAGCTGTGTTAGATAAGGACGGTATTGCCATCATAGACAAGGGGGTGCTGGGTGTTGTTGTGATCAGAGAAGAAAAAGGGGCAGGCAGGGATGCCACAGCACCACGCCAGGTACAATTGTCACTAGAAGTACTGGTCAGATAATGCGATGCAACAACTTGCTTTAAAGTCTGGATCAGATCAGCTCCATTTCGATCGTACAGCCTGCAGGGGTTACAAATCTAGAAGTACAGACTGAACGTCAATAATCTCAAGTAATAACGATGCGTCCACGCCGCATTCCCATGCAAGGCCCAGCCAGTGTCGCAAATCAACTCCTGCCCACTACTAAAGATAACCGAGTGATAATGGTATGGTAAATTTCCCTGTCGTGCGCCTGCTTGTCTTTTTCGTCTAGCTGATGAAGCACAGACAGCCCAGCCCGAGGTAGAAAACAAATAGAGGATACACGGCGATGCCGACGCGGTTCTTGACGACACCGCTGCCGCCCAGAATACTAACACCAGCGGCCATCGACCACGCCACCAGCACGAGGTAGACGGGGATTCGCGGGATCACGGGAAGGCCCAAGGCGGACATGGCGGACGCGATGACGAGGGGGAAGAGGGTGTAGCCGATGATACACACGCTCTGTGCAAACGATCTGTTGTTCGTCCGTCTGTCAGCATATCCATCGCGGTGCTTCTTTCTTTGCCGCGAGTGTACGTGGCCTTCAAGCACTTCAGGGGGCAAAACTCACATATTCCCACCCAGCAACTTGATCTGCAAGGTAACAACCGCCTCCCCAATCCACACCATGGCAAAGACACCACTGAACACGACGTCCTTCTGGTCCGGCAGGGCGCAGAAGCTCAACAGCAGACTCAGCAGCAGGCAGAAGATCAGTGGGCCCCACAGGTCCCAGTCGCGCAGGCCGGGCGTCATGGTGTTCTGGCTGAGCAGGGACTCCGGGTCCATTACGCGGCCGGCGAGGCTCTGTAATTCGTCTCGGGCACCGGCGAGACCCGCGCCGCGCAGGTTGGCGTAGGCGCCCCGCAGGCCGTCGGCGCTCTCGAACATGGTGCCCCCGAACAGGTACCGCGGCCACAGCACCTCGCGCATCTTGGACCACACGGCCAGCAGATCGCGCCGCAGCGTCTCCCACACCGACTCGTCGATCGTGTTCTGCGGCGCGCGCCGGTCGTCGCCCGGGATACGGGAGGTTAGGTAGCTCTCGTTGAGCGGGCGGGATGAGGAAGAGGAGGACCCGATGTTGCCCGTCAGCGGCTCGCGCTGCGACTGCGCGTGCGAGAGCGGGTCGTCGAAGTCGTTGAGGTCGACTGGGATTGGGGGAGGCGGCGGGTTAGCTTTGTCTGTTGGGAGTGTACGCCGGCTGGATGGGATAGACTGGCGAGCGTGGCTTACCGTCATCGGGGTCAATGAGGTCGTCATCCTCTATTTGCGGAGTGTCGTAGGGGTGACCCCGGGTTGTTGAGGCCATCTTGCACCGGCCGGCCCTGCTGTCTGCAGTGTTCCTCCTTGGAGTCTAGTCTTCGAGTGATGCTCGCAGTCGAAGGTCTTTGCCGATTTCCGTAGCGTATCGAGATCAAAGACAATAGTCCGAGCGTGGAGGTTATAGGAAGTTCGGTATCAGCTACCTCGTTGCCGTTTTCGTTCGGGGCATGATGTGGTTGTAGATGGCGTCCCAATCTTGGAAAGCTTCCACGCTGTCAATTGACGTTGCGGTATCTAACTACCTAGCTCCAGGTGGTCCAAGCTCTTCATTGTGGGGCCTCCATCATGCAGCTCGTCGATTTGCTGCGTGTCCTGCTTACTCTCATCAGTGGTGATGGCCTCTCACCAATACCAATCCCACAATCTATTTCACTGTGTCGAAGGTATCGTCCATTGTAGGTATATAGAGAGGAACATGTGGTGCTTGATAAGAGCCTGTATTCCCCTGGCTCTGGATGCGAAAAGTCGCATTCAAGACGCCCAAGCCCGGTCGACACAGTTGAAAGGTAGAGAGACGTGTGTACACAACAAGTCGGTATATATTGCTTTAGAGGAGACGTCAAATGGCCTCCTTCCTCCCGATCTTTATTAGTTATTCATATACATCCATTCTATGGGAAGCCAAGCAGCTACACATTCCATCATGTAAAGGGGTATGTCTCTGTGACCAGAGCATGCGGCCATGCATGTAACCACCTGGCAGCTTCTCAGAGCCTGGCTCTCTGATATGGGTATCCCGTATGAACGTCTTTGCTTCGAACAGGTCTGAGTAAATGAAAACTCTGGTGATAGACACCATTCAGATTTTGAATGCCGCTAATGCAAACCAGTATGGCCATTATAGAAGGATTCAAGACATGTGACAACGGATTCACCCAGATCCACCTCTCACAACGCCACGCCAAAAGAAGAAAATCCAGGTATAAACCTCGCTAGCAAGCAAGCTCCAAGGGTAACACAGAATGAGTCAACGCCAGGCAATCGAGGCGAGTTATCGCTGCAGTCGAGACGACTAACTACTGCCACACGTATCTAGAGTCATGCGACGCGTCTCCGGGGCTTTGTGCCTGGGAAGTAGGGGGTGTGTAGTCGTTTGCGTTCTGTTGGGTGTAAGTGGCAGCAGCCCCTGTCCAAGGTTCTGGCGGTGAATGATGGTACGCCGTCGACACAGGCGGCGGAGGCTGCTGTCTCTGACGGTGAGCCCAGGACTCCGTAGCAGGCGTGTACGGCGGCGCTGGGCTCGGCCACAAGGGCGGAGTTGGTCGACCTGTGTTCATGTTGGTGAACCCCATTGGAGTGTGACCGTAACCCTGTGTCCCCTCGGCAGTGAAGCCAGGTACGTATGGTGGTCCAGGAGCTAGAGCTGGAGCTGGAGCTGATTTGGCCGGCGGCTTCTCAAACGAAGGGCTTCCCCATCGTTTGGAGGGCCGGTGGGACTCGGGCCCTAGGTACGAAGATTTCGGTGCTGTGGGATCCCAAACCGGAAGGCCATCGGCAGGCTGGGATTCCCCCTTTGGTACACCGCGACCGTACGTAGCGAGATTGCCATTGATACCCACGATGCCCCACGCGAAAACAGCCACATCCTGAATCGACTTCATCAGTTGGTCGAGTGGTGGCCCCCCTGAGGCCTTCACATGCTCTTGTAGAGGCATGTACTGTGGGAGCAGAGGCGGTTGGAACGTGTAGAACAGCTCCGGCGGGTAGTACGGCCGGACGGGCTGCGCACCCCAAGGCGCGGCAAATAGCCCGTTCTCGAAGCCGGCATGAAGCGACGGTGGGTGCAGAGAAGGAATCGGCGGTCGAGCTTTCCGGAGAACTACTACCAGCCCGTCCGAAGTACAAGAAACCACAGCTTCGAGCTCAAATGTGGGATTTGGAACTCGGCGGCGAATCTGTCTTCGTTGAGGTGTTCGTTGTCTTGGTTGATGAACATCGGCCGGCGCCTGAAAGGGTGGCGTGGCCGGTGATATCACCGGCCGGGATGGGCCCGCTGAGGATGACGAGGAGCTCGACTGGGCGTGTAGACCAGCAAGCATCGCGGCCTTGGAAGGCTCAGGACTGCTTGTGGCCTCCGTCTTTATATCGCGATCGGTCACCCCATTCGCGTCTACATCCATGGACCCGTCCAAATGCACGCCACCGTCGGAATCAGTGCTGTTGCTGCTGTTCATCTCTTCACTTTCTTCATCCAAAGACTCTTCAGCGTCTTCGCCTTCGAAGTCTTCATCTCTCCGAGGGTCTCGATACCAGAAGCGCAAGTAGGCTATCGAGTCGTTTGCTTTGGCGCTTTCGAGGCACTTGATGGCATCCGCCAGACAGTTCTCGGCAATGCACTCGTAGAAGCTCTTGTTCTGGATTTGGTCCGGTTCCACGCCCAGGATCGAGGCGACGGCATCGGTAGCAAACATGACATTCAATGTTCTGGTGAACCTGTTCAGTATCAAGGCAGCACGAGGCTCGCGCTCCATGGGTTGCATTTTGAACTTCGGTGAGAGGTGTTCCAGCATATGGTATCGCGGGTCCCTCGGGGAAGACGAGAAGATGCGCCGAATCTGAGGAGCCTCATAAGCCCGTCCTGCGAGCCGGTTAGCGAGACCTTGGAACATTTCTTCAGAGCAGAACTCGAACACGTACTCTGGCTTCTTTCACCACGGCGATAGATGCTTGTGCATGCCACCAAAACGTCGTGGACGACGGTGAAGCAACACTCGCAACTTATCCACTGACCATCTCGCGATAGTATCCGGGCATAGTGTAGAACGGCGGCCTTGTCGAGCAAGACTCCCCTGCTGTGTACAGAGCGCGCGAACGGTACCTCATCCGGGTGGAAATAATCGAAGCTCGACTTGCCCTGCACATTTTGTGGTTGCCATCCCAGGATGTCAACTACTGACTCGGATGCAAAGAGGATATTGGCATCGGGCGAGAGGTCTGTGAAAACATCAGCAGTGCGCTACGGCATGCGGAGGCGTATGGATATCTTCAAGGTAGACAGTGAAGCGATGGCAGGAATGGCCAGGGAACATACTATGAATGGTCATAAAGGTCTGCTCCATGACAAAGGCTCGACTTCCAAACTCGTGGGATAGACGCTGTCTACTTCAACGAAGACGAGCCTTGCGCCTAAAAGCCAAGGCCAGGAAGTAATGACAGGTTATTAGAATACTCGCGTCAGGGGAGCCAGCACACAATGGTCCGAACCAGCTCGACGTGGTGTTCCAGAGCTCCGGCCGAAAGGGACTGAATGGGGACGGCAGATTCCGAAACTCGTGTTCCGCAGACTGGACTGGTGGCCGGTTGTTCACGACAGTTGGGGAAAAGCTCAGGTGGACGAGCCAACGAGATGTCTCTGGATAACCGAGTATTGTATGACACAGATCCCGCCGTCACCGTCGGGAAGGTCGAGGCGTGGCACAAGCTGGTCCCAGAACAGGCTCGTGTAATGTCCAGCGAGATATGGAGAGATTGTGGTCGCGGTTCCGTGCTTCGTGCAGGGAGTGCGCATGCAGATGATACCGTCAAGTCCTGCCTACATATGTCGTAGCAAGCAGCCAGACGGTACCGGTGAAATCCTCCGTGTCACGGGGGCGCTCGCCGTCTCTCGCGCGCACTCTCTCTCATGCATCGGCTCAGTGCAGTCGAAGATGGGTCCGGACCGCAGAGCGACTGGCGACGGTAACCACTAAGAATTCCGGCTGATGGGTGAGCCGCGGAGCGAGCGGTGGAGCCAACGTCTGATCTAATATTCAACGGGGACGGCAAGTTGTCCGAGCTGACGAGCTAGGCGGGCGGCAGCTAGACGGCGTGATGATAACGAGAGTCGTGGGGGATTATTAGCAAAGACGCTGGTCGTGACGGGCAGCGAGAAGTTATTAGACTAATGGGAATGGGACCTGACAGTCCGAAGTCGATCTGGCTGCTGGCCGAAGAATAGCCCTTCTGATTCTGCGGTGTGTGGTCCAGGGAAGATGCCTGAGTTGTGCAGCGAAGGAGAAGCGTCATGAATATTCATTGGTGGGAGGTTGTTGTGGTCTTTAAAGGGCTGCTTCATGGGCCAAAGTCGCAACCATGGAAGACCGGACGGTATATTCAGGCGGACGTCTATGTTGCTTTTTCGTATGGGTATTTGATTTGGTCACTGCATCAGACGACGCAATATCAGACACTGCATGTGGTCTACGACCTGCCTACCTAGCACCTGGCAGCCTGGCCCTGGATGCATCGCCCCAGAATAATAATAACACATACATCTTGACGCTTTCTCTGGAAGGGTGACTTCGGTGGAAACCAGCGGAGACATTTGCAGGGGGCCTCAACCCCAAGAACCAGCGCTGGCGGCGCCCTGGCATGATCCGTCCTGGCCTGTACAATGGCGGAAAAGCCTAGCCCAGCGTGCGAAAGGTGCTAAATTGCAACGTCCCGCCCCCTTACGGAGGACTAGGGCCTGGTCTCCTTGTCTCACAGCCTCTGTAATTATGTAAACAGTGAAACGCATCAGGGTCCGTCATTACCGGGCGCGTCATACGTTGGAATTTGCCCTTGTCATTCAAACAAACACAGAAACGTGTCTACGTTGGCAAATTGTCGCAAGCCGGACATGACAAGCGGGAGCCCAGCCGTTGTCAGGCACTCTAAGGTAGCTACAGCTCTAGAAACGCCAGAGTCCCCTCTGCCGTGCCGTGTTGTAGAGTACCGATGCTGTCGTTTAAGTCCGAAATTTTTTCGGTCGTCGGAGTTCTCGACATTGAAGAGAATGATATCAGAATTCAGAGCAAACCCTTGTCGCTTGAACTTCCAGAAAACCGGGACTCCTCACGCTTTAGGAATTGCTTGCGAACGCAAGGACCTACTGCAAGGGTGGAGCGGAACAGTTATCCCTTTCGGGTTCTGACAGGCAGGTACCGCTGTACATGGACTGAAGGCACAGATGTCAGAGGCAGTGATGCGGGAGGCACCCACAGAGACAGAGACAGGCCTTCGGACAGGGGCAGCCATGATGACCCATGGGGCCCGGGGAGCGGGGGACTGCACCGCATGGGCTGCCGGCTGGCGGCTGGGCGTTGCAGTTGGGGATTTGCGGGAACTCTGCCCAATGTCTGCGAAACGGAGCAAACCCAGACCCTTGGTTGGGATCTGCTGCTGGGATTGCTCTCGCTTTCAGCCCGGGCCAGGCACATCAGGCGTTCGGGGAACTCCTCCAGGGGGCATGGCAATTTAATGGCAGGTATGGCAGGCGTGGCTGGCAGGGCATGTCGTGCATTTGCTCCAGCTACCTCCAAGTGTCATCAGCTCGACGTGTCGCGTACTTTTGTGTATGGTGACTTTGCGGGCATCCATCTGATATCCATTGTCTTCTTTCCCACGGTCATGTCCGAAGCGCAAGCATTGGGCCAACAATTAGAGGGGTGCATAGGCCTTAATATAAACATGCTTCGTCAAGAGCGAAAACGGCCCGCATGTGTCATTCAGGCCGTTTTTTGCACTAGCAACGGCGTTCCCTCTGCCAGTAATCACATCGTTTCGACAGCTGCTTGACTCGCGAGGTGCATAATAAGAATCAGGCACAGGGCGGACACGTTGAAACAACATGCAGTCATCAGACTTTCTGGCCGTTGACATCCTCCATTGGTTGCAGTTCTCCGCCCGCTGATAGGTAGCACACTCATGCTTCAGCCTGGCTCGTACGCCATGGCAGGAGTCAATGATATCCAAACTCCATAGCTTCCAATTTGACACGCTGCTCTCCCACTTTCCGAGGTGTTCGCACGAGAGCCCTGGAGTGGACCCCGAACAGCAGCCCGAACTATCCTTGTCGGGAGATCCGGCAGGATTCTAAAGACTAGTCGCGGAGTCCACACGGAAACAGACGTATCCGACATCCGTTCTAGATCTTCAGGAACATTTGCGGGAGGGTAATATGGATATCTCGCGGACTGGCCTGGCCCTCTGGTATGGGGCGCTGCACTGGCAAGACTGGTGGTTTCGATGGAGAGAAGACACGATGCTGCGGCTTCGCAGAACGCGTACCTAGTACCTCATCTTCAAATATGAGCTCGTCCCTGCCGGATAAGCGCGAACCGAATATCGTAGAGCAACATCGCGTAACAGACGAGCCGCCACATCTTCTTAGCAGCGATTGGAACTCGGTACTGACGACAAGCTGATAGACGGTTCTGCTACGTTTTTGGACCCCAATATAATGCGTGTATGCGGAGCAGGAAGAGCTTGGCGCAAGCCTACATATGCGAGAGCAAGGATAAAGATATTGGAGTGAAGCGGGTGAGCGTCGATCACAAATCGACACATCAATGCTGCAATGCTGTGAAGAATAGCGATGGCCGGAGAGATCAGGGAACACCCTGATCGAAGGGCCTCCAGCATAACGTATGTTCATTGCCTTGCGAATTGCGTTTTGCGCAGACGATCAATGTTGATGAAAGGTTGGAGATAAGGTCAGAGCTCCCTTCGATGAGTGATGCGATATCAATGTGCCCTGCGAGCTGCGTTCATCGGGACGAGTTGATTGGGTCGTCCGATCACCTGCCGACAGCCAAAATCATCCCATCTGCAAGGCGTGAGCGGCATCTATCCCTCGAGGCGCTTGATCGTCGACGGGATGCGAGTTTTGACATCTGCAAGTCTTTATCACCCGGATCACCAAGCGCCAATGGTTCCGAGGGCGAAGAGTAGCAGCACTTCTTCGTTGATGATCCCTGCTGCTTGACTGACTCTTTGACATGCCACCACGCACTCCTGTGTCGTTCTCGGTCCCGGAGAGCATGCGGAATTGCATGCGACGTTGCAGTACCATTCGATGCCGTGGGACGCCGTTTGATGCCGCAATCGCCAGAACTCCTTGGGATCCTAAATTAACGACGTTATTAATATGACAGGACGGTACCTGATTAGGAACTGCCGACACTGACTGCAGGACTGTGCAGTGCCGGTACCATAGAATCCGCGGTACGGCGGTCTGTGTTCACGTCCCGGCTCCGCAACAACACTGCCTCAACTTTCAAGCATTCAGCACAATGCTACCTTGGTTCTGCATGTGGGAATCTGATCGTCTGTGACAACTCGAGATTTGGGAATCGCAAGTTGCCAATTCGCACGCAGCGGCTTTGCGCACTATCCGCCTGGAATATTTCGACGAGTTTTGAGACCAGCAACCCGTCTATGGCGCCGCCCAACCGTCTGTGATGCAGGTCATCGACACGGCTGAATGGTCCATGAAGGGCGGTTTTTGACGATCTGACAGAAAAGTGTGCCATTCCACCTAGTTCGGGCGCCAGGGTCGTTTCCCATGTTTTTGTGGCATTTTCGAGCCTTGAACAGGCAGGCAGGGAGATGTTGACTCCATCCAGGTTGGTCGGGCACTGAAATATCAGATTGCAGGTGGGCTTCATGTTTGGTTTGTGGCTTTGCGAAACGTCAGGGCGTGGACAAACCTCCGAAATGTATGTTTCTAATTGCTTATTCGTCCTAGATAGAAGCGGTAGTATATATTTCAGCATGGAATTGTACTGAATACGAGTTGATGGTTGTTTTCGGTTCGTTGTGAACTTATGTCTGATACTGGGTACATTTGTGTGCTCCAGCCCGACTGTACTGCACCAGCCACGTTCGTTCTGAGCTGTGGCGCTCCTCTGTGGCACGCCACACTTGAACCTCACTGTGTTGATGTGGCCCGTGCCTGTGATGGGTGAAATTACAGCAACCGCAACAATGAACCAAGGCCTACACCTTCGCATTATGTACGAAAACGCCCAGGCTGCTGCTGCTGCATCATTCTGCATATTATTTTGATTACTGATCGCGAATCCTGCACCTTCACTCCTTGATAACTCCCTGCAATCCCAGTTGCACGACCCAGCAGCGTCTCTGTTACCCCTGCGTTTGGCAGGTCACAGTGGATAGGTGTGTAACCGACTCCTCACTCCTGAATCTCTGGCCGCGCCCGGAAGCCTGAGAGACTGTCACCCACAGGCCGGGCAGTGTGCGGCATTAGAAACTCGCACAATGCCATCAATCATCAACAACGATGAATGGGATCTGCCCCGCCTGAAAGCCTCAATTGGGTTCGAGGTAAGGCTGACGTGGCGAAACGTCGTTGTGCTTACATGGGACAATTCGCTGATCGCTGGGTTGCTCGCCTCGTAGGATGATTTCCAATACCTCTCATCCGATGATCAGGACACTGGTAAGATAATCTTGGTTACTTGCTGCGGGCGACGAAGGTATAGCTGCTGATTGCCTCCTCCAGAATTCTTCGACGTAAAGTTCTACCCGTATGCAGATGAGTCCCACGATTCGGTATTTGCCGCTGTGAGTAAGAAACATGTCAGTTATACTCCGCCACATGGACCTGGTAGGCTTTAGTCTGATGCTGCCTCTAGATCGTCATATATCGACTCTCGAACAAGATCAAACCCCCGTACGAACTCGTTCAGCTTTTCAGAGACGACGACGTAAGTTCTGTAAACGAAAAAGACCAAGCCATGAGTTAACCGTATGATAGAAAGACGCCCTGAACTGTAGCTGTACTTGGTCCAAGGACCCCGAGACAGATGTTCCTTGGCTATGCGTTGCGGGAAGGGATGCGAAAATAAAAGTCTATGATGCTATCCACGGGAAGCTCGTAAAGGTGAGGGTGCAGGTCTGCTCAGTCCAGAGTGTGAGGGTAGCTAACGAGTTATTCAGGTCCTTGTCGGTCACGGAGGAGTGAGTTCTGAGGAAGGAGTGCCCCTGCCCTATCCGAGCTAATATTATTCAGGAAATCAACGATCTCGCCACAAGCCCAGACAATTTTCTCTTGATCGCATCGGCGTCAGACGACACTACCATTCGAATATGGAGTCTCGATCCTGCATGGTCCAAGCAACCCTGCGTGTGTCTGCTTGCGGGGGAAGGCCATACGGCACATCTGTTAACGGTGGTATGTCCGATCCCCTCTGTCCCACCAATCCCAAACAACTTTGGTGAATTACAACTAAACCCTCTAGGCATTCCATAGCACGGGTCGATATGTTCTGTCAGCTGGTCACGACAATGTAGTTTGCCTGGTATGTTCAGACATGGCCCTCTTAGGCAGTCTCGTAGGGGCTAACTTCACCAGTGGACGCTCCCAGATCTCCCGCCGGAGTCCAGCGGCAAGAACCCTCCAGAGTCTATTGTAATCCACTATCCGCATTTCTTCACGTCGGAGGTTCATAGTGGCATCGTTGACTGGTGAGTACAACCCACAGTGTCTCGGGGGCCTGGCTAATAGACATAGCGTGGCTTTTTTTGGCGATCTCGTACTTTCGAGGGCTTGCCACGAAGACATCATTGTGCTTTGGCGGATCGAAGGCTTTTCCTCACGCGATCCGCCTCCCGCTGCACATGATGCTCCTACGACGAGCGACCCTGAGCGACTGACACGCTCTGCATTTGCGCCGGCAACTGCTTCCGCATGCCCACCGCAATATACCCGTCTGCTGCAGTTCTTCACCCCACAGTGTGGTCACCAGTTCTATCTTCGCTTCAAGCTCTACCAAAACAAAAACAGGCATCCCATTCTGGCTTTCGGCAATGCACATTCTACCATCTACTTCTGGGATCTAGCACGCCTGATCAGCTATCACGACTTCATAAACCACATGAAGGATCCAATCCGTGACAAGTCCCAGCCGATCCACAGACCAGGATGGCTGGTTCCGATACAACACAGAGCCAAGGGGGATGCTGTCGACAAGCTCAAGGACGCTGCCAGTGATAGGGAATCTGTCGTGTCCGGGCGTACGGGTAGTGTCGATGTCGAGACCCACGTTGACCTGAATACCGACTACAGCCAGGAGACGCTGGACTCGTGGGAAGGCAAATATGATATGACTCGCTTGGAGGAGCCTATAAAGGCTCATGCACAGAGCAACATCACTATTAAAGACTTTGTTGGACGCCAGGTTGCCTGGAGCGTCGGCGGCGATTGGTGTGTAGTGGTTGGCAGTAAGAATTTGGCCATCATCCTGCAACGCTGGTACAAGAGAGATCACAAAGTGGACGAGAAGGAGAAGAAATCGAGTCAGTAGTTTCAGAGGCAATCAACCCTGTGTCTTATATTTGCCTCTGAATATTGTCACCCGTCTCGTAAGGAGCGTGTCTGTAATATCATGTATCTCGAATTCATGCTTGTGTAGGTAATGGGCATGCCCACCAAGCTTCCGCTCGTCTATCCATCCAAGTCCACGCCACTCCGAGTAGCAGGCAGAGTTTCTATCTTCTTTTTGGACAATATCAGCCCACCGCCGGGCGGATATCGGGCTCGCCTCACATGGCCAACTGTATCGAACGCCCAGGGGTCCTATTCAACGCCACAGGCGAGAAAGCATCGATATCCTGACCCGTAGCGCTCGCTGAAGTCGAGTTGGGAACGGTCTCTATTGATTATATTCCCATCTCCAATCTTTGATCTGGTGAAGCTGACATTGGGCTTGCGGACCCTTAGACTGGGGTAGCTAGTACACACCTGATTTGACAAAACAGCTGGTTGGGATGTCAACATCAGACCTAACATTGCGAAGAATGATGTGGTTCGTACGTTTCCCTTTGTGATGGTGGCAGCTCTTCCAGAGCGCCCGGCGCAATACCAGTCCCCGTCATGGGCGTTGTTGCCATCGAGCGAGCCCATTCAAGGTATAGGATTTGCCCATATCTGGGCCCTGAAGTGGCCAAGGCGAGACGGACCTCGTTGCCAATTCGCGACGAGACTTATACAGTAACAATGGGGCAGGTGCGAGGGCTAGGAGCAGTGGCAAGTCGACCCCCAGTCCTGACGCTATCCCCACCATCGTAGTAAATGGGCCGGCCGAACATGCTTCGGCGGTCGAGTTTGGGCTGGGAGTCGAGCTCGAGGTTACGGTTGGGGTCGCAAGGACTGGCGGCGGCTGAAATCTCGACGGTATTGGCGTTGGTGAAGTTGCCGGCCTGAATTACGTTGTTATGGGTAGCTTGGACATGTCGAGTTGCATGGGTGTAACGAACAAGGTCTAAGGGATGAACCCGAAGAGCTTGATATGTAGACCAATGTATATTGTAGCTGTTAAAGAAGGAAGAGGAAGGAAAACAAGTAGCTGGGGGTCCAGACCTGGTTATATACACATAGGGTGGCACGGTACGTACCTAGGTACGTACCCGTGACAATGGGAGAAGGGCCAGCATGATATAACGAACTTCTCCCATCTACCGCCTTCTCTCGTTCTCGGCCGTGAGGTTGGCTGTTCCAGCCATGAACATTGGTTGGTCCACCGAGTTCATCGAGTCTTCCAGCTTGGGATCATTGCCCGCGTGTGTTAAACGACAAGCTGACAAAGACAAGTCATAAGCATCATCAAGTTGGTGTTGCAATAGTAGTTTGTCATCGCTTGCTTTCGAAGTTTTATTTGCTCTGGTGTGGGGATTCCATCTTAATTTCGCCAGTACCCAGGACGTAAATACGGAAGGTTCAAGGGTTTGTGCCTGTTCGAAAAACGCCGTCTCCCAAATAGTGTCGACGTAGATAGGGGACAGGACGTAACCAACATCCTGCGTCTCCGGCCACATAGCGTATTGCGCAGCAGAATGAGCCGCACCTGTTTGAAGTTATGATTTACACAATCACGAGCTGGGAAATACGTATGAAAACTGTTTGCAGGAGTGAGACCATCTTGTTTGCTGGGCTGATTTGGTTCAACCAACGTCAAGTTCAGTCCATCTTTCTTGTTGTTCCGCTTGTATGATTGTACTCATTGTGCACAATAACCGCAGAAGGGGAGTGGCCCCTACTAGTACTTAAGATCACCACGAGAAACTCGGTTTTGGTCACTCATGCTATGTTAGCATACGTCGGACTTTGCGTCCATATACCAGTATATATAAAAAGGAAGAACTTGCCTCGACCAAGCATGAACTCGTACCTGGTTTCTTGATCTCGGTCTGATTGTTGTCATGCATTTTCGTCTGTGCTCAAGTACGTCGTGTGTCATATTCCATTCATTGCTGTCATTATTAGGTACAACGAAGGAACGTGCAGCTCAGACCACAAGGCCGATGCAAATCCCGGAAAACGAGCACGATAATGTATATGGTATGGAGAAGCTATGATTGAATGTACCTACCTCGGTATTTCGTTCAGCCGGCCCATTCACAATCGTGCCCATTGTTTGTTCAGTTGGCCCGTTCAACACGAAGCCCATTGTTCGCCTAGGCCATTGTTCCTCCAGGCTATTGTTCGACCGTGCCGAGTAAATTTTAGGCCTTCTTCATCTAGAGCGGGGGCTTAACACTTTCATCACAATTCCTTCGCCTGCTCGCACCTTGCAGGCTTGATCGGGTTCACACACACCAAGCAACTGTCGCCTGACGGGACGAGTCACCCACTTTCTGCCACCAAAATGTCTCTCGAAGACCAAGCTGCTGCGATGCCTCTCGGAGACCAAGCTGCCGCGGCAGCCACGCCCAATGAGCGTAACCAGGTCCTCGGGTACTTTGCCTTTCCTGCCGAGATCCAAGTACAAATCGGAAGCGACGACGACCTGACCGATCGAGATATCCTACGCCTCAGCCTCACCTGTCGGGAGCTTTACGTCAATCTCAACCCATGCCTCTACAAGAAAGAAGGCCCGACGATGAACAGGGCTCTCTGTGTTGGAGCGATCCAAGGCGTAAGCACGGTTCTCTTCATCTCCCCGATCTAGACCCCCTCAACTCTACGCGCGTCCCCTCTCACATGTCTTGCACCCTGTCCCTTCAGCAGTCTACTCTTACTGATTGGTTATGTCATGCGTAGGACATAGGTCTTCTAGCACGTGCCCTATCTGCCACCGACAACCGCTATGTGAATGATCATATGCCGGAATACATGGCCAAGGCGTGGCTTTCCACATACAGCGAATATGCTGGGCTTACGGCTGTAGCTGTCGCTGCCAAGTATAACCAGGCTGAAGCTGTCCAGTACCTACTTGCACACGGAGCGGATCCGAACAAGCGCGCTGCACACGGACCCTACTCGAACATTCCTGGTCGTCGTCTCTATCCCATCCACTGGGCTTTGCGTATAGGCCTTCGTCCGTTCTCGGTGTCGAGGTGCATCGAGATTGTCAAAACTCTGCTTGATCATGGCGCGGATCCCAACCAACTGACCGTCATCTACGAGAACGACCGCTATTACGGCAATGCACCCGAGGTTGAGACGCCACTGTTGCAGGCAATTGGTCCTAAATTCCCCGTACGGGTCGCCCAGTTACTCCTAGACCGAGGTGCCAACCCGAACGCATCGGCGCATACCGGCAGGCCGTTGCAAATCCTAGTCGGACAAGCTGGATGGGGATCGAACGGGGATTACCAAGACTGCATGGAGAAATTAAATCTTCTCCTGGATCTCAACACCAACCTGCAAGCCAGCGCATTTGGCCTATATGATATGCTTCTCGACCGGAAAGCTTGGATGATGATTGCGATGGCACGCGACATGGTAACAATCCTGTTTCAGCGGAAGTTGAGACCCCAACTATCACAAATCACTCCGATTGATGATCGTTTCATTTCGTCCATAGCCAAAGGTATGAACCCAGTCTACGGCCGAGACGAAGGCGGGTGTGAGCGCGCAACCGCCTGTGCCGACATTACGATCATGCTTCTGGACCAGCTCTCTGAGCTGGGTAATTCGGAACCAGAACGCAATGGACAAAAGGTCATCGAGGAAGTCGTAAAGTATCGATGCAGGGAGACAGACGCAGCGATTTCAGTGAAAATGGACGAGATCATCAAGCTTCTCGAGGCACACGGTGCGGATCCGACGCTTACCCCCGAGGAAGTACATGTAGAGTGGGGAAATCTAGATGAGTGGCCTTGATCGTAGTGAGTTAGATTCTACGAGGTTGAATATCGGAGTTGACATTTTCTAACCTGGAAGGATCTAGGCTGCTTCTTTCGCGTTTCTCCTTGCCCTCCACTGGGCTCTACGACACGCGTGTCCTTTATTGCCATATCGGACTGGACAGAGACGATACCAAGGGAGCAGATGAGTCAATGAACGTTATGCTGGAGTTGAACTGGATTGAATTCGCTTCACTGCATATGAGAAAACGGCATGCGCCGGGACGAAAACGCCAGGTTATGTAGTCAGTGATGGGCAGCAATGACAAGGATAGCCATGGTAAGGCATTCCTGCGGTCATCCTTTCATAGACAAACTGAGAGGAACATGCACCACGAAGCAACGCCGCAGACCAGGTGATGAAGAGACGTAACAACCGGTATCAACGTAGCCTGTTTGCTTGGAGGGAATAACCTCGGTTGCAGTGTAGACTTCATGCTTCCAACCCAGCAGATTGAGAGACGGTATCGGTCTTGGAATCAATCCAGGCTCTGCTACAACCTTGAGCAGATTAACGACTTATCTAGTGGCTCGTGGCTAAACTCTGTTAATATTCTCCCTCGACCTTAACGCCACTGGTTAATAACTTATGGCTCCAGCGAAACCTTCGTTGGACACCCTTCTCCGGTGAGTCACAGAGCCCTATTTAAAGACGAATCCTCGCACAGGAATCTCCTACTAACAAATCATCAGCACTCAGGTACCTACACAACGCTGCATTTAGTCCCTCGAGCCTCTTGCCGTCATCCAGCCCCACGCAGTACATGTCACCTTCTACGCAGCCGTCTTCCATCAACATGTCTGCCGAAGACCTTGCGGTACTGACGGTCATGCCCTGCCAGCAAATGCAGACCCTCAAGATCACAGAACTGCCTACCGAAATTCACCTACAAATCGCCAACGAGGCCATTCTTGAGATCCAAGGCATTAGAAGCCTTGCTCTGGCCTGCCGAAAACTGTTAAAAAACGTCCTTGAATGTCTTTACAGGAAAGATGGAGAGCAGGAAGGTAGAGCTCTTGTGAGGGGAGCTCGCTACGGTGTAAGAATCTTCCTCTGAACCAGATGATGAGTTCCATGGTCCACCATTACTCACATCATCCTTACGCCTCTATTTGCGCTGTCTCATCCGTTATTAACTTCTCCATTCATGTATTGGCACTAACTGGTGGTGCCGCGTTCACAGGACATACCTCTCCTGACACGTGCGGTAGAACTATGCAGGAGTGGCATTTTCGAGAAGCGTTTTTCCTACTGGACGGAGCCCGGTGACAACGACGAACGGCACGCCTTCAAGCTTAGTCCTTTGGCTATTGCAGCCAAGCACAACCAAGCCGAAGCTGTCCGATTCTTACTGTCGCAAGGAGCAGACGCCAACCAGCCAAGCCAAACCCCAAAACCTAACCCCAAAAAGATCGGTTACCCACTAGGAGGCTCTTACTTCCCTATTCACTGGGCTCTGTCCGAAAAACAATACTTCTCGGTGCCAGACAGGCTCGCGACACTCCATGCTCTACTTGATCATGGTGCGAACCCTAATCAACCCGTCTTCAACGCAGATCACGACGCTCCCATCGACAGCGACGGAGACGATTGGAAGAGACCCCTGTTTCAAGCAGTGGATAGCCACAACCCTCTGGAGGTTGTTCACCTACTCTTGCATCGAGGCGCACTTCAGGACTTTGGCAGCCGCGTCACGCCATTGGAACGTCTGATCGACCAGCCTGGTTGCGGAATACCAGACCGCATATCGAAATTCCGTCTTCTCTTGCAGTATCACACCAACCCGCTCACAATCGCAAACAATTTATACCTGCGTCTTTTCATCTGTATTCTTTTCGATAGGGGCTCGGCAACTGAGGCACGCGACATGTTGACCCTCATGCTCGAGCGAGGCATCAAGCCTGATTCGTCTTTTTTACATTCCATCGATGGCGGGGTACTCTCAGACTTGGCTGAACGCCTGTCAAACTTCGCCGGAAAGCAGGAGCTTGTCGAGATCATAGAGGCTCTCGCCGACATCATGGTCCTACTTCTGGGAATCATGCCTGGGCTCGGCTACACGAACCAAGGCGATGATGGACGGAAGACACTGAACAGGCTCGTGGAAGCGCGACAACGAGAAACACATCCATCAGTCGCCACAAAGATTGACGAAGTCATAGGATTTGGTTTTATTTTATTTTTTTAAGCTCTTCGACCGAAGGGAGTAGCCAAACCCAAATATCCCAAGAGATAACAAAATGCAGAGACCCCGTGCTGTACGCTAAGTCTATCAAAATAAAACGCCACAATCATCTCAATCCACCAAAACCTTAACCACGGATGGCGTCCACGAGCTCAGGCCGATCCCATTTCTCACAACTTGGTCTAACGATCAAAGATGGGCGAGTTTCTGACGTAGCCTAGCCTCTAAGGACTGCTGTCGAGGCCAAGTGGTAGTAAGTTGCGCCCTACTGAAAAGAAAACCCTAAAATATCATTCTGACATTGGCGGCACCAGGCAAGACCCATTGGCATCACCGGCTTGCCTATGGCTCTGGGACATAATTTTGCATTGCTTTTACTTCGAAGCGGAGGCGATACACCGATGGAGACCTTGGTGGCGATACTGCAACCCGAGCTTGGATCTCTTTCGTCGCCAATCAATACAAGCGCGCCGCGCAACGGAAAAGCTATACCAATTGGTGGACGGTGAAACTGACAGTCAGGATAAGGCCATGTTCTGCGATAGCGATAGCGCTTTCATAGGTACATGTCACGGTACTCAGCCCCACAAGCCCAGGGGTCAACGCCTATATATACCAGATCATGTCCCCTAGCTAGCTTCATAGTTTCCTTTTCCTCTGTACATACAGCAACGAAGTCATTTTTGGAGTCAGCAGCCGTGGAACTGTGACAGTATAACGAGATGATAAACTATCCCAAAGCTGCACCGAAGAGCAAGTTACAAGAAACCAGCAACAAACAGCCGGACTCGAGAGGGTATCAAGACGATATCAACTTACATCACCAGCTATGTATTCAAACAACAGCTGCTCAGGCGGAAAATGCGTTCTGAGCGGGTAGAGTCAGGTATTACACAGTAACTTATGGACCCAACTAAATTTTCATTGCCGGCGTCTGCCTCCGCTAACTAGCCCTGGAGATACCTACGCGGCATAGGCCTGCTTGCCATGGTATTCACGCCCGGTGGCTCTTAGCCGCTAAGCTAGGCTTGTACCCTCAAGCTTCAACACATGACCTAGGTAGAGCTCGACGTCAAGATCCTTCCGCCCAAACAAGGACAGGAATCTCGCGCAACGCCAATTTCCTATAAGTTGTGTTATTTGCACCTTACCTCAGTCAGCCACATGAATCATGATAGCCACCTGCAGCCCCCTATCTCAGCACACCGACAACCTCTGCCAGGCTGGATGGCTATTACGATCAGGTCTCGTATGGAGATGCCATGTAATTTCATACCACCATGTCCTTTGCAGCTGGATACGTCGATCTGCTCAATTGGATGGTGATTGGTTGGGTTCAATCGGGAGGGCAAATTCCCAGCGTAGATGGCCACCACGATCGGGTTTTGTATGGAAATGCCATTTAGTTCCAGATCGTCCTGTCCCTCACAGATGGCCGTTGGTTGCGTTCAATTGGATAACCATCGGTCGCGTTCACTTAAAAAGCTTCCAAGGGTAGGTGGCCACCACGATCGTGTTATGTGTGTCGATGCCATACAATACCAAGATCATCATAGCCCTCGCAGTCGGACCCGTTAGACCTTGGTGACGGAGCTTGGTGGTCAGCCCGCTGGCAGATGGCTATCAGATGAGGGGACCCCATTAAGGTGCAAATAACATAACTCTTTCGTTCTGTAGAACTAATGCTTGCCACCCGTTACGAGAGACCGTCGTGAGGGGCTTGGCCACCTCTTCGAACGTTACTATGACTTGAATGACACGTTTCATGCTGTCATGGTTTGTACGGACTGGTCAGGGCCGCTAGAGGTCGGTATCGGCATCGCATTATGACTCCTAGGTAAAAATAAAGGGAGCAAAAAATTGTACGGCCGAATCACAGGGACCCATGGTAGCTGACACGAAGGAGAATGAAATGGGAGTAACTTACGCCGCTGGGTGAGGATTGAGTTTTGATGGTAAGTAGGGAGGTGTCATGGCTGGACTTTGAAGTCGGACCAAATTATTCCACTAGGTCTCGTAATGTTACACCATGCTGGTGAAGGCTTGAGATTTGAGGTTTGGTGTTTGAGGCACTGTTAAGACATATTTTTGTCGCTGTTTTGAGGTTGTTGTTGTTGTTTGATGCGGACCACTTTTCGCCAAGGTTAGCGTAAGTTCATCAAACTTGCAAGTAGTGATGCGAAAGTCAAATTGACCACGGGACCCCTGTGACGCTTGTTGGCGAGAAACAGCGACATTAGGCTTGATAAAGGCCCAATGGAAGGCAAGGAGCGCGGGTGTTCTGCGGCACTTCATCATGTACAGGCCTCGAGGCAGGTGGCGCAAAGGGGGGCGCCTTCCTTCCTGTGGAAAGGGGAGAGTCCACTCCATGCTTGCAGACGGCCTTCAACGGGGTCTTCACGTCTTGTTGAGCTTTGAATGCGATCGGTTCGATCCAGCCACATGCCCAGCGCATGGCCAGCTGTTGTGTCTAAATTACTATAAGAAGCTGCCGATTGAGACGATGCCACACACATATCGACTTCCAGGACAGAAGAGGGTTGGCTCCGTAAGAAACGTTCATTCAACATGTAGGCCCCTCGAAACCAGCTGGGTCTCGCGTACTACCGAACCAGGTGAAGTCACCATTGTCGGGAGGTGGACCGAAATATTGCTTATTGCTTCTTCCCCAGAGCTGCCCATCTATACTACTTGGTATCGGCGTGACCTTATAGGGGGGCATTTTCTCCTTCACACTGGTCACTTCCCGTATAAGTGCGCTAGGTCCCACCCTCGGGGATGGGCCTCCTGGAAACTTCGAGATCCCTCTCATCGCGAAGTGAACTAGAAGGCCCTGTTCGTGAAGATCGTCCAAGCGGAATAATCTGACGGGACTGCCAGTGTCTGTGAGGTAGTCGAATATAGGGCCCACGTCTCCCAAATCAGGTGGACATACGTGAGTGCTAATGCTGCTGGTCGAACGCCCTCAAGGAACTGAAGGAGTTTTCTTGAGTAGACGTAGATCCCGCGTAATGTGCACACTTTGAGGTGTACGAACGTCGGGCCGGTGCTGATAATCTGTGGGACCGGCACTCGATCGACTATCTTGGATGACTCATGGTTAATGCTATACCAATGCAAGTCGAGAACCTCCAATGACGGTGTGATGTTGGATACGTTCTGGATGCCTTGGAGGGCGAGTTCTGAATAAATCGTTTATGATTGCTGCAGGGTCTGTCCCATCATAGCCATTCCTGCTTCGTAATCGTGTGGTGCCGACATGCTGACCTTCAGTATCTTCAAAGTTCCAAAGTTTCGCTTCAACTTGGCCTTCGATACAAAGCGCAGGAATGGAATGCATGCCAGACCGCAGCCTTGGAGGCCGTAATATATGTCAAGCTCCTCATCGACGCGCAGCCCGCTCTTCCTCAGCGCCCCCATTGTGATATTAAAGGTGCGTTCCGCCACAGTCTGGACATTTCTCCAATTGCTAAACTCGGTCGGCTCGACGAGGACTTCGCCGGGACCCTCGATGCGCGCGGCGACGCGAAGGCACAACGAGACAAGGCCACCGCTTGAGGAACGCCGCTTCAAGTTATAGAAAGCCTGAGTCAGCATCCAACTGAAGTCCTCTGTCTCCTCTGGGTCCATATAACCATCATGCGCGATGCCAGTGATAGTGCAATGTTGTAGTAAAATGCCGAGGCGGCCTTGGCCTGTTACTTCCACCATGTCGTCGATTTTGTCCTCCGTAAGCTCGACATTCCTGTGTTTGAAGTGGGCTGTGAAACATCCCTGGGAAGCTTTGTCCTCCATGACGCGACTTGTCAGTCGTAGTGAAGCGATGTCACACACATCGAGGCATCTCACGATGTTCTCCACCATCTCTATTGGGAGAGCTTCAAGAGAGGGACTCATATTGCGGAGGTCGAGTGTGCCGTGGTAAATTGTGGTTGCGGGTGCCGTTCTTGGATCAAGGTGTGTCGGTCAAAAGTTGCACTTGGTACGCGAGTGAAAATGTCGGCGTGCAATGACCCATCTGAAGGGCACGTGACATGTGTCACGTGAAATTAGCCAAGAAGCAAGCATTCAAAATAAAAAATAATCAGACTTGAATCTTGAACACATTTCTCTCACTCCATGAAGGTTTGTATATGGTTTTCTTATACGCCTGGTAATGTAACATGATGCTCCCTGGCGTCGTCATTCCCTCACCTCTAAACACAGACTCCATGAATCAGACTCCGTTCTTCGCAGCCGCGCCTCACTGCTGTGGAGGGCCATTGGGAAAGTTACGCTGTGCGACCCCCAACCCAAGGTCAACGAAGACCTTCTTTGTACCCCCATGGTTCGGAAGAAACTCCAGAAGCTGCTCATTGCCGTCCTTGCCATTGTTCAGCGCCTTGCCGCGCTGGTACCATACCGAGTAGTCGATGACGGACCGCAAGTCGGCCGGGTTCGCATCAAGGTACTCAGGTCCATTCATAGCCAACGCCACCACCGGGCCTCGCCAGTCGTGTTCGAGGTGGCCGTGAGGCTGGGTCGCAGCCAGCATGGCACGGCACCGGGGCGAGCCGTCCTCGAGGAAGCTGTCGCGGTACAGCAGCTGCACCACGCGGCCCGGGTACACCGAGCCCATTCGCATGTTGCGCTGGATGATGGAGTGGCCGACGTAGGTGTATTTGGTCTCGCCGGGTTTGATGAGGAGCGGCATGACGTCAGGCCTGAGGTTGAACATGTCGCCGCCGCTGCTGTGTTGCGGGATACGGATCCAGAGAAGCTTGGGCTTGGGGACCGAAGCGCCGAAGAAGATGGCGCGGACGTGCTCTGGCGAAGGGCGCGGTTCCTTCATGTGCGTCGTGTATGTTTGTTTGTTTTGTATTTATCGTGGGTGCAGTCCCTCAACAGGGCAAACCACGCCTCCCAGAGCCATTGCATCGCAAGGTTATAGAGGTGTCAGTCTAGATACATTCAGATCCGCGCACGAGCCTATCCTCGTTGTAGCGGTACCAATCTGGAGTGACCAGATGGTTTTAGTCAATACCCAAGCACGATTCCGTCAGAAAAATCTCCTATCCAGTGACTAAGCGACCCAGTGAACCTCAGTACTCTGGTGTACACATCGTTCCAGTAGCCGTTCGATATATGTCGCATTGGTGGGTGAAATAGGTGTTTGTTATCTGCTGGCGAGGGAAACCACAAGGGGAAAAACCTCGCAGGAGTGGGTGTTGTGGAGACAAGCTGCTTGGCTATCGGGCTCTGCGATAAGGGGCCTCTCCACTGTCGTGTGCTGGTTGTCGACTCGCACAAGCCGGGTCAGAAGGGGGCCATAGCAGGATTCGAACCCACTTGTTCTCGTCGCCCACCGCACAAACGAGAACACAACCAGGCGCATTTGACCATTGCGCCATACGGCCATGTGCGTCGTGTAAGGCTTGCACCGCAGCTTGTGTGAGGGCCAGTCGGCTGTTTGACATGCTTTGGAGTAGTAGGCGCAGCCCCGGCACTGGGCGCAGGTGTTGGCGCCGATCTTCTCGCAGACTATGCACCTGGGGTCTGACATGGTCGTCGTGTCTCCAGATGCCAATTTAGGGGCGGGAATGGGGTGTGCGATGGTCTCCTAGAGGAAGTCCAACGAGTTGTCACGAGATGCCGCGATTCTTCCGATTCTGGAACCCACCTCCCCCACCTTAGATTTTAATGCACCCGCCCGTAAAAAAAAGCAAAAGCCCTCGTCGGCCTTTAGGTGCAGATCCTCCTCACCCCAGAAGACCAGAAAAACGACGTGGCATACTGCTGTCCAGACCATACCTAACGTTCCAATTCAAGCGAGAAAGGGAGAAAGGGAGAACAATGCTTGAGGTGCCTACCGTGCTTAGCTGGCTTAACGCTAGATCTGCACCGCCGTTTCCAAGCAGGTTGCACGTGGTTTACTGTTATGAAGCTACTCCCTAGAGGTATCTCAGCGCTAGTGGCTTACTAAGGTACAGTAACTTTAAAATCAAACCTGAAAATCCGTAGAACTAAACCCCTCTAACCCAATCTGGTATAACGTTTAACTAGCTACCGTTATTGTGACGGCCTGCATAGACCTTCCCACATGACAAGTGGATACTTCCCAATAGGGGAAGGATCTGACCAGAGGATCCCCTTAAAGGGGCAACCTCCCACTGTGCCTATCTCTTTCTCTCTTCCTTTCCTCTTTAGTCTTGATATTCTCGTCAATAGAGTAATAGCTGCTTGCTGCAGGCCATGTCCCAGCTCCCCAGTATGCTCGCCGTGACAGTTATAAGTATTCCATGTTATATTCGCACTTTTATTATTAATATTTCGCTTTTAATCGCGTATTTATTTAATATTACTACTAGAAAAACTACGTATATAATAATTAAATATTAAATATTATTAAAAAAGTATATTCGAATGGTATAACTCGTGATTAACTATATATAATAATTATAAGTTATTGTAAAGTAATAATTACTATCACGGCGAGCATACTGGGGAGCTGGGACATGGCCTGCAGCAAGCAGCTATTACTCTATTGACGAGAATATCAAGACTAAAGAGGAAAGGAAGAGAGAAAGAGATAGGCACAGTGGGAGGTTGCCCCTTTAAGGGGATCCTCTGGTCAGATCCTTCCCCTATTGGGAAGTATCCACTTGTCATGTGGGAAGGTCTGTGCAGGCCGTCACATGCATCTTCTTGCTCATCTGTACTGGCCATTCCGCACTTGGCTTAGAGATTTGCGTACCACTCCCAAATTGGTTGCTTTAAAATGCAGCAAGTGGTCTTGTAGTAGTTTGTAACAGACTTGAGTATATGGTTCTTGATTTTCTCTAAAGACAGTGCTTGCTTCTCGTGCAGCTTCTAGATTCAATTGTAAAAACTATTGTCGAGTTCATAGGTTTGTTTCCCCGTTGTTGTTAGATCTGATAGCATCCATATGCCATTATTTCGCTTGTGTTGGATGATTTTGTTGTCTTTGTTTCCGTTATTCAGATCAGGATCAACTTCGATGGCTTGGCTTGGCTCGAAAGTCGTTTGTTTCTTCTCGTATTTCTTTCGTGCAATGTTTGGAATCTCTAGTTGTTGTATAATGCCCTTCTTCTGAATGAGGAGGTCAAGAAGACCTAGGGCATCTGCCTTCATTGGAACTCATGGTCCCATTCAGGCCATTCTCTTGCTTCTGACGGTGATGCTAAGAAGTCTGCTTTCTCAGACTCTCGAAGGGTTGAAAGAACAGGCATCTTAGATATACAGGATAGATAGGGTTTGTCAAAGGGATCGGCAATGAGACTCTTAATTGTCAGATTTGAGCCAATTGTCAGAGTGAAGTCTGTGTGTGTATTCTGTCTGTCTAGAGTGTCCTTGTGCGACCGTGGCAGTTTTGTGTCAGAGGGGGCTGGATCAGGACAGAACAACTAGGTTCTGTTGTCTACCCGTCAAAGTGCCTTCTAGGCGTACCTTTAATCTAATAAGATTAGATAAGGAATGAACGGGACCACCACTTAAGGTGTGTGCTGCGCACATCACCTTGCTGGCTTCCCTTTCCTTCCTCACCTTGTTATTTTCGGAATACAACACCAGATTCCCACACAACGCTGCAGGCATCGTGACAAGGGATCCCATCCGAGAAGTATCTAAATACCTAAATTACAGTGGGTTGGTACCTGTCACTTGGGGCAGCCATCCCAGGTAACCTTATCGTAGAACGCCCAAGATGACAGGAGATCCGATAAGGTACTGGTGGCTGGATCCTGTGGCTGGGATCCACAGCTATAAAGGTAGCTAGCCCTTATTAATAAGAGAATTAGTACCAGTGGCTGGCAAGACCTTATACCTGATGGGGTTAGAGGTGTTTGGTTCTAAGGATTTTAAGGTTTGGTTTCAAAGTTACTGACTAAGGTATATGCATGGGCAACGGCCACTAGTACAGATGAGCCCCTGAATCTTTGCAGGTACATGCGTCTCTACATGTTTGCTCTCGAAAGAGTACTTCAAGTCCTCTGTCTCTCACTCGGGAGTGCGAATCCTTCTATACTATACACTACCAAGTCGGTAAGGATTTTCGAACAACCCCAGCAGCTCAAATATTACGGCAATGCAATGTCAGACTCGTATAACGGTGCCTCGTCACTCGTGGCCTAGGTACACAGCCTGGCAGCTAAGCGCAAGATCTACACTATAACCCCAAGGCTATTATTAGACAGGGGACGCGACAGGGTCTCATTGCCAGGGTCCTGGGGAAAAGGCGGCACATCGCAGCTTTCATTGTTCTTGCGTTTTCTCGCCTTCTTCAATCGCGCACTGCTCAATACCTCCATCTCACCAGGCGCGTTACTCCCTCAGCAGAGACCTCTAAGCTGTCTCTAATATGTATCGCGCAGTTGCGCAGTCAACGCCCGGCATCTGAGACTGTCTCTCGCCTGCGCCCGTGATCCACAGTTTGTCTCGGACATTCAACGGTCGCCGGGTGGGTGTTGATAGTTGAGATGCTCGCCCCGAAAAGATGGCTCAAGTATGCTGCGCTCGTAGTGTTCGTGACGACACTGTCGCTCTATTTGATTTTATACCAGAACACCGAAAGTATCTCCCGTCTGCCTCCGAGCACCGCAGCCTGGACAGGCAGCCCAACGGACGGACCTGAGAGCGCAGGCAGCAAGGATGTACCACCAGGCTCCTCACCAGCCAAGACCGACGACGGCCATCCGATATCAGACCTAATCGAGAGCGCATACGCGAGCTTCGCCGAGCTGCTCGGGAAGCGGTCCTGGAGTCTGTCGCAAGCCTCGGCGCGGTATCGCGAGCGCCGCGGCCGCCACCCCCCGCCGGGCTTCGACAAGTGGTTCGAGGCGGCGCAGAGCAACAATGCGATAATTGTGGAGGAGTTCTTCGATCGCGTCTACCACGACATCAACCCCTTCTGGGGCGTCGATCCCCTCGAGATGCGCCGGCGCGCGCACATGGTGGAGCCCGTCATTCGCGTCCGAGACGGCAAGATAGCGCACTTGGAAGGCGACGACAAGAACTTAGCGGGTAATGAGCGGGTGGTGCTGTGGTCGAAACTGGTTGAGGAGATGTTGCCGCATCTGCCGGATCTGGATATGCCGATCAACGTCTTTGACGAGTCTCGGATGCTCGTGCCCTGGGACAACATCACGGAATACATCGCAAAAGAGCAGGATGCGCGCGCGCAGGGAATCTTGCCACCCGCCGAAACGACGGCTAAGTACACGGCCTACTCCGACACGGACTTGGACTCGGAGCGGTATAATCCCAGCTGGGTTGACGATAAGACGGACATGTGGGATTACGTCGCCCGCGCATGCCCGCCCGACAGCCCGGGCCGGCAGCAGAAGAGCCTCGAGACAGCCACGGGCTCCATCGACGACCTCTTCCCCACCAGCCCGATGCCATTCACGAAAGACGGCTTCATCGCCAACTTCACACAAGCGCAGGACCCGTGTCTGCAACCCCACCTGCGCGGCATGCACGGCACGTTCGTCGAGAGCTTCAGCATGGCGGTATCGACGGAGGACCTGTTCCCCATCTTCAGCGGGTCCAAGATCACGGCGAACAACGACATCCTGATCCCCGGCGCCATGTACCTGTCCGATCAGGTGCGCTACTCCGGCGGCGCGGACTACGGCGGGCCCTGGGCCGCGAAGAAGACCGGCTTGGTGTGGAGGGGCACGGCGAGCGGCGGCCGCAACCAGGAGGACAACTGGTGGCACTACCAGCGCCACCGCTTCGTGCAGATGACGAACGGGTCGGCCGTCGCCCGCGCGGAGGCCTCTGGGGATGATGCCGAGGAATCCGGCCCCACCACCTTCAACCTCCGCGCTGCCGGGACGTACGACGTCCCGGCGCAACGGGAAGCCCGACTGGGGGCCTGGGTGGACGGGTGGAGCGACGTCGGGTTCAACCGCCTCGACTGCTGGCCCGAGCGGCACAACTGGCTGGGCCGCCTTAAGGTCGACTGTCCATATACTGACCCATTCTTCGCGCTCGTGGGGTCCAAGTCTATGCAAGAGCAATACAACACCAAGTTCCTCCCCGATGTGGACGGCAACTCGTACTCGGCGCGCTGGCGGGGGTTCCTCTTGAGCACGAGCTGCCCGCTCAAGGCGACCGTCTATGCCGAGTGGCACGACGACCGCATGGTGCCCTGGCTGCACTTCGTGCCCTTCGATAATACGTTCATGGATATCTATGCCGTCATGGACTATTTCCTCAGCGGCCACGATGCGCAGGCGCAGCGTATTGCGGAGGAGGGCCATGATTGGGCCCAGAAGGTGTTGCGGCGGGAAGACATGATGCTGTATGTTTGGAGGCTGCTGTTGGAATATGGGCGGGTGATGGACCCGAATAGAGATACTCTAGGTTTCGTCGACGACTTGTCGGGCACGCCGTCTTAGTACGGGCTGGTCCATAGTCAGCAACGGCGTAATTTTCAATGTTCTTCAATGTTGGTCAACGATCTTTTGCTTTGTCCCTTGTGAGGTGTGGTTGGATAGGGCTTGATCATCTTGGAGGAGCGCCTGGACTATCCTGCTGCCACACAAGGGCGATGCGGCAAACGCACCACAAGCGTATTCAGCACTGGCTGGCCAGCTCCTCCAGAGCGAGGGACTCAACCACGAGTGTTAGAATGCCCAAGTTCATGACGCCTCAGTGGTAAGAAGTGGGAATTCAACCCACTGAGTCGGCTTCAAACGGCTGGAGGTCGGCCAGCTAGGCGTCTCGATGGACCTCGTGTTCAGTTCGCAAGAGCACCGGCAGATGCTATGATCCAGATTCGACTCATTTGCACTTCTATGCTCCGGCCACCACTCTACAGGCCCTCGGAGGCTTTGGTCAAGCAGTTCACCGCTGACGAGCCAAACGGTGCCTACTCCTATTTGCCCAAGGTCACATGCTTGCAAGGAAAGATGGGATGAGTGCGTTTTGCTCCTCCCTGAACACGCACCAAGAAAGCGGTGGTACCGCTGTTTCGACAGCAAGCACGTGGCTAGTACGCTGAATTACATGGAAATTTTGATTGGATAGTTGTTCATTCACTGGCCTGGACGACAGATCTGTAAAGGCCATATGGCAAATCTGAAACTCGGGTAATGATTGCTTGGAGCATAACATTCACCACCATGGCGAGATGTACGGCCAGCATCCGGCTTGTTTATATTGCCTACCCCGGCTCCCCGGTCTTTGCATTTGAGGTTCATCTCCCATACTGAAAACCTACCACAGCCTCAACAGAGATTGCAAATCACCACTTCGCCCGCCGTCCACACATACTCCACCAAGCCTTCATCACCACCACCATCACCACAGTCACCACCCACCCTCACTCAATACATACTCCACGAAGCCGCAACAATGCACCACCACTCGACAATGAAGAACCTAGTGTTCCTGGCGTTGGCCACGCTTCCTTGCGGTCTGGCCACCACGGAAACCTCAGATCGGGACGTCAACTTCTGTTTCAACAAAAAGGACGGATACACATGTGGCGCGGACCTGGCGACCATCCTGCAGTGTGTCGACTACAACCACATCTTCATAGCCAGCTGCGCGGATTCCGGTCTTAGATGCACTTTCCTGGACGGTGGCATTCCTCACTGCATCGCTCGCAATGGCTAAATTGGCTAGCGCGCTTCCTCGGTAAGACTGCCAGACAGATGGACTGCGGTTGCGCATTTGCTGATACTCATACCGATGCTACCGAGTGCTGTGAGATCCCGCGTTTAAGATCGATTCTCCCTTCAATGCACGTCCCTAGGGCTATTGGAGGGCTGGGGTGATGGGATTTAGGGGAAATGAGCCGGCTGGGATGGTTCATGCAATGGTTGTCAGAGGATATAGGCACATTCGAGGCCAAAGCAGTTTTTGGGGTGTTTGTAGGAGCGTACTCGTAGTGTGAATCTTACCTATCATGCACGAGAAGTACTTTATGAGTTGTTTCGAGCCAATGGTCATCCCACAGTGAAACTCTTGAAGGCCGGGGTTCATGTTGACGGCCATACCGAAGCTCCAATGCTTCCATCTGCTGAGTCTGCGGTTTTTCCGTTCGCCGCGCGCAGAGCCCGGGCGGCAAAATCGGCCCGCCTTGCAGCCGCTCTGTCAGGAAGACCAGTCCTGATACCTGAATAGGGGTTGGCACCAGATGGCCCTTGAAGTCTTCGTATAACGCTACATTTATACCTGGTCCAGCTCGCAGACCTAAGCCACGACGGAGATGACTTCGGATGCGATGGCTTCGCATCCATAGTGGCCATGGCCTCGGTGACGGAGTTGGGGCTTGGCCTGGACGTATTCCGCTCTGTCGATTGTTGCAGAGGTCTCGAAGCCGCATTTCGCCACTGTTGAGACGCAACTTAGTTCGGCCACGCTGCTGCCCGCATAGATCTCCCAGGCCTCCACTTCAGTCGCACCGTTCCAGCTCATGTAGACCGAGGTGCCGTTGCCGTTCGCAGCAGTCTCGGCCACCACATCCGGTTTCGTCTTCGGACAGCCAGTCCAAGGCTGCTTGAAGGCTCTATACGATAGTGTGGGCTTCGAGTTGCTCAAAAAGCCACCCCCTGGCCGCGGCTTCGCAGCGCCAAACTGAATAGTGGTCAGAATCTCCCCAGAATGCGAGAACTCCTCCAGGACGGGGATCCAGCCATGACCGATGAAGACATTGCCGTCTGCGAGAGGCTGGTAATCACCCTGGGCGGTCGTGTAAATGGGGCCTGACTCATTGAGGTAGCGGTGCTTCAGCGTCACCTGCTTCGAGCTTAGATCAACGGAGAGGCTTTTGCCGGAAGTCGGGACGGTGCCGTTGTCGATGGGCGAGTTGTGGTTATCATGCATGTGAAGAGTGATTGATGATGTGTTGCCAAGTGATTGCTCGGGGATCGCGCGAATGTCATGCTGGTAGCAGAAGTCCGTCCCGTTGCCGAGCGTGAAGTCTCCTCCGTCTCGTCCTTGCAGGCGCCATTTGACCGTGCCATCAGCAGCAATAGCGATGGCACTGCAGAGGAATCGAGAGCTGATGAGATAGCCGCCATCGTATGGCGAGACGGCATTGATATGGAAGTAGCCCCAAGCTTGGCTCTGAGAGGCTCCTGTGAGCCCCTCACTCCCAACTGGATAGACCGAGGCTGTGAAAGGTAACTGATCCAGGTGGTCGAGGCTGTTCCACGAAAACAGTACCTTGTTGATCGCAATGTCGATCTCGTATATCAGTGCGGCGACTACCCACCCGTTTTCGGGACCGCCAACGGACGAAATGTCCGCCTGAGTCACATTGTTGGCTGTGACGAGCATCGTCCCATTATTCGTAATAAAGCTGCCGAAACGACAAGTTTTAGCAGCGTGCTTTCGATTTGGATAGTGCTCATCAGTACTTACATTTCATGGAGGTCAATGTTACTCGGAAATGTGGCGTTGACTACCTGCTCAAGGAAATTGCCGGCCAGTGTCGTCCTGTGAATCTGCTCATAGTGCCTGTTGTACATATACACCGCGCCATTGCCTCTTCCAATCGGTTCCGGATAGAGGCTGCCATTCCACCAGACAAGGACTTGCTCGCCATGATATGTTTGCACCCCGAAGTTGAAGGCGTGCTCACCTGGGCCGTTCCAGACGAGCTCGCCGTCCATGTCCATGATCAGAGGGGCCAGCTCATACTCCGTGGCTCCATCGGGTGCAAAGAAGAGGTAACCTTCCGATAGCTTCGCTCGGTGAGATATCTCCAAGTATGGTGGCGTGAAGTTGACCGACTTGTATGTTTGATATGGCCATGATGCATCACCAGTGGAGTTGGCCGGTACTGCGGCGACCGTGAGAGTCGCAAGGATTAGAGGTACGAAGGGGCGAAGCGGACGCATCTTTTATTGACCTCTGCAAGCTTCGCCGTAAGTCTATGTTGGCAGGATGGTTGTTATTGTGGTGCTTTTCGACCGTCGTAAACATGTTTATGCTTATATGCCCTGTGCTAACCCTGCACTTCGACAGATCTAAGATTTGCCGATCATTACGTAGTCATGACGCGCCCTTCGGACAGATGCTACTAGCTCAAAAGGAGTTAACACTAAATATTATTACGAACATCATCGCTTTCGTCGTCGCCACCGTCTTCATCCAAGATAACGTGAATGAATTAAGGTTACGAGACACATGCGGGATAGGGGTAATCACTGTACCCGCCTCATTAAAAAGACATGCGTGGGTACCTATGTAGATCACAGCAGTAATAAGTCCAGCTTTAAGGCCTTGCCGTCACACTCGATGGCTAACAGACAATTGAAGGAACGTCCACGTTGCATAACGATGTCCCCCTGGGAGAGAAGTACAGCACCAGAGGCTGGAGCAGAGCGCCAAGCCATGAGCGGCGAAGGACGCTTAATGAAGGGAATATATCTATTAAAGAGAGTGGTGAACATTAATACCTAGTTCTCCGCCGATTCCAGTCCTGTCAGAGCCTGCCCGCCGCCAGAGTCTATTCCCATTGCCCCGTCTTACACAGATGACCGATTTTCTGCATGAGATTCAGAACCCCCACTCTGGCACCTGGGGAGTTCCCCCATGTGACGAGTTGAGGTTCTTTTGTAGATCTCATCTGCAGCTAGTCAACTTGTTGGATATCATACGAGGCTTAAGCTTTCGGGGCTGAATGCGCTAATGGGCTTATACTTTCCGGACATTCAGATGGCGTCATTATCATATGATTATCTGGTCACCCTGATGGCACACCTGTACACATAGATGGGGGCTTCTCCCCCAGAGATCTTCTTCTCTTCTCTTCCCTTTAAATCTAGAACGGTTTGAAATCTCACACAACTCGTCTACCTGGGTCTTCCACACCGGATGAATAGAGGCCGAAATAGAAGAGATGTTCCCAGGCTCTTTTCCCTTCGCCGTGCAGCTCCGTGTAGGCACATGAGTTGGGATGTGGAAAGTAGTTGCTGTACCAGACCATGTTCTTTTTCCTATGCCTGCTCTTTTTCCCAGTCCGTAGAAGAACGGCAATCACCCTCGCTACATCCTCATCCGCAAAGGTTCCGAAACGGTCGATATAAAATGCTGTGCTAGAGTCGGTTTCCCAGTCGAGATAGCCGATGATTTCCAGTGCGGCATGGAATCGTTTCGCCTGATCCGTGTCGGCCAGCTTGCTTATTTCCTCTTTGATCTGAGGACCTTTCGAACAGCTGTATCTGGGCAGAGCCTCGAGCATTTGGTACATCAGAGGGACGAGTACATGCAGCTCTTCTTTGTCGTCACCGTAACATGTTGAAGGATTCTTGCAGAAAACAAGGTGTATGTTTTTAGCGGCGGACATCTCGTTGTACATATAACTCGCAAGTCCATTCATGCAGTCTGTCGCTGGGGACCGTAGATCAAGCATGTTTCTTCCCTTCACGTCCATCCAACGTTGAATGGCATCAAAGGCTCTAGGAGGGATTCTGTGGTCAGGAGTCAGTGGCTCGTCGAGTGGTTTAAGATTTCGCAATGCAGTGTTCATGCATAAAAGAGTCCAGGACTTCTAGCAGTTGTGCTTTGCCGACTTCAGTCGGGCCACGAGCAGACGGGCCTTTCTGCTGCGGCATGGATGCGGCATTTTTGGACGCCATTGAATATATCGAAAGGGTTCTCGGCTTGATAGTCGGTGGATCGACAGGTCGTTCTGCGGTTCGAGAGATGAAGAGCAGGACATGAACGGCAGGGCCGTACTATTTGTAGACCAGATGAAGTTGGAGGACCCGTCCCCTCTTGTTCATGTGCCCTATCAAGCAGCACGAACATACCCAACATACTGTCGCAAGACCAACGGTGTCGGGTCTTGTCGCACGAAAGAATTGTCTGATACCCAACAGCTTGGACTCGAACGAATGATCACTCAAGAAAAGCGAGCCAACGGGCTGGTGACCCATATCCGTCATATAAAAAATGCGAGGGTGATGCAGCAACAGGAATTCTCATTGTTCGCAATCGCGCCGTATGAAACGGTGCACCACACCTTCGCGATGTGGACAAAGAAACGTGGAGCACTAACACAGACGTTGGTGCGGAAGCGGTTCGCTTAATGTCACCAGACCCGCTGTAGAACACCAACATGAACATCTACATCCAACCACATTCAACACCTCTTCCTCGTGCTACCAACTAAAATTGGGCCAACCGGTATTCTCCTTCGTTCTAGAATCTTTGACCCAGGGTATCAACGATCTCTTCGCAGCCATGAGAGTTAAACGTCCCACGAACATCCAACCATCTCGGTAACAGGGCATTGACGACCACGACCATGTCTAATTCACAAGACGAAGCACATATCACCATGCAGTGCGATGCACAGCTTCAAGAAGCACACGAATCGGAAGTCGTTAAAGAACACATGCTCAGTGTTTTACAAGATCTCATGCAGAGAGAAGGCATCGCAGAGCCCGATGTTATCCACGATTGTCCAGCACTTGACCAGCAAGACATCAGCTTCGAAGCCTTAGGTGCCTTGAACCGATGGATTGACTTCAAAGGAGGCAATCTGGTCGACTTTAACTTTGCGGCGGCACCAGACTGGTTGTTTTGTTTGTTTTGTATTTAACGTGGGGGTAGCTCCTCAGTAGTGCAAACCACGCCTCCCAGAGCCTCTGCATCGCAGGGTTGTGGAGGTCTCAAGATAATAAGTACAGTCAGTCCCGCTCACGGGCCCATCCCCGTTGTTGCGGCGGTATGACCTTGGGGTCATCCATCTGGTCCTTCAAGGAAGGCTATCTATCGGGGGCAGATTGTTGAAAAGAACTTGCTCTTCTCCACGAATTTTGCCCATTCTGTGCTCCTCTCCCCTAAGTATTGTAAACAAGCTGCCCTAGGCGAATGCCTAGGCAGTAGCCGATTTTTCCCCAGCCTCTTACAAAAGAAAATGTGTTGTGGTGTTTTCTTCTCACCACAGCTGCAGTGATCATTTGAATCTGTGTGCCCAAAGCGTTCATGGTATCTGGCAAAGTCGCCATGTCCAGATCTGGCCGCTAGAAGTCTGTGTAAAGTACTCCTCTTAAAAGATATAAGGTCTCTTTTAGTTACTGCATGTGAGTATACTTCTTGATACCTAGATTCTGATTGGTCTTTCCACCATTGGTTGAACTCTTTCTTGCCCTGTCTTTTGAGATCTCTCTTGACCCAAGAGATTGTAGGAAGATTTATTGTGTCTGTTTCCAGCATGGCACCCTCTTTTGCTAGTGTGTCGGCAGCTTCGTTGCCATCAATATCTCTGTGTCCAGGAATCCATTTGACGGTCACTCCAGGAGTGTGTGCTGTGGCAAGTTCTTGAAATCGTAGAAAAATGTTTTGTGATGTCTCGGGTGGAGTCCCATTGAGCCCATCTACCACTGACGTGTTGTCTAGGCAGACATATAGCTGTTTTCCGTGTCCAATTGCCCTGGCTGCTGCAAGACCTTGGAGAGCACCATGGACTTCAGCATCTACTACTTCTGCTTGTAGAAGTCTGCCCCTTCCCCGGTATACTTCTTGTGTAGTGCCGCCTTTCCTGATGGTATAACCCCATCCAGTGCGGATTGTGCCTTGGTCATCCAACTGTGATCCATCTGAGTAGATGACAAGGTCAGTGTTCACGTTTCTCTCTTGTAACCATTGCTTGAAGAGCTCTGTTTCTTTGTCTTTGTCTTTGCGGATTGGGCGCTTCTTCCATGATGGCCTGGTAAGTATTGGTCTCTGGAAGTCAGGGACTAGCTGGAAGCTTCTTTATAGCCTTGTTGGATCCTTGCGAGCTTGTATTTGGAGCCTGCCAACCAGAGGGTGTCTCTGATCTATTCGTCCTAGTCGGAGGCCGTGACGTCGTCTTATTGACTCTGCAAGAACTCCTGCTGGGGGAATCTGCGATTCAAAGTGTAAGATATGTCCAGGGTGTGTTTTCCAGACTGGCAAGATAGCCCTGATCGCCGTTCGTAGTACGGCATCTATTGTTCCAAGAAGCCCCTTAATGCGACATGCTGATGTCTCACCTAAGCTCCCAGTTTTCTCGATTCCTGGGTACCAGGCCTCCAGGCCATGTGTGAGAATAGGAATAACACAAGCTTTCACAGCCCTCTTGGTTGACTTTACTGGAAGTCCTTTGACTGTGTTGCATAGTCCTCGAAGGTGATTTGCTACCCTACTAGCTTTCTTGGCCCAGTGAGAAACATGGTCTTTGAAGTTTAGTTTCCTATCCAGAAGGACACCTAGCCATCGCATGGAATGCTTAGCTGTTTTGTTCATTGTTCCGTGGCAAACTGGGGGATTGTCTGAGTTCTTTTTCCGTGAGAAGTGCATGATCTCGGTTTTGTCGGGATCAAATTCAATAGCATTGTTATGTCCCCATTGGTTGAGCAAATGAAGGTTTTCAGAAGCCTCTGCAGCTGTTTCTTTAAGGTTCTTTCCAATGCAGAGTGTTGCTAGATCATCTGCATATCCAAAGCGTCTTCTTTTTATGCCAAGTCGGGCACAGATTGGCTCTGTATACAGCATGTAGAGGATTGGAGAGACTGGTGAGCCTTGTGGGAGCCCACAGGTGAGAGCTTTTATATCGGTCACAGTACCTTCAAACCGAACTCTTGCGGACCGCTCGGACATGAACGACTGGACCCATCTTATGAGAAAGCCTGGCCAGCCCTGTTCTCTCATGCGAACCACCAGCCGTCCCATTAGGGCAGCATCAAAGGCCCCTTTCACATCTGATGTGACTACCGTTGCAACGAGGCCTTGGTCAAGGGCCTGCTCAATATCGTGTATGAGTGCAGCTACCAGGTCAGTGGCAGAGCGCTTGGCACCAGACTGGGTGGCATCCCTTCCTCTCTATATCTACCAGCGAATGACAAAAGATCTTCACGGAAGAGCCACCGCCTTTTTCTGCAAATCGCCTCAGGCGAGTGAAGATGGCGAACAGGCGGTTTTGGGCTTCCTCTCACGACTGATACTTCAGATGTTCAGAGCTCTTCCGGCAGATATATGTGCCAAGCAGGCGGGCAAAGTGGATTCTTTGCATGCATTGTTCAACCCAGCAAGGGCCACGAAGTCACGCAATGAAACGGGCTTGTTTATAATCAACTCGCTGATTCGCGAGTATGGCCCTGGCGTCGTGCTCTTCGTAGACTATGATCTTTACAACCTTTCACTAGATCTATCCGCAAAGATCAACAATGCTCTCTTTGGACCTGGGAGACACAACAAGATATGGTTCAGCTGCCGCCGGACGAAGGATCGTCCGTCCTTCTACCAAGAGTGGTCTGTGGAAGACAGGATCTTTACTCATCGAGAGGTAGACTTCATGCCCTCTCCTGCATCTATGGAAGTGTCGCATAGAAGGGTTAGCGATTTGGTCATGAGAGAACCATTTCGAGCACCTGAACCGATCACATTCACCGCAATAGAGACATGGACCCCAATGGAGGGAGATAAGTGGAAGATAGAGACACGCACCCAAATGGAGCGAGGAAAGTGGAAGGTCGATGGGAAACTCGAACGGTTGAAGACATGGACCCATAGGTTATGGGAGTATGAGACTATGGAAGGCATCTTTCCAACACCACAACAGTCCTAGCAGCCTGGGACATGCCGAGACCCGCACCTGAATCTTCAGTGATCTCCCTCAGTCTGAGCCCTCGGACCGTTACGAGTACTACGCGTGGGAATGCTGCAGATCCGAAAAGTTGACTGCTGAAGACGAGGCAGGTCACATCAAATGCACACACTACATTGAGTTCAACATCTACGACGAACGCATTGTCACAGTGATTGGACGACAAGTTCATGGAGAGAGTATGTCGGGAAGGATATTGCCCATAGTTGGGCTTTGGGTGCAGGACATTGGGTGAGGATGGGCGAGGGGGTACGAAAAGGGGGGCGAAGGTGGTTGTTCTCTCCCTTTTCTTTCTTTCGTTTTCCTTTTCATACCCCTCTTGTTTTCGGTTCTTGGGCCATGGTGTTTAGGTTTCCTCGTTTCGTTTTGTCTTTTCTCGTTTGTCGGTTTGCCGGTTTGGAGTACTTCGGGTTTGGCGTTTCCGGGAACGTTTGGTGGACTGGAGTTGCGAGCATTGATCTTTGGTTTTGATTTTATACCTCGTTCGTTTGCCCGCCAGGATACTTGACAGATTGCGTTGAGTTAGTGTGTAATGGATTTTACATAGCGTTGCGATTCTGTCCTACTCTTCTTGCCTCGTGTCGGTCACCCCTGCAAACCACCCAGACCTCGTTGACCATGGATGCCATTCCACTTCACAGCAAGACTAAGAGAGGAAGTCATGGAAGAACAATATCAGTGTAAGCCGTAGCCCGACCTATGACGCTGTGTCAGAACAGTTTCAGTCCGGATGACAACTGTTCTTACCCTACTATTTCGTCCGCGCCATCACGTTGCAGCAGAGTCCTCCGTCACACCCTTTCGCGCCAGTTCCCAGTCCTCGAACTCCCGCCGCGCCGCACAGGCCCTCGTACCATACGAGTACGACCAAAATGCCGGGATTCCCCTGAAGACGAGCTGGGTAGTGATTACCACTATCAGGAACGTTCCTGTATATATAAGAGTTAGAAAACAGACATGCTTGCAGAGCGGTTTTGGTTCAGCTCGCATGAAGACTCTGTTGGCCAGCTGGTCGTGATAGCCGGGGCATTTGCTGAGGAAACGGGCCTCAGGCCATCAGGCTACTAAGCCAGGGGGAAAGGGGGGATATCTTACGGGGTCGTCCAGTGGGGTTCAATGGGCTCCACCGGCGCTCGTGGCGCGCCGCCCGGGGGGCTTCTCTTCGGCGTAGGGCGGCATATTCCTCTTCGATTTCGGCGTTCAGCCGATCCAAGGTTTTGCGTGCATCTGGTCTTCTCTTGATACCTTCCCGAAACCACTCAGGGTCCCTGCCCGCTTGGAAATCGCGCCAGGCGGAGGTAAGCTTGCGCGCGGCGCCGTAGGTAAGATAGCCAGAAACGAGGGGCCATCCGAGCGACTAGTAGCGTTGCCACACGAATGGCCGGGGCGGAGCCAGCAGCGGCTGGGCAGCGCCGTAGCTGGTGTGCTGTGATGCCATGATGTGCGCTTCGGGATTGCAAGCGAAGGGGGCTTGATTTATCTGAGTGGCCACTCAGGGGCTAATTGTGGGGGTTGGTATTATGAATCTGTGTGGCTGTGGCTGAGCTGGTGGCTAATGTGGCTGGCTAGTGGCTAGTGGTGGCTCCAAAAGATTCCGGCTGATCACTGAGATACATGTAGTTCTTAACGGACCATGACGTTCACAGGACTTTTCGCGACAAGTCTTTCTCTCGTCACGTGCGAGGCAAGGAAGATCTCAGGCCGCAGAATGACGCGGATGACCTTTCCTCTATTGGGTTGATGGTGACATGAGTGAGACACATCGCCGAACTACACCAGCCCCGGGCATTTCCCACGCGCGGAACTGAAATATCGCTAGTTGTGCAAAGGCCGAGATGCCACATCGCTTCAAGAAGGGTTCCCAGGGGGAAAGGCTCTTGCCCTCCTGGCAATTGAGTTGTCTTGAGAATCTGAGCTTGAGTGTTTGCTCTAGAGTCCCTTCTCAAAATGCCTTCATGGGAACAAGGAAATGGCCTAGGTTGACATGAGAACTTGCTACACTGAACCTCCGGAAGTCTCCGTACACGCCTTATTCACCAAGCGAAAGCTGATTTATTAAATCCGGAAAAAGCAGTCTGGAATAAGCATCACATAAGGCTCGTTGCATTAAACCTGCTTATTCCAGGGAGCTTATTTTATTAATACGAGTGTAGCACTAATACTGAAGTGTTGACAGAAGCATGACGGACGGGGACTTATAAGGGGTGACTGTAATGGAGCACCGCAACAATACTTCCTAAGCACCACTCGCTGAGTGCCTACCCCCATACACGATGGCAATACTCGATCCAATACATGCTGAGCCAAAATACCCCTGAAAAGGGGCAACGCCAACCTACCAATAATCCCAAGCAACACAAACCAGAAGCACAAACGAAGAAGCAAAGGTCTCATTGATTCCAGTTCGATATCCATTTTACGTCCTCAACCTCCATGTATCTCATCTCCAGAGATCCGAAGGTTATCGCTGCGCTCTATCCATCAAGGGTCGGCAGCCAGCCAGCCAGCATCAAAGCTAAACGTACATGAACTCGTCATTACACACAACATACGGTATCAACCTGATATCCCAAAGACCTGTCTGTCCATCATAGCCTGAACGCCTGGGGGCTCGATATGACGCCAGTATCATCCATCGCCCGGACTTACCTCATCATGAGTCCGGCTAATTCCATTTCCATTGCCATCCCACATGACATCACATTACACCAACCCATCCCAACCCATCCCAGTTCGTCACGTCAACCGAGAACCACCTCACCTCCCTACACTACTGCCGATACTGCTCATAGTCTCGCTAAAGCGACTGCTGACGCGGCTCCCCAGCCCGCCCATCCACTGTGGCACCTTCAGGCTCATGCGCACGCGGCCCTCGACGACCATGTTGACGGCGTTGAGCACGGCAAACGTCGTGCTGCCAATGGCGCGGAAGATGGCCAGACTCGCGACGGACCACAGGATGAAGGTAAGATAAAAGTTGTCGCCGACGTGCACGTACCCGTACGCCTCGGACACGGACATGGCTAGGATGGCGTTGGCCACCATCCAGATGACCACCATATAGGTGCGCACGGAGCGGTAGTAGTCCTCCTGCATCTGGGCCTCCGAGGTCGGCGGCGCGGGCACCTCGACGCGATCCCTCAAGTTGCGCAGTGCCTCGTCGTAGCCCGAGTCGATGTCAAGCTGCTCCGACGGCATCTCGAGCTCGACCGTGCCGTCCGCCCCATTGCCGACGGCGCCGCCCAGGTCCGTCTTCATGACGTTGTCGCCCTTGGTACCCCACGTCACGTCGTGCGTGTTGCAGAACGCGTACACCTGCAGCGTGCAGATGTAGCTCGGCAGCAGCATGAAGTACTGCGCAGCGCTCGTGAACATGTGCCACGGGTCCAAATACAGAAAACTCATCAGGAAGTACAGCCCCACCGTCGACGCCAGCGACAGCACCAGGTTCGTGAAGACGTTGTGCCCGAGCGTCACCGAGTCCTTGGCCGACACGGTCCGCACCACGATGTACACGCACGCGAACGTGTTGTACGCCATGATGATGCCGTAGCAGATCATGCTGGTCAGGTAGAGCTTCTTGGCGCCCTGCGGCCGGTTGCCGAGGGACAGGATGAATTGCATGCTGGTCAGCAGGACAAAGACGTAGCGGAGGATTGTAAAGATGTACAGCGCGATGTTATGGCCGAAGGGGTCCACCGTGGGATCCGTCAGGCCACCAGCCACGAAGTAGAAGGTCAGGTAGAAGTTGGCGAGGGAGAAGTAGGTGAAGAGGAGCTGCAGCGCTTGGTACACGAATTCGACATGCAAAAGCACTTTCCGCGCCAGGGTATGGTCGGTTGACCATATCTGCTTGAAATGCACGAGCGAGTAGACAGCAGCGAAGAAGGCGCCGTTCAGCCAACGACGCCGTTGGGAGATAAACTCCGGGACAGTATCTTCAATCGTGTCAGCTCTCATTATCACCAACACCGTCAGTCGAACTGTCAGTACTTACCAGGAACGTCAGTTTCGCCGGTGCAGCCCTTCACATACTTCAGCACCCATCTTTCACTGCGCTTGGCCACCAGCTCCCAACACAGGATACGATCTTCGGCCAGATACATGTTCGCAGTGAAGACGTCGGCATGCTGACCATGCAGCGTCTCTCCCTTGAAATACTGGCTGAGCGGCCCGTGACCCGTCTCGTCGTTCTGTAGGGCATGGTAACGGTATGCACTGAGGGCACCCGGTAGCACCGTGATGTATCCAAAGACAGACTCCAAAGGCTTGTCCAGGATATTCGACATTTTGTATTCGAAGTTTTGCGACGCGACTAATGGGTTGAGGAGATTGCCGCCGAACTTCCTGATAATATGTTAGCTGCTAAACTCAAACCTAGAGAGATATTTCTAACCCTTTCATGGCCTTGATCTCACCGCAAGCGCCGGCCACGTTAGAGTCGGTGTCGAAAGCTTTCCACAGGTGATACAGAGAGTTGCTGCCCGGCTTGGTTCCGACATCGAGCAGGATGCAGACGTTGGGATTCAAGGCCCTGCCGAGTGCGTTGAAGAACCATCGGTGCGAGTTGAGCTTCCGTTGGTTCCGCTCCTTCAGACAGAAGATCATCTGACAAGGCACGATGCCCTTCTCAGCGCCCTTGAACTTGAGGTCGGCGTCGAGCGAGACTTGTGTGGTGTATTCGTAGACATGCGCCTGCACCGCCTTTTGGTTGACGAAGTTCTTGGCGATTCCGTGCTGGTAGACGCCCATTGCGGCCAGCGCATCCAGCGTTCTCGGGTGGATCTTCTCTCGTCCATCGGATACGACGCAGACGACAATCTTCTGCCACCCCTTCTCACCCCAGGTACGTGACTTGTTGCGTGAACAAAAATGGCTGACGTTCTTCATGATGGCGTGCATGGTGCGCGTGAACCCGATCTCGTCTTCGTTATACATGGTGACGCAGATGAACAGTTCCGTCTCTCTGGTCGTCCGGCCAATGTTCTGTCTCAGTTTGTATCCCTTCTCGACGAAATCGTCCGGGTCGCATGTTACCGCCGTGTATCGCATGTGGGTGAATTCGACCTCGTCCCGGCGGGGCAGAAAACTGTACAAGATGGTCGGGATCTTGCATTCTAGGATAAGCTCGCCGTTGATGAGATGCACCTCCTTCTTCGACGTGACTGGATTGCGCACACCGCGGCGTTCCTGGTGTCCTTCGGGGGCTGAACCGTAGAACTCGACCTTCTCGTCCAACGGCGTCTGCGCTTCCTCCTCATTAAGGGTCATCTGCGACTGTGCCGCGTACGAGTCTCTATAAGGCCGCGCGCCACTGATATCCGACTCAGGTCCGAACACGTCATCACCTCCATCTAGCGGGATGTTGACAGTAGCATCATCGGCCGTGAATTGGGAGCCGCGAGCCGCCGCTCCGGAGAACAGGGGTGCTGGTGGAAGAGGTCTACGAGGGCTGCCGCCGTATCTGGAGGACGGTGTCCCCGGCCTTGGACTGCCATGTAGATCTGGTGGTTCGTATTGCACGCCAGAAGGCGGCGGACGGCCATAGTCAGACGTTACGGACATCCTCGATGGACTCCAGGACCGTGTGGGTGACCCGTTTTCTCTGGCCCGAAAAGGCTCGTAAGCTGAGTCTGGGAGTGGAATATGTGGAGGATCGAGGATCGATGACGCTCTAGAGAGTGAAGATCTGACTGAATGTTGATATGCTCGGCGTGGACTCGGTCGGATACTGTTATGTTTCTTGTGTGAGCTACCGCTGTTATCTGTACTGGGTCTGCTTGGAGATATGAAGGTGACTTTGGGCGCATTGTTGCGAAGAGAACTTCTTCTTGGGGACGGTCCTTCAGGGATGGACGGCAGACTCTGCGCGATCTCGGCCTCGACCACGTGCGCGGGTTTCTTCTTTCTCTGCAACTTTACAGTGGGAGAGCGCTTGGGGATGTCTTTGCGCTTCGGTGATGTGGCACCGGGGGAAGTAGCCCCGACACCGTTTCTTGTAGGTGTCTGGGCCTCCTCTTGCTTCTTAAGCGACTCGAGGTGATCCGGTGTGGATATCTCGACCGTGATCTTCTCCTTGGCCAAAGCAAGCGGAGCTGGAACGAGGGCTGGAGGGGCCAATGCCGTCTCTGGGTGTACATACGGTCTCGTCTCTGGCAGCGGTTCTTCCATAGACGTCAGTAGTCTGACTGCTGCTCCTCCAGACCCAGTGGGCGTGTGATCGTGCTCGTCGTCATAGCTGGGGAGAGCGTAGTCGGGCGGTCGAGAGGGTATGCCGTCCATTGTTAGTTATGGTCGCAGAAGGCGGCGCAACTGTGTCGTGAGACAATGACTGCTGGTGTGGAAGCAATGGAATGCGATGCCAGCACAAGCTCCGTTTCGTTGTCTCGTTGTCTCGTTGGTCCGTTCGAGATGTAAGTATGTCAGGTAGGAAGGTAGGTAGCTTGCTTGCTAGCTGGCTGGTTGGTTGGAGTAAACAGATTGCTAGGTATGCGACGCCACGCTGCGGTAGATTCTTGAAGCACAGGTTGAACAGACAGAGTTGGGTGATTCTTGAGAAGGCCACTACAGGTCCAGCGAATAGTGAGCTGTTATCGGGGAAGCTCGGGACCTTGGGACCTTGGGACCTTGGGAGGGTGGAGGGGCTGACAAGAGCTTTGTTGTATTTTGGGCGTCCTGCCGTTCGCTGTTGTCGGGGCAACCCCCGTCTACCCCCGGCCAGGTGGGCAGGTGGGCAGGTGGGCAGCCCGTTCAGCGAATCGGGGAATTTCCTTAGCGGCCCGGCTTGGCAATGCGCCATCCCCTCTCGGAGTCTTGGCCGTTTGCCGCGCGACTATTATCTAATCCTCGCACATCAACTCTCACGTACTGCCAGCCAAGTAGCGACGGGCACCGATGCGCCCATTACGAATTGAAGCCAGGCTGGTCAGTTGGCGGGACTTGGAATGTCGCACAAGTGGCGCCAATGACCAGATTCCATCTTGATCTAACCCGCCGGTCTATGTCCTTCGTTATCCCTGAATAGGAGATAGGCTCTCTATTAGATCACCTTACACACCTGATTGGATCTCCATGTGATATGCCAGAAACTGAAGATGGCCAAGTGTGTGGAGACGAGCCGACTGCAAGGCAATGATATCCCAAATGCGAAACACATAGATTAAAGACTAGGAGAGGAACAAGAAGCCCACTGTTCTATATGCAACTTTTTCCTTTTCCGACCTTCTATATGCTCACAAGCTACCTGTCGCGCAGCCGCTTGCCGTGCCAGTGACAGAAGAAGAGTCACAGGTATAAAGCGTATAGTACAGTCGAGGTTGAGGTTACCGAATCGGCGTACAGAGACCGCGCAGTAAATGGCAGACAAGTTACCATCAAGTTGCGTAACATGGTGGGTACGTCATGGCTATCTGTCACATATAATGGAATAGATGTTGTGGCTCGATTAACATCTGGCCAGACAGCTGGCTAGGCTCTATCATAAATGGATATCTCGCTCTGGCCTGTTGGCTTGGCTAGCCGGGAGCCCCTATGAAACTCTAATCATGACCCTGATCGTCTCACACTATCCTGCCGCGAGGCCGCGTCCCCTAACCAACACATACAGCCTCGCGACGACGGCGCGTACGTCTTCATGACGCCAGGGAAATGATCCATCAGGAACATGCGCACCTGCTCATCCAGCTGCAACTTGCTCCGCAAGACATTTACGGTTCCCTCGATCTTGAGACCCTCCAAGTTTCTCGCGCGTGAGAGGGCGACGTACGCCTGGCCCTTCTCGTACACATTGCTCAGGTTCACGACCACCTTCTCCAGCGACAGGCCTTGGCTCTTGTGGATCGTCATGGCCCACCCCGGCGCAAGTGGGATCTGCGTCCGCATGAGGCGGCTGTAGGGCTTGTTGCCCATCTCACTAAGGCTGCAGTGCGGGATTATAAGGCGAGGCGAGCTGTCGTCGTGGAAGAGCACTTCCGGCAACATCATGTCCCTCGTCTCCGCGGCGGTCATGTAGTCTCGCACCTGCTGCCATCGTGCCAGAGCCCGCTCATAGGCGGCCTCGGGATCCGGGTCTTTCTTATAGCTTTTGAAATCCGGCGACTGCGGTACCTGTGTCTCGCTGATGGGTTTGAAGTCAACGATGATGCCCTGGCTGCCGTTGCACAGCCCCCCTTCGAGGTCGAGATTGACCAGCAGGATGACGGGCATCCCAACTTTCAGCGTAAGCCGCATATCAAATCTGTGATCCTGCAGTTTGCGCAATGGCTGATGTTCACGACGTCGAGGCCCCCGATTCTGGTCAGGGATGAGCATCTCAAGATCCCTCAGATCATCATCGTGGCAGTCGAAAACGTCCAGACACCAGAACTCCTCCCCCCTGCTCGGGAGCTTCGCCAGCTGCTCGTCGTTGTGTTCCTTCACCTCGTCGCGCTTAGCAAAGAGCCGCACGCCACCCTCGACCTTGCGTTGCCCACGCGTCAGGAGATCGATGTCCTTGGGCGTCAACTCTCCACCCAGTCGGCATGTCTGGAGGACCCCAATCAGGGCTTGATCGCTCTGGCGATGAATCTCGACCAAGTGCACGTATCGAAACTCGCAGCGTTCCCACTCGACACTCTTGTAAGCCCATTTATCATCTTTGGCGTGACTGCCGTGCCCCTTGGGACACGTATACGTCGACTTAGAGCCCCATCCCAGGCCTTGATATCCTCGCCGCATACAGCACAGTTCTGGAAGGGCAAAACAGGCGGCAACTGACAGAAGTCGCCAACGGCAATGACCTGGGCGCCTCCGAAGGGGCCCCAGGTCTCTGGCTTGGAATCCTTGCGTCGAACGGCGCTTAACAGCCAGCTAAGCCGGGTGAAGAAGTTGTTCTCGATCATGCTGATCTCGTCAATGATCAGGACGTCGGTGCCCGCCAGCCGCTTCCAAATGTTTCGTCCATGCATTTTCAGCTCTAGCACCTGCAAGTCTTTCCTACTGTCTTCTGGCTGCCACCCAGCGTAGTTCCACGTCGTCCTGCCGTCCACCTGCAGAGCTGCCAAGCCCGTCGGTGCAATCGTGTGGACGTTTTTGCCCATCGCCCTGAGCCGGTCGCGCAACGCTTTGACGCAGACGGATTTCCCGCAGCCGCCAGACCCGGTGATGAACACGTTGTGGCCTTTGACGGCGAGGTCGACGGCGTCCTGCTGCTCCTTGCAGAGAACGGGATCTGTTGGGGCCTCGGGCTCTGAAGATAGAGGTATGTAGTCTTCTGCGGACGATTCTCCTTCCGTCATTGGCGTCTCTACAGGGCTGCGGTCTGACGAACGGCTGCCTGATGATTCGCCGTCGGACGATGTAAGTGAACTCGCGGCCGAGGTTTCAACAGTGGGAGTGTGCACCGCTGTCCTGGGAGCGGGCACGTTTACTCGCGTCGTCATCCGATTATTCAGACGTTGCACTTCTCGAGCGTCGATCTCATCTTGTCGAGCGAGGACGCTGGGAAGGTTCTCGCGTATAAAGTCATTCTCGAGGTATTGTAGAGACTTTGCACGACTTGTCTTCAGGGCAGTCAGTACGTCAGCTGGAGCCTGGAAACCCCAATACAATTATAGCGTTAAATATGAAGCAGCTTACGAAGTACGTTCCCTAATTCCCTTCTGCTGAAACCTTTGGTCTGCGCTTGAGCGCCGTTCGGTCCATCCCAAGACGTATAGATGCCCGGCTTCTTGCCCACGAGCACAGCCCAGAATTTCTTGGAGCGCAGATCGATACTGCTCTTCCACTGGGCTATTATGAGTTCCATTCGCTCTTCCATCGTCTGGCCCGGGCTCGTAGCCGAGTACACATTAGTGGGCGCATGTCGGGTTGGCGAGTTCGATATCACGGCGGACGTCTGAAGGTTGTCCTAGGGGTCTGAGCTTGATATACTGAAGTCTTGTGGCAATCCATCACGAACAGACAGTCTGGGTCTCTTGGATGCTGGCTCGGGCAAATAGGCGGTCGCGGACGGTCGCTTCGTCGCGCTGCTACCAGCTAGAGCCGGGATACAGATGTTAGCCCAAGACAGAGACGCTATGGTCAGTCTTCTTGAGCTTATCACTCACTGGTATCGATAAAGTATAAAGGGCTGTCCGACATGTCGAGTAATATTACAAGTCGAGCCAAAATAGCGATTGATCTGATCCTACTCTCGACAACGAGTCTAAAGAAAGAGAGTCGTTCCACGTCGAGGTCGCGACTCGCCAGGTTATAATTTACGCGTTCAACTAGCGGCAGGGTTTACGCCTGCATAGCTTCTTATAGTGCTTGCTTATTACCGATGTTACCACAATAATCAAGACACCCTACCGAGAGTGTCCTCCCTTGACAGCATCACCACCCCAATTTATCACTACGTCCAGGCCCATATGAGATTCACGAACATATAAAAGAGGATATTACTTTGGGGTTCTGGAATGAGTCCAGGCCTCTATGGGTGGCGGACAATTCATCCAGATCGTTAGCTGACTTCATCTCACAGCCCTGCCCCCATACATCAGGTTGTTGGGAAAGCAATGGGTCTTTGCAGGTGTACCCTTACCGGTAGCTGCCAGTGATGGCTGAGCCGCTTTTTCTATGAGCACGTCGCGTGTGATTCTAGCCTCATTCCGACTGTTCCCTCGTTGGATTATCCAACGACGGCCCATCACATACCCCATATCTGCTTCCAGCTCTTCTCGTCGCGACCCAACGGCGCGTTGGACACGCCAAATCTAGCAGGCTCTCCCGAGTTCGGCTCGGGCAAGCAGAACCACTCCCTGATACAATCCGGTATCTCCTCTCTGACGTGACTGATACATATCAACGCCTGTTCCTCGGTCAGGCCCCCGACCTTGACATTGCCTGCAAGCGAGGCCTCACTCTCGACGACGATCTCCGAGCCGTCGTCTTGTTTGGCGTATTCTCTCGTCTCGCCCTTCTCCAGGAATAGCAGGCAGCGGTTTCGGACGCCGTCGTCCATGCCACTGCACGCTTCGTCGAGGACGACGATGTCCGGGTTCTTGATGATAGCGCGCAGGAAGAGCGCTACTCGCTGGGCCGAGAAGGATAGTTCACCGAACATGTAGTAATCCGCCCAGTGTAGACTATCGTCCTTTGACTGGGGCATGGATTTTGAGGGGGCGACGTATGCTGGGTTCAGCTCTGCCTCAAACCACCGCAGACACGCCTCAACTTTCTCCTTCGCATCACTGTCCAATTTCGCCTTACTTCGGAACGTGTCGGCCCATGCATTTTCGATGACCTGCCGCACAGTAAGACTCCGAGGCATGTGCTGGTGAATCTCAGGACTGGAATGACCAATCCGCGACTGTATGTCCCAGAAGGTCAGCGGTAACGTCTTAGAGCCAGGTTCGGGTAGTCTGCTCCTTCCGAATAGCTTGATCGGCATCGAATATGTCTGCGGATGGTCCGAGCAAATAAGCGACACAATCGTAGTCTTGCCAGATCCGTTGGGTCCAAAGACACCCCATCTCTCCCCCTTTCGGACTGTCCAGACGAGGCCTTCTTGCTCCTTTCCTTTGACCTGCTGCTTCCAGTTTCCGAGTGCAATCTTGCCTCGGTATTGTACCTGACACCCCTCCATCTCCACCAGAGGTTCTCCAATATTTCTGGGCGATCGATCTTCTGGTGTCTGAGCCACACCATCTGCTTGTTGTTCTTCATTCAGCAAAGCGTTCCCCTCGATCCCCTTGGCAGTCAACGTCTTTCCCATCTGAACGATATTTTGGACGGCCATCCTGCCGTCCTCTTTCAAAGTACCCTTGTGCACACCCCGCACATACTTCCTCAGCCCCTCGAGCACAACCTCCTTCTTGCCCATAGCTCCCACCTGACAATCACCCCGCAAGTAGACCAAATGCGTGATCCACTCCGGAATAGGGTCCTGCGGCCTCGCGCTCAAGACCAGCCTCGGACTCGCCTTCTCCGCCAGCGCATGCAGCAGCGGGCTCAACCCCGCCACCGTCGGCGGATCAAGCCCCATGAACGGCTCATCCAGCAGCAGGACCTCAGGCGCCGTCAGCAGGGCCCTAGCGATCCGAGCCCTACGACCCTGTCCATTGCTCAAGAACGCCACGGGGAGATCCAGCAGCTGCGCGAGTTTCAGATCCCGCACCACGCGGTCCAGCAGGGCAAAGTCGGGCTCGTCATCCCGTGTGCGCTGCAGGGCGTTCAGCTCAGTGTTGCCGAGCAGGAAGTCGCGCAGCGAGAAGTCGGTTGTCTCACGCTTGGACTCATAGCGCGCGGACAGGTAGGCTGACGTGGTGACGCCCGGTCCGAAGCCGTCGTTGTTGAAACCCACGTAGCGGATTGCCTTGTTCGGCACTCTTAGACGGTGCGGTACTGCGTCTGTGGACAGGTAGGGGTAGCTCCGCGCGGCTGGCGGGAAGCACAGGTGTTCGCCGCGGAGGAGCTGTAAGAAAGAGGTCTTCCCGCTGAGGGATGGCCCGACGACATACCAATGAGTTGGCGGGTCGGTGGCTAAGGGGAGGGTGAAGTTGAGATTTGCGAAGAGCGCCGGGTTGGGGTGGAGGGAGCTGGTGTTGGGGTGGTTGCGGTAGAAGGTGCCGTTGGCGATGTTGATCACCGGGGGCCGGAGTGAAGGCGGTCGCATGGTTCTAATCGGACCATCTCAGTGCCTGTAGACGTTCCGGTTCGTTGACCTTGACTTCCTGACTTCCTGACTTCCTCCGTCGTGGTAAGTTACACCCGAACTCGCAGTGATGAGTCTGACGACCTATAAGATATGACTGTATCCGAGCTTCGGGTTTAGCGGAGTTTCAAATCTCATCCGGCTCCCTTATGTAATCACACTGAGGCTCCATAATCCTACAGCCCCGGGGCCTTGGCGGCTTGGCAAGGCTCGCAAACACGAAAGCTCCTGGCAGCCTGCGAGAGAGCTTCCCAACCAAGCTTCATCCACCATCCACCATCAACCACAGACAACCGACTGTCGCTCGACGTCTATCGTCTACAGCCACATCGATATCGAGCCTGCATTTCCGAGTCCATTCTACCCACTACAACAAAACAACACCAGTACATAAGCTGTCTCCGTCACACTCAACCGCCAAAATGGTACGCTCCAGCCCATCGACCCGCTGCATCATCATCACCATGCCTTACCCCAGACTCACCCTCGCCTCCCTCGTCTCCCCAGTCCCCCATAAACCTTTCAACTACCAAATTAACCTCGTACGTCCAGTCGATGCGCATCGTCCCCTCCGCCGAGCACACCAGCACCGCCTCCCTGCACACGGCCTCGGCACCCTCAGCACCCGGCCTGCACGACACGCTCCGCCACGGCGTAGGCCCCTCGCTCTCGACCTCGTACGCCCTATCGACCGCGACCGCCGACACGCCCGCCTCGCGCCACCCGCTCGAGGCGCGCCTCAAGGCCTGGGAGGCGACGCAGGAAAACGTACGCATGGAGAGCCTGCGCAAGACGTTTGGCATGGCGGAGCCGATCCGGCGCGGCATGGAGCTCAAGATCACGCGCGAGGGCGCGTGGCGGCCGATGGCCCTCGGCGGACAGGGTGTCGGTGGGGCGCACGGTAGCAGCGTACACGAGGATGTGCTGCGCGGACGCGAGGCGTTTGTCGATTGGGATGACGTGTTTACGGGCGAGGAGCAGCGCGGTGCGGTGGGTGTCCATGAGGAGATGGAGCGGAAACTGAAGATTTAAGAGGGTGCGGGAAGGAAGGGAACGGGGTGCGGAGGGCCCTGTTAGGATGGCGATGCAGATGGACGAGGGTGGCTGATTCGACCGTCTGTTGACTTCCCATCCGCCCATACACCAGTTGGTCGGTCGATTTGTTGATGGACGGCGAGCCACATGGGTCCTTGTATCTTCTCACGGCAATGGCGATTCAGTAACCACACATGCGCGTTGCGTTTCCCCCTTTCACAGGCGAGGTCCATGGGCTGCCTTGTACGCTGTATGATAAGAGGTCTACGACGTGGAATAGATTTCCGGGGCGCAACAATCCATTTCACACGACACATGCTGTACGTATGTCTATTCAGTGTGTCTGTCAAGGATGGTATCGTCAATCCCGCAATCTCTTCACGTGCAATATCTCTTCTCTGTCAACGGGAATCAAAGGTCGCACCCGTACCTTACTGAGCAGGAGTCCGCATGCCTGTGTGTCTCGGTGGCAGGTCGCTGAGCAGGACCCGTCAGACACCGAGGGCCTGAATGTCTATCTATTTGTGTTTGTATTAAAGGTTAGGGTAGTGGTGCGTTGTAGGTTGGGGTGAGGAGGACCACATGTGAATCCTATCCGGATACCCCCGTATAATCAGCGGCAGGCCACTTTAACCCGCATGATTCCCAACCTCGACTCGACGCATCTATTTAGGTATACCTGCATATAATCACATGATGCACCTTCAAGCCTGACATGGCCGCAAGGTTTCCTGATGGAAAACCAACTCCAAGTTCAGCCCCCTGTGGTGCAGCAGCGGGCCAGCCAATCGGCAACCGCCTCACTGGGCTGGTCCTGAATCTTGATTCTTGATCGAGTCGGGTGGGCAGGCGTTCTTAGTCCCAGTGAGTACGGCCAGTCGGCATCCCTTAGACCTAGCTGAACTTGGCGCATGTATACATACACCCCAAGTCGTAGTCCTAGCAGCCGTACCTATCACCTCGGCTGTTTGACCTCATAACATAATCTCGGTCTGCGCACCTTGCTTTCTATGAAGAAAGAGTATAGTAAGAGCGAAGCGGCACAAGTAATTATGTTTCGGAAACCCCATAAATTATTACTTGTTGCGAAGTGTTTCAGCCACACTTGAGGATAACCCCTACTTGCTAGCTGGGTTAGAGACGGGGTGTACGGAGACTTTTGGGGGGTTTAGCGTAGCAAGAGTACAGGACAGGCGAGTGGATAAGGTATCGCCCACTTGTTCGTTCGTTCATCATCACATCGGAAACCATCATCACACTACTACAACTCCCAGGCCACTCCAACATTCTTTGGCGTAGCAGCACTTTCAACTTTGCCTCAACGCAGGTACACACCCAGACACCCAGTCAATCACCATAGGAGGGAAGAGTACCTAGTCTGTTTTCATGCAATTGTCCCCGTTGCCGCGTCGCCTTGAACCTTCACCTTCGCTTGGCTGCTAGTCTGCTGTACTTGGCAACCCGTCCCGACACCCGAATGTCTCAATCGTACAGCCAATGATCTCAACCTCGTGTCCCCCAACTGAGGCACAACAACCATCTCGACGCATCCTTTTCCTTCTTATTCTCCGATCCTGCCGCGTGCCGCGACGACATCGAACTAAACGGTCTCCCCACTCGTTCCAGTTCTCATTTTGTCGCGATAACGCCCTCTCCGTTATCCCTGCCCTTGAGCTCCAACCATGGCAGAGGCGGCTTCCTCCTCGGCAGGCGGAGATCAGCACGCTGCCGACAGGAAGCGGTTGTCGATGCATCAGCCCGCCGGCGCCGTCGAGATGGAAGATCTCTCCCAGGTCGACCCGACGCCCGCCAATCCCGACACCAAAATAACACAGGATCACGATGCCGAAGACAGACCGATCCCCGTCCCCGAAAAGGATATACCAGTCGCTGAGACATCCTCGAAAGCACAGGGCAAAGCTCGAGCCACAGGCGAAGACCAAGACCTCACGATCGACCCCGTGGAGAGCCCAGGAGGCGACGCGAAGCCGGCACTTGGCATCATGCTGCTACTACCGACGGGTGCTCGCCATCCCTTCCGGATCGACGAGAAGTACCTCACCAAGCGAAACGTCACCGTCACAGACCTCACAGAGGACGGCAAGGTTGATCCGTCCAGCATCACAGTCTACACCCTGAAGGAGCTGATACTGAGAGACTGGCGGAGGGAGTGGGATGACCCGCCGAGGGAGCCCACCAGCATACGGTTGATTCACTTTGGCAAGATGTTGAGTGACAGGGACCAGCTAAGTCGTGAGTTGAGCCGTGTTGCACACTGAAACTGCCCTGGTATTACGTCGAGCTCAGTGTCTAACAATACTTCAATGCCCAGATTACAACTTCAGCCAGACGGCCAATAATATTGTCCACATGACAGTCAAACCCCAAGACCTCATCGACGAAGAAGAAGCAGCCAAGCAGGTCAAGACCTCTTCGCATGGTGGCCGAAGTGGATGTTGTGTCATCTTATGATCAACCCACCGAGAACAGGGATCGGATCTGACATACAATAAACACGCACCTGAACATGGCAGGCTTGATGTCTCGCCAGATCGCTGAAATAAACAGCACACGGGACATGAAGAGGGCGATGAACCGGCAACAGGGTATTTCATCATGGCAATGCTTGGATCTTTTGGGGCATAGGGCGGCGTAGTGGGGTTCTGTTTTTAGCAATTTGGAGCAGCGGAAGACGCCCACGGGAGAGCGTATGTATTGTGTATGGAAGATATAGTACTCTCGGGCTCGCGTGGTCACGTCGGTTTATATATCTCCGGCGGTTTCCTATTGCCACATTCTCTGACAAAGAGCAGGAGTATAGGGGGTCCCGGAAGCGAATGAATGTTACATAAATGTAGCACTAGACACACACGAGCCAAGACTAGGCGTATAAAGTTATGTTATACTACTCGCATTTGTCGGTTTTGGCATGTTGTCTAAAGGAAATTGTCGTGGAGTTGCAGGGAAGGCGAGACTGTCAGAAGTGCCCGCGGCCGAACTTCCTCTTCAAAACCCATAGGCGATTGGTCATTACACAGGATGCCGTAGACACCCAGCAGCGGCCAGGGACCATCTGCAGGTCGTCGACGTTCCCTGAAGGTGGAGCAGGAGACGACAGATGAACGCCGGGTTGACTTTGGTCCGATCCTGCCGGAGGGACCGGAGAGACCGGATGGACCGGACGTCTCGGCGCTATGGTTCTAACCGCATGAAATAGGCTGTCCTCGTACGATCGTGCTGATAAGCCCGGATGTGAGAGCCGTCATCCAGGCCAGTCGGGTGTGGCCTAGATGGAGGCTTAATGATGTCAGGCCTGCTGCGAGGAAAAAAGACTCCCGAGGACGGACAAGGGAATCCCCAGAGAGAAGAGGCTGCGAAGAAGGAGGCTCCGGCGAATGGAGGCCCGATGAGGGATCAGACGACTGAGCTGGGCTGGGCTGAATACCAGTCCCCAGCGCCTTCGACGAGAAGGGGAGCACACTTGGAAGAAGGTCGAGATGGAAAGGCGAGATGGAAAGGTCGGCGAAGGAGGATGCCACGGACAACGAGAGTACGGCGCATGCAGCAGCGTTCCCACAGGAAACCCAAGGAGATGGATGGGGATATATATATCTAAATGTGAGCCAAAATCAGCATCTGACGTTCCCACCAAAGTTTCCTGTAGGACGATGGTCAATTTAGTCGACAGGACAAACCTTTGAAAAAAAGGGGTTCCGGCAGTGGGAAGGCGAAAGTGAACTAACACCTCCATCTCTTCCGGCTGTTCTTTTTTGCAATTTTGTAGTACACTTTCTGGAGGTCTGTGGTTCGAATTACTTCTGTGCAATGGTTTTTTTTTCTCTTCTCTCTCCTCTCTCCTCTTGGGAGATAGATAGTTTTCAGTCTCCAGAGGATGTCTGCATCTTCTTCCCTCCCATCGTTATCACACCCGATGCATCCTCTGCATCTTTCTGGTCTCGGATTTACGGCATTGCGAGGCGGTATGGCGCTCAGGGGAGAATGCCGAGAGCTGGAAGGTGCAGGTTAGAGGGAAATACGTGGGCTAGGGGTATAGATAGATGCTAGATAGGGTAAGGTAGCATCGAAGGCTGAAGGATACGATGCGTGAGCAGCTATAGAACCTCGAATGCACGAGCACTGTACCTTAGTACAGTGGGTCTGCACAAATACCGAACACCCCACTCTTATAAAAGAAACCTCCTCATTATAACCACATTCAAAGCTTTACGCGAGAGAGAAAAAAATACCGGATAAAGTTAAATTTATAAGGTTTTAAAGTCGTAATAATGTCACGAAGCGTAAATATGGAGTGGACGTAACAGTCCTGCTTTCACTACGTACGTGTAAGAATCTCTCGGTGGGGAGGGGAAGAAGGATCTGACCCGCCAGCTAATTCTGGTGGGATTAAAGATCCTTCAACCCGCCCCACAATTACCCAATCTAGTACAGCTGTGGCAACATGTCCTGTGCGCCAGGTCACCTGATGCAGCGCACTGACCACATCGATGGGCTGACAGACGTACAGGAGGTCAGACCGTCACAAATAAAGTCAAAATTTAAAAAGTATTTTAACTTGAATAATTATAGAGATTTTAATAAAACTACGTAAAACTAGCTATTTCATACTTATTCTTACATCTTTTATTATAATCGATGTATTTAAATGTCCATTTAATAAAAATTTAAATATTATACTTTTTAAAACATAGCTTAGTTAGTTTTTCTATACTTATTTTTATAAAACTGTTATAAAAGGGTAAATTTATATAAATATATACCTAGTTTTTAAGCGGTGCTCTTAATTAAAGAAAACCCGTTTATAAATCAAAAATAAAACTAGTAGTTTACTATTTATATAATAAAGTTAATTTTGATATTTTCCCCCTTATTTCTAATTAAATAAAGTCTTTAACAAGCGTGTGTAAAGTGCGAGAAGTAAACTTAAAAGGTGTTCGGTTTTTTTGTCTACCCACTGTATCTCGGTAGGTAGTTTGGAAGGTGACTCCTTGGCCACGATGTCAAAGAACTGCGTGGACTATTACTCATTATGAGTACACGTGGTTTCGTGACACTTGCTCTGGCCAGCTTTCGTGGCTCCTTTCCTTTGCCGCGATTGGGATTAACCTTATCCTTAGGTAGCCTATCTGGCTTCATATTGAAGGGTACGGGACTGACTTCGGCTGGTACAGGTTGCTTGCTCTACGAACGCTCACTCGTACAAGTGGTCCTACGCGGGTCATGTTGCGTGGTATGGGCGAGATATAGCTACCATAGCACCACCCATTCGTCGAGCTGCAGTTTTGTCCATCAGGCGGAATCAGGTTGACCTTGCAGTCTATCAAGACGCAGCATTCGCGGCCATCCACTACGACGAAGGATGGGTTGGCTAGTGCTGTGGGCTACGATGGTAGCTGCCCCGAGTCCCGGCGCTGTCCCTGCTCTGACTGTGGCTTGGGCTTACATGATTCTTAGCCTGAAATGCAATGAGCTTTAGGGTGACTTGCTGTTCGAGGCGGGGGATTCGTCGGAAGGGGGGCTTTGGGTGTCTACCTACCAGGCCTGTATCGAGTCTGAGTATCTCTTTCCAATCTTGTAAGTATGATTATCCGCCCTCGCTGGTCTTATGTTTCTCTTCTTGGGGGAGGGGATCTTGATTGCGGGTTTGGACAAGCGCTCGCGCGGCTGGTTTATGGTCTCTTCTTGCAGAGCATTCTACCAGTTTTGCGGAGCAGATGGGTAGGTAGACCAAGATTCTATTGTCTTCCCTTGGACAAATGTCAGAGCATCGCTCCTTAGGTATTATGGTTTCGCATGAGGTAGCTACCTAACTAATTGACTGTAGATGTCGGCGATAAAGAGAGTTCTCTAGAATCCGGAGGGGAGGTTATCTGAGGACCAGGCGCCCACGGGGGGATGCCAGTCTACGACGCTGTATCAGGACGAGCGGTTGGAGACATTGCGGCTCGGTACCACTTTGACGAGCGCCTGCGCCGACGTGTTCAGCTTGGTCGCGGCGGAGATTGACCTCGTGGCTCTGGTAAGCCGTTCCCGCTCAATGGTCGTGGCTGGACTGCGGCCATTACTAGCCACGGGTGGTGGCGAGAATGTTGTTGAGGGATCTTATTGCACGCGGACTGCAATAGGGGGGTGGATAGGGGGGTGGTTCTTTCTAGACTATTTCAGCTCTGCTGGATAATTTCAAGGTGTGGGTCGGACATGAGCAACGATGTGTTTGTGTCGCGAGTCTATTATGATACGTTCAGGTGTTAAAGTGTAGAGTTCGAGTGTCGAACGAAGAGTTGCGGGACATTTACCGGATCGAAGCTGCCCCTTAGCAATTAACTTAGACATTTAGGGCCAACTTGAACTCAACGAGCTTCAGCTAGAACAGTGGAAGACGCCTTTTTCTACCTACGTACGTTCTGAATGCATGTTGGAGTATCTACAACGAACCAAATACACTCTTGCCTTCATATACCCCTTTCAGAGCCCATCCAGCGTGCTCCCTCTATCATGCCGTAGCAGGCTTGCAGGTACACTGACCATCACCACCTGAGGGACTCTTCAACGTAGCCCATCCAATTTTGTGATTAAGCCCATCCCAAACCGTGTAATAAGCCTTCAGCAGCGGCGACCCAATGATCCACAACGAGCCCGCGTCCATGTTGCCCGGGCTGTTGAACACCGCCTGGCAGATGCCCAGCTGGCCGGGGTACTCGCCCAGGTTAAACGAGCCCGCCGGCAGCGTCACGTTCATGGACACGTGGCCGGACCGCATGGTGAAGGTGAAGTCGGTGGCCGCGCGGTCGATCTCGTCGCACGGCGCGCCCTACGCGCCGGCCGGGTCGATCATCCTGATCTGCGGCGACAGGGCGGCGTAGATGGCGCTGGCCGTGGCGAAGTCCGGCGTCTGGATGAATGCCGTGCCCGTGTCGAGGATGGCGGAGTGGCCGTCGGGCGACGACGTGGTGGGCCCCGTCCATTTGGAGAGCAGCTTGCCGTTCGCGTACACGGCCGATTGCCCGAAAACCCAGGTGTTCCACTTGCGGAATGCGACGGGGTCCAGGTCGACCCACGTGATGGCGCCGTCGTACTTGTCCGGGTCGGAGTCGCCGAGGGTGATCTCGGCGCCTGATGCGTTGTCGGCGGGCATGTACAGCGAGAATACGGGGGACTGGAGCTGTCCGCTCTTCCACAGATTCCAGAAGAAGGAGGGCTCGTCGAGGTCGGTCACGTTCATGGGCGAGAGACCCATGATGCCGTCGATGGGCATGCTGCTGAGGGCCGAGGTGTACTTGTCGCACAGGATGAAGGCCTGGTCGTCGTACTTCAGCGGGCCGATGGCAACGCGGTCGTAGACGATGTTGCCGCTGGCGGTCTCTTCCTCCGAGAGCGGTACCGAGTCGGCGCCTGTGCCGAAGAGGACCATGATTGAGCCATTGGGGATGGCAGAGAAGCTGGAGGAGTTGTTGGGGTTGAACAGAGTGTGCTCTCCGCAGGTCGTACAGTTGCTCTGGGGGATAATGAGATCGCCGTATCCCGTATCAAAGAGGACCGTTCTGTCGTTTACGTTAGTGTGGTCTTCGAGGCGCAGTGCAAGTGGATTATATGGATCGCCTACAGGTTCTGTGGAGGTGTTCCGATGGAGATGGTGCTGTACCACTATTCGCCATGTTAGTAAGGTATACGACTAATCATTCGCTCCGATATTGCCGGATCGGAGGACTGGCACTTGTACCTGGTTGTCCGAGCGGTTGAACCAGTCCGTCAGCGGCACATTGTGTCTGAGACTGGGAAGTCTCCATCTGGTATCGTTGACGGCATGAGCCTGATCGAGTTGAGAGTTAAGGGCGACGGTCCATGAGCGAGCTGCGAGGGCTTGGACGACCGAGCACATGGCAATGACTAAGACGACCGCAGGCTTCATCGTGAACTTGAGAATCTGGGAAAGACAGGAAGGCTGATCTTGTGGTCTGTCAGATGAGGAGGGAGCTCGTGAGGGCTGTTGGTGCGTGAGACTCGAGTGCTCTGCTTGCTTGAGCCTGCGATGCGTTGTTTTGCTTAGCCCCCTCACTTTCTGAAATACCTGAGGTACCTAGACAACACGGGACAGCAAGACTGTTGAGAGTATGGTAGTCGATTCATTTTCATCGCTATCCAGAAACTTGATTGCCCATCTCCTAGGCGACTGGAGCCAGCCATCAACCATTGCCCGTGGCGACGGCATACGCGTTCCAGCATCTCACGCCGTTCGAAGTTGACGTGGTAGATCTTTTTGAGGTGGCCCAGCAGCTGTAGAATTGGCAGCAAGAGTTTGATAAACGCATCTCGATTCAAAGCTACCTACATGTATTGACGATGAAGCATCGAAACGCGTGAGCTAGCGCAGGTACGACAACCTTATGTGCGCATGTGACCCGCGGCTAATAAGATATTGGAACTTATTAGCTTCAAGCCCCACCTCAGCTGCAATGCCAGCGCCGGGCCGCCGGCGAGGGAGGGTCCACATCATCCAGGTGGGGTTATTTTTCAGGTAGGGCTTGGGCGGGTTGGGGTCCCCGTGGGAGACCTGTCTCGATTCTCTTTTTGCGGAACAAGCGAGCCAAAGCACGATCCATATTAAATATATCTCGTCAAGCAACTTTGAAGGTAAACATACGATGTGATATTGGCCATATATCTAAATGTTTCATTCAGGGGGCATTGAAGGCACCATATACTGCGCAGAGTGTATGGTGACATGGCTGTGTGGCGTCTGCTGGTGATACTTGTCACATTGTCGCATTTAATCATGTCGGCTGTCGCATGCCAAATCATTCCATCAATTCGCAGCCACTTGTGGGCTGGGCCATATACGAAAGGTGCAGCATCGCCCAGTACATGTAGGTAAAAACCACCCGTTTTACCCGTCGCCGGTTGTCCCTGGCATTTCGGTCGCTCCCAGGCTGCCAGGTAGAGGACTCAAGGAGGCTATGCGGCGTGCCCCATTACCCATGCAGGCTGCAGCTGACTCGCACTGCCTCCCACTCATGAAAACAAACCCGATCTGATCTGGATTAAAGATTGGCTCTCAAGACCTGCGATCCGGCTCATCTACTCGCGCCGGCGAGTCTGGGACCGCAAACAGAGACACCGATACCTACCTATTCGGGCTGGACAGGCATTTCCCGGTGTCTGCAGGATCGGGTCATCGCCAAGACGTCCTTGCTGTTGATCAACCAAGCGTGGGAATACTGGGAAGGATTCCGGAATTATCGACGAGCAATCTGCGAGTTCTCGGATAGACCCCTACCACTTCTCGTACTACCTTACAGGCAGGCTTACCCTCCCGCGGAGTGCTGACGCCCACCTGTGATCTGTCACTGTTTGCCATTCACTCATCAGACCTCTGCCAACTTCCCACACCTGTGAATCACCTTTCGCCATTTACATCATCATCACCACCAAGTCCAACACGGACACCGTCTAAACCGAAGCGGCGGATTTCACTCGCTTTATCGTTTTCCTGCCGCCATCGTTCCGCCTACCTAGGACCCGTCGCGCTGTTAGACTTTCGCGATTTCTGTCCCTGCATCCCTCCCGCAGCTTCCGACCCTCCCATCCCCCGCCAAGTTGTTCTGTCTATCCATCGTCAACAGATCGACACCCAAGGACACGCCGGCTCGGCTTCTATATGACCGCGCGCGCTCGACACCTCGCTCTGAGTTTTGACACTGGGGTCGGGTCAATAAGGAGCACCGTAGTCGCATGAGCGTCTGGTGGTTCGCAACTGCAGTACAACGTGTGCGGCACCCGGGAAGAGGGAAGATGGCCTCGTTATTAGGAGCGCCACTGCTCCTGCTCTTCTACCTTGTCGCCCTCATATTACCCACCAACGCCGAGAACATACTCCAGTCCTCGTCGCTAAACACCTGCCAGGACAACTCCGGGTTCACAGCCAGTCTGTTCAACGTCGTTTACTCCCCGAAAGATGAAAAGGCCTACGTAAACATATCCGCCATCTCGACTATCGAGGCCAACGTCCTTTTCGATGTCCTGATCAGCATATACGGCTACTCCTTCTTTCACAAGGTCATCAACCCTTGCGACGTTAATCTCGCTGGCTTCTGCCCTATGGTCTCTGGGAAACTCGGCAACCCTTTCAGCCTTGACATCGACCCCTCGGCTACCGGCGTTATTCCTAGCATCGCCTACCAGTTCCCGGATCTCGACGCCAAGGTCAGAATCTTTATCAACGCGACGAGCGGGACCAAGGCTGGCACGAGTGTAGCCTGCATCGAGGCTACCGTGTCCAACGGCAAGACGGTCGACTTGCTCGGTGTCAAGTGGGCTTCCGCCATCGTGACTGGTCTCGCGCTGGCCTCGTCTGCTGTCATATCGGGTCTGGGTCATTCCAACGCCGCCTCGCACGTTGCCGCCAGCGCCTTGGCTCTTACCAGCTACTTCCAGGCCCAGGCCATGGTTGGTCTCGTTGGGATCAAACTGCCCCCGGTCGTCCAGTCATGGACCCAGGATTTCCAGTGGAGTATGGGGATTATCAATGTTGGCTTCAGTAAGCTAGCCCCGAAATCATTTTTCCTTGGTGGAGAATCGCTGAATCGTTCCGCCGTATTGGAAATTGCAAACTGACGTCTGGTTCTGCAGTGCAAGACATCTTTACGTGGTACCAGCGATCAACTGGGGGAACCGCTGCTACCATCATCGACACCCTTGAGAATGTATCGGTCGAGGTCCAGAAACGCGCTGCACCCTTGATAGCCCCTGCCGCTGGCCTCTTTCGACGCGCAACAGCGATGGTGCCTCGCAGCGTCCTGAAGCACGCTTCTAGCCTCGCGAAACGTGGAAATATTCAGACCGATTATGGAAGCTATGTTGTCTATGGCATACAGCGTGTGGCCTTTAGAGCGGGTATTGAAACTACGAATCTCTTCATGACCGGACTCATCTTCTTCTATATCATCATGGTTGCAACAGCGTTATTCGTGGCTGCATGGAAGGGCTTCTGCGAGGTTGCTGCCAAAGCTCGGTGGATCAAAAGCGATACTTTCCTGGAATTCCGTAACGGTTGGCGTAAGTCGCTCGCCAGCCTCCCATGATTTGCTATACTTAAAAGCAGATGCAGAGGAAGCTGACATGTTCACACCTAGTCACGGTCCTTAAGGGGATTTTGTTCCGAATTACCCTTATCGGCCACCCTCCGGTCACGATCCTCTGCCTTTGGGAGCTCACCCAAAAAGATTCGCCCGCAGAGATGGTTTTGGCGGTGTTCTTCCTGCTATTCGTCAACGGAGCCTTAGGTTTTGCGGCCTACAAAGTCATCCGCATCGCCCATCGCTCTGTTTCGTTGCACAGGAACCCTGCGTATATATTGTTCTCAGATCCTCAGACTCTGAACAAGTGGGGTACGTCATCACCAAGCTTCTTGAGGTCATCGATATCTGCTGCCGTCCTCAAAATAATTCCGTGGTCGCTTTCATGAGTCTTCTACTAACCTTGAGGCATACAGGCTTCCTTTACATTCAGTTCCGTGCCTCAGCCTACTACTTCATCATCCCGCTTCTCTGCTACACCGTGGTGAAGTCGTTCTTCATCTCGCTTGCCCAAAGAGCCGGCACGGTCCAGGCTATCGCACTTCTGATCATCGAGGCAGGAGCTCTGATAACCGCTGCCGTGATGCGGCCCTGGATGGACAAGAAGATGAGCTCGTTCAATATCGCGATTTGTTCCGTCAACTTCGTAAATGCCATCTTTCTACTAATTTTCACCAACATCTTCGGTCAGCCAGACATCGTCAACGGTGTGGTCGGAGTGGTGCTATGGATTCTAAACGCAGTCTGCACACTGGTTCTTCTCATCATGCTAATCGCCAGCACCCTCATTGTCTTCTTTACCGACAACCCTGATGGTAGATACAAGTTCATGGCCGACGACCGCACTTCATTTATGAAGTCACAGAGCCAATTGGGTACTACCAACGAGCTTGATGCGTTAGGCGCGACGGCACGTGGCGAGAAGCCAGGTTACGGATCAGGAATGGATCTGGAAGATGGCGACAATTCGATTGCACCAAGCTCGTTCCGCCAACAACCGCACTCGCGCTCGACGTCTTTCAATCGAACTGGGGCGCCGTCGACGGCCCATTCCACGTCTAGCAATTCACACCACGATCGTCCCCGGACATCGGTGGATCCGGCTATGCCTTTCTTGTCTTCGGGAGCGAATATCTCGCGAAATGGAAGCCCCTCGAATGTATCGGCTGGGAACCGCTCACAACATAATGCGAGGTGAGCTTAGCTTGTCGCGAAACACAATAATGGGACTGATCCGTGTTTGCAGTCCCTGGCAACGAGGAGCGGGATACGACCGCTAATGACCTTTTTGTATGGTCGATGTTGCCTACTCGCGTTCTCCCGCTCAGACCTGCGCAGATGATAATGAACATATGCTCGTCTATCGACCATTAGTGGCTTGGTCCCTTGGTCTCTTCCTGAGGTGGCTATTGAATATTGTCAGATTTTCTCGACAGCAAATTGGAATCATATGCGGGGGCGTCGGTTTTCACGGCTGGGAAAACTCATCCGCGAAATACCCCCAAGAGCCTGCATGAGATGATTGGAGTGATGAGAATCTCAAGCGAATGGCGAACCGGATCCGGCTCTATATTGGTCATTTTCAGGGGCGATGGCGTTACAAGGTTTCATTTCTGGCATTTGAAGCTGCTTTGGCGCGCATGACTGTTCATTGAACGGGTATGTCCATGTGTAATCTCGGTAGATATAGCATCTCGATACTTTCGTGTATAAACTTAGGGGAAGGAAGAAATGACAACTAGCTTCAAGCATATGTCGACGCTGCTTTGACCATTCGTACGCTCGTCGTCGAACTCTATGTCACGCGGTACTCGACGCGCAGCGTGTTACGAACCAAGGGTCTAAGTTACGCCCTTCCATCCCCTTCTTCATTGTCCGACTAGATCGGCCGCCGCTCCTTGGCCTGCCCCTTACCACAGACGCTCCTATAAAGAGGATCGAGTCCAGGCATCCCAGAGCTCGGTCTGACCGAGCACCTGCAGGTTCCGGGATAATGTATATCACGATTTCTAGAAGCATGGCCACCCTATCCAGTCCGTAAAGATACGTTCTGTAATGATATATACGCTCTGTTTGACCGCTGTGAATTTACGTCTCTCGTCACGCCGGGAGAGTAGGTAACGTTACTTGATTATCGGATAGTGGTGCAGCTAGAGTATGCGTTAGGGAAAGGCGTGGGTTGGGAAGGGTTTGCAGTTGGGGTTTTGCAGCTGGGATAGGGGAAGATGGGATGATGGGGAGATGGGGGGTGAGTGGACTTGGGGGATTTATGGAATAGGGGCAATGGGGTTGATAAGGGAATAGACGGGGATAAGGGGATAGGGGAATAGGGGGGTCGGGAATGGGGGAACGTAAAAAAGGGGGTAAGGGGACAGGGGTACTAGGAGAAACGAACTGCGGTGGGGCGCAGGTGTGTTTAATGTAGCTTCTGAATCCTGGGTACGTTGACTATCTGAGGAGCGGAAGATGGACGAAGGGGGTAGAGCATATGTACCTCATATCTGATAGCGATGTGTCTGTTCGTGTAGAAGGTTGGTCACAAGGTGCGCCAGCCGAATGTGTGTATAGATCCGTTGGAACAAGGCAACGAGTGTTGTTCCAGGATCTCTCTTGATGAGTTAAGTTAATTCATGGTACGACGTTCGGCAGCTTTTGAAGTCCGAGGATGCAGTGCTAAGTACCGGTGGGAAATTAAGAAACCATGACGTTGATGACTTGGAGCTCAGGGTAACACGAGAAGTATCTGTCGTTCCACATGTACCTGAACTCTGCGTCGCTTCTACGAACTACCAGGTTCCTCCCTTAGCTGTTATAGCAGAAGCTGTGGTCGCTGTCAATTAAAAACTGGTACTCCAACTGATGTTCCCGGTTTCTGCCCCCATCGAGCATAGAGTCATAATCTAATCGTTCCTCAATGTCAGATTCCGCCGTACCAAGCTCGCGCAGTCGCACCTTCTTATCTGCACGGGCCTGGAGCCTTTCCTCGAATTCCCTCTGGCGCTCTTCTTCGTTCCGCCGCCGCTCTTCTTCGTCCAGCCGCCGCTCTCTGGGAGACCAACAAAGGGAACAAATGCCATGTATTCGGGAAGGAATGACATCGTGACGGGATTGAGCCGCCGTTTTGTATAGTTGGCATTGTATGCAAACGACGTATCGAACGCCCTTCGTCACGATATATGCCCCAGGGGTATATCTTCTGGTGCCATCTGCTTTGGGTGACAAGCCACAGTCAAGGCAGAAGCGGGTTTCGGGAGACTGGCCGGCTTTGCGTTTCTTCCCCTTTCGCGCATTATCAGCGAAACAGTCGGCACGCCTCAGTCGGTTACAGAAGAAGCAGGCGTAAAGGCTTTGTTCGAGAGCCTCGTCGGAATTCTCTGCATCGAGTAGTACGTCGATGTTCGTGGGGATCATTGCTCAGAAATATCGGTTGACGGTACGGAGTCTCAGCAGCTCGAATGGACCAAGATGGGAGATTATCTCATTCTGAAGCTCGCCAGCCATGGACATTAAACCGATCGGCTCCATGCTGGCGGTGTTTGGAGGCGGATTCCAGCCCGTGTGAGTGATAGTCAGGCGGTTGGGACGGCTAGAAGAGAGGGAAGGGAAGAAAGCCAGGCGACTCACAGCTTGGAGGCATTTTGTCCAGCGGGGTTGACTGTGTAACGTGGTAAGACGAGGCTCCGGGCTACGTAGGTAATGCAGCATGTGATAGTCACGCTTCACCAAGGCCTATGTAGCTATAGTGATTCAAGGTACCCCTTCGTCGATCTTCCGCTCCTCAAGAGGTGGTCAACACACTTAGGAGTTAGAAGCTACATTGAGCACGCCTCCAGAACCATTCCGAGCGTGGTCCTCGCACTTCTCCCCTTAAAAATCCTGCGTAGGTCTGTCGCTGCTTCCTACAGGGTTATTCCACCTTCACCCCTGCATTGAAGAGACCCAATGCCGACATTGATGCTCTACGTGGACAGCTTTGGAGCTTTAACTACATTTTCGGACTATATTAAGGTCAATGTCAGGCGAGTAACCCGTGGTATCGACTTTTCGAAGAATCAGCTGCCACCAGCTGGCGGCGTCGATAGTCAGTTGAAAAGCGTCTGTGCGACACCATCCGGACTTCCGCCTACTAAACAATGATTCAACCACCTCGGCTTCAAGACACAACGATGACCTGACTCCATCAATAAGCTCACTCAAGATGTTTGAGGACCTTCTCAAAGCCGCCAAAGCGCTGAAGAAATCGCACTCACCCCCGGAAATTCCCGAGGCCCTCTCGCGAGGTAAGTTCATGGATGCCGCATCTGCCCCAAGAGCACATATCAACTAATACAACGAACGACAGCTATTCCCAGTGAGGCTGCACTCCAACATGTTAAGAGTCTTTTAGAAAGCGATGATGCCGTGTGTTACTTCTATGTTGGCTCATCACAGCATTCGATGAGCATGCTGGCTAAACACATCGAGGCAGGATCCGGTCGCGCGCCTGTGGGCTACATATGCCATCGTGAAAAACGGCAAGCTCATCCAGCCCGACGATGCAGGTAGAGACGCCGAAACGGCCGCTCTCAGAGACATCGCCGTCGCCGTCGGTGAGCTCATGGCACCGGTGTGTTCCGGCACCTCGCTAGACGAAGGTCTGTCTGTCTATCTCACTCTCCCCTCACTCTCACCAAGCCCAACCCAGCCGGCTCTATCCTGACACCTAGCAGAAGACGACGACACAGACTGCGCCCTCCTCGCGCTGAAAGGCTCGCTGGGCCTGCACATCCTAGACCAGCTAACCAAAGCGCACCCCTCGGCTCTGACGCTCCAAGCGCAGTCCCTCATCTCCATCGTCGCCTTCACGGACCCGACGGACCCCTGGACGACGCCCGCAACCAGCCATCTCGCACGCGCCGTGCTCGAAGCGCACTTCCGGAATCCCTCTCCGTCCCTGTCCCCCTCTCCTACCAGCGCCAGCAACACGACCAGGAACAGAACCCCAGAAAACCAGGCCCGACCCACCGAGCAGAACGATGCGCTCACGAGATTCATCACCGAAGATGTCCTGTCCAGCTTCCTGCGCGGCCTGTTCGCCAAGACGCCGCGGCCCGCGACGGTGACGGCGTCGGGGCGCAAGGCCGAGTTCGTGCAGCGGACGCGGTACGACCACCGCGGCGGCGAGACGGAGGAGGCGGCGGACGCGAAGCCGTGGAAGTACGCGCGGCGGTATGCCGTCACGGTTTTCGCGTGGGCGGTCGAGAGGGCGGATGTGAGTTGCTTGGCTTGTTTTCCTTTTTTTAAACATTTTACTCTCTTCTTCCTATGGTTTCTCTTCTCACGTACCCATGCGTGTACCTACCTACGTCGCCATGCACACACATAACAAGTCTATCTCCTCCACTACCTAGCATTCAATCCTAACAACCCCAACCGCCATTCACATGCACCCACACGCACCCCCAACTAACAAACCCCCAGCAACCCCTCCTCCAGAAGCACTGGCACAAGTACACCCCCATCCTCCTAACCCTCCTCGACGAGCCGCCGCGAGCGCACCCCTCTACCCCCACTACCCCCAGCCTCAGGGTCCGCGCCCTGCACATCCTCCGCACCTTCTGGGCGCGCTGCCCGCCGGGCCTGATGCGCGACACGGGTCTAGCCGACGTCCTCGAGCAGGCCGTCTTTCCCACCGTACTCTACCTGCCGGGCCTGACGCCCGAGGACGAGGCGGTCGCGCTATTGGGGGCCGCGTACCCGGCGCTGTTCGAGATGGCCGGTGTTGTTGGGCCGCCCCAGACCCAGCAGGAGGACGCAGACGACGGGAGCGACGATGCGGACGGTGGTGGGGAGAATATGCAAGGCAATCGGGAGTTCACGGATGCGCAGCGGAGGCTGCTGGACAAGATTGTGAGGCAGGGCATCATGGTGGGGTATCACCATGCGAAAGGGCATGTCCGCCTCGTGGAACTGTTTTGCGAGAAGCTGCGCTGTCTTGTGAACGGGATGGGTATACTGGCTATCAAATACCTGAAGGTGCGCCTTCCCCCTTCCATCCCCAAATTCCAATAAGACGAGATCCCACTCGTTGCCTGACCTGACCCTGCACCCGAAACGCCGACATACAATGCTAATTAACGACAGGACTTTATGCCCATGGTCTCCGAGATCATGACAGACCCCTTCGGGACCAAACACCCGCCTGCTCTCCTTTCGGCCACAAAACTCCTGCAGGCAATCTTGCGCGCATGCTGGCCGAGAATACCACACTACTGTAATGAAGTCATTAAGATCCTGATGCTCTGTTGGCTGAACATCGAGGATGAGGAATTATATCCGGCTGGCAGCCCAACCCCGACGGAGGTGAGAGCCGAGCTGACCAAGACTGCCGAGATGCTTTCAGCGACCATGATGGCAGCCAGAGTGGACATGACCGAGCGGGTGGGCACTCTCATTGAGAAAGAGCCCGACTTGCGCAGCCTGTTCAAAAGCGCTGAGGCGACATGATGCAGCAAACACCAGTCGTTGCGGCTCCAGCCACTTTAGGGAGACCTCATATCGTCGAATGTATCAAAGGTGTCACTTAACGGCGTTTGCAGGGACGAGTCCTAATCGACCGGCTGCTGCTTGAAGAGAGACTTGCCTCTAAGCCACTTATTATATGCCTTGTACCGTTTCTTCGGCAGATCCTCATCAGTCACCGTCAGGGGATTGTCCCCGACCCGCAGCAAGTCATAGTACGCAGCGATATCCTCTTCGGTGCCACTAGCGGCAAGACCATCTGTCTGCCAGTTGCCATTGAGATATTCCTGGTATTCCGAGGAGTCGATATCCGTGGGTGCCTCGTTGGACACGACCAACGGCAGATTTTGGGGATGGCTGACGTATCGCGTAAACTCATCCGTCTCCTGCGCGGTGACGGACGGGTTCAGGGATTCGTGGACAAGCTTGGTGAAAGTCCACTGGGCAGCCTTTGACTTCTCTTGTTGGGTCTGCTTCAGTCTGGGAGCGTCGTCGTGTCTGTCCATGCCTGCCTTCATAATGCTATGAGGTACGGTTGGTGCCTTATCAGCTTGCATGGGCTGCAGCCATCGTTGGATGGAAATACCTCTGGCGCTGGCCCTTTCTGTTGTGTTCTCCGTAGTGAATGATGCCGAGTCATTATCAGGTGTCTTAAGAGAATCATGGGGGTCAACGATGGTGACTTCCTTCTTTGCTGTGGGCTTCTTCTTCTCTTGTGTCTCCTGGTCGCCATCAGTGCGTACTCGGAATGGGCTGAGATCATATTTGCCTTCTTGTGTTGATCTGAAAGGTATGTACTTGATGGTCGAGTTCATCTTGTAGGGGAACATCTTCAGAAAGGACGAAAGCGTCGCCGGCCGGTAGTACTCAACCCAGTAATCATCAAAGAACGACACGGGCTTGGCGGAAACATCACCTTTTGGCGGTACGTAGACAGGCAAAGTTCGCTTCTGGAGAAACTTCGGTGTGAACCAGTGTATATAGTCATGTCTGAACTTATCAGACCATGCGCGAGGATCTGCGTGGTGCAAATAGTAGTCCGTCGAGAGGTCCCACAGCATGGGCTGTCCTTGAGCGAATATGTAATTGCCAAGGAACAGGTTGTATGCTTCCTGTCTCTGACTATCCAAGAATGAGTTGTGATAATATCTCTTGAAACTCTCGATCATGTCACGGGAATGGCTGGTCCACTGGTTGATCTTGCGATATGTCTCCATGGTGTTGACGAGTTGAGATCCGCCGTATTGGACGGCTATCGTGTCGCCGTGATCATGGTACATGTGGGTGAACAGGTTGACCGCATCGGTATCGTAGTCGATTGCTGTGTCTTCAAGAATGCCAAGAGCATGTAGCTGATGTCCGAGTGCTCGTTTCCCAATCACGAACTGGGCAGCATTCGTGCGGTCCAAGCAGTCGATACAATTTGTCCTCGCGACACCATTCTGCACTCGTGTCGGTGTAATCTCCCCATCGCCGTTCTGGAAGAAGCCTGTCGTCACCACGACCGACTCAGCTATGCTCTCCAGAGTGGAGATCACATCCTGATCTCGACTCTTGGCTGCCCTACCCATATCCCAAGCTTTGTGGATGATCTTGTGCTCCTCAGGAAGGAACTGATTGAGGTAATTGAGGGCATTCGTGTATTCAACAAGCAACTTGGACTCTCGCGGTGACCGCTCTCTTGCCTTGACAAGATTCAGGACATAGATGGGCGAACCATATCGCTCGAATAAGTTGTCAAAGTGCAGTGCTGCCGCGGTGTAGAATGGGTCTACGAGGTTCAACTCGATTGGGGGTTTGGGAGTGACCCCGATGCTGTCCTGCGTCCAATACAAGGGTATGCTTCCTCTATGCTGAACATATGAGGTGTACTGCGGGCTAGCGAAGAGCTTAGGCCCAGGGGAATGAAAGGATGTTGTCAGTGATTCGGCAACGATCTGTTCAGTCTCAACGTCGTTTGCAACATAGCCTAGATCGTTGGCACCGCGTTTCAAGAACCGAGCACCAGCGAAATATCGGGAACGTCGGGCGATGATGGTAATATGTGCTGTCCGGCCGTAAACAGCCACGGAAGCCTGGTCGATGTATCCGTGTATGACTGGACGGCACCAGTCAAAGGGATCATGTAGCGCATCGGTGGCGGGTTGCAAGAGGTGGCTATTCCAGACAAACATGGAGCTGTAATCGTCATAAGTTGTACCTGGCGTTTCTTCCATCAGGGCAACCCGCTCCCTCGTGATGTTGTGTTGCAACGTCCTTGTAATATCGTAGGAGTAGCTGTAGTAGAACGACCTCGTCATGTCCAAGTTATTCAGAATGCCCAGAAAACGCGACTCTTCGGCATTGCGAGCATCTGGCTTGTACTTGGTCGGTGTCAAGGGGATAAGTTCTGTACCGTCTACCTGGTAGATGTAATGACCCCCAATCATGGCCACGGTGCTCTTCTTGGTGATCAACAGCATGTAGTACGGCCCGGTAAACCTGACGAAGCCCAAGAGGCCCCAGGTTGTACATCGTTGCTTGATGCCACCAGTGCCTTTGTTCCCGTCGTCTATTGTGTCCAGTAGCGCATTCATCTCTATCTTATTGTATACGATCTTGTCGTCGGTGATGCTGAGGTCCGAGTCATGGGTATTGCGGTCGATCTTAAGGATACGGTAGCGCTTCTCGGTGACGTCGGCTCCCACGATGTAGTAGCGGCTCGCGGTCTCGTACAGGGTGAACTTGTGCATCTTGGAGAGCATGGGCGCCGGGGGTGGTGTGGCGTCTCGCGGCGAGGAGTCGGGACTGCTGGTGCGAACGAAAGGCCGGGCGACGGCTGGTTCCTCGTCGCTGTCGTCCTCATCGGCAGCTCCCTTCTGGGCCTTGATGTCTTGCAGCAAAGTCTCGTTACTAGCATTGTTCTGCAGGAGAGGGAAGAAGGGCTCCTGCTGCTCTTCTTCAGCGGCGGCAGGTTGCGTCGTCTGGCCAGAGGCCTCGGGAGGCTGGCCAGTGGCCATGAAGGCGTTCTGTTCGATCGGTTCGGCCATGTCTCCGTCTGAAGGCTCTCCTGCCGGTTGGAGCGGGAGGTCGGGATCGCACTCTGGTTGTCAGTCGCATGGGGACACGGTGCATCTTCAAAGTTGTTCGTGTCTGGTGGAAACATTGGAGGCCGCCCGGGTTGGCCGACGATCTGGATGTTATGGCCGCCCCGCCCCACTACAGCTGGAGCTTGGGCCTCCGTTATCCGGAGCTTCAGGGGTGTCACTGTACGACCCCCTTTTCCCCTTTTCGGATTTCCCCTTTCCCCCTTTCCCCCCGGATTCTGACTGTATTTGTGGCATGCGCCTAATCTGAAGTCAACTCTCAGCACTCAGTTCTTGCGCCTAACATTGCTGAATGTCACATCGCCCGGATCAACAGCTACCTCATGAACTGAGAAGCGCCACGAATGCCGGAACCCAAAGGCTTTGAAATGTCGATATACCTTATCATGAACAAAGACATCGTCCTGGCGGTGTCTCAAAGAACACGCGACAATGCCATCCAACGGCAACAGAAAACTGGCGTAACATGTCCTTTGGGTCCATCACCAACAGGGCAATTGTTCTCTGTGCGCTACAGCCCTGGTCAATGTATATATATGTCGCGATGAGGAGCGTGGCATGATTTGCAGCCAAACACCCTGCCATGAAGAATTAAACTCGACTGCTCATCTTTGTACTGTATCATGGATTTCAGCACACCTCTACAGTTCCCTTATTGGGCTCCCGCGGATACGATTCCGGCTCCCCTACCTACCTTCAACGAAATCGTTTCGACGGGGTCGATCATCCGGCGCTCCACGGTCTACCCGGAGCGTTGTCTGGCCCTGTTAGGTGATTAATTCTTCGTCAAATACGGTAAGCACGTGTCCGAACTAGAAGGCGAGAACATGCTTTTTGTGAGAAGCCAGACTAGCATCCCCGTTCCAACCGTATACGCCATCTATCGGCAGTCCGCTGACACAACAGTCATCATCATGGAGAACATCCTGGCGCGGATCTCCACAAGCTCAACCCCGTGTTATCCAACAGCCAGAGATCAGGAATCCTGTCACGCCTCGCTGGTCAGGTGAACGAATTGCGCCAGCTTGGTGACACAGGGTATTTTGGTGCCCTCAGTCGGCGGCCTTTCGAAGCGTCGTATCTGGCAGGTTCCGGCCCTTTCGATTCACTCAATGACTTCATGGACGCTTTCCTCGACAGGCGAGGCTTCATGGTGGATGAGCGCAGCCCTCGACCCTTGGTCGAAGGCAGGAACAGGTTTCGGGCTTCGCTTATTCAGGCTCTTCACGGCAGCGAGCGTCCAGTCTTCACACATGGAGACAATCATACCCGCAACATCATGATTCGTGAGAACGGAACTCCTGTTCTCATTGACTGGGAGATGAGCGGTTGGTATCCCGCGTTCTGGGAGTACTTCCGTATGGCCTCGCTTCATCTGGAACAACTGACTTTGTTGTCGTCATTGCTTGAGGCCCGCTATCCCCCTGTTTTGCAGCTTCTCGGTGACTTCCACCAAACCTGGGACAGGCTACGTAACGAGCACGGCAATACTAACATGTAAACTTCTGGCCATCGAATGTCCAGTCTACCCATGATCGCTGTTCAAAGTAGTACTTTTAGTTATTTATGTGATTATACTTAATACTATAGTCTTTATTTCGTTATCCATTATTAAGCTAATAAAACCTCTTATAATTATTTGCTGGGCAGAAGTCTGGCTCGAGGGGGTCGAGATGCATCTGTCGTTGCTTGTATCCAATTGCTTCAAGCAACCGCAAAGCCGCGACCATACTGGTGACTGTTCACAGCCCAACGCAACCCCAATCTGAAAACTGCACCTAAGTTCCAGTCATCAGTTCCAGTAATCACTGGCATCAAGCCTCACTTAGTACTAAGTAATCACTACAATCGAGATGACGACCACCAACGACAGACTGGCCAGAGCTTCCATGAGGTTGCAGCGGATGTCATGCCCAACACCGAGTTCTCTAGCGGCGTCTACGAGTCAATCAACACCACCAGCGTGAGTGGCGGGGCGGGTAGCCGTGTATGCCACAGACCAGTAGCTCAGCCGGCACCACTAGACAGCGAGCCTATCGACAAGAGAGGCACGGTAAGTTGTGCACGAACAATGCCATTCCACACAGAATACCAGACGTAGTCGCGCTAATGGAAGACGCAGGCTGTGAGTGGCACGGTCGGGAAGGCACGAGAGGCTCTTGGTGGAACACCCGGCGAAACGGCAAATGGGGCGACAGTGATGGCAACTTGTCGACGAAGACATATATGAAGAAATCCCAACATGACGCAAAGTTCCTGAGTATTGGACCAAGGGTAAAAAACGGAGACTAGGATCAAAAACTTAATCCTCCAGGATCGAGACCTTGATTTTCTAAATTTGTCGTCACAGCGGAGATAACCCATTGTTATCCCCAGTAAAAGGAACTTAGGCGACTACCAGCCAACGCACGAAATTATCCCCTTAGATGTTCGATAGCACCAGCTCACCAAAGATCAGGTACTGTACTTGAGGGATCACTTGTGAGCCGCAAACAGATGTCCATCATGGTGGACCACCCGTACCGTCCGTTGCCCTGTGACAGCACACCTCGTTGGAGCATCGATGGGGAAGCAGTTAAAGTGACCCTGTTTTGGGAGAAAGTTCCCCGATCCAAAGAATGCTCTAGAGAAAGTTCCACGACCCTAGAAATGCTCCAACTATAAAGAGGCAAATAAAGTGGCGACGGCGAAGGGGACCACACGAATCAGTGAGTAGATCTGTATAAATTGGCACATCGCCGCCTCTAGCGTCTCACTCCCATCATCGTCAACCACCGCCTCTAGCATCTCACTCCCATCATCATCTAAATCACCTACTTCAAGCCAACCAGCAAGTCAACGATCAGTCCAGACTGTATCACACCGTCATTGAAGTCAATCCAGAATAACAGCTTCTCGTCCACTCCGCAAGAATGAAGACTTCTTTTGCCCTTTTCCTCGCCACAGTCCTCGCTGTTAGATCCTCCCTCGCCGCTCCGCATGAGGACCAGCCTGGCACCGCAGGTCTCGACAAGGTAAGCCGTCGCTCTAGGCCCTTTGAAGAAAGCGGACGACAGCTCACAATACACAATAGCGTATGCTGGGTCTCGGATCCGAGACCTTCTACGATCTGGCCAATAAGTGGGATCTAGCGAACGCCGGCGAACGCACCTACCTGCAGTACGATGTCGGATCTGACTCAGCCGTTTACGGCACGCTGTCGCTCGTGGGCGCAGACGGAAAGGTGATAAAGTCCGGGTCCGTAACGGCGAGCAGCATGCAGATGTGGGATAAGCCAGCTGTCAGCAAGCGCCGTGACCTCTCCCCCCTCGAGGCGAGGGGTGACGAAGAAAAGGATGACGAAGAGAAGGATGACAAAAAGAAGAAGAAACGGTGCGAGGAGATCGACTGCGAAGATGGGGGCCTATTCGTGTACGGGTCTACGAGGGAGAACGAATTCTGCCAAAAGCAGGGGTGCAAAAAAAGGTGCCAAGGTTTAGCAATATTGACAAAGGGAAAACACGGCAGGAAAACCAGGAAGGAGGTAAAGCGATGCATGTCTAAATAAGGCCTTACGAGCATAATATATAGAAAGGGCGTTAAGTTGTGGTCCCTTCTGAGATATGTTACGGCACAGCAGCTCCACGACGGAATAGTCTCTCGTCTAAAGGAATAGAGCGACGTCACCTGGATATATAGTGTGAAGCTAGGATTCCTAGATCCATCCAGCGAGGCTAATAAACCACAAGATCTGCGTGCGGCGCAAGTCTAAGCCACTGAAGATGTGTTTACTAGTAACCAGAGAGCTCGGAGCTGACAAGCTTTTTGGAATCCCAAATCCTTCACAAGGCAGACCGCCTTCCTTTTGACTATGTGCCGCACGATACAGTGATGTGTCCCATGATGGAGAATCCCACGAGATATGATATCACTGCCTTGCTATGGGAAGGTCTATAAGATGATGTCTTGGCACATTCATGGGTGCAGCCAGGGATACTCGGCCAAGTCCGCATCAGCTTTGCGTCTCGCCTGTTACAACGCTTCTCACAGGACAATACTTAGCGTTCTACCAAGCGATTCAACGAACAGTACCTGACCGAACACGTGCTGCGAGCAACGTCGCTCATCCGTGTTCACACACGGCGCCAAACCAGATCTCGCAGAGACAAGCTCGGTCAGAGCCGACGTGAACCCCGAGCACAATTGCCTTAGCTTACCCAAAGACATACCGAGACGGACATCGACCGTGTAGAGGAGAGGCAGTTACCAGTTGAACCCTATCGACAGAGTGTGACCTGGCCAGATGAAGATCACAAGCCTCGTCATACTCGGCCTCCTTGCCCTGGTCCAGGGCACCCCCTTAGGGCCCTACAGCAACAGCCGCGAGATCACGGACCCGGCAACCCTACGCGACCTCAGGGCCCGCCAGGCATCAGCGATGGAGCAGATCCGCAACGGCACGGCGTACTACCCAGCCAGGGACACTACCCACCCGGAGCTCCAGGGCCGCAACCCCCTGCTCGCACTGGCGGGCATCATGATCCTGCGCATTGTCGGTAACGCCGCCAGCGACGTCCTGAGAGGTCTGGAAAAAGTATTCGGCGAGGACGACAGCGACGAGATCTGGAACAACCCTGACTACTGCCGAATAATGTACCAGACACAGGGCGGCGGCAACTGCCAGACCAACACTATTCTCAAGGGCAGTAACCTGTCGCCCTCCGACGACTCGAAACACTCATATGACAGGCAAATTTATCTCTCCTACCCACCCTGCGGCGTTGACCCAGAGTTTCGGCAGCACAGACGTGCTAACATGTACCTAGCTGCTCATGGCTCGACCCAGGGGCCGAGGGCTCGGAGCCGCCGGTCACATACTTCCAAGACCAAGGCATAGGAAAGTATAGTATAAGATGGACCGCCACGGACTCGTACGCCTGGGGAAACAGCTCAAAGTGCGAAACGGAGGGTATATGCAAGCCTCAACTGGTGAGTAGCATTCTCGGCTTAGTGAGGCGATGAATCAGCACCGTACTGACGAGGCCTCCTCCCTGTGATGTGCAGACTTTCTACCGCGACAAATACGACATCGTCTTGAACACGTGGGAGTCCCAGGGCGAAGTCAGCGCGTGCCAGTACTCGCACGGGGAGGACTGCAAGGGACTTTGCAGCGACGGCGTCACCGACCAGTTCAGCTCGGGAGGCAACAAATGGGGGGGCCAATGCGCTATTCCGTGCGAGGGGGATAGCAGGCTGCCTACATGAACAGGAAGGTCTGACTTGCGAGTCACTGGTGGTTGTCTCGCGGGCTGCACTTTCTGTTCTTCCCATTTGCGTCGGTCCCTTTTATCCTGTACCCCTTTGAAAATTATTTATATTTTTGTGTACACGTTCTTCGATTCCAAACTACTGTTACTATAGCCAGTGTTAACTTAAACCCTATGAAAAGCGCCCCTAAAACGTACTTGGACGTTCAAAGCGAGAACCCAAATGACGGACACCTCGTGTCTAAGACATGTCACATTCCTCTTCGATCTCGTCACAACGAGTGGGAAATGTCCATAGGACCACACTGGCCAAATCTGTGGGTATAGCGCAATGCCCCTCGGAGTCACATTATCATGACCGTGGGCGTACCTCACCTACTACCACAGTATAGTCCTGTTACGAAGACAACCACGCCTCGCCAGCACCCTTGAGCGCGATCCGAGATTCGCGTTACCCACGTTTCCCTCATGCTGTCAAATAAGTCCATTATCCTAGACAGCTGGTGCCATCGTACACAGCTGGTGCCTAAGCACGTCCGGGACCATTCTACCATCAGTCCCAAACCCCTAGCTCAGAAGCCAGTCCGGACCAGTCGAATCTGCCTCTGGATGGGCCAGGTGGAATTGTATCAGCGCTTCCTTGTAGCCCCTCAGCGACGAAGCAGGCGTCCAGTCTGGCTCCAGTTCGCCCCAGTGAACGAAATACGAAAAGCCTCGCCCGGCCTTCCTGCAGTTATAGATGATGGGCCCCGTGAGTGTCGTTGGTGTCGTACTACGCGCCGCTGACGAGAAGAAGGCGTCGACCTGGCTTTGCCGCAGTCCGGTCTTCGGAGTCGTACCGTGAGTCTGTCTCATGCCACTCTGCTCAGCTGGACGCGGTGTCCGTTGCGTGAGGACCATTGTGTTTTCTCTGGCAGGCTGGCCGCCCGTGGCCGCAGCACGGGAAGGCGGCGGCTCGAGCTCTGGGGTGCCGTCTCGTATATCTATGACTACACTCCCCGGGGGGGGGGGGGGGCGAATGGAGCTTTCGGCGGTCCTTGCCTGGGCCCATGTCCTATCTTGTTGTCCAGGGAAGGATCTCCCTCGAGGCGGTTTGCCTGGGGGTACTGCTGGGCGTCCTGTTCCTCGTAGGCGCGTCCTGTTCCTCGTAGGCGCGTCCTCGCTTCGCAGGGACGGGCGGGCTGGTAGCGGAGAACTAGCCGGTAGGGAGCCATCCCCCGAAAGGTCTTGATCATCTTCAGACAGGTATGAGCCAACCTCCGAAGGGGTTAGATCATCTCCAGACAGCCCTGAGCCCTCCTCAGATGACTCTTGGCTATCTTCCCGACCCTGTTCATCGAGTTGGAAAAAAGACGCGTCCAGCCCCCGACCCGGGAGCGGTGTCGGATTCCCACTGCAGTGTGGCTCGGCCTTGTCCAGGTCCTGCAAGAAACAGGAGAGGATTTCACTCTCCGAGGCGACCTGAAGTTGGAACATGAAGCCGGGTGTGTGGGTGTGCGCGACGAAACTGAGCCACTCGCTCTTGCGCCACACTCGAACCTTGCCGCCAACCCCAGCGGCGTCAAGGAGGTCGACGATATTGACCAGGGTGCCTCTGAGGTCTCTTCGGCATCTATCAATGGTAGTGCGAGGCTCGATGCCAATGAAGTTGCATAATCGCTTGTAGCCGGGGAGCATGCCAGCTGTTTCTTGGTCGTAGAAGAAAAGCTCCTCGATCGTCTCGTGCATTGCGTACGTTCGCTTCTTGTTGAACTCCTTTCGATCGTCTGGCGTTGAGTTCTTCGTGATGCCGTGGTTCCAGGGTAGCCATTGGTCCCTGAAGCATTGGGAAGACGCCTGTGTCGTGACAATGCTGGTCTTCTGGGTCGACGATGGCCGTGACGCCGGCGCGATGGCGTTGACAGTCTGGGTCCTTGGACGGTTCGACAAAGTGGTTGTAACACCTCGAGCTTTCGGAATGTGGTGTCCGGCGCCATTCTCTTTCATAAACTCGTGGGCCTCACTCATGGAATCGAAGCCCATATACCTGTTGTCGTAAATAGCGCTTGACCTGGCGCTCACAATCGGCCCAGGAGTTGTAGATGCCAGGTTTATGACCCCGGGCCACGGCGTAATATGAGTATGGCATCCTACTTGGTCTCTGCTATGGGGATGTATGTGATGATGGGGTGATGGTGTAAGTGGTAATGGTATCGTGTGCTACGCGTGGGTTCTTGTACCGTTTGAGATCAGTGGAATGAGTGTGGGACCACGCGTAGCACATCGAGCGCGTCGTGGTCCGTGATGGCGTGTGGGACTCTGGATTCGCGGCGACAGGGATGGGGGATCGTGCAATTTTTGCTTTTTGAAAACGATAAGATGCACGCAAACCCCAAAACAGCATACAGTTCGTCCATCTGCATACACCTTGGGTAATTCTTCAACGTCAATCATCCAACATCCGCAGCGATTATACCCCGTTCTATTCGCGATCGAAGCGTCTCAATCCGTTCCAGACTCAACGCGCATGTCTGCCCCTCATCAACTTGATGAAGACATGAGCCAAAAAGCAAAAATGTGACGGTCTCGACAGTAAATCCATGTGGGCATATATGATAGGTCGTCGCACAGTACACGTGCATGGTGAATATACCGCCTTTCTGCTGGAATAGATACTGGCAAGACTCACAGCACGGCTAGGGAGTGCGGGCTTGTCAGTGAGTGAAGGTGGTAAGAATGAGCACCTACAGACACCAACGAGAGCATTCCGAATATCCTCAAATATCATAAGAATGCCATCCCGGACCATTTGCGCCCGTCAGGTCTCAGACCAGAATGACAGAGATCGGGGCCAGAACTATCGTAACTCGTGCGGCCAAGTTCGCCGTCGATCCAGCTGGGTATGGGCCACGATTCACATGCCTGTGGCGTTCATGGACCCACAGCCATTGATCAGTTCTGTCAGTTATCGCCTGCATCGCAGGCGATACCTACTCGGAGACATGGACAGATAACGGCTCGTCGCCTAATATTGCGGGAGAGGTTATGTATGCTGGAGCAGGCCTCAGGGCCTTGCGAGGAGAACACCTTCGGCATAAGCTGTTGACAGAGGAAGATGGGTCGGAGTTGTTCAGGGGCGGTGTTTTCCCCAATTCCGGACTTCCAACGACGGACGGCACAACGGGCTGCTCTCAGGAGCCCGAGTCCTGGTCATGGAAATCTCTGTGGAGAGGACCGGCAACTTGTCTGGTCCCTCATGAAGTTGGAGAGGAAGAAGGCGATCCAACTTCGAACGCATATGAGTTCTTCAGGCTGGCTATTTCCGCCAGCGTTGAAGTTGACGCAACTCTTGGGAAGGTGGCAATGATGAGACTCATGACTCGGGAGAGACAGAGGCAGCTTCCCCCATCCCCACGGCTTCCCCGCACCCCAGCTTCTGGCTTCTGCTGGTAGGCCGCCACTAGCTTCCTACCCAATGTAGCTAGCTGTACGGTAACTTCCCGAGTTCCAGCAGATCAGATCGACCTATGAAGAACCTCGTCGCGTGCCCCTTGACCCGATCTGGCAGTTGCGGCGAATTATCGTCATTGCATCATCAGACCATCTACCTCTCCTCCCTTCCTCGGGTGCTAATCGGCTCGTATGACATATAAAAACGGGAGGACTCGTATAAGTAGTATAAGAGCCCCAGCTGCACGTGCCCATCTACACCTCCTGTTCTCCCCATCTCGTACCATCTGACCGCTCATCTGATCATCTTGTCTTGACCTTCAAGTCCAGAACGGCAAGAGGTCTGTCTGTCTGTCCGTCCGACTACACGGATACTAGAACTACTACATCAACCCCGTTCCTGAACCGCGACAGTCGAGCTCGCGAAGATGGTCCTAGAGCCACCCAAGCCTGACCCTTCGTTCACGAAACCCGGCGCCATGGATCCAATGCGGACGCCTCGGATGAACAACAAAGGAGGAGCCCCAATGCCGTAAGCCGTCCCAGTCCATCCCATCCCCATTCCCATCTCCCGTCATTCCCATCCCTCTCCCATCCCCTCTCCCATAACCCATACCATACCACACCCATCACGAACCAACAAGTCTCCCATCGACGAAACTAACCAGCTAACCCATCCACCACCATCAAAGCCGCAACAACCGCCTCGCCATAGTCCTCTTCGGCGTCGCCGTGACGGGCGTGGCCGCCGCGCAATTCATGCTGACCCGCCCGGAGCACACACCACAAGTCCAGAAGAACGGGCAGCAGCCGCCGAACCTGCACGTCAGCGTCGACCGGAGCGGCGGGGGAGTCTGATCTGATCTGCCCCCCATCAAAACCACGACCTCCACCTTCGACCGCCTAGCCTCGAATCCGCATTATCGATCCTAAAATCCCATCCGCACGATACTGCCAGCAACTGGTCGATTCGAAGGCCTGATACTGTTTCGTTGGTTTGGCTGTGGTGAGAAGGATGAAACTTGGGTGTTAATGGTCTGTACAGAAAGGTAAAGGAAGAGCATGAATAAACGGTAGGCGATCTGAGTGGCTCAGCGTAACTCGGGACGTCTCCAAAGCAGAGAAAGGTTCGGAAAGCTTATGTGGCAGCGCATAGTCAAGGGACATAAGCCCGAGCAACCTTGTCTTCAGAGGCCAGGGGTAAACGGCGCGCATGGCGTTCATCACTTCCAGGCGTTATTCCAACAACAATTAAGAGCTAGATCAGAAACCTTCCAAGTCGGCCATATGATACGTTCACTGGGAACAAGGCGTCTAAGAGAGGAGCACAGAACAAGCCAATACAAGTTATCAATGTCAATTCATAGGAGTATTTCTGGACTATTATATCATACAGCGTGCGACGAAGCAGGAGTGGTATCTTCGCGAGTAGTAAAACCGGCGTGCAACTGGTGTATTCTCCCTACGCCTTTCCTTCCTTCCATTACCCCCTTTTAATGACCGGCAAGGGTTGCTGAAACTTCACATCAAACCATGCAAGCAGTTTTGTCGCCGGAACCCAGCAACGCCAGAATGCCCGCACAACCCCATCGTGTAGGCTGTATACGACAGGTACACAATGCACAGAACGCAAGACGACGACGATGCTGATGCTGATTTATGCTTAGGGGTAGGAAACAAATCTCCAACGTCAGGATCCGAGACCGAAACAACAACGGGTCTAGCAGGCGGGACCGCGGATCAGAACGAACTGCCTCGTCTCCGCAACCGCCTGTCCTCCACCTCGCCCGCCGTGGACGATTCCTCGGATCGCAGGGCCGACTTTCCTTTGCCCTTGGCAACCCTCTGTTTCCGCGGGGAACTGGCACCGCTGCCCATGCCGACCTCGTCCTCCCTGACGCTGACAGGGCGGCTGCGGTCGGCTTTGTCCGTGCGTGGCAGCCGTCTGTTGGCCGGAGTTGCCAGTCCCGCGCTGCCGCGCCAGCTGCCGTCATCGCCCGAGTTCTGCGCCGTCGGCCCCGTGCTCCGCATCACGCGCATCTCCCTGACGACGTCCGCAAAGCTCTCCTCCAGGGTCTTCATCCTAGCGAGCACGAGTCGGCTCATGCGGTCCGAATTCTCGCGGTCGGAAGTGCCCCGTCCCAAGCCCCGCAGCTGCCCGGTAGCCATGGCCATCTGCGTGGCGAAGGAAGCCGGCACCGCGCCGAAGTCGTTGTTAGCATCGAGACCCATCTCGGAGGTGATTTCCACATCGGATGAGGCTTTCACACGGCGTGGTTCCATAGTATGCAGAGCCGTTCGGTTCGGGGCTGTTTTCATGGGGATGGGCTTCGGCCGGCTTGGCGTCGATACGTATTGAGTCCTTCTTGGAGATCGGGTGCCGCTTGGTGTAGACTGCTCCATTGTTGTGACGAGTCGGCTCGTTTTTGGTCGAGATCGGGGTCCCAATGGTTCTTCCGAGATAGCAGTTGGGCTCTGGCCGAGTCGGGCTGCTTCCTGAGGGTTGTAGAGAATCGTGTTTGTGGACATCGTACGACTGTGAAGGCCCTGACGCCGCAGGTTGCCACCAGCTCTTGGAGAGCCCGTAGCTTGTTGCCGAGGGAAGGACGAGCCGAGCGAGGACGGAGCAGCAACTCCGTGGCGGGAGGCTATAGGAGTTGTGAAATAATCTTCCTGTTCACTGTCATTCGGCCTGCCCCCGCGTCGGCTTTCAGCTGCGATATCATCGTCGTCGTCCTCGTCGTTCGTCACCAGCTCATCGTCACCATCAGCATCAGTTTGGTCCTTTGCTTGCTGCTCCACTATCTGACCATTCAGCGCTCTCATATCCGTATGATGGAAACCACTGTTCGATATGAGGTCTGCGGGATCGCTGGCAGCCGATCGTACGTCCGAAACCGTCCTGAATCTCCGGGGAATATCGCGATTCACACTCAAATGACGGTGAGAATGGCTTTCAATGGTTGGCCAGCGCGATAACCGTTGTTCACCAGGGTCATCGTTCTGGTCCATCCAAGTACGTATGGCTGTTTGAGTCTTTCTCCTATCCATCCTCCTTTGATTTCTAATCGTACTGGGGCCAGGCTGCCGTCGGAAAACCTCATCCAAGGCCCTGTCCTTCTGGAGGCCCGCAACGGACTCCTCACGAATTCGGACACCGGGGCTGAAGAGAGCAGCCCCCCTGCTCGCAGGGTCGGCGAACGAAATAGCTCGGGACTTTGCGCGTCCGTGGTTGTCGACCAAGTCCGTGGGTTCATATATCGTAGATGCCAAGATGTACTTCTCGTATAGGAAGATGCAGAACAAGAGGGGCCAGTGGGTTAGTTTGATGACCATTCGGTTCAGTAGCACGAACTGCCTGATCGGCATGACATATCGGAACGGCATCAGCAACCAAGCAAATATGTTTGCTGGTGCAATGTAGGAGAATAGCGCATCGTTCTTGACCATTGAGATGGTGTTGATTGCGAACAGAAACCTAAACGATGATGAGTATACGCGATGTCACGGACGACAAGGAACACGACACGTACTGATGCTCTTCCTTGGCATTGGAAGCAATGGCCATAAAGGAGTTCGTCAAAACCGTAATGAGTATGGTACTATTGAAATTGTTAGCCAGGCACCTACTGAGATCTCAGGTCGACTTACACGACGAGGAAGTGACAGATGATCAGGAAGAGGACCAGTAGTAACCTGCCAATAAAGTTATACTCGGGCCAGCTGAAATGCCAGGTTAGCTTCAATCTTCCACAAACAGGAGTCCGTAAGTTGACTTACACTTCCCATGCTGCCGGAGTGAAGCCCATCAGAATCTGAAAGATCTTGTAAGCCACGTCAGGCGCGTCGTTCTGGTTCTTAGACAACGTAAAGAAGACGAAGAAGCCCGAGCAGCTGATCAAGACAAGAACGAAGACAGCAGCGAGGTCCACTGCCATCAGTCGAAAGGCGATCAGGAGCTGAGAGAAATACGGATAGTGGTCTAGCACGCTGAAGATGCGAGGCAGGAGAAGGATTGCATTGGCAGCCAGGACATCGTACGCCATGTCATTCCACCGGTGTGGGTCGATGAGGAATACCCCGTACACCCTCATGCAGTAGTAGATGATGAGTAGTAGCAGAATGCCGAGGTCGAAAATGTTCCAGAAGCTCATGATGTACAGAGAGAACCCTTGCTCATTGAAACCGACAACCTCGTCAAGCATGAAACCTGCACTCCAGAACCAGAATATCAGCTCCAGCGTGGTGATACGACTGGACCGCTCCACGAGGACCGCCAGAAACAGGCAAATCAAGATGAACAGTGAGCACGTCGCCAGGAATTGTCGGTACCGAGGAACGCGGAGTCTGGAGAGTTTCAGTGGAGAGGCATTGCGCGGATCGTACAGGTTCACAGTTCGCCGAACTGGAATGGCATGAAGTGGCAGCTGGGACGAGTGTTCCTTGACGGGCTGACGCCCTAGCAATGGCGTTCGAGCATCGGCGGGACCGCGCTGATTGGACCTGCCAGCATTTGCCAGAGGCGGTGGGGTGCGATGAAGGCTGTCATGGGACGAGTAGAAGCTGATGGCACCGTTCCAGATAGCCTCGAGCTGTTGCACCACAAGGGGATGTGCCAAGAAATGCTTCGCAGAAGCTCGGATAGCAACCTCCAGGGTCGAGGTCCTAGCGGCCGCGGCGACCCTGGCGTTGGGGATGGTTGGTATTGCAGGTGCGCCTTGGAGGGGGTCAAAATCGTAGGACAAAGCGTCGATCAGCTCTTTCGTAGTGTACTCCTTCAACATCTTTAGAGCGAGCAGCTCGCAGACCTTGGCCCTTGTGTTACTGACGCCGGAATTGCTTGGGTATAGTTGTCCTTCCTTGGCGAACTGGAGGCAATTTGCCATGAGGGCATACATCGTGACACGACTGAAATGCTGGGTGCGGATCTGCTGCTGCATGGGCTTGACCAAGAACTGCGAAACCTGCGGGGAGCACAGTTGTTCCCATGTAAGCGTCGTCTCGGAACGCGTTTGGACGATGATTCGAATGGCGTGCACGATGTGGTAAACGGGTAGCGAGTCTTGTACCTGCTGTCAGAATATCTCTGTCTATATGCCGGGCTAGAGGCTCGAGGCTCACCTAGATAATCGGTTGAGAACAATGGTATCATAGAGGCCGAGTGTTGTTGCGTCGCGCCATCCTCGGCGAAGCGCGTAACGCGGGGCCCTGAGGGCTGGTCGACGTCGAAATCGTCCTCATCTTCTTCGTCGTCGTCGGCCTCGGTGAAGTCGGCGGTGGCATGTCGCTGATCGGCGTAGTTGCGGTGCGCAGGGCTCGGGGAGGGTGTCGCTGAATTTGAGCTGGCCAGATGCGAGCCGTCGCGACGAACGGCAGGCCTGGGTCGCAGCAGTGACGAAAGCATTTCCTTCGCGGGGTGGAGCATGGCAGCCGCCGAAAGTCAGACCAGACCAAACCAAACCAAATCCCCTACCTCCTCGCGGCGCCAGAACAGATATATGGTAGCATCTAGGGTGCGGTAGGAAGAGCGAGGACGACGTTCCGCTAGGTGCGAAAGGGCTGGTGCGCAGGTCGTGTAGGTCGTGTAGGTATGTGTGAGACACGGAAGACAAGACGAATACAGACAGTCAAGGCAGACAGGAGAAACGAGAGCTCTCGAAAGTCGCATCTACATACAGTAGGTAGCGCGAACCGCGCAAACATGTAATGAAGGATACTAGGATGGAGATTGCCACGGCGTGTCGAGAGGCACTAGCAGCAACGGTCGTGAACGGTGCTGAACAAGAGATGAGATCCACTGCCAGAATGGGGAACCATGTCAGAAAAGACTCTTGGGAAACAAGGATCAAGTCGAACCCAGGCGCACCAGGTGGGGAGATCTGGCTGGCATGTTGCACGCCATTACACAATCACCGTTGTTAATTAAGTAAGGCAGTTACGAAGTCATGTGCGACTTCCCGTACATGGGGTTAGCAGCTGCCCGGAAACAGAGCGCAAAGTGCGGCACGGCCACTGGCAGGTAGGGGAGAAAGAGAACGCCATGGCAAAAGTCGGTCTGCGATTGCCAATGGGTGTGGTAAGGAGCGATAAGAACTCGAGGGGACACAGACATGTGAGAGGGCGGAATGGATGCAGGAGGATCATTGATGATGCACCATCGTGAGATCTTCTCTAGCTCCAGAGGTAGTAGAGATTGTGTGGATCGGGGATCACATGAACAGAGTTCCATTCTAATGGACAGTCCCGACACTCTGTTCCATGCTGTTGTTTTAAAGATGGGTTGTGAGCTCCCATTCGTCGGTATTCCACATTTCCATACCTATTTACACTTCATGTGTACATTGAACATACATCTCCAAGCACCTGCGGGCTTCAAGGTTGGGTGGTAGCACACATCCAATACGATGCCGGAGTCGCAATTGGTCGGACTGATTGGATCGGACTGATCAGCATGCGAGCTCTGATTGGCACCGGCAGCCACACCACTTACACACCGAGCATCAGGCGGCTGCACTGTCCGTTTTGGACATTTGAATCACGGTATCCCTCATTAGTATGCCTCCCTGGCGAGTCTGTCATTTGGTGTCAATGACCATCACCGTGGCGGAAGAAACCTTCCGGTAAATTATACCTAAGGTACCTTACGTAGGATGAGAGTCGCGGGTGTGTTGAGAAAGAAACCAGCCAGTATTGGACTCTGCGTTCAGCCCTCAACGACCATATATACAGATGTGTGTATAAATCAACGTCTTGTAGGATAGGTAGTGAGTAAGGTAGTCGAGCTTCTCACAAATCTGTGGTCATATATACAGACCGTGTACTCAACTAATTGCATAGGATATCCATAGTCGTTGCCGAACTTCCATTTATATTCACCGCTCATTCGACGCCAAAGTTGCCTTTGGCAGATGGTGCAACTGACGAAGCCGATTGGCCACTCTCCCAGCACCATACCTACAGCACCAGCTTCCGCTGGTCACAACCAGAGAAGGGGGCACATGATGAAAGTTTCTATTTCCTACCCCCCTGTAGCCGACCCCACGTTTCCTCGCTTAGATGCAGCATGCAGCATGCATGCGACCTGAAGTGCAGCCCGTCTAGACCGCTTTCAGCCCCGCCTGCGGCTTCGTCTAAAGTAGGGATGGAGTCTGAGAAACACAATACAATACAAGTAGTAAGTTGTATTGTATTGTCTTGTGTTTTTCAGGTTCACACGTGTGTTTCTTGGTAGTGACGTAGTAAAGGGTACCTAGTAGTACCACGGACCACCAGAATTTGGCTTGGCCATTGTCCGTAGCCGGGGGAAAAGCGCCGGAATTACCCTCAGCCGGGGCTCCGGAAGCGGTCCGGAAGTTGTTCCGACTAAAGACACAAACACGAATACAACACGTGTTGTATGAGGTGTTTGTATTGTAGTGTGTTTTTGGATTGAACACGGTGTTTTCCACCCCTAGTCAAAAGCACGACTGAGCGACCCCTTCACACCCTTATCAGCTACCCGTGCTATGCCCCACTTTATTCAGGATTTGCCCGGGCTCACCAGCTAAAGCTGGTGCTGGACACCAAAACACCCAGATCACCAAAACACCCAATTTTTCGATCTATCTAACTAGAAATGCCTCAACCACCTGCAACTGTGGCCAGATTTGTAGATTTCCGCCGGTGCCAGTCTCCCAGAAAGCCTCTGTTTGCGTGACTCCTTTGCTGCTTCGGAAAAACAGCGTTTTGCAGCATTGCGAGCCCTTAGATCTGCTGCTTCAACCATCTTCCTTGTCTTAACTATCTGGTCTTCTTCCTTCTGCTGGACCATCCGCCGGCTATCAGCTACTGTCAACACCCCTCCTAACTTCAATGGAGTATTCTTGGTAGCCCAGCGTTGTTTTTGAACGCGCTCAGCATATTTAGTCCTCCCCAGGTCTCTTTTAGTCTGGACTAGTTCTGTGGCACTTATTGGAGACTCTTTGATAAAGCGGTTAATATTAGCAGCAAATTCAGGATCAAGACTTTCGTCGCTTTTCAGCGCTGTGTCTAGCTTATCAGCCACCTTGTTGATCTGGCATAAGGTCATTGGCGTGCTAAATGGCGAGGAACCTGCCAAGGTAGAGGGAGTAGGTGTCCTTTTTGGCTGTCGTTCTTCTAGGCTTTGAAGCACCGGCAGCGGGTTATATGGCCAGATACCAGTCTTCTGGAAGGCAGAGAGAATCGTACTAGACTTTAATGCTTGCTGGCGGACCTGCTGAATACAACTAAGAAACTCAAGCTTCGTGATGTTCACCAGGCCATCACGGACCATTAAGTCTAGTGCCTTTGCGTGATAATGCTTCAGTGGCTGGAAGACTACCACGTCTAGCGGCTGCAGCAAGTGCGTCAGGTTTGGAGACATGCCAAAAGGGATGATGCTGTGATTTTCGTAATATTGAATAAATTCAATCATATGGTATGAACCATGGCTATCTAGAATAAGGAGCCATTTTGTCCTAATGGCCTTTGTTGCTGTGTATTTTTCAAAATGCTTTAGCCATTCCAAGCTAATTTGATTGTTTGAATAGCCGCTAGAAGAAGGGATAATAGCTGTATCTCCATGTAGTTCAGGTTGTTGATATCATCGGGCCATATGGTGCTGGCCTGCCAGAATCAAAAAGGCTGGTATGTATTCTCCACCCGCAGAGATGGCTTCGATAGCAGTAACAGATTCCCTATTTTCAGGGGTGCTGAAATAGTGGGCTCTCTTTTGTTTGGTGACGATAAGCTGGTTCTTTCCAAAACCTATGCAAAAGCCAGTCTTGTCCATGTTCCAGATATCTTCGGGAGGGATACCCTCTGCTTTGCATGTCTCTTTGAGCTTCTGGAAGTACTGAGCGACTCGCTTGACGTCTTCTAATGCCTCCCGGTCCGCATAAAGCTGCTTTTGAAGCCGCTAGTGGTATCCATAGCGCTTAATAAAGCGACTGATCCATTTTTGGCCAACAGTAGGTGAGCTGTTCCGTATAGCTGAAGGCGCTCGATTGCTCAGAATGTGATTTGCAGCGTCGGTAATAAACTCAGTACGTACAGCAAGGTTAATATGATCAAGACGATCAATATAATGACATATTGCAACCTCTTTAGCAGGTGTTAGCTTTATGTTTGCTGCTAGTTGGCCTTTTCTTGCTGGACGGCCCTTAAGACGGTGTCAAAGGCGATTACGAGATACACTAAATTTACGGGCTACCGTGGCGACTTTTGAACTGGAATGGGTTCCAATATGCTGGACAGCTTTCTGCAAGCGTGCTTCCATTTTACCGAATTGAATATGCTTTGAAGCTGCTGAAGAAAAGTGTGATCTAGAGGGAATGGTCGAAAAACTGGGTGTTTTGGTGATCTGGGTGTTTTGGTGTCCAGCACCAGCTTTAGCTGGCGAGCCCGGGCGAATCCCGAATAAAGTGGGGCATGGCACGGGTAGTAGGCTGCTAGGGACAGGTGATAAATGTGAGGCACCGAATCACAAGATCCTGACATGACACCGGCCTTGAGGCTATATCATCTCCAACTGAGGCTCTCGCTAACCAGCATTCCGCGATTGGAAGAGCAAAGGCAGTCCAGGGAAGCGAGCCAGTCAAAGACCACCAAGACCCTTCGTGCGTATGCCTCTATTAAGGGGCACCTCGTACTTCCCTGAGACCTCGCAGTCAGCGAAAGACTGGCTCAGAACCATTGTGACCATATTGCCAGTACCGTTTGATCGAAGCTCGTTCCATCAGAGTGGTCAGTTTCAGAAAATTTCCTCATCAATGTGTTGTCAAAGAGACGGAGAGACTGTTAACTCGGGATCCAAGAGTTGCGGGGCCGGCCCCTTGCTCGCGCTGGGAATGTGACAGCTGATTGGACGCCTGGCACCCGCTGGTCTAACTTACAGGTAGAATTTTCGTCACTGCCACTGGTCAGAATTGAGAGTTGAGAGCCCCTCCAACGCCCCTCCAACGCCCCTCCAACGCCCGGGCCCCTCCAACGCCGCCCCGCAACGGACGCAGACTTAGACCGACTGCAGGACTACCTTAGCTCTACGTAGCTGCAAGAAAAAAAAATCATTTTCATACCAGTATTATTTTCTTTCCAAAGGTTCTATCTTGAGATTCAGCAGCAAGACCTTTTCATGCTCCAACGTTCCTCTCAGATACAACATATCGTACGCGCCAATTGATCCCAGTCACGGCATGAAACATTGAAACAGCTACAGCATCGCGGCTTCGTGTGAGCTTCCTAGCTGCGGCTGTGCTTCCGTCCCCCATCAGCCGTTTTCGCACACCACATCACGCGCCACTGCACCCACGAGCTTGTGATAACAATGGCAATGACCTCGGTCAACTGCCCGCCCGCCTCGGCGCGGATCATGGGCGAGGACCATGAGGACCTCATGTGCCTGGACCTCGAGGATGCCTCCTCCTACCAGGGCTACAGCTTTGGTGGCAAGAAGAGCATCGCTGGAGAGCTGGTCTTCCAGACGGGCATGGTCGGATACCCAGAGTCGATAACAGATCCGTCCTACCGCGGCCAGATCCTCGTCATCACCTTTCCCCTGGTCGGCAACTATGGTGTTCCCTCGCGAGAGACCATGGACGCACTCCTCCGCGACCGTCCCGCCCATTTCGAGTCCTCCGAAATCCACATCGCCGGTCTCATCGTGTCGTCCTACGCCGGCGAAGACTACTCACACTTTCTCGCCACTTCATCCCTGGGCACGTGGCTAAAGGAGCAGGGAGTGCCGGCTATGTATGGAGTCGATACAAGAGCCCTGACCGAGCGGATCAGACAGGAGGGTAGCATGCTTGGCCGGATGCTTCTACAGAAGGAAAATTTGACCAACGGAGCCTTGACCAACGGAGCCTTGACCAATGGAGCCTCCAATGGTGTCAATGGCAACACTACAAGACATATTCCCAAGAAAGATTGGAAACCATACTTCGAGTCTGTGGAATGGGTGAACCCTAACACAAAGAATCTCGTCGCAGAGGGTGAGCACTCCGCTACAGGCAGGTATATGGCTCTAGGCTTACTGGTCCGCAGTTTCCATCAAAGCGCCCCAGCTCTACAAACCAAACTCTGAAAAGACAGTGAAACATCCTTCTGGGAGAACACTTCGTGTCCTGTGCCTTGATGTGGGAATGAAGAACAACCAGCTCCGATGTTTCTTGAACAGGGGTGTCGAGGTCCTGGTCTGTCCTTGGAACCACGACTTCTCAAAGGGGGCTGGAGAGGACTACGACGGACTCTTCATCTCAAACGGACCCGGTGACCCTGCGGTCATGCGTGAACCCGTGAGGCACATCGCCGAGGCTATGAAGGCCAATCGAACGCCCGTCTTTGGTATCTGTCTTGGCCACCAACTTCTAGCCCAGGCCGCTGGTGCCAAAACCCAGAAGATGAAGTTTGGTAATCGCGGTGCCAATATCCCTTGCACGAGTATGGTGACGGGCAAATGTCACATCACTTCCCAGAACCATGGTTTCGCTGTGGATGCGCAGAGTTTACCATCTGAGTGGAAAGAATTGTTTGTGAATGCCAACGATGGTAGCAACGAGGGCATCATGCACCACAGCAAGCCGTACTTCAGTGTGCAATTCCACCCCGAGAGCACACCTGGTCCCCGCGATACCGAGTACCTCTTCGACGTCTTCATAAACACCATGAGCAGTTGCGCCAAGGACAAGAGACTTCTTGAAGCGCCCGTTAGCTTTCCTGGCGGCGCCTATGAAGAGAATGAGAGGTTGCACCCGCGCGTCCATGTCAAGAAGATTCTCGTTCTTGGAAGTGGCGGTCTAAGCATTGGACAGGCGGGCGAGTTCGACTACTCGGGCAGTCAAGCCATCAAGGCTCTGAAGGAGGAGGGCATCTATACTGTTCTCATCAACCCGAATATCGCAACAATCCAGACTTCCAAGGGCTTGGCAGACAAGGTTTATTTCCTTCCTGTCACAGCCGAGTTTGTGCGCAAAGTCATTGTGCACGAAAGACCCGACGCGATATACGTCACTTTCGGCGGCCAGACTGCCTTGCAAGTTGGTATCCAGCTCAAGGACGAGTTTGAGGAGCTTGGTGTCCAAGTTCTCGGTACTCCCATCGACACCATCATCACGACGGAAGATCGAGAGCTATTTGCCAGAAGTATGGACTCGATAGGTGAGAAGTGCGCCAAGTCAGCCTCCGCCAGCAGTGTGGATGAGGCCATGCGTGTCGTTAAAGACATCGGCTTTCCAGTTATCGTCAGAGCTGCATATGCCCTGGGTGGTCTGGGCAGTGGTTTCGCTGACAACAACGAGGAACTTCTCGACCTCTGCAACAAGGCCCTAGCAGCGAGTCCCCAAATCCTGATCGAGAGAAGCATGAAGGGTTGGAAGGAGATCGAGTACGAAGTTGTACGAGATGCTCAAGACAACTGCATCACTGTCTGTAACATGGAAAACTTCGATCCCCTCGGTATTCATACGGGAGACTCAATTGTTGTAGCGCCCTCGCAGACACTTTCCGACGAGGACTACAACATGTTGCGAACGACGGCAGTCAATGTCATCCGCCACCTGGGTGTAGTTGGAGAGTGCAACATTCAGTACGCTCTGAACCCCTTCTCGAGAGAGTACTGCATCATCGAGGTCAACGCAAGATTGTCGCGATCTTCTGCGCTGGCTTCAAAAGCAACCGGCTACCCGTTGGCCTTTATTGCTGCCAAGCTGGGGTTGGGCATACCGCTCAAGGATATCAAGAACTCGGTCACAAAGGTCACTTGCGCCTGCTTTGAGCCTTCTTTGGATTACGTTGTTGTCAAGATGCCCCGATGGGATTTGAAGAAGTTTACGCGAGTGTCCACCCAGCTCGGATCCTCCATGAAGAGTGTAGGCGAAGTCATGAGCATTGGTAGAAGCTTCGAGGAAGCAATCCAGAAGGCGATTCGGGCCATCGATTTCCACAACCTTGGCTTCAACGAGACCAAGGCCCTCATGTCAATTGACGACGAGTTGCAGACCCCATCAGATCAGCGCCTGTTTGCCATTGCGAATGCCATGCATGCTGGGTACTCTGTTGACCGAATCTGGGAGCTTACCAAGATCGACAAGTGGTTTCTGCACAAACTCATGGGTCTGAACAACTTCGGCAAAATGGTTTCCAAGTTCACCACCAGTCAGATCTCTAAGCGTCCTGACCTTCTGCTTCAAGGAAAGCGACTCGGTTTCAGCGACGGCCAACTGGCAAAGTTCTGGGACTCCAATGAGTTGGCGGTACGACGTATGAGACGCGAGGCTGGAATCACTCCATTTGTCAAGCAGATCGATACCGTCGCTGCCGAGTTCCCCGCGTACACTAACTACCTCTACCTCACATACAACGCGTCAGCTCATGACATTGACTTCAACGATCATGGTGTGATGGTTCTTGGGTCAGGTGTTTACCGTATCGGATCCTCGGTCGAGTTCGACTGGTGTTCGGTCCGGGCTATTCGCACGCTTCGAGAGTCGGGCTTCAAGACAATTATGGTGAATTATAATCCCGAGACGGTTAGCACTGATTACGACGAGGCGGACCGGCTCTACTTTGAGAATATCAACCAGGAGACGGTGCTCGATATCTACCAGATGGAAAATTCAAGTGGAGTTCTCGGTGCCATGGGTGGTCAGACACCCAACAACATCGCTCTGCCTCTGCTACGATCCGGGGTCAGGGTCCTTGGAACGTCGCCCGAGATGATTGATAGGGCTGAGAATCGATACAAGTTCTCCCGAATGCTCGACGAGATTGGTGTCGACCAGCCGACCTGGAAGGAGTTGACAAGCTTCGAAGAAGCCAAGGTTTTCTGCAACAAGGTATCCTATCCAGTACTGGTTCGGCCATCGTATGTGCTTTCTGGCGCAGCGATGAACACGGTCTATTCCGAGGCGGACCTCGAGCTATTCCTTCAGCAAGCCGCCGAGGTTTCACGCGAGTACCCAGTGGTCATCACGAAGTACATCGAGAACGCTAAGGAGATTGAGATGGATGCTGTCGCTAAAGACGGCACTGTGATTGGCCACTTCATCTCGGAGCACGTCGAGAACGCAGGTGTTCACTCTGGCGATGCAACTCTCATTCTACCACCCCAGGACCTTGAGCCTACTACGATCAAGCGCATCGAAGAAGCCACCAGGAAAATTGGTGCGAAGCTCAATGTCACGGGCCCCTTCAACATCCAGTTCATCGCCAAGGATAATGATATCAAGGTCATTGAATGTAACGTCCGAGCTTCACGATCGTTCCCGTTCGTGTCCAAAGTCATGGGAGTTGACCTCATTGAGATGGCGACCAAGGCGATCATGGGCGTGCCCTTCACCGAGTACCCACCTACCAGCATTGCGCCAGGTTGTGTCGGAGTCAAAGTTCCCCAATTCAGTTTCTCTCGTCTCTCTGGAGCTGATCCTGTTCTTGGTGTGGAGATGGCTTCTACTGGTGAAGTTGCTTGCTTTGGCATGGACAAATACGAGGCGTATCTCAAGGCACTGATGTCGACCGGCTTCAAGATTCCGAAGAGCAACATCCTCTTGTCCATGGGATCATACAAGGACAAGAAGGAGATGTTGCCATCGGTCCAAAAGCTGCAGAAGATGGGCTACAAGCTATTTGCCACTGCGGGGACAGCCGACTTCCTCCAAGAACACGGTATTCCTGTCCAGTTCTTGGAGGTACTCGGTAACGAGGAAGACGATCAAAGGTCTGAGTTCTCATTGACGCAGCATCTTGCGAAGAACATGATCAACCTCTACATCAATCTCCCCTCGAGCAACAAGTACCGCAGACCGGCCAACTACATGAGCAAAGGGTATCAGACTCGGCGAATGGCTGTGGACTACCAGGTCCCTTTGGTCACGAATGTCAAAAACGCCAAGATCCTCATCGAGGCCATCGCAAGACATTTTGACCTTGAGGTCGGCAGCCGTGATTTCCAGACTAGTCACCGTACCATCATCCTCCCTGGGTTGATCAACATCGCTGCATTTGTGCCTGGTATTGGTTGTCAGGGCAGCCATGATCTCCAGGCGGTCACGAAAGCATCCATCGCATCCGGTTTCAGCATGATTCGTGTCATGCCAATGGGAATTGATGGCTCCATCACCGATGCCAGCACCCTGAAAATCGCCCAGCAAAGCAGCAGACGTGGCGGGTTCTGCGACTACAACTTCTCCATCTCGGCCACCTCCGAGAATGCGGACCAGATCAGCCAGGTCACAAGTGAGGTCGGGTCTCTATTCATCCCATTCAATCACCTGTCGGACAACATCAGCAAGGTTGCCGCGGTCACTGCGCACTTCGACTCATGGCCTGCACATAAGCCAATCGTTACAGATGCGAAGACGACGGATCTTGCGTCGATTCTATTGCTGGCTAGCCTTCACAACAGACGCATTCACGTCACCAGTGTCACCACTAAAGATGACATTCGCCTGATTGCTCTCAGCAAAGAAAAGGGCCTGAACGTGACATGTGACGTGTCGATCTACTCATTGTATCTATCACGAAAGGACTATCCCGAGTGCCAGTTCCTCCCCAAGCCCAGCGACCAGGAGGCCCTTTGGGATTATCTCAGCACTATCGATGTCTTCTCTGTTGGCAGTGTTCCGTTCCAACTCAGCCACGCCATGCGTTCTGACTCGAATCAGACTGCCAAAGAAGATCCTGCAGTTGGTATTGCCGATGCTTTGCCTCTTCTTCTCACTTCTGTCGTCGAGGGCAAGTTGACGATTGATGATATCAAGGCTCGTCTCTACGACAACCCCAAACAGATTTTTGAGCTTCATGAGCAGGTGGGAACATCTGTCGAAGTCGAGATTGACCGTACTTACACTGTGCCAACCACGGCTGCGTGGTCTCCATTCGCTGGCAAGGTCATGCGTGGAGCTGTACAGAGAGTCACTTTTGGAGACAAGACCGTCTGTCTTGACGGTGAACTCCTTCCAATTGAGCCTCTTGGCAAAGATATGTCCACGCATGGTAGCATGCCTGCGCCGATGTCGCCTACTATAAAGGCAGGACCCCAGACTACAACGTACCCTCTTGAAGCTTTGGCAGCGCGGCGACCGTCTACTATGAGCAAGGCCATGACTACGTCGCGGCTCATGGACGGCGAACTCGATGGTCTGCGACCTCTTTCGAAGCACGCTCCTACCATGGATGATTTTGGTCTTCCAGGACCCACGCGCGGGCCATTTGTCGACTCGCTACACGACCTTCTGATGCAGCAATCTGTGTTCAAGAACTCGCATGTTCTCTCTGTCAAGGAGTATTCGCGCTCTGATCTCCATCTCCTCTTCACCGTAGCCCAGGAGATGCGCTTAGGTGTCGATCGCGAGGGTGTTCTCAGTACACTCCGCGGCCGCGTGCTATGCACACTGTTTTACGAGCCGTCCACCCGCACTTCGGCGTCATTCGACGCCGCTATGCAGCGTCTCGGTGGCAGGACCATCGCTATCAGCACGTCCCACTCGTCGGTACAGAAAGGCGAAACACTGCAAGACACGCTCAGGACACTTGAGTGTTACGGTGATGCGGTGGTACTGCGCCACCCCGAGGAGTCATCGGTCGACATTGCGAAGAAGTACAGCAAGGTACCCATCATCAATGGAGGCAACGGAAGCAAGGAGCACCCCACTCAAGCGTTCCTCGACCTCTTCACTATTCGAGAAGAACTCGGTACCGTACAGGGACTGACCATCACCTTCGTTGGTGACCTTCTCTACGGACGCCCAGTCCACTCGTTGGTCTACCTGCTGCGACATTACCAAGTCCACGTTCAGCTGGTAGCACCCAAGGCACTTGCCCTTCCGGCGGATGTTCGCAACTTGCTGAAGGAGTCCGGGCAATTGCTGTGCGAGTCCGAGGAGCTCACTCCCGAGATCCTCTCCAGGAGCGATGTACTGTACTGCACACGAGTGCAGAAAGAGCGCTTCCCCAGCGCAGAGGACTTCGAGAAGGTGAAGAATGCATACCGCATTGATAATGCTACGCTTAAGCACGCGAAGCAGCACACGCGGATACTGCACCCTCTCCCCAGGAATGAGGAGGTAGCGGAGGAGGTTGACTTCGACGAGCGCGCTGCCTACTTCAGACAGGTGAGTCCAAGGTGGTCTGTCACAGATGTGAGCACACTTGCTAACGAATCGGCAGATGAGATACGGACTATACTGCCGCATGGCCCTGCTAGCTTTGGTCATGTCGGGCTAGCCGTACACTACCGCTCACGTCTTATAGCTTGATTTTAGCACGGATTTCTGCAGGAGTTGTGGTATATAAAATGCACTATATAGTGGTCTGTTCTTTCGGACATGTACGGTTCCACGTAGAGATAGGAACGCTGCATAAGACACCCTCCTGCATGGATCGCGCCGCTTAGAAGTGAATGATTTAAAGGCGTGCATATACACATTGGGGTGTATGGGTGTTGCGTTGCGTTGTGTACTTGGTTTGGTATATATATGCGTCGGGTGCGTGTATGTGTCTGTTTGTATGTATATGGTCATTGTGTATGCATTGGGTGGTTTTGGATACATTGTATACTAGTGGCTACATAGAAGCATATATCCTTGTACATACAGGGGATGTTCTGTTGACAATTTGTTGTCCTGAAGCTATCGTGGTTCCCACTCACCATCTGCTGCGTTGCTAGACACCTGAATGGCGGCTCACAGCTTCTAAGGAGGTTAGATCCATCCCGCAGATAGGTGACGTCATCCACCACGACTGCCCATCTCTGAATCATCGAAACCCGCCGGCAGCTCTTGAGTCTGAGCCCATCTTCTCCTAATGGAAACACCCGGCAACGGCAAAAAGTGTTGAATCATCACCACAGACCGGGCTATTGCAGAGGCACGAGAGTCCTCACCGTAATCTTTCACCTGGGCAATCTACATTCAAATACACGCGACTCCGGCGACATCTTACAAGTTCGAGTTCAGCACCGTTCACGTACTTACTTAGGTACTTATCAGCTTGCTTGATGCGCCGCACCGCACCCGCCAACATATCATCGCGGCTCACACAACTTACGACTCACCTCACTCACCTCGCGAACAACCGCACAATGGCGACCACCACCACCACCACCTCACCGCCCGCACCCTGGCGCAGCCTCTTCCTCGAGCACGTCCAGGCAATGTCGTCCCCGGAATTCGTGCTGAGCACCGTGCGCAAGGTGCCCAGCCCTACCTCTAGTGGCTCGTCCTCCTCTTCCTATTCTCCGCGCGGACGCACATGCATCTTCCGCGGCCTGTGGGCGGACCTGCCGGTGAACCCCAAGAACGACGCCGAGCTCAACCCGGACGGCGTCTGGGAGAGCGACTTCCCAACTTTCACTACGGACTGCCGCATGGACAAGATGGCGGAGCTGTGGGAGGAGGAAGAGGAGGGGGCTGGTGGTGGGGAGGAGGAGAAGGAGAAGAAGGAGAAGATCAAGGAGAGGATCGCGGGCTCGGGCGGCGGGGCGCGCGTCGAGGCCATGTGGTGGGCCAAGGAGCCGAGCGTGCAGTGGCGCGTGCGCGGGCGGGGGTACGTGCTCGGGCCGGACGTCGAGGAGTCGCAGGGCGGGAAGGATGCCGTCGCTGCGCTGGAGTCGCGCATGCGGAAGAAGAAGCACAACGCCAAAGAGGAAGGGGGCCAGAAGGACTGGAGTCCCAGTCGGGAGGTCACGGCGCACTTCGGGAACCTCAGCCCCATGATGAGAGGGACGTTCCGGAACCCCCCGTCGGGCACACCGGTGGCGCTGCCGGTGGGCGGGGGACTGGCGCTGGGGCAGAAGGTGACGAATGTGACGGACGAGGTGGCGAGGGCCAACTTCAGGGTCGTGGTCATCGTGCCCGACGAGGTCGACCGCTGCGACCTGAGTGATCCGGCGAGGGGCCGTAGGTGGCTGTACACGTACGTCGGCGCCAACAACGACAAATCACAGCCTCAGGCGCCGGGCGGTCAGATCGAGGGCGAATGGGAGAAGGTAGAGGTGTGGCCATGATGTGTTGACGGGCGTGCTTGCTCCAACTGCAATGCATGTGACGAAAGGAAATAACGGAGTTGTTAACAGCGGCCGTGGTTGGTAGTCCGGACATAGGAGACAGAAAGAACCTTAATGACGCGAGAGCCATGAGAATCATATATGAGAGGTTAGACACCCACCTCTGCTCCTGCAGTTGGTTGTTCGGGTAGAGAAACCGTCGTTCGGGAAGAGAAATAACTGGCTGATCAGCTTCGCGTTCGCCCGAACACTTGCATGCACACCCGGTCTCTTCGACGCATGCGTATGGGCGACCCTTTCACATAAACGCGTAAGAATGACACGCCACACGGCCCTATGGGCTACACACGATCTGCCGGCAACAACATTGGGGCAGCGGCAGCGGCAACATGGCTAGCGACGGGTTCTGGCTGGACAGGGCCCGGGGTCACACACACACACCGGACCGCGGCGGGATTTCAACCGGTGAGCAGGTTCTTTTGTAAATCGGGGTGCGCGTCGCTGCGATGTGACGGTGCCGAAAGCGAGCGAGACGAGACCCTCCCTGAGACCCTGCCTGCCTGTGCCGCAATTGTTAAAAACCCGCAGGCTCTCTCTGGACGGGTGATCGTATCAAAATCGGCAGGCGGCCGCAGAACAGTGAATGAACACCCCCGCCACCAACCCTTTATCATCATCATCATCATCACAGTACAGTTGGAGATCTTGCATCTTCGGTTGCCGGATGCCGGTGCCTGTGTGGGCAAATTCATTTCGATGGGGTCGAGCCGAAACCAAGCTCGCATTGGCTGCCGAGATTCGGTTCGCCTGGCTACTTACTCAGGCAATTGCTGGCATGACGGACGGCTTGCCGACTTCCATGTTGTTTGTTTGTTGCCTTGCTCTGTCGATGTATCATGTCAGTTGGGTCGGGCTAGAGAAATCATGTATTTATTTTCAATTCCGAGAGTGATTCCTCCAACTCTGGGCGATCATGAGCTCTGGATTGGCGCTAAATACCGCCCTCTTCTCTTCTCAGCTGGAGTCAGGGGCCTCTGGGGCGGGTGTTGGTGTTGGTGTTGGTGTTGGCCGGTGTCAGCACATCGCAAGTTCGCAACTTATATCCCCCTAAACTGTCAGAAAGACCCTTTTTATTTTTTTCATCTCAGCATTAACGATGGCAAAAATGACGCAATTCCGCACTCGCACGTGGCATAACCGCATGTGTACCCTATTGAAGAAAAGGCCTGGGACACGCATCGCGAGCGTCATGAATTGATTGCAAAAGGGGGGGGGGACCTAAGATGCACATCGACCCTTGGCCGGGGGGACTTCTTATTGAGTAAATTAACTCGGGCTGGCGGTGAAGAAGATTTCTTGCATGATTGAATCGGCAGTGCTGCCTGCATGTTGGCGGCGCCATCGCAGTACTTTTGGTCTGATGGCTGCAAGGGAAGACAACCTTGAAGGGAGGCGGGGGGTGAAGTGATCATCCATCTTCCACGTGTTCGTCGATGTCGGCAACCCGCCAGCCCGCCAGCCCGCCCGCCTGCCCGCCTGCCCTCCGGCCCATTATTGTCCACCCACCCTGCCCCCTCACACCCGCTGGCCGAGGCTCGACACTTGGCACCACATGCGTCGACTCGATGGCCTTGACCGCCCATTCTTGTTTCTTCAGTACGACTTTATTTGTATGGATTTGGGTCGCATGGGCAGCAGCCAACATGCGGGAGAAAATGACAGCCATCTCACCGACGAGCCGCAACTAATTGAGCAGGAGAATGCGCGCGCGCCTTGGACCCTTTGTGAGACCGGGAACCGCTCAATCACCAACGCTGGCGGAGGCCGAGCAGCCGACCGGGCGACAAAAAGTTCTGCTCCTTGGTTCATTGAACCAGCCCCGACGTGATTTCGATTATCCGAGTCAGAGAGTCTGACTGACACCTGTCACCCAGTCGTGCTATCTCCTCCAACTCGTATCTGACTCTATTAGCTAGGTATGCTTCTGCAGTGATGATGCCGAAACCTGGGGCGGTGCTGGCTGGCTGGCTGGTGACTGGTTGGGGGCTGGGCGGTTGGTGATGTGCATGTCGCGATCGTGTCCGTTATATTTCTTGTCACCGCCTAATCAGAGTTTCGAGTTCCGTTTGTGTGCGGCATCTAGCCAAGGTCCAAGCTCGCCCGTTGGCAGTGCAGTGTGGGAAGCGGCGGCCCCATCCGGCAACGGTCCCGTGGCGAAACGATTCTCACCAGATCGACCTATCATATCATGCTCGACACGCTCGTCATTTTTGGGGTCGCAGATGCAGATGAGGGGTGGCTGGCAAATGGGGGTTGAGTCGTAACCGCAACTCTTCAGGACCATAAACTTATTACAACCGTGTCAGACGGGCTAATTCTAGCGAATTAGCCCCGTTGGTACTAGGTAGGTGGGAGGCGGGTGGTGACTTGAGGTTGTTGGAGAATAGGTAGGGCAGGGTAGGGCAAGCAAGGGAGACGAGCGACGTGTTGGAGAAGGTCGTACAAAATATATGCAAGGCTCTTTGTCAATGTCGCTGTTGCATTCACATCTTCATGCAACGCCCCTCACGCACGCCGATTGGTCAATTGCCTCTGCTCGAGGGTGTGTAGCATTTTCCGATATTGCCGGTGTCTCTTAAGGCTCAAGCACCTCCACGTGCACGGACACTTCAACGAGGGGGGGTACCTTCCTAATAGTAATACTGTACGAGCTATTTGCATCTATGCATCTTGGAAAGAAGGCTTCAATAAGTGACAACCTCATATGTCCGCACTGTAGCCTGTTCAACATACATTACTTCAATGTTCAACTGTACTTGCCGTATGAAGTTACGTGCTGAGAAGCGCCCTCTTTTGTCCAAGGCGCTACAGCGCGGCCGCATACCTGTGTAGCACTCGACTACCATCTACTATGGTGGTAGTCTATAAGCGCCAGCAAGTGCCGTGGAAAGACAAAACGCCTCTTCGTTTGACATGCAGCCTTTTAGCAGCCGTTGAGAGAGCGGTTGACAGCTCTACTAGTCAAGCATCCGGCATCGTCCATTATTTAGCGCTAGCATTGACTCGGGACAGGACTGTGGAGAGTCGGAATCCTTCCTGAACTCTGTCACTACGATGCTTCATCATTCCCTTTTTTCCAAGTTCCGAGCTATCGATCCCTCACAGGCGATCGTGGTCAAGTGATGAGGGCTGATCGGTCAGGTCCACCGTCCACGTGCTATAGACCAGGGGATAGGGGATAAGGGTCCCACCACCAATTGTCTGTGTCCTGTGTACGACGTACAGTACCGGTATGCTCTCATCGGGCATCAAATCTCTGGAAATAGACTGCGTAGGGATGCATTTATGCTTCAAAGAGTAACACGGTTACACACGCGATCTATCAGCTTTCAGCTCCCGGCTCTTGCAAGGACGAGGCAGGTAGGACAGACAGACCTCGCGTTTGACCTTGATGCCTTGACATTGGCATAGCCGTCGACCAGCCACTCCCACCGCTAAATTCTACCAAGATAGTAGCGTGCGGCAATGGTCCGAGCCGCTCCTCCCTGGTCGGCAAACGCTATAGGCCAAAATTGAGAAAAAGGACGACGCCATGACACAGAACGAGAACTTGACCAATACGGAATACGTGCATGTAGCCAAAGACACGCGTTCATATAAAGTCTAGTATGCAAGTAATGATAATAAAAGAGTTGCGCACATTCGGCGGCGAGGTGTTCATATCATGTGTGGAGTTACTCCTAACTCCAGTCTACTGTCTCCAAGACTTGGATGTTGGGCGGAGTCCAGGATGAGAATTGATCGCCGCTGGCTGCCCTCGGCAAGTTTCGATACGGGCAAAGTAATGTGCCCAAGATAGCACGGAAGATTACTGTGCCCAACATATGTACAGTCTAGGTAGCAAGTATAGATACCTGTGGTTTATCAGACATATGGTATGTTTAATGCTCGTATGACATGTAGGATGTACACGCATGATATTGGAGTTGGCAGGATTGCAATCGGGCTAAGCAGGAGGTTTTTATTCGTTTCTTTTGGTCGGCGACCAAACGGTCAAAGGCAATGTCACCGTACTGCAGCAGCGAGTCGCGACGGTTGCAGCTTTAGTTGCAGGGGGCGGCCCCCCCTGGCCCAACATCACTAGCACCAGCACACCTCCAATAGGTAGCCTCCAATACCTAGGTACCTACCTCCACCTGCACTGATTGACCCATTTGACCACACACGTGCATGTTAGATACCTAGGTATTTTACCCGTGGATGGTGGGCCGGCAGCATGGACCAGCATGGACCAGCATCCCACTCGACCGTCGGTCCCGTCTCGTCTCCCGCCTTGGGTTGTCTCCGTGTCTTGTACTGACCTGTCCTGTCCTGCGTTGCTGCATCTGCATCTCCTCCCACAAACACACATCTTGGAGTGACAGTCAATTTGTCCGACCCTGGTCTCCATTCCGTCGCAGCTGTTTCTCTCTCCCCTCTCTAGCCCTACGCTGCTTCATGCTTCACCTCTTCCCCATCATCTGCATCCTTATAGCATAGCATCAATAGCGCCCGAATTTGCTTGTCGTTCCGAGCTCCCTTGCTGCTGCTTAATTCACATCGTGCCTTTCACCTTTCCCGATGGCTTCGTGAGGCGTTCGCTCAGCCGAGGTTACCGTGCTTGGTCCAACCTCAATTCGTCGTTTTGTCGTCGTCATCAGCTTCCGCTTGCCCAATCTGGCCTGCTCACATGCCGACGGTTGGCTAGTCACGAACTGCCTGACTGCCTACTCACCTCCCGTCGCGCCACCGATACGTCCAATGTCGAGGTAGAGCCCGACCTGGGTCTTCCCATCCCCTGAACCCGACCTCGCCGATTTCGACCACTTGATCTGCCGCATCTCGCGCGACAATGGCCACCGACTCGTTGACCAACCTGATCGCCAACGTGCCCGACTGGTTGAAGCGCCTCGACGACCTCAATGGCCAGATCGAGCAACGCCAGCAGGACCTGGCCAAACTCCCCGAGAATCAGCTTCACTCGTCCGCGAGATCCACAAAATCCATCAGGAATCGCGGGTCGACCGAGTCCTTGAAGCCCGTCGACGAGGGTGCCGCCTTTCCCAACCCAAACCCCCTGCGCGTGACGACGCCTCCTCCAAACACACAAAACGTCCCTCCACAACCCGTGGACGGTCCCCAGCCGCCCTCCACGCCCGGGAGCGATCCGAGAACAGGTTCCTCCCTGCTGCGACAGACACATGAAGTCAGAGATACAGCACAAAGACGCGCTCGCGCAACCTTACGCAAGCGGCAGAAGACGGATTCAATGCTCAGTGGCGAGGTTCCCTCGATACCAAAGTACAGGACACGGAGGATGATAATCGTCTACTATGACAGTTATGTGCAATCCTTCTTCGAGGAATTGGTCAAATTCGTGTCTGCCCAACGCAACGTGCTGCGCAAGGCCAAGATGGCGGCCAAGGTCGCCAGAATCAAGCGGTTAGCCGAGCTGGAGATGCCTGACGACGATGACGACGATGATGCCGGCGAACTCAAGCCGGGTGATGCCCTGATTGCTGCAGACCCAAAGGCATCAGCTTCGCCGCCTACAGAAGCGAGCCCTGAAGAATTGAAGTTGCGGTACATGGGTGCGCGCCAGATGAGACCAGGCTACCGGAATCCGGCTTTGGCCATGATGCACATGCGCAGACCGGGCGCCTTGAATGGCGGGTTGGGCATGTTCAATGAGAAGGGTGACGTTTGGGATGATCTGGACAAATCTTTGGAATTCGTGCAGGGCATGTGCGAACACGCAGCGCATCAGTTTCTTCGAGACGGCGATTGCAGCGATGAGATCAACAAGATCAAATCTCGCCTAGCCGAGGTGAAGATAGCCGCCGACAAGGAGACCGATCGCGCCGACGCCGAGAAACCCACCTGCAAAGTCACCGACGCGTCCGAGGCCGGTTCGGTACCAGAGCCCGTCAGGAGCCGCAGCTACCGTCCGATGGTTATGCGAAGGGAACTCACCGGTGCGTCAACTCCCACCAAAGCTGCAACTAAGGAAGGCGTCATGGAGGTCGACGACGAAGGGGTCCACGACATGGGCGACTTCACCTGTTCATAGGTCAACAGGGCTGATGAACGGATATGCGTAGACGAAGATGGCGAGATGGCACCTCGTTGAACCGAACCGAACCATCTCACCCGACCACTTAACCCAACGGACCACCATCCGCTGCTATATATTGACACGCGACTGCATATATCACGCGTCTTTGCTGTTGGAATTTTGTTTGCTCGCGATGCAGCATCGCGATGGAGTTGGACTTGCTGAATCTGCCGATCAATTTTTTGGCCATATTATTGCGATACCCGTCACTCGTTATCACCTGCAGCAGAGGGGCCGCTTTTTGGCCCTGCCGCAATAACACATCAAGCCAGGTTTATTTTGGATATGGGTCCTGAGGGAAAAGCATATGTGCACGCGCACCACGTGTCGGACGGGAGTCGGACTGCGCAGCCTTTTGGCACCATGGATATCGACACCATGAAGTCAACGACGTGAACTGGATATAGTACGGGACGTACATAAATGCCCGTCATCAAACGGGCCAGCATCATCCTCATCGTCATGACATTATGGATCTAAGGATTTTCACCAGGGACACTTCTACACTTACATATACAAGCATCGACGGGCACCATCTGAAGGGAGGATATGGTACCATAATATCGCGTGGGCGATGGGGAAACCGCCCGGCGCTGACGGAGTAGCTTACGTTGGAGACAGGATCTAGGGTCTGCGCCGCGGGTTGGGATGGCGCCGCAGCTGGTGATACTTGAGAACCAACCGAACCGAACGTCTTCTACGTCGGTGCCGCAATGTCGCATATATTCGAACAATGCAGACTTTTAATCCGTGCGATATGATTCTTTATCTGACGGCGTGAGAGAGAGCGCCCCGACCTCTCCAGTCAAGCCGAGCGCGTGCATTGCTTAAAGTGCCGGCCTGTGCGGAACCGCCGCAGACGGGTCTGGTAGCATAGAGATTACTAGGCTTATGGCAGTGTCTGCTCATTGTCAAGAAAGAAGATGTCGTGGAATGTAGTTGGGCTGTCCTGTGCGACGCCAGTTCGTATCACAGGCGAAGAAAGGGGGAAATGGGCGGTAGTGTTGAGGCTCAAGTCTGCCTCGCTGCGTATAAATAGCATGTGCCAAGGTAGATAGGTATACCGGTAGGCAGGCTAGCTCGCCGTGCCAGATTCATCCTCATGCATATTGACGATTTCAGTAGTCCAGGTGCTTCAAATGTGTTTAATCGAGGCTTGGGTTGGTCCACATGGATATACATCTACACCTTTCGTCCCCGGTAGTTGGTTATGTATAGTTGGTTATGTGCAAGGGGGGGACGCGATGGTCTCTGAACCATCGCATTATCTGCTTCCCTTCGTATTCTATGTAGCGTCGCATCCCACGCAGCCTCGTTCAGGTTACACGGGTCGACATGTAAAAGTCTGCATGATTGCTTTAGGTAAATATGTTCTTTGTTGGTGTGGCACAGCGTACAAGGCCGGACAAGACGGGCGGACCTTGCGATGGGTAAGTGACACCGTATGGCCCCCGCTGTCGGGGGGAAACGTGTCACAGGAACTCGCTGAGAACGGTGACCCTTGTCCGTGCCACCTCGGAGCCCTGCTCGCCGCCGCCCATTATCTTCATGATTTGGATCATGCGCGCTATGGATGGGTTACTCGTCAGCATGCATAATCAAGTAGGCCAAAGATAGATGTGTTGCTGTTACACCGAATTGAGGGAAGAGGGGTTAAACGAAAAGGAGAAGGGGGTTCACTCACTGATATCCGCCTTCGCCCTCACGAACAGCGTGTCACGGGCCAGTTGCTCGGCCCAGGCCGGGTCCCTCGCGGCCTCGCGCAGCACGCTGCCTATGCAAAGGGCCTCGAGGAAGGCGCGGTGGTTGAAGACCCACCAGACGCGGCTCTCGGTGTCGAACAGGGCATACAGCACAAAGAAGGCATTGATGGCCTCGTGGGCGGCTTCCAGCGTTGCGCGCACGTTGACGGGCACATCGGGGCTCTCGGACGCGTGCACCAACATTAGGTTGTGGTAGTAATTGCTGCTGAGGAAGAGCGTCTGCCGCACCACACGCTTGTTGCTGCTGGCAAGCTGCGCAATGCTGTCCTGGTCCCAGGAGCGGAACACGTCGGGGAACGAGCGGTAGACGGCACGGAACTCGGCCACGAGTTTGCCCTTTTGCCGCTGCGTAGTGCAGATGGGCATGTCGAGTGATCGGGGGCTGCAGATAGTCTCTTGAACCAAGTTGGCCAACATCCACGAGCCCCTGATATATGCAGTGTCAGTTGGGTCCGAACTGGCGATGTTGGCTGAGTGGTCGGTATAATCATCAACCTTCACATCAGTGTGGGTGGCGCTGGGAGGTAGCGAGAGCAAGACAGTCAAGAAGGTGTCCTGCAGAAGCACAGCCTGCCAAAGCTTGCGCCGCTGCTGCTTCTCAAACGGGCTGGCATCGGGAGTCACTAGAGGTATCGTCAGCTTCGCAAGTTGCCGGCCGATTATTTGATATCTCCTACCAATGTTCGGGTCCCGATGTAGTCCCATCGCATACGCTTGCCGTATCAGCATGCCTGCAAAGGCCCAGCCGTCCGAGGCGTGATTGTCGTTGATCAGGAAATACCCTAGCAGGATCATTGCTTGGAGGGAAGATGTTGAAACGGTGCTCAGGTACGAGCTCATACGTAGCGCCTGGTTGCCTGCCGAGGCGTAGAACTCTGCCGTTTGCTTGCGGTCTTGTGGATTCGTCGTGGTCACAAATTGAGTACCCAGAGCCAGCATCACGAAAAGCAGCGCCACGAAAGCAGCATCCGTCTTCTCCGTGTCCCGTAACAGCCAGAAGCTCTCGTAGTCGGCGTAGAAGGTCTGGCGATGTATCATGGGGTACACGGGATCCACGCACTCGAAGTACTGGGATAGCAGGATGTCTGCCTGCAACTTCTCCGGCAGGACTCGGATGACCTCGGGGAGCCCGCCCTCACAGGTCCAGTAGTTGGCAAAGGGATGTTCGGAGCCTATCCCAAAAACATTGGATGCTGTTGGGTGGGAGTAAGGAACGTTAGAGAGGAGTCCTGTGGACAGTGCGACAGACCCATGCGAAACCGTGCCGCCTATGAGAATACCTCTGTCTGCTATGTTTGGAATCGACGGCTTTATGCCAGTCGCCGACAGCTTTTTCTTGGGTGGTTTCGTCATTCTGCGGCCGTTGGTGGCTGTCCGCGTCGTCTCCCTTATGGACGCGTGAGCTTCATTGTGAGCATGAGGCCGGAGACCTTGCGACGGCGAAGACTTACTCAAGAAGATTTGCCACATGAGCATAGTGACATTCCGTCTGTCGTTTTATACCTGACGCATGGATGTGAGTGAAGATGAATGAAACTTGAGATGGGGGTACTTACACGCCAAGCAGTGAGGTCTGCCCCTATCACACTAGCGACGAACATGATGTGTTAACATTGCTGCTTGACTGTCATGACTGCATGCAACAGCTGAGTAGGTACTTAATGTGGCGTTGTATTCTCTTGGCAAGCATTCAATGTTGCTCACGTGCAGCCCAGACTGCCAGACTGGAGTCTCGATGCATCGGGTCCCTGCATCAGTACCACGTACTACGTAGTACTGACGCAATACACAGCAACGATGGGCGGTGGCACATGGGTATGGAGGTAGGATTTGCGCCAGGTATCTCAAAGCCAGTTCAAACGCGCGCAATTTGCATGACATCATTGAGATGGCAAACAGTATCAAGAGAGATAGGGACGGATGAACGAACAATCAGGTTGAGATGAATGAATGAAAGGGCACTGCACTTGCCTTCGTCTTGCGCTCAACACACTCGTGACAAGATAGGGTCGGTTTGTTGCGCTTCTGCTTCTTCTTGGCGGGCCCCGAGTACGAGGCGTCGGCGGTGACGCTGCTGCCGGCGCTGCTGGCCCCGTCGTCGGGCTCCGACTTTGCCACGATATACTGATGATGATGCGACGAGTCGGGCGAGGTGTAGATGGTGCTTGCCGACGTCGGGGTGAGGACGGCGTCGTTGACGGCGGGCGACGGGCCCGGAGCAGCCCTCTTGTCCATCCCGCGTCCGCCGCTGCCGTAAGACGAGGACGACGGCGGCGGCGGGACATGGGAAGACGACATGGGTGTTTGCTCCTCAGTGAAACGGAAGCTCCAGCTCAGCTCGGTGCTCGGGTGCGACCGAAAGTATTCACCGAAAGTCGGGTCCCTACGGCGGGCGGCTACCAGGGGAGGATATCCAGCATGCGGGACTCCTTCCTGATCAATGGAGAGGCTCAAGCGGCCGGGAATAAAGAGTAAGGGGCGTGATCCTCTGGAAATGAGCTGTTTCGCCTGTTTCGCTGCACTGATTTGCAGGAAATGGGAATGGGTGGGTATAAAGGAGTGATAGATTGAGGGGAAAGAGCCAAGACTTTTCTGGAGTTAGGAAAAATGGGGGGGAGGCGACTAGCAAGTTGACCCCTAGCAGCACCAATTGGGCCAGTTATACTGTAGTAGGTACTACTAACTAGGCAGGCTCCTTACTTCCAACCATCTTCTAGCTCCGAGGCCGATTAAACGCCCCCGCAAAGTCTCCAACTGAGGTCTCGGTCTCTCGGCTGTCCGCCCGGCGTGTTATCATCAAGCGGCCCGTCACGCTTCCGGCGCCTGTCTTCCCATCCGACCCAGACAGCCAGCTCATATAAGTAAGTCTAAGAGGTATCGTGTTTCGAAAACAGAAAACAGGTAAGTGTCTCTGCTCAACGGGCTTTGGTTATTATATTTGTGTGTGCCGTTCCCAATGCGCACCTTCTCTTTAGTTAGATCCCCGCTAGAAGTAGGCTGGCAAGGGCCCGATGATACCGAAAAGACTTTCCAAGACGCCTCCGATCACCTTTCAGTTCATTCGGTTTGGCCACAACCCAGTGGGAATGGAACGACTGCGGCGTCTCGACGATAAGTTGAAAGAACAACACTACATATCGATTCGGCACGGAAGGATAGGGCCCCGAGCGCCGACCCCCTATATTCAGGATGCCTAAGAGACCCTTATTTATCGACGACACGAAATCCTTAAATCCTTTACCGGTTCTCTGGCAAGGGACCCCGAGGACGACAATGACGTTGCTAGCCCAGTAACACAACGTAACTGCAAGTCTACGTGGAATCCCATGTACCTAGGTTCGACAGTATGCGCGTGTATTAGAACTTCATATTGGGGACCAACGCAGCGCTTCCACAGTAGCGTGGATCCTAGCCACTGGATCCAGCCACCAGTACCTTATCGGATCTCCTGTCATCCAGGGTGTTCTACGATAAGGTTACCTGGGATGGCTGCCCCAGGTGACAGGTACCAACCCACTGTAATTTAGGTATTTAGATACTTCTCGGATGGGATCCCTTCCCAAACCGAATTTAACCAAGCACCAACCAGAATACAGATCATCCCAACCAAGACTTGTGATAGATCTCCGTTCTGGTTCCGCTACCACAAAGGCACAGTAGTCTCCCTAAATAACTTAGAGTCATGTTATTTGCACCTTGAGTGGGTCTTCTACATGCCCACCAGCCATCACGATCCATTTTTATATGGATGATGCCATGCAATCTCAGATCATCACGTCCTGGGGTTCATTCGTAAATCCAGGGTGTTGCATGGCACGTCATAGGGATAGGATGGCATTGTATAAAAATAGGTGTTTGAAGGACTGCCTTACAAATAGAACGATGACTTCACGTGAGAGCAGCTGTATATAACTGTTCCTGGTAACACCACAATTCAAGCCCGAGCAGACATCCTCTCTCCATCTCAGTTCACGCTCCTTGGTGCACATGCTACCTCCCCTTGCAGACCCATTGTCGAACGAAAAGCATCACCATCTGTCCTCTGTCCTCTCGCCTCTCTCTTCTCTCCAGACCAGCCAGGACGCAAGGCGCAAGCCGATATCCCCAACGTCGACACACCTGCGCCACTGCATTTCTTCCCACCATGAAGCTCGCAGCTGTTCCTCTTTTCCTCCTGCTGTCGGCCTCGACGGCCCTGCCTGAGCCTTCTTCCGACAGCCATTTGGAAATCAAGAGGGGAGAAACGATCGACTGCGTCAAGGGCTGCTTCCACAACGGCATCATCAAGCTCTTTACCTGTGTCCCTGGCTGTTTCGGCGGCGACAGCAGCAGCAGCAGCAGCAGCAGCGGCAGCAGCAGCAGCAGTGATAATGGGTCGTCTTGCAGTACGAAATGCATGGACACACTCCTAGCTAGAATTGGCTCACTTGAAGCGGCAAAGGTCACGGATGAGGATGTAGAGTGGGTAACGAATTGTGCAGCGGGCTGCCGTGGAAACACGAGGAGGACGTGATGGGATGGTTGGGATACACTCATGTGGTCTGTTTGTCTTTGATTATATCTCGGAGCTCTAGACATGATTTTTGGCAGTCCAGGTGTTGCACTGCACGGGTTGCAGCAGCTTTGGTAGTTTGTGCCTGTTGAGGAATGGATTTGTTCTTGCCTTGCGATGCACTTCCCCCGTTCCGTGGACCGGACTGGACCGAATCAATCTACTTTGGCATTCTACCACAAAGCTTAAACGTCATGGAGTTACGAAGAGTCCTCCCGTGAGCTCTGGCGTTCTAACTCTACTTTGTGACGATCAGGCCTGCAGTACAACTGGTCAGGACTGATGGATAGATAAAGCTAGATTCAACGATCTATGAAGAAGGAAGAAGGAAGAAGGCAGGCCGCTTCAGGTGAGAGGTGGGCCTCCCATATATATATAGGTACATGTGGAGGTACAATGTACTTGTACCGTAACATACTTTACTACACCCACTATCACTTCATGTTGCGGTCTGCTAGGCATAGAGTATATAGTAATAAATTCGCTAAAAGAGCAGGTCCATCTACCTTTCAAAAGTCACTTCGAAGATGGTAGTGAACAGCCAGTACGCCACCAAAAGCATGACACCACTGGAAGGCCAGAACCCCCCTTGCTGTTGAAGATCGACGACTTGCCTCTGGAGCTTGGCCATCGCAGTCTGAACGTTTCGCACTCTGTCGTTGACAGCCGGATCTCGCCTCGGAGCATCTACCCTGGCTTCAAGTGCGTCGAGTCTTGCCAGTGCAGCATCCATCCGACCAGTGATCGCCGCATCATCCCTCGGAGCATCTTTCTTGGCTTATTCAAGTGCATCGAGTCGACCTTCGACTGACGTCGGATAATCGCCAGGGGGCGTGCTCCACTCGGCCTCTTCCAGCCCCTCAAGCTCCTCGTCGAAGTATCTGACATTCTACAATGTGTATTTCAAACAAGGTTCCGCACAACTCAACGGGTATCAACATGTTGGTTGAGTTGTTATATTAATAAACAATTAATAATACTTCTAATTTCTTTTTTATCATAAACTATTATTTGGTTATTTAATATTAGAATATAGCTACTCGTGTCACGGGCTCCGGTACGGGCAGTATAGGCGATCGTATGACAGTCTATTCTCTACGGTTCTGGCAGGGTTACAGGTAACTCTATTGACAGGATGTAGCTCAAAGAGCTATAATTCAGGTTCGGGCGGGAACAGTAAAGATATCGTCAGTTCTCAGGTCCACATTGGTCCACCCGGGCCGCCGACAGCTGGCACCCGGGGTCCCTCCATTTCCTGCCTATAGGCAGGGTCCAGCGCCGTGACAGTACTCCCCTCTCTAGGCGGAGCTCCGACGACGCGCCTAGCAGGTTCACAGGCTTCCAGTTTATCCTCATAGCAGAGGTCCAGGTCCGGGCTTGTTCGGGTACTGGCGATGGAAGTTGTTAACAACCTCTTGTGCATTCTCGAGCCAGGCAGCAGGGGACTCCGTGCGCTCGTTGTATCCTTCCCACTTGGTTAGGCCTTCCTCCATGTCCTCAGCGATCCCAGCGGGAATCAAGTATCTCCTCTACAGTCCATTCTTACAGGCCGTTTACTTCGACGGAGGGCGGCGGTTCTTGCTGTTGTCCAGGCTGGGGGTCGGCGGAATCAGGTTGCAACAGGTTTACATGAAAGACAGGATGTATTCTCATGGACGCAGGCAGCTCCAGGCGGTAGGCGTACGGGCTAACAACCTTAATTATTTCCCACGGGCCCAGGTTCTTTCAGTCCAGCTTCTTTTGGGGGCGGGCAGTCTTGATGTTCCTTGCGTCTAGCCAGACCTTCTGACTAACGTAGAATCTGCGGGCAGGTCGGCGTTTCCGGTTGGCATACTCCTCGTGGCGGGCTTGGGCGATGCAGATCTCAGACTTCAGGTACTCGTGTACAGTGGCCATTTTCAGGGCGACCCCCTCGGCATCCTTAGCGGCAACACGGTGTCCGGATAGGGCAGGTTCGAATCCGAAACGGGGGTGATATCCATAATTCGCAAAAAAGGGCATGGTTTTCAGGCTCTCGTTCAGTGCGTTATTGATTGCGAATTCGGCTAACGGTAGCCAGCATACCCAGTCGTCTTGAAGGTATGATACGTGGCCCCGCAAGTACTGTTCCAGGAAGGAATTGGCGATCTCGGTCTGCCCATCGGTCTCGGGGTGGTAGGCGGTCGACAGCAGTGCGGTGATTCCCAGGCGTTTGGTCAGGTGCTTCCAGAAATCGGATACGAACTGGGGTCCTCGGTCAGATACGATGGTTCTGGGCAGGCCGTGCAGTTTCTAGACATACTTAACATATAGGCGGGCGACTTCTTCAGAATCGCAGGTTCCCTTACAGTGGATGAAGTGCTTCATCTTGGTCAGGCGGTCAACAACTACCAGGATCGTGTCGTAGCCGTAACTGTTAGACAGGTGCGTAATGAAGTCCATTAAAATATCTTGCCAGGCTCTCTGGGGAATCAGGAGGGGTCTCAAGACTCCTTGACGGGCTTCTCTCGAGGCGGTAGTCCTCTTGCAGGTATGGCAGTTGTGTACCCATCGTTCGACATAAGACAACATACCAGGCCAGTAGTATTCTCGGGACAGTATTTCGTATGTACGGGCTTGACCCATGTGGCCGGCGACAGGGCTAGCGTGGTACAGGCGTAAGAGCTCGGCGTGCAGCCTTTCGTTCGCAGGGATATACAAGCATTCGCGGTAATACAAGTGTTCTCCGGACAGTTCGCACTCGGCCAGTGATATCTTGTGGTGGCAAGACTCCTTCTTTTTCAGGGCTCGGACAATTAATTGTAGTTCTTTGTCTGTGGCGTATCCTTGGTTGAAAAGGTCCTGAATCTGGGGAGGTAGCAGCGGTGCAGTTCTCTCGACGGGCAGTGCAGGCCATGGTGGTTCCAAATCGGGCTGTGGTCGGTGGTCTGGAGCTCCAGGTCCACGGAGCTGGCTGCGAGTGATCGGGTACAGCTTCAGGATCGGGTCTGCAAATCGTACTTGCTTGGCGGGGCGGGCTGATCCCGGTACGGGTTCTGGGGCAGCAGGCACTGGTTCAGGAACCTCAGGAGTCTGTGCTGGAGTTGGCGGCAACTCGACGGGCTGGTCTTCCGGTTTCCTATCTATAGGTAAGAAATCGTTAAGGTTGGCTCTTTTCAGCACTACCTGACTCTGGTGTAATAGGCGTTCATCCCCCTCTTTAGGCAGGTCCTCTTACCTCCTGGTCAGAGCATCCGGCTTCGCTCCTTGCTTTCCGGGGCGGTAGATAATCTTGAAGTTAAAACGGGACAGGAATTCGGACCATCTGGCTTGACAGCGGTTCAGTAACTTCGTTGTCGTGAAATACTCTAGGTTCCAATAGTCGGTAATAACCTTAATCAGGGAACTTGTCCCCTCCAGCTTGGGTCTCCATTCTTCGAAGCAGCGGATAATCGCCAGCAGTTCCTTGTCATAAATTTCGTAATTACACTTCGTCATCGAGTATTTTTTTGAAAAGAAAGCTATTGGCCTCAGGATTCCATCGTCCCCATACTGGGACAATACTCCGGCGGACACGTAATCAGACGCGTCGGTCTCTATGATGATCTCTTTTTTCCAATCGAATGGGGCCAGGACAGGCGCTGTGGTAAAAGTGTGCTTCAGACGGTCAAAGGCAGTCTGGAAGGCCGGGTTCCAGTGGAAATGCATCCCTTTTCTCGTCAGGGCTACCATCGGGGCGATGATCTTTGAGAAATCCTTCACGAAGCGTCAATAAAAGTTGCTGAATCCGATAAACGCTTGGACATCTGTCAGGCAGGATGGGAATTGCCAGTTCTGAATGGTCTCAATCTTCTTCGGCCCATTCTTCCCGACAATTACACCCAAAAAGGTGGTCTCATCCTTGAAGAATTTGCACTTCTGGATCTTGGCGTATAGGCCGGCCTGTCTCAGGGACTCTAATACCTGACGGACGTGTTTCAGGTGCTCTTCTCGGGTACGGCTGTAGATCAGGATATCGTCCAGATAGGCAGTGCAAAATACATCCAGGTACTCTCGCAAGGTATCGTTCATGAACCTTTGGAAGGTTGCGGGGGCCCCAGTCAGTCCAAAGGGCATCACCAGGGACTCGTACAGGCCAAAGCGGGTACGGAACGCGGTCAGGTACTCTTGTCCTTTCTTCATACGGATGTTGTTGAAAGCAGACACGATATTGATCTTCGTGAAGTACTTCATTCCTTTCAGGTTGTTCAGAGATTCCTTGGTTAAGGGCAGCGGATATCGGTCCTTAACAGAGATGTTGTTCAGTCCTCGGTAGTCGACACAGAAATGGAGGCTTTTATCAGCCTTTTTAACAAATAGGACCGGGGAGGCGACAGGCGACGAGCTGGGACGGACGAACCCCTTGCGCAGATTCTCTTCCAGCCATTCTTTCAGTGCAAGCAGCTTGTTGCGGGACATGGGGTATAGTGGTCCAAATGGGGGCGTCTTGCCATCCTGCAGGCGGATATTATGATCATAATCCCGGTACGGGGGGAGTCTTCAGCTTCCTTGGGTGAAAAGACGTCGGCATAATCCTCCAGTTCCTTGGGCAGCAGGTCTCGGGGCTCCGGCGGGCTGGCATTCTGTAGGTACCGGTTGATATTATTGATCGTGATAGTAAAGAGCTGGCAGTTCCTTCGGCTGTACATCGTACAGGCTCTCAACGATACTCGGGCAATATCCAAATGCTGCAGCTCAGGCGGTCAGGGAGGCAAGTTATGCGGTTGGGCCTTGGCAGGGACGTCATGCAATGCTCGGATCTTTGTCGGGCGGGCGGGAGTATTGCAGTGTTTCCGGCAGTATTCGCTGTCAAAAGTGAAGGTATGGCTCGCAAATCCAATCTTCGGGTCGTGCTTCTTTAGCCAGGGCATTCCTAGAATAACGGGGTAATGGGCCAGTTGGGTCATGAAGAGCTTGATCTTTTCGCAATGGTCTTCAGTTCTTAGTCGGGTCTCGATATAATGGGTGATTATTCCACTCTCGGCGTCTCTTCCATCGAACACTTCTAATCCGAATGGTTTCTTTAGTTTCTTCAGGGGTAGCTCGTGGCTCGCGGCCCAGCTCTGGTCTACGAAGCCTTTTCCTTCGGCTCCGGTATCGGTCATGGAGTAAGTCGGGAGCGTCTTGCTTCCCAATTCTAGGGTAACAGATAGAATCATCAAATGGGACCTCTGATCCGTTTCTTCTTGGACAGAGACTCCCTTAGCGGCGGCAGCAGATAGTCGGACGCTGGCAGCGGTTCTTAGGCGGCGCTCCTTCTTGGGAGCCTGGGTGCGACTTAACCCAGACTCACTCCATTTGTCGAGCTCGACGGGCTGCGAGGCGGGCTGACAGATCGGACAGAATCAGGGCTATCAGAACGGTGGACATAGCTGGCACGGAATTAACGAAGTTGGGACGAGGGGCGAGTATCAGGTTCGGGGCAGGCAGCGACGCGATGATCCTTGGAACCGCAGCGGAAGCATTCTCTGCGCTCTTTCCTTCCACCAGGGGCAAATCTTCTCTGGGAGCTCAAGTCCATAGGCTCTCCTCCGTTGGCGACGGGCGAAGCAGGTCGGGGCGCTCTTTATTCTCTCTTGGGCTGGTTCGGGCTCGTGGCAGCAGGTTGGCGGGGGACAACAGCAGCGGCATAACTGGCAGGGGTTTTGGCAGAAGTGACGACACGGTTTCGGGAGACTTGCTGTTGGTATTGGCGGAAGCGGTTATCTAGGGCTTGCAGGTGGTTGGCGTAGTCTCTGTATCTCCGGGACGGGGTCGGGCTGTGTAGGAGCATATCCTGAAGTTCGCGAGATATGCCTTGGAACAACAATGGGGTCAGGGCGTCCTCGGGCATCTCTCCTTCGAGGGCCAGGCATTGAAATTCAGAGAAGAAGATGCTGAAGTCCTGGTTCCTCTGCTTCAGCTGGTATAGCTTATTCTGGGCATTCTGAATACGGTCGGGGTCTCTAAAGGCGTTCTCCAGGTAGGCCAAGCATTTCTGGGTAATCGAAGAAGTCAGGAACTCCGTAGCGGGTCTTTGACAGGATCAATTCGTAGGCTTTCCCGGTCAGACGTCCGGCAACATAGGTCAGCCGGGCAGTAACGGTCGGGAATCAGTCAGTGTTGGCGGTCATCTTGCCATAGATCTGTTGTGTAAACCGGCGAAGGTCGCTTCGAGAGCCATTGAATTCTTTTGGGTCAGGGATTTTCTCACTGAGATGGGAAGATCCGGAACGGACAAGAGGAGCAAGCGCAGTCGATCCCGGTACAGAATCTGCAGGCTGCTCAGCCGGGGGACTCGGGGTAGCGGCAGGGACGGGTCAGGGAGTCTGTATAGCAGGCGTGGCGGCGTTGAGCAGACGGAGTTTCTCAACCTCCAGATGGGTAATTTCTTTCTGGAGAAGGGCAGTATCTTCTCAATGCTGTTGCTTTTGGTATTCGATAATTCCCTCTTGCTTGGCAATAGTCGATCAGAGGGACTGGAGGGAGTTATCGTGGTCAGATTCAGCGAGGCGGAAGAAATCGTTCTTTTCCTTCAAGGCGGCAGCGTAGCCATTGATATGGCGCAAGTATAACAGCCAGTTAGATGGGTTGTTGGTAACGTGGGCAATGAGCTCTTCTGGAGAGTCCGCTCCCAAAGGCGGTTCAGGCCGCTCCTGGGACATTCTCGCGGTAGATACGGCGCCTATAAGGTAGGAGCTACATAATGTCACGGGCTCCGGTACGGGCAGTATAGGTGATCGTATGACAGTCTATTTTCTACGGTTCTGGCAGGGTTACAGGTAACTCTATTGATAGGACGTAGCTCGAAGAGGTACAATTCAGGTTCGGGCGGGAACAGTAAAGATATCGTCAGTTCTCAGGTCCACATTGGTCCACCTGGGCCGCCGACAGCTGGCGCCCAGGGTCCCTCCACTTCCTGCCCATAGGCAGGGTCCAACGCCGTGACAACTCGTATTAATTAAATACGATATTTTTTTGGCGAGCTTTTTAAGATAATTGTCTTTATATTTAATTGACCTTTAAAATGGTCTAAACGTACTACCTTAACCTTAATGGTTAATATGTTTAACGACTTAATATTAATATGAAGTTTAGTTTTAAACCTTACATATATATATATATATATAATCAAAGCTTTAAAAGGCTGTTTTTAAACTGAAGACTTTTTTAAGAATAATCTAAGGATATATTTATATAATAATAGCTCTTTAAATACGATATTTAAAAACATTTTATTTCTAAATAAGTTTACTGTGCGTATATCAAAAGTAAGGTTAAAAAATGGCAAATTTATATAATTATTAATATTTAAACCATTTTATAATATTTATATGTTATTTATAAATTACTAGCGCTTAAAAAATATATTATTCAAAGCTTAGCTAAAAGGTTTTTTTAAAAAGCCTTTAATAAGGTTAAAATCTAGTTATATTTCATAGAATAACATAATTTAAATACGAATAATTAGAAAAAGAGGTTACTTTTTTAATATAATTAAATTCGAAAAAAAAATCTTTTCAACGGTTTTTGTTTCAATAAATTAAAATTTTCTCTCTAATAACAAATCCTTTACAGCTTAATCTTACATTTAAATATCTTTATATATTAACTGTCAATATAAAAGTTGATATTATTAATAGTATAATATGTATAAAGATACAAGCTGCGTTCTTAAACGCTGTGTCAAGGCTTAGACGAACAAAGATTGGCCGGTTGGTAGATTGACACTGATATTGCTATCCTATGTACTAGTGGTAGAGTACAAGACGAGAGACAAAGAGAAAAAAAAAGAACAAGCAAAGAGACGTTTCACGAGCCAACTATATAGAATCTCGGACAGAGATTCCATCTCGTTTCACGATGTTCTACGCGTGCTTCCAAACTATTCCAGATCGTTCCATAACACGCTGAAAATATTAAAAAAGTATTATAAAAAGCGCTTAGTCTTATTTAAATTTAATTTAATAAATAAGTGATTATTAGCCGTTGTTAGTTATAAAAGATTACCTGCTTCTTTCATAACGAATATAAAAGTTTTACAAGTTAATTATTAATGTATTCAAAGTTTTCAAAATATATATAGGTAAAAATGTTAAAAACCTTATTTATAAATATATCGAGAAATGTAATGTTAAACATATAATTAACCAATTGACGTTAAATAACGTATATGAAATAGAAATAATAAAATACCGTCTTGGTATCAAGCTTAATTTGAAAAAAATGAAATTCCGCTACGGTAATTGTATTTCTAATATTTGTATCACATATAGATATTTCAATATAAGTTATAATAACTTTAAAAAATAAGTCAATAAAAAGTGATTAATAAGTATACCTAAATATAAGTTATTCTTAACAAAGGAGCTATTAAGTAAAACATATAGTATTAATTGTAAAATCAACGTAAAATCGCCTTATTATTATATTTTATTAATTATAATAAAAGGAGCTTAATAGGTTTTTAATTTTTAAGACTTTGTTTATTATCTTTTAATTACGACGTAATTATAATGTATAGGTCTTATTAAACGTTAACCATATATACAAAACCCTAAATTATAAATATTATAACTGTGATAGTTTCACCATCTATCAGGTCTAGCGATGGTTTCCATGGTCCCCGGGTCACGTGACTGAGCACGTGACTGAGCACGTGACTGAGCACGTGACTGATCGGACGACAGGTTGATCCATGCCTTGGTGGGTCTGGTGTGGGATGACTGCCCATATCTAGCTGCCCACCAATTCGGGTGCATCTCCAGATCTTTCTTTTCCTTCAACCAGAATTTGTTATACGTTAATAGTCAATAAGGGTCCCTGTATCCTTTTAATACATTTATGGAATCGTGACAATAACGATAAAACTTAATAGTTTTTACTTATGAAGCTTTATATATTAATCCGAAACTATTTTTAACTCTTTATATTAACATGTGTTTCATATAACGTTTGAAAACTATACGCAATAAGGCGTAACGGTATTAATCAATATCGTTACTACTTTTTAAAAGTAATTATAATAAGATCCGTATTTTTATTTTGTATTTAAATTAAAAAAAGCATTAAATATAGCGTAAAATTGTTAAAATCTATTATAGTATTATTTTGTGACGAGCCGTCTAACCTATAAGGCTAAAGGGTTCTATAGGGTTTATGTTCTGAGGTAAGTCAACACAAAGGACGATAGAGGCTTCTGTCAACTGGAAGGCACTCAGATGCTGGGGCTTGGTCTAGACTTGGTTCACTGCGTAGTTGAGTCGTCAGGAGATTTCCCCCACCTTAGGGTTGGCTAAGATGCTTATATTGATCACTGAGGTAGAGACTGTCTATCTATCTGGTTGGGGAATGTCTGTCCTTATATATCCAATCTCTCCCACACTGATTAGGTGGCTCACCCTGGATCACCATGGTGATCCAGTGAACCAAATTCTTAGTCACGTGACCCAGGCTCTGCTGGTCGCGTGATCTGTGTACCGATGCTCCATTGCTCCGATCTCTCCACTGATCAGCACCCCACTCTCTGGTCAATCTGTTTCCAATCGTCCCTTCTAGGTCTGCTATCAGGCCGCACTGTTCGTTGGTTTGTAACATTCGAATCCTAGTTACGCCATTATTATTTTATTTCTATAAAAACATTTATCAATAGATAATAGTATATAAGGCTAGATACGGCTTTTTTAAACGCTTAAACGTTCGAATCTTATTAGTGGTATTTTTTTGTAAGATTTATTCTCGCCAAAGAAGGTAGCCTAGAAAAAAGTCCCTCTACCCTATATCAGCCTACGAATATGTCAATCTTTAAAGATATCACCTCTCGTTAATACCTTCAACTTAACGAAGCGACGACGAAATCGTAAACATTGTCAATTCAACTTAACGAGGGGGTCCCGTTAACGTGGATTAAGTTGTTCGGAACCATAATTTTAAAATCTCCTTGGAGAGCGGCCCATGAGGATCGCTATCAATTACGTAGATCTGAGGCTTTCCCGAATACTTCTGTCCCAGTATATCATGATGAAAGCGTAGACATCTCGTCTGCAAGCAAATTAAAGTCAGTAAATGATCCTTTTATATGTTTTGCCGAGAAACAAGGAGTCGTAATGCGTGTCTCGGGGGCAAGGCTTTTGACACAGGCTAGAAGAGGAAATCCGCGCCCAGGACATGGCCATATGGGCCAACAAGAGACTTGAAAATGTACATACGGATCAGGGTATTGAGTATGAACTTCTTGGGCAGGACCTTTCGCTTGACCATGTTGCGGTTGTAGACCCCGTAGATGGTGATGAGCACGCGCTCGGCGTGGCGGGGAGGCCCTCGATCGGATACGTGGATCCCCATGAGCCAAAATGGTTGTCATTCGACGGGGATTCGTACACATCGAACTGCAAGTCCACGCGGCCTCCGTTGATGCCCGGAAGTGCGTAGTCAAAAAGGCGGCGTCGATATTCCGCAAAAAAACCATAGGTCATTGGTGGGAGACTCGTCGGGACCTCCCTTGAATGTCGGCACCAGGTCTCTCATGCCCTGTATGCGATGCGGCGAGCCTTGCATCACCCAGTCTCGCAGTTCGTCGACGCTGAGCTCTCGCGGCTCTGGCTCTTTGGTATGCTCTGGACCATTTTTTATATAGTTCTTGCTCATGAAGTTTCTGAGCTTTTGCTTATAGTCTTCATCTTCTTTAGACATAGACATTGTTTCGGACTAACACGGTCAATGTAACCTATGAGTCGTTTACGGCTTATTGTGGGCAGTTGGTTTTGCTGACACTGATAGGTGCTTGCATATTCAGCATCTCTCTGCACTTTGGAAATAGTTTCTGGATTTCGTTGAGTCACGTCTTTGTCAGGAATCCCCCTTTCAAAACAGACTGCTGAAAAGAGATATCTGAAAGAGCACACTCCTCACAATGACAAAGAGTGTTATTGCAATTGCCCTAAATACAGAATGCCCAGCTCTTTGTAGCGTTATGATGGTACAGACCTGGCTAGGCTCACCTCACGATGAGGGCCGCACTACAAATCCAGGGATATATGCTCTCTCATGGAGACCCGTAGCGACGAAGACAGGCCTGCAGGGAATTGCAATGCATACTGCCCAACAGCCCACTTTTCCAGCTAGATGCTGCAAAGCAGGTGGCCAGTCTGCAGACGCCCAAGCTGCTCGCTTCGACGTATCGAGAACTGGCTATCATGGCAATTTTCATGCCCTGGTTCCAAAACTGTCATCCGGAGCATGGCAGACACGAAACATGCAGAGGAAGCAATAACAACGCAGTGCCTTTAATATGCGATAAGGGAATATTCCAACCCGCATCTAGAAATGCTTTTTGTCCCTGACACATTACTTTCACTCCGTCGCTGCACCTGAAGGTCCAGGGCCCTTCTCCTTTTTAGGAGACACATAGCGGTTTGAACGCTGCCCAGGCTTGACGAAGCCATCCACATCGTTGCTGTTGGCCGGAATGAACTCATTGACGCTCGTCTTGTTCGGAGCAGTCGCTAAGACGGGTCGGGACGACGGCAGCGTCATACGAGCCTTTTCTGCGTCCTCTCGAGACATTGTTTCCTTTCGAGGGCGAGTGGGAGTGTTCGGATCGCGCTTAGAGAAAGAGCCATGCCCGGTGAGTGGACTGTGCGGTGAAAGGTCCATCACGCCCTTGTAGTGGCCGCTGGGAGTCTTGCGCAGCAACGGTGACGGGGTGGGCTTGTTGCGCTTCTGTGAGCTATCGTCTCGCGGTCCACCTATAGGTGTGGCCGGTTTTCTGGGGGTTGAGAGGGCACGTCGGGGCTTCTTTGCAGATCGTTCGGGTGTGAGTGCCTCGGACTTTGGGCTTCTGGAGCGTCTCGTAGGGCTCTGGGGAGCCTTTGATGCAGGTGATGACTTTTTCGTCACGTCGGGTGCAATGCTAGCTTGCGATGCAGTCTGAACGGCGTCTCTGGGTCCCTTGGGGGCTGTCCTACGAGCCGTGTAATTACCTTCTGGTATAGATCTAGCCGCGGGCTTCTTGTTGGGAGGGACGGCGTCTTTGGTTCCCTTGGAGGGTGTTCTACGAGCCGTGTAGTTGCCTTCTGGTATGGATCGAGCCGCGGACTCAATGTTGGGAGGCGCGTCGGCATTCTTACGAGACGCGTCGGTGTTCTTGCGAGGCGTAGAGACAAGACCGGACTTAAGAGTGGACGGCGCCTTCGAGGCTTGAGGATGAGAGAAGGGTCGGAGAGCAGCCTTGGCTGTGGAGCCTGAATCCTTGATGACAGCCTTTGACTCGGACGCAGTCGTTATCTTGTGATGGTCGTCAGGATTCTTGTCGGCGTCGCTACCGTCTTCCAACTTCAAAGCTTTATCGTTCCGTCTAAAGATCTGATTGATTCTTCGTCTAAGGCTCAAGTCAGCCACTTTCATTAGGGCAGGCCTTCGTACGAAGATCGACTTACTTGTATTCATCGAGAGAGCGGTTGGGATGGCCTTCATCTTGAAGACACCCAGGGATTTTGTCCCATTTCAGAGTCTTGAGATCGATCTTGTTCACTCGGATGACTGGGATGCTTGATCAGCGTTGTTACAAACTAGCCCGGACGTTTCACTTTAAACTCACGCGCGACAAGCAGATCGCGCTCTTCCGCGTCAGTCAAGTCAGAATCCTTCATGGTGACGGCGATGCCAAGTGGTCGAAGCTGGATTGCAGGACTTGCAATTGACACATGTTTCTCAAGCAATCAGGAGGTTGCGGTACTGACTGGCCAAATTTTATACCTAGCATCGCCGTTGCTGTGGGACCCAGAGGCAGAGAATTCATGCCCCGCCAACAAGGCATCGAGTATCAGCGTCTCGAAGTCGGCAAGGCAAACGTCAAATGAGTCCGAGACTGCTATTTCAAATTTCGTTCAATTGTTAAGCTCTTTGACCGCAAGGAAAGAGCCAAACCTAATGCCCTAGAATACAACAAAGCAGAGACCCCGTTTTTGTACGCAAAGTTTAACAGGATAAAACGCCACAAATTATCCACAATCAAAAGTTTCTTTATTTGCAGGTGCTAATACCCATAATCTACCTTTTCCTTTTGTTAGAGGCATTAAGTCAACTTGTTAACTTCAATTTGGAGGCTGGGAAATAGATGGTGTTCAAGTGCCCACTGCGACTGCTCTGCTACGCCTGAGATTGCCACGAGAAGGCAGATAATCCACTCCTACTGGATGATTCAGAGTGATTCTCGCTGATTCCCGTTGACGAGACAGATCATCAGTTACCCTCTGTCGAATGGCACACAAGCCACCGTAGCGTCAGGGAGGTGGCAGTGCACTGTAACAGGGGCCATTAGGGCATTTGGGCCAACTGGACGCAATAACAGACTTTCAGAACGACACAGTCAGCACTGAATACACGAATAACCACATATGAACCAATCTTCGCACTGGTTGACTCCGTCTTCACCGCATGTACCCACATACCATTCTACCTACCACCCTCGAAACGTATATATAGACCTTGCGGTGCAGACCTGTTCCCCCTATCCCATCGATACATATCCCCAACAGCCAAACTATTCGTTCTCCACAAGGCCAGAAAATCTCGAGCTTCTCTTTGTCGACATCATGTTGGTAGATAACGCTATTAATAATCCTGGTGGCAATGGCGGAAAAGGCACCGAACAAGCCGACGACAACTACGAGGAGAAGACAAAGAACCTTAGCGACAGTAGCTCCAATGAAAAGGCAGTAGATGACAATACTCTCAACTCTGTATCGACTGCGGTAAGGGAATCCACTGTATCAGGCCATGGCGCCGCAGACGGTCCATACGACCTTCCGAAGGAACCGCCCAAACGGCCCTATGGTGGTTGTCGCAGCGTTGAACGAGGCAACCCCTTTCATCCTCGAGTCAAGTAAACAAAGTATCTCTGCCATGCAGGGGTGTATGGAAACCCCCATGTCTTTGTACCTAGTCGTCCTCCCTTGCGTGGTGGAGCACATATCTCACTACTCGTAAAGCTTGTGAGCCTTATCCTTGGAGGCTCTAGAACAATGTTCCTCTGTCCTTTGTCAAAGCACTGGGAGTGTTCACACCAGTGACACCACTCCTCGAGCTCAAGGCACATAACAAAGGATGACTGAATAAGTTTGCGTTGTCGAGTCCTCATAAAGAATATTGTTATTACACGTTGACCCAAGGCATGCCAGCAAGTGAAAAAGTTCATTGTTCAAGTTGAAGACACCTCAGAAACCTCAACTCTTAACACAAGGTTGCGGACATCCTGGCTTATGTGGTAACTTCACAAGAGAGGCCCTTTAGCAGCAGATGGGCACTTTGCTCATATCAACACATGGGAATGGTAGAGTCAGCAAGCTTGGCAACAGCGCCGAGTGGCATTGTGACGGCGCATCTAAGCAGCCTGATCGGCCATCCGAATGCATACCACTACAATGATAGGCCGCTCATACGACGCAGGAATGAAAGGATTTGTTTCATCGCAGACTCAGCCCCCCAGATGAACACGCCACACCCCGCGAACCAAGAGCTTTACAAGCAAACATGCCGACTGTTCGCGCACATATCGACACAGCATCAGCGCCACCAACCTCGTGGACAAAGCTGCCGTCCCGGACAACACCCAGGTTAGTCCACCGCTCATGGACAATAGCCATGTTTTCGAACACCAGCCTTGTTTCCGCCACGGAGACGGAACAGACACCTTTGATACACTTCGGATATGGGGGGTATAAAGTCCTTTATCGGTATCCCCAATGGTGCTTTGAATTCGGCAAGCTTATCAGCAGATACTGGACAAAAATCCTCATCAAAGGATCTTCTTACAACCCAACAACAACAATAGCACCACCACACAATAACAACACGACAAAACCGACATTCGCAATGCCTTCAGAGAATAAGTTTAACCCCATGGCCACCTTGGGCAGGCTCGTCGGCTCGGTGCGCCGAAGGCGAGCAAACACCATTGCCATCCAGCAGGCCGAGACGGAGGCCTACATTGCGCACATTGCTGACCTGCGCCAACGAGCGGCTAACGCCGAGCACCTGAGGGAGACGGAGCTGCGCGAGCTTGCTAGGCAAGATAATGTCTACCTGGACCCAACAAGACGGGAGGAGCGTTTTGGCAACGACAGCGACAAGCTGGCGGATGGGCTGGTGGCCCGAATCTGGAAGATCGGCGACACGTGGTGGTTCCTGAGCGTGGACGGTAAGCCCGTCTCGTCGGACGACCGTCTCGGGCGGCGGCAGACGGTGCTGCAATGGCACCACGTGCGCGTTCCGACGGGGCCGTGGGAGGCGGCGTATCCGTACCTGGCCCTGTGCACGTCTCGGCCGCGGGTCCTGCCGCAGGGTGCGCCGCAGGGCGCGGTGCGGAGGTTCACGAAGTGAGGGGGCTATCTAGAGCTCCCGCTGGGTATCTGATGCCCCCTGGATTGAGGTGTGCAGGAGGGTTGTGACATGCTGGTTCATGAGCACTCCCGTGATGAGTCTGATGACTGATATCCCGTGATGACTTATGTCCCGTCCCGTAATGACTGGAATGTGGCCTGTGAATAGAGATATGATGGCATAGGGGGATTCGGCGGGTTTGATTTGAAGCTTATGCCGTAAGTATATCCTCTTTATCCCTTTCCTTAGAACTTGTTCTTGTCTTGCCTCTCTTCTCCTTATCCCCGGCCAAACTACCTTAATAATCTAGCTCCATCTCTCTCCTGGAAAACTTACCATCTATAATTCTCGCTTTCGCATGGTGACCGTGTGACGGCACAGGAATGCAGCACTATGACCACCACACTACTAGGCAAAAGTATAACGTTATCAAGCCGAGCTCTTGACCGTCTGCATCCACCTATATAGCAGATGGAACCGTGACAGACCGGCACAGAGCGTTCTCTTGGCAGATCGACCATAGGCTCTGGCTTTAAAGCAATACGTAGTGGTACATAGTCGCTTTATTACGACAAGGAGTAAGCATCACTAAGCGGCCCTTCTTTATATGTAACATCGCCATATCCTCAGGCACCTCTAGGGGATAATTACGCCAGGGCCCAGTATTATGTCACGGTCCCACCACCTCCAGGGTTCGGTCCCACCACCTCATTCACCCCTGTAGGCGATGGGACTCATCCCTGGAGGTGGTGGGACTGATCACTGGAGGTGGCAGGACCGCTTGTTATGGGTACGTAACTGACGTTGCAAGGTCGCGACGCAGACGCAGAGGTGTTTTTCCACTCGTCCGTTCCGTATAGCAACGGCCCTTGACTGGGCGAGGGGGCAGCGATATTGTAATCGCCGTGTATACATGTCGATTATGCTTTTGAATCTGTCTGCACTTGCAAGACTCTGAATCTTGAGTGGTGGGACCTATCCCTGGAGGTGGTGGGACTGAACCCTAGAGGTGGTGGGACTGGCCCTTTAAATTGCCTACTGATTGATCAGCCTATATCCCAACGGTCTGGGACGAACCGGGACGGGCCGTGCCGCTGAAACCCACACCAGGAGCTTGGCACGAGTCAAACAACCTAGCAGAGATAGCAGAAAACCATACATAGCTTTCAATCTAGATACCTCAGTACATAACATCCTTACATTACCAACACTTGGTACTAATTAAATGAGCAAGCAATTCTTTACACATGCATGTGCACGTTAATACTCATCTAATTTCTTTTATATAGTTATGAAGCGTTAAAAACGAAAGGTAATAGAAACTCCACTAAAAACGTGCTTGTGGTGTAGCTAATGGCATAGGTGGCTATGAATGGTTTTCTGCTACCTCTGCCAGCCAACCAAGCATGGACCTATCATGGTCTATCACCAGTTACTTCTACCCGACAGGATCGCAAGCCACATAACTACGAGTCTATCCTCTTTGGTCTTACTATTCATTGCCAGTGGCAGGCAAGCTCTACTAGATCTGTTATCATTCTCTATGCGATGGTCAATGAGCTGGCTCTTTGGTAGCAGTCTCCCTTTTTTGGTCTGCGGGAATTTACTACGAATGTTTCTTCATTGACTGCATTCAACTGCTAGTTGTTGCGGGATCTTGGGTGTATCTAGATCAGCTACAATCCGTGGACAAAAGTCTCCGCCCAATCCCCATTTTTACCCCTTCCATCTACTGCGCCCTCCAATTTAATTGAACCACAATGCACACAATTGTGGTGATAAAATTCTCAAATAAATTATATTTAATAGCTAAGTCAATAGTATGTATACCAACCACCAGCGCGCCTCACTGCAGCCATTCGGTCCTCAAGTGACTCTATTAAGACCCGAACTTGCTCCGGATCGATCTCTGACCACGCCTGCTCAATTAACTCGTGTATGTAGCAATAATAGGGGATATTGTCCTTCAATTCGGAAAATTCAGGCTCAATTTCACGTATTTTCTTCTTCAGAAGTCGCCAAATGTGCTCAATTAGGTTCATATCGGGGCTGTGAGGAGGCCAGTCGATACAGTGGATACCGTTCTCCTCTATCCATTCCGGAACACCGCTAGTAAGGTGAATTTTCGCGTTATCTTGAACAAAAGAATCTCTAGCCTCGTAAAACGGAAGCAGGGCTTCCTCAAAAACCCATTTATATGACTCTGTGGATACTCCTCCGCGCGGAGCATCCGGATTGAGTGGGCAGAAGACCAATTTGCCTAGTCCTCCTTCTCCACCACGTAGCCAGATCATAGACCACGCCATTATCGAAATACAAGATCATAACGGTACTGCTTTGAAGAGAATCGGATGGCCCAATCGCCTAGATTATTGGATGAGTTTTGGACCGTACATTTGTCTAAGAACATGGCTCGCAATAACTCCTCCAGGTGCTCTAGTGTGCTGTAATAATTGGCGAAAGCGAGCCTCTTTTAAGCGTCCTTATCTGTGAGCTTGGTTCGCTTTGCTGCGCGCCACTTCTGGAGGCCGCGTGCGTGATATATCCTCTTGATAGTCTTGTGAGAGCACAAAATTTGGGCTTCATTTCGGATCTTCTGCCACGTCGCCTGGAGGAGCTCTCTTGCCTTCTCAATCACACGAGCGCGTTCACGAGTGTTCAAAACGGGTGGGTGACCACTCCTTAGGGCAGATTTCAGTGTGGAGGTAGCCTCAAAGTTAGTAGTGATGTCAGAGATAGGTTTCAGGCGCTTTGTTTTGAACCTGGTTACAACATCCCTGCGCGTCCTGTCGTCAAGTCGCGCCACTACAATTGCCAAGCAAGCTTCTGAAGTGAATTCGCTGTTAGCGACGTGGTTACTGTTCAATTCATCTCTAAAAGATCGTAAATCCATTATTAATTGTGGTGTTGAGAGAGTGGTAAAGTTGAAGGGTGATTGACGCGTTGTTTTGATCTGAAGGAGATTGTGGTAGGTTGGGCGGAGACTTTTGTCCACCCAGTTTACCATTGGCATAGGCGTCTAAACACTTGTTTTCTTCTGAGAGTAAGATAGATTTGTGCTGCCACGCACAGTACACTATATCATTACATCCAGCTGTGTTCTTAGCCATGACAAGGACAATTTAATATCTGCTATCCATCTAGCGACAAGGAGCAAGTCTTCTCAGGAGACGCATCAAGAATCCCAGTCCCTAGACGTTGTGCTCCCTTACTGTTGGATGAATGCAGCACCCGTTTTCAGGGTAGCTACTGCTTTCGTCTAATAGAAAGAATAGAGGGATCAAAGGATCACGGAATCTGTACAGGGTAGCTGTGCTGGTTCTATAATCTTCTATTATCTAGCTAATGGTTTTATAACCCTAAGCCCTGCTTTTATAACTACTAAACATGTATAATAACAAAGGAAAATTTCATATATATTTAGCCGTAATAACTACCTACTTTGATACAATTTATTTAAAGTTAATATGTTGTATATAATATTGAGAATTTATCCCTTAAAACGACCACTGTACTAACTTTTAAAGCCCTTATTACTCCAGCTATTATAACATTAATATATTTCTTATTACAGCCCTTATCCATCCTTATTACTATTGCAATTTCCGCTATTAACGTAGCTGACAAGCGGGTTGGCATTACAAGCGAGTTGGCACTTGTCATAAACACTCTAACTACCATGTGAAATAACTTCACCACAACACATTCAATTCAATTCAATCAATCAGATTCCTCTTTTTCAGAGGTTTCTATCTCTATTGTACAAGTTTGCGCATTATGGCCAGTGTTACCGCAAACTCCACACCGTTACTCACGCGCTGCCGTCCTCCTTGCACGACGACTACCTTCACCTATTTCCTGTCTTGCCAGCTTAATATTATCCTTTATAGCCTGAAGACCTACTGTATTTTTAACAGAAAATATTCCTTTTTTTATCAGACATTTATTTTTTGTTTTCTGGCATTTATTTAATAAATAATTGGCCTCTTCTAGCTTGCGGACCAAGGAATCAACAAAAGCAACTTTGTGCATAAGACCATATATAGCCTTTACAAATGAGCTCAATGCATCAATCATTGATGTAAGTGAGCTTCCCTAGTGGTTTCTGACTCAATTTCAGATATAAACCGATTGGGTTACCGCTTCATTAATGGTGGTAGGCGTCTTTGAAGTCCAAGTAGTGGGTGGCAGATTGGGGTCTGGTGACGGTGTTCGTACAACAGCGACAGCATCCAGCTTTGAAATGACACTTTCTGGGTCAAAAGGAACAAGGCCAGTGAAACTGAAACCTGCTCGGATGTTTCCTGGTGTCATTACAGCATTGTCTGCTGCACAAAACGCTGTGAAGAAGTCCTCCTTTAAAATATGTGTTATATGACGCCGGATGGGATCCTCAATTGAGCAACCATAAGCTCGTTTGAGTGGGCTGAAACAACTGACATCTAAATGCTGGTATTGAATACACGGATGTTGATTGATGGATGCTATTGATTGTCCTGCTCTTTGTGCAGAGATTGATCATCTGTCTTCTTGGTGGGTCAGATGCCCTGTGCGTCTCTGCCCCACTGGAGATCTTCCGGTGTTTATCTCCGGCCCCCATTCAAGAGCTGGAGCCTATATGACGAGTGGGCAGGCATACAAAGAGTAATGATGCCATTGTTCTGACAATAATTCTCAAAGACCTGGGAATAATGGCTTTCGTGACCATCTAGGATGAGGAGGCGTTTACCGGCAGTCATAAGCGGTCTGGTATACTTATCAAAATACTGAATCCATTTCAAACCGATCTCATTTGTAGTCCATCCGTTGTCAGACACGGCCACCTTCTAATCACGTGATAATGTTGTGCCACGATACCATGATGCGAGGTGGGTTTTGCCCTGTAGAATAATGAACGGCAGGACCACCCAACCATCAGCATTGATAGCAGAGATTGCTGTAGACCATTCTCTGTTGCCTTGCTAAGCTTGTCTAAGCCTACCACTTCTTTTGGTGCTTAT